TCCAGGGCGCGGTTGAGCTTTTACAGGGGGGAGCGATGTGGGAGACCGGTCTCTTCTTCAAACGGTGCTTCCGGGTTGGGGTTGTATACATTGTATACTGTAATCTTGCTGCGTTCGTCTTTCATTTTGAGGGTTACGGTCGTCAAGTTTTGCCCATAATCAGTGAGCTCGATGCTCTTTGCATCAATATTCTTACTAATGAATGTTGCCACTCTTACCTTGGTGTGATTTGGTATAAATACTTATACCTGGTCTTTGCTGAGTTGTGGGTCTGGATTTCAGTGCCGAATTTGTTAATGTACGGCTCGTGAAAGGCGATGATATCTGCTTCACCTAGCACAGGGTCCCTTAGGACCTCCGCCATGGTGTTGCAGCTTCCGCCTACGTTGTACTGTGCTACCGTTATGGTCTATAGCCTTGGTATGTTTTCACTCATTGCGTCGCGCTCATGTTTTCTTTGACTTTCCTCGATGGTACTGCTGGTCTTAATGAAGACCTATATTTCAATGTCCTGATTGTCCCCGATAGGTCAGACTCTTCTTCCTGCTCACTCTCATTGTCGATATGCAACGAGATTTCTGGCTCCTCGCGGCGGGCACTGCTGCTCCTCGCTTTTGACCGTGTTTGCCCTTTGGTTTCTGACCTGGATCGGCTCCGGTCGTCATGTCATCTCTTCCTGGGGTTGGTACTGATCTCTCGGAGTGGTTGGTTCGCGGTCTTTGATTTCCTCGCTTTTACCAGGATGTACTCTTCTAGGTCCTCTGTCGCCCGCGATCTTGGGGCATTTTGGCTTGCCGTCGGGACACCAGTCCAGCTTGTTCCTTTCTGGTTTGCTTGTGTTGGGATGTGATCTGTTTCCATCTTATCGTTTTGTGATTCTGCAGGGCGGCTGCCGACCACAGAAGGTCCTGGACTGACCTCGTAGCATGGTTCGGGGTAGAAGGGGCGGGCGTTTAGTTCGGCCTTTGCTACCTCTACCCTCCTTATCTCGTCTTTATATTTTGGACACTGTTTTGACCAAGCGTAATGTGCGCCGTGGCAAAGACAGCATCTTGGGACTGAGGATGTGCAGTCCTCAGTGTTGTGCTCGACAGAGGCGCACTTGCCACATGTCTTTTTGTTCGTGCAGAAGGTTCCTTTGCATTTCCCATACTGGTAGCACTTCAGGCATCTGATAAGCTGGCATGTCGGGTCGTGTCTGCGCACCACTCGTAGTCCGTGGCTCCATACTAATGTCCCTCCCTTAATAAGTACATTGGCTCCTTCAGGCGTTTTGCAGTCTACCACGAGGCTGCCGTCTTTCTGGCCGTCTCTGTATTTACGGTACAATCAGCAGTCGACTACCATGTCATGTGACATTACTTGTCTATTTTCAATCCTGAGCTGTTCAATAAACGCTGTCTTGTTTCCTGGGTCGACGGATTTGATTGGTATCCCATATACGATCACTAGGTAGACTGGCAGCATCACATCTGCCTCTGTTGCCACGAATCCCTTCCAGTCCTCTTTATGCCTGCGCAGGGTCTCCCCTTGTGCTGCGGTCTCCTTGTGCGCGACGATTGACCCTCTGCTGTTGATTCTGGCTGCCTTGAACTTGGCTGCCATAATTAACGTGTCTTCCGTGGACGCGAGCGCCTCGTTGAGCTTTTGGACTAGCTCACTGGGCCTTAGCTTTCTCCATACTTCTGGTACTGCCTTACTCCCTTTATACCTAATGACTATCTCCTTGTGCTTTGGGCTCTCGATTGAGGCTGCTGCGGAGGACGTCCCGCTCATGGTGCGTTGTAGGGAAGGAGGCGCGGCGAGTGAAGACGCGATTTGTGCCCAGGTGCGTGTTGTACGCGTTCTTTGTTGGGAGGGGCGTGTTTGCTATATTGCTGTTTGCCTTAATAATAGGAACGTCTCGTTGTATATCCTGAATGAGTGTGTATACTTGGCGTTGTTGCTCGAGTTTATTCTTGTCTGGGCGCGTCGCCCGTATCACGAACCGTTGGATGCTGTCAAATAGTGGCTTATAGACCTTTTCAGGGATGTCCTTTCCCTTTCGGTCGGTTCCTTCCATGCCTGCACGTGCATATTCCATGAGGTTGTTCATATCCGTTAGGATTCGATCTCCATGGTCTTTGAGGCTGTCGCATTTTGCCCCAACGGGGGGCCACTTTCCCCGGCCTTGAGACATGCCGGGTATTGTGCTATAGCCAGCAAAAGGCTAAGCAATGTTGGCTTTATTTTGGGGCGATATACGTTGCGCTAAAGTGGTAAATTCCAAAAAATATGGTTCCAGGGTTTGTAGATGTGATTTTTTTTGTTGGAAGGTACCATTCATTCATCATGACTGATTGTGAGGCTTTCGTTATAGCTTCATTGTTTCCCCTCGCTTTTGGTGGCATCAAACGCACGAAGTGTTATCGAGAAGTTCGCTGTCACGGATCTCTAGAACTACTGTATAGGCGAGTGGCCCATAGTTCTATGCTGTACTGTAGGCGAGTGGGCTGTTCGCCCCAACACAATGCACCATTTTTGAAATCATTAACCTCACAATGCCATATTAAGTTAGCCATATGTTAACGAACTAATATAATCACTTATTCTTTTCATTGTTGAGTCCACTGATTAATCTTTTGACCAGGCTCACCACATATGCGGCAGTGGTATTGGCGACACACTGCACCACCACTCTGAGGACTTGCTTGTTGTACTTGAAATTTTGCTATTAATTTTATCTTCATAGATTATTTAACAACTTGTACTGGTGTTAAGGTGTCTTGCTTTTGGATCCTCCGTGTTTGGTGCTTCTTTCGAGCAGAAAGTGCTTGGTTGGCTGCCCCAAGATCAGCAATATATGTTGGAAGGTTCACCCATCATGACTGGTGGTGAGTACCTATATGTCATAGTTTACTGCTTCTATTGGGAGGTTCACTCACAATGACTGGTGGAGATTACCTCCATAGGTCTATTGTACCATAGTTTACCGCTCCTATACAGTTCGCACTATAAATATCTTGCATCCTGCAACATCAACAACAACAGGATCAATCAACAGACATACATTTCATCATACAATTCCAACAATATATACCTTCACCAAGGTGGCGTAGTTACTCGGTGATTGAGCATTCTTTGCAAGGCGATCCAACAACTCAATTATTGAGGTTGGTGAGCTACCTAGGTGGCGCTGAATTCGACTTCACAATAGTTTTGTTTAGAGGTCCAGCTCTATCGCATTGCTTGGTCTTTTTTTAGTTATCAGGTAGCATGTATCGTCAATCACAGGCGGTGTTTGTGTACGCAATCGAACATCTAGCTTTGATAATCCCCCCTCTGGGTTAAGTGGTATTATGACTGTACCTCTGAAGCCTGCTGAGATGTTTTCTGATCGCAATGCTTGAAAAATGCTTGAAAAATGCTTGTTTCAAAACTGTTGGGAAGTCAAGTTTTGTAATATGAAGGATGCGGTTATTTCGCCGCCTGTTGAATCTAATCACCATATGCCTTTTTGATGGTCCGAAACAACCTACTTCAAGTGGTTATAAGGGTGAGATGAGTATGGAGGCATACAAACGAAAAGTTATAGATGTCATGATTAACAATGTACTGATAATCGCAAGCTATTCACATAATACTCCCTTATAGCTGTACTTCCGCTTGAATCGCATCTTGAGTTCACGTGTCCTTTATATAAAGTTACAGGACCAAAGCTTGCCAACTTTGCTGTCACAACGAGATGCAAGCAAATGATTAGCCATAGCAGCTACCTCTTGGAGGCTAAGTTCAAATCCTTGCGAATCCAGATCAATTAGATGCTGAGTAAGAGTCTCCTCCTCATTAAAGGTAAGCTTCTTTGATTTAGCTATAGAATCACGTCGAGATTGGTGTACCAGCAACGCGACGCGCAAGCGTCTTTCTAGGCACACCATAGATCTTTGCAGGTTGTGTAACTGACCGAACTTGGCCTCTTACAATTGTTTGTTTCGCTAATCAAAACTGACAACATAGTGGCTGCAGCTTTGATTGCTGCATGATTGTTGAAAGATAATCATTATAATTTTGCGGGCGAACAGGCCACTCGCTTACATGGACGTTATTTCCTTCTTTCTTTTCTACAACCGTTTCTGTATCTATTAGACTAATGAATTTATCTAGGCACTCATTTTAATCGCGGGAATAGCATAGAGGGACCCGGAGTTCAAGCACTCTGCAACGATCCAATTCAAGCGTGCATAGAGGAATTATTAACTTAGTCGATGTTCTCGCGATATTGGTGACACTTTGCCTTAGCTTGGCGGAGACACTTTGACACTCTCTAAGTAAGTGAATTGTGTCAGGGCGATGAACCATACAACTTGGCAATAATATTCCGCTATTGCAGTTTTTGAGGCCATGTCCACGATCGTCGAGTGCATTCTGTCTTTCACGGAAATCATTTAGCCCTCACAATGAATTCATCGTCATTTCCCACATGGATCCTCAAGTACAGGAGAAAAGAAACTCTGGATGAGCGGTTTAAGGCGAACATCTCTCGATTTGTAGGCGGCAGTCAAAGTTAGACGGCTTTTAAGGCAGGTGGTACTGTTGAGACTACTGTAGCTTTCCAGCAGATTTCGCTGCTTTCAGCTTGGCAACGATCGACGCCAGAATGAAATCTTCCACGGAGTATGTGTTGGGAAACTTAGCTAGCCGCCTTGGGTACAGAGGCTTCCATGGCAAAACGTCTCTTGTGCGTGGCCAAGGCGGTTCGTGCACGAGTTATATTTCATCAACGATGACTACCGTCTATGAAACCAAAAAGTAGCGAATCATGTATGCAAGGTCAAATCACGTCTAGAGCGGGCAACGAAATTGTAGCGGGAAAATGGCGCAGGCGGACAGCGCAAAATAATGAAAACCACCCGTCCGATGTGGTGATAGACAATCTTGCTCTTCCAGTAGTAGATTTGCCGAAGGACAAGGCCCTAAGATAGTCAGTCGTAACAGGGCTGTCGATCGGTGGCACGGCATTCTTGGCTAAAAGCAGTGAGACAATTACAGTGTGAAAAAAATGACGCATTCCTACTGGAGGGTTTCGCTAAAGACATAGCGTCGACGATCAGAAAGTCGCAGAGACGAGCGAGCAGAGGTTAAGTCTCAAGAGAGAGAGGGTGGAATGTTGATAGCTGCGCGGGAGTGTGCGAAGCGGATAGGAGCTGGTGCTCGAACGCTGCCATTGTCGCGAACTTCCAGCACTGCGACAATGCCGCGCAGGTTGATCCGGAAGTGCCGCCTGCTATGGGGCGGCAGCAGGACGCGACGTTGGCCGTCGCTCGCGCACAGAAAGGAAAGACGGGGAGAAAGAAGAGGTAAAGGAAGGGAAGGTGAAGTAAGCAAAGAAGAACGGAAAGAAAGACGAGACGACAAAGACGGAAAGATCGCAGGATGACTGTTGTCGGCTGCCCAGACTGTGCTGTCTGGGCGCGGTTTCCCCATCGAGGCGGATCCCTGCTGGGGCTCTGGCCGCGATGGGCAAACATCGACAAGAGCCGCACTTGCAGCGCACCGCACGGACATCGCACGGGGACCGTCCAAGAAGGCCCAAGAACCACACAAGAACCGCACAAGAACCACACGCCCAAGCTCTCGGTGGTATCACTCGTCTCCGCCAAGCTCTAGGCGCGAGTCTGTGGAAGACATCGCCATGGAGTCTGACCTGTATATAAAAGAGTCGCAGGCTCGATGGCGACGGCCATGGCAGGATCTCAAAACATCATCTATCATCTGATCTAGCTCTCTTTGCTGAGCTCGGGTTTGCACGCAGAATCGGACAGCCGTCGACACCAACGGAGTCAAGCATCTCCACTCATTTGAAATCTTCGCCCTCTTTGTTCCGCTCGGAGAATAGTCCACCACCAATACTGAGCCAAGCGCGCGCCCTGCTCAACTCTCTGCTCTTCCTAGCTCTAGCTTCGCTTCTTTGCCAATCAGCGAATCTTGGATGTCTTGTCCCCATTAAATCCCTGGGTTCGTGTTATAACTGTGCTCTCTCCCTACCCACCCTATGCTTGACCTTGCAGTGCTCTGGTGAACAGATTCCCATTTCTAAACACTTTCCCGTGCGCCTATTTTGCTTGAGTCTGACGCTCGGCGCCCACGGAAAAGAGGACGTTTCAGCTTTTTTATCTTGCCCTCCGCGCTTCCTTCAACGTCTAGCCGCACGCTCTAGACCTTCTGGCTGTCCATAAATCTCCGCCTTCAGCCCCCTCCAAAACGCTGAGGCAATCCGTCAGTCAAAACGGGGCCAAACCGGTCATCAACTCCACGCAAACATTGCTTCACGCGGCTCCTGACAAGGTATGTAGAATTTCTGATGAATACCTTTGCGTGCTCTCTTTGCCTTCATAAGATCGGCCTGAGCAATAGCTCAGCCATGACCCAATTATCATCCGATCAGGTGCTTGTTTGCAGCGATCTACTCTCGACGAAGGCTAAATTCTGAAGTAGCGGTTTTTTCCGTTTCCAGGGACATATCTGGTTTGAAGGAGCACCTTAGGTATATTACCTTGCAATGGCGGACACAAGCTCTCTACAGAGCCGTCTGGCCTCAACTACAATACCCCTTGGTCAATTGGACGAGAAGACGGGACTTGGTGCTTCGAAGAACTACGGCCTCGATGAAGAAGAAGAAGAAGATGAGGATATGGATGCTCTAATAGAAGAGCTCGAGTCTCAAGACGCTGGCATTGACGAGGAGGAGGAGGACACCCAGCCAGGAGGCGCTAGGACGGTTCCGGAGGAACTGCTCCAGACATCGACACGCGATGGTCTCACTTCCGCCGAGGTCTTGCAACGACGGAAGAAGTATGGCCTAAACCAGATGAAAGAAGAGAAGGAAAACCTCTTGTTGAAATTTCTGGGCTTTTTTGTCGGCCCTATCCAATTTGTTATGGAGGTAAGCTATCAATTTCAGCTTGGCTACAAACGTCATGTCCACGAATCCATTTCTTATGATGACCACGCATTGGACGACACTGTTGTGTTTCCTATGTGGAGCCGTGCTGATTGTGCACTAGGCTGCTGCCATTCTTGCTGCCGGTCTTCAGGACTGGGTTGACTTTGGTGTGATCTGCGCGTTACTGTTGCTTAATGCTTGTGTTGGTTTTGTCCAAGAGTTCCAGGCCGGCTCGATTGTTGAAGAATTAAAGAAGACACTGGCCCTCAAGGCCACTGTGCTTCGCGACGGCAAGCTTCAGGAGATTGAGGCCTCAGAGGTAGTACCCGGCGACATTCTCCAGGTCGAGGAGGTAGGTTGATTAAGTTGTCCATCTTCTTCTTTGAACTCAGCTATAACTTTCCAATCAGGGCACCATTATCCCCGCCGATGGCCGTATCGTCACCGAAGGTGCCTTTCTTCAAGTCGATCAATCTTCCATCACTGGCGAATCTCTAGCTGTTGATAAGCACAATGGAGATACCTGTTACGCGTCCTCAGCTGTTAAGCGTGGCGAAGCTTTCATGGTCATCACAGCGACTGGCGATAGCACCTTTGTCGGTCGCGCTGCCTCTCTTGTCGCGTCAGCCTCAGCCGGTACTGGCCACTTCACGGAGGTGCTGAACGGTATTGGAACTATACTTCTCGTTCTCGTCATTTTAACGCTACTCGTTGTCTGGGTTTCCTCATTCTATCGATCCAACGGTATTGTGACAATTCTGGAGTTCACTCTTGCAATTACTATCGTCGGAGTACCTGTCGGTCTTCCAGCCGTTGTCACCACCACCATGGCTGTCGGTGCCGCGTACCTTGCCAAGAAACAAGCAATCGTCCAGAAACTTTCAGCCATCGAATCTCTTGCCGGTGTGGAGATCCTTTGCTCAGATAAGACCGGTACTTTAACAAAGAATAAGCTTTCCTTGTCAGAGCCTTATTGCGTTGAGGGCGTTGATCCAGAAGATCTTATGCTCACGGCCTGCTTGGCTGCTTCGCGCAAGAAGAAGGGTATTGATGCCATTGATAAGGCTTTCTTGAAGTCGCTGAAATACTATCCCCGTGCGAAGGCAGTCCTCTCCAAATACAAGGTCATTGATTTTCAGCCCTTCGATCCTGTATCGAAGAAAGTCCAAGCGGTTGTGGAATCTCCTCAGGGCGAACGCATCGTATGCGTCAAGGGCGCACCATTATTTGTGTTGAAAACAGTCGAAGAGGACCATCCTATAGACCCTGCCATTGACGAAGCCTATAAGAACAAGGTTGCTGAGTTTGCTACGCGCGGTTTCCGTTCGCTCGGTGTCGCTCGCAAGCGAGGCGATGCGTCCTGGGAGATTCTTGGCATCATGCCTTGCTCTGATCCTCCCCGCCATGACACTTATCGAACTGTTCATGAAGCTAAAAATCTTGGTTTGTCGATCAAGATGTTGACCGGTGATGCTGTTGGCATTGCACGGGAGACGTCTCGTCAACTTGGCTTGGGCACGAACGTCTACAATGCGGAGCGCCTAGGTCTTGGTGGCGGAGGAGAGATGCCTGGTTCTGAAGTTTATGACTTTGTCGAAGCTGCCGATGGATTCGCCGAGGTATTCCCACAACACAAATACAACGTAGTCGAAATTTTACAGCAGCGTGGGTATCTCGTTGCCATGACCGGCGATGGCGTGAACGATGCACCATCTCTGAAGAAGGCCGACACGGGTATAGCAGTAGAGGGCGCCTCAGACGCTGCCCGTTCTGCTGCTGATATTGTATTTCTGGCCCCAGGACTCTCCGCCATCATCGATGCCCTGAAGACCTCTCGTCAGATCTTCCACCGCATGTATGCGTACGTTGTCTATCGTATCGCCTTATCATTGCACTTGGAGATCTTTCTAGGCCTGTGGATTGCTATTCTGAACACTTCACTCAATCTGGAGCTTGTTGTCTTCATCGCTATTTTTGCGGACGTTGCAACGCTGGCAATCGCATACGACAACGCTCCCTTCTCTAAAACTCCCGTTAAGTGGAATTTGCCGAAACTGTGGGGAATGTCCGTCTTGCTCGGTATAGTGCTTGCTGTTGGCACATGGATCACCCTAACCACTATGTTCCCTTACCCACGGCCAGAGTCGTCTGCCGATCCATCTCAAGGTGTTGGTGGTGGTATTGTCCAGAATTTTGGTGTACGCGATGAAGTTCTCTTCCTAGAGATTTCACTCACGGAGAATTGGCTTATTTTCATCACCCGGTCAAATGGGCCATTCTGGAGCTCCATTCCGTCTTGGCAGCTTGCCGGGGCCGTGTTGATCGTTGATATTGTGGCCACCATGTTCACTCTTTTCGGTTGGTTCATTGGAGGCCAGACCTCGATAGTTGCTGTCGTTCGTATTTGGATTTTCTCCTTCGGAGTGTTCTGCGTCATGGCCGGTCTTTACTATTTATTGCAGGGCAGTCAAGGCTTCGATAATCTGATGCATGGGAAGTCTCCGAAGAAAGATGCAAAGCAAAGATCACTGGAAGACTTTGGTAAGTGTGATCCTAAGAGTTTTCTGCATATCAAAATTAACAGTGTTCTAGTTGTTTCATTACAACGTGTCTCAACACAGCATGAAAAGAGTGCATGAAGCACAAGATATTCCGCCTTTGTCACGGCGTAGGGAGGCGATAAAAGAAGATTACAAAAGCTATGCGGAAGACATACAAATCAATACCGACAAATCATCTCGTTGCCAGCGCTTTGAGATTCAACCAATATTAGAGAATTACAACGCTGCGCCGAGTTCCGACTCCTCAGACTGGCGAACATAGTAAAGTCGCTTTCTTTCCCTTTCAAGATGCAAGCAAAGTGAAACCAGGCATAGTATAGAAGCTTTAACATTGTCGCATCTTTTCCGAGGACAACAGGGAATGTACTTATAATAGCTTCTACAGGTATAAAGTGCACCACACGGATTGCTCACTCTGTTGGCGCATTTAAAGACTTTTCCCTGGCCTCCTGTAACATGTAGATGGCTGTGCAATCGTCCGTCCCTCTTGCGATCAATTTGAACTCTTAGCTCGTGCTCAACGAATTCATGGACGAAAATCTTTGTAGCGCTTGTCACCTTTGGGCGGCATTTCTCCGCGAGGTGCTTAGCATGATGTTGTCGCAAGTTAATCTACAGTATGTAGTGATAAAATATTGGAATATCTGGTGTAAGGGTTGTAGAAGGTATTGTGCGTGCGGGGCAAACCGCTGTCGGAGAGTATGTGGACGGCTCATAACGTCATCACTCGGTTTACTTTCCGCAATCCCACGGACAAAGAGCGCACACTGTTGCTGTTTTTTGACTAAAGAACGACGAGTATTGTTTCGGAAGTCTTGGTAACCGCCTACTTGCTTCAAAGATCAAGGATCCGCATAATTTTGTGTTGTAGGGTATACATTCCAATCAGGCGCACTATGGCAGAGATTCACACGCCCATTCCAAGCTTGAAGCTTAACGATGGTCACTTTATTCCAATGGTGAGTAGAACGTTAAAATATCGAATCAATCACTCATCTGAGACCTTGAGCAGCTCGCATATGGCACTGGGACGGCATGGTATAAGAGGAGTGCAGGGGAGATAGACCGCACTCTTGTTAACGCCATCAAGAGCGCGATAGGTCTCGGTTATCACCATCTAGACGGCGCTGAAGGTATGCTCACGCCCTGTCTGTCTTGGGCATGTGGTTAATTGAGCACCGAGTGTATAATACTGAAGTGGAACTCGGTTTGGCTATTAAAGAGAGCGGCGTCAAGCGTGAAGATTTATATTGTGTGACCAAAGTCATGAAAAATGTCGACAATATTGAACTCGCTCTTGACGAATCTCTGAAGAAGTTGCAGCTTGAATACGTTGATCTGTACGTATTCGACAGGCTTGGACATATGTTTCGACCGTGCTCATTACGACAAACAGATACCTGATTCATGCCCCCTGGTTCTCCCACACTGAAAGTAGTGCTACAAGTCCGTTTGACGAGAGCAAACTTCAGTCCACGTGGGCCACCATGGAGAAGATCAAGGCTTCAGGCAAGGCTCGCTCGATTGGTGTGTCAAACTATCTGCCCAAGCACCTAGAGGCAGTGCTCAAAACTGCGAAGATCCCGCCAGCTATAAACCAGATTGAGTTCCATCCATACCTCCAACATCCCGAGCTGCTAGCCTTCCACAAGAAACACAGCATTGCGACGAGCGCATACGGTCCTCTCACGGCAGCAACGAAAGCGAAGCCCGGGCCAGCGGACGAGCTTCTTGCGGCGTTGGCAAAGAAGTATGCTGTGAGTGAGGGTGAAATCTGTTTGCGTTGGTGCCTTGACCAGGATGTTGTCGCAATCACGACCAGCGCCAAAGAGCAGCGACTTGCTGACTACTTGAGGTGCACAAAATTCAAACTCACGCCGGAAGAGCTGAGACAGCTCAACCAGCTGGGTGCAGAGAAGCATTTCCGGGGCTTCTGGGGGAGTACGTTCGATGCGAACGATCGAACATGAGAGCAGATGTAAAGGAGGGGAAAGCGAGAGTGTGGATATGGGAAAGAAATTGTGTTGAAGCCATAGGTTGGAAACAATGACCCAAGATGCCGTGCTGTGTAGAGCAGATCAAAGAGCAAACTGGCGTCAGAGAATGCTGTAGACATTGGAAAGCGATGTGGATGCTTACGAGACTCTTCCTTCGCCTTGTGCAATGTTCCGACAGATACAACCCCTGTCCATTTTCACATGTGTTCGGAAGCTCTCCGGCACGCGCAACAGTGCATTCGGCTGGCGCGTCTTTAGCTTTGCGTGCTGCTACATGTAGCTGTTGTTACCTTGCCATACTGTACCATGGTGTTGTGCGTCGCCAGAACGTCGACCTTTCTTGCGACAGTGTTGTTCTTCGGGCTGCGAAGATAGCTGCGACGCCGCTCTCGCCCTGCCGCCGCGGACGTGCTCCTTGAGTTGGGGATGTGCACGCGGCTGCTACTTGGCTTGCGAGAGTGCGTGGAGCTTCCTCGGCACCGCAGCTGAACAGCAAAAATGTCATGCTCGCGCCCAAGCAACCATCCATCAAAACGACACGCCGAGGCCAATCCGCCCAGTCGGCTTTTTGTTTCCTCTTGCTGCTAGCAGAGCCAACGTACGAAAGAGTCGGTCCAGTTCGTTTGCTCGACCGAGACCCTTGCCTTCCCCGTTCTAAATCCTCCACCCTGCCTTCGCTGCATGTGCTTCCGCCAGACTCCTCCCTTCGGATCACGTCTCCTAACTACAAGATTCTCAGCTGCCTTTTGCTGCTCGCTCTCTCACAGCCCATCTTCTCGCTCATTTTGCTTTGGCTCTTCGAACACACCTACTCCAAGCGTGTCCAAAGTATGTGCTCGGTCTCAAACCTCCACTCCAACGCTAATTTTTGTGCTTAACGTGTAGCAACAGTTTGACATTCCTTCCACGCCAGCGTCACGAACGCCGAACGACCGGATACTCGCAAGATGGTGCGCCTGCAATCTGTATCCACGGAAACTGCTAGTCAAATTCGGCCTCCGCCACCTCCCGGCAAGCCGTACTCTTTACCGGTGCCAGGTTCGAAGGTCGAAGGCAGAACAGAGATCTTTAGGCACCACAAGTTTGTGGACGGACTACTGGAAACTCTGGACCCCAGGGTAATCCCATAGCTGCTCTCTGGATTAGAAAGGCTTTAACATTGCTCTAGATAAGAACCGCGCACGATTTTTTTGAAGAAACTGGTATACTTCCTTGAATTTTTCCCTAACCGAGAAGGTATCGCTCTGCTAACGGATCGGACTAGCAAGCAAGGTACCAAACAACCGGTGTTTGGGAAAGCGTCCTTGGGATGCGAAGACAAAGAAGTTCGGAGACTATGTGTTCGAGGATTACGCCACTGTACAAAGGAGGAGGAAAGATGCTGGCGTCGGGATCGTGCTCTTACACGAAAAGTTTGGCGTTTTCGGCAAACAGTACGGCGTAGGCTTATGGTGTCAAAACCGTCCAGAATGGCAGATCATCGGTTCGTGCTCGAGACGACTCGGGTCGACCTGTGCTGACGTCTCGTAGATTTAGCGTGCATGTCCCAAAGCCTATTCACTGTCTCTATATACGACACTCTCGGCCCCAACACTGCCAAGTATATAATCAACCACGCTGAACTCAGCTGTGTCGCAACCTCACTCTCACATATTCCCACATTAATGAAACTCAAACCTCAGTGTCCAACTCTGAAATTTATCATCTGTTTAGATGACCTACCAAGCGAAGGCGAGCTGCCCAAAGAGAGCAAGGTCGACATTTTACAATCATTTGCTGAGGGTTATGGTATCAGCCTGTATACGCTCGCTCAAGTCGAGGAACTCGGCAGATTGAATCCTCGTCCGTACAATCCACCATTGGCTTCCGATATCATCACTATTAATTATACATCTGGTACCACTGGCGATCCTAAGGGTGTCGTTCTGACGCACGCCAATGCTGTCGCAGGAACTTCATGCGCTTTGGCTTTGACCGAGCAGACTGAGAACGATAGTGGATGTTCATTCCTTCCTCTCGCTCATATATATCAACGTTTGTGTGAGCACATGGGTCTCTGGGGTGGTGGAGCCATAGGTTACTTCCATGGAGATATCAAGGCAATTGTAGAAGACCTGCAGCTACTCAAACCAACTGCGTTCTCCGGTGTGCCAAGGTTGTTCAACAAGATCGGCAACAAAATCGTTGAGGCAACACTGGAATCGCCAAGGCCCATTCGAGCCGCATTATCTCGTCGAGCAGTGGCCACAAAAGAAGCACTACAACAAGGACCACCTGGTATTGCGACGAACAAACATTGGTTCTGGGACAGGTTGTGGGCAAAACGCGTTGCAGCCAACGTCGGCTTGGAAAATTGTCATACCATCATCTCCGGGTCCGCTCCGCTTGATCCTGCGCTTCAAACTTTTCTTCGCTCTTGCTTTGCGAATAATTTTGCACAAGGCTATGGCCTTACAGAAACTTATGCAACCACAACATGTCAGTTGCCTGGCGATATGACCACTGGGAATGTGGGTGGCTGTGCACCGGCTGTAGAGATCTGCCTCATGGACGTGCCCGATATGGATTACTTTACCACTGATCAGCCCCAACCCAGAGGTGAACTTCTTGTACGGGGAAAGACGCTCTTCCGAGAATACTTCAAAGACCGGCAGAGCACTTTGGATTCCATGACAGAAGATGGCTTTTTCCGAACCGGCGATATCGCTACTGTTGACGCACTCGGCCGATTCTCCATCATTGACCGCAGGAAGCAACTACTTAAGCTTGCGCAAGGTGAATACATCTCACCTGAGCGAATCGAGAACATATTCCTTGCCAACTGCGGTTGGCTACAGACAGCATTCGTCCATGGTGACTCCACTAAATCTGAGCTTGTTGCCATTTTTGGCATTGATCCTGAGGGCTTCGCACCCTGGGCAAGCAAGGTTACTGGAAAGAAGATTGAGATTCAAGATTTGGAGGCCTGTAAATCGGCTTGTAAGGACGAAAAGGTCGTTAGTCAGGCGCGGAAAGAGCTCGAAATGCTCGCGAAGAAAAACAGGCTTAATCGCTACGAATACATAAAAGGACTCCTACTTTGCGTGGAACCTTTCACAGAAGACAATGGCCTATTGACACCAACGTGAGTTGAAACTTTAATTCATGAGAGGGCTTCATTAGCTTACTTTTTTTTGAAGTATGAAACTCAAACGCTCAAAGGCAGCCAAGTTCTACAGCGCGGAGATAGAACGATTGTATGCCCAAATAGAGGCGGAAACGGCAAAGACGGCGAGGGCGAAGCTTTAGTTCTAAGGTTTCCCCTGAATTTTCAACCCCGGTAAAGTGGCTAAAATGCATCCAAAGCATCAAGTATACGTCTTTGTGCCTTGCAATCTTGTCTATTTTCTCTCAATGTAAAGTGACTGATAGGTGCAGCTCGGGTCTAAATGAGTGAATTACTGCTGTCGGGTGTGACATTATTCTTTGTTTTGTAAAACTGTACTCTTTGTTACTTGTAAGAAAATTCCTTTGAGGCACATGGCTATCATTTCGTCGTGTTATTCTTCTGTGCTAAGCGTTGCCTCGACTCGAGATGATGTATAGCTTCGACTCGATCGGATAAGCTCACGTGCGTCGCGGAATTGAACCGAAATTGATTCTTAGATCATTTTCATCTGCAGATGATTTATGGCAGGACCTATTCCAAGCGAAGTCAATGCTTGAACGAGGCAACGTCTTTCAATGAAATTCTTTACCAAACTGCCTCAGGGCCTTTCGTCGAAGGTCTTAAGATGCGAGAACAATTCCAATGCGCTCCGTTGAGAATGGCAGATCTCTATTGTCGTCAGCCCCTGCCCTTGTTCCTCCTAATTGTTTCATCTGTGAAGCAAATAAGGCTGTTTGAAAGTGCGTCTAAAATGCTTCCAAGCTTTCGAGGAGCATTTTACTCTATCTGCTGATAAATGTCTGATCTTCGTGACAGCTGGTGCTGATGGAATAAGAACCACGATGTCCGAAGGCAAAGCTAATCACGCGCCTTCCGTCATGTTAAAATAAGCGCATGAGAAGCTCATGTGCAATGACTCCGGTGACCAAAGGGCTCATACTCGTGCTTAATGTAAAGCGTAGTCCTTAACATTCCCGATTCTCTACATGATTTTGTTGGGATTTTAAAAGAAACAACGATGGCCAATGAACTTGAAGCTCCAGTAATGTAGTCAGGAGTGGATCATTTACATCCCAAGTGGGAAATAGCCGCAGTCGTTGACGTTTTCCACCACCGAGTGGTCACTTTTGCAGCATATTCAGTTTTCGCACCACATTTACAGCTCCAAATATTTACCTATTATAACAATAGCTATCTATATTTCATACCTTCAAAAGCCAGATGATCACATCCGAGACAAATATAACAAGGAATCTGCTATGCTGCTTTTACTATCAATCTCAGCCCCTCACCACCACCCAAATTCATTTAACATTTTGAGGTATTTGAGATGGCCGTATAGCATTAGACCTATTAGGTACTTGAATCGCAGTAGTAGATCTGCTCATAACACGCCTTTTCAGTTGGCTCTTGCGTTTCTGATGCTCATTCTTCTTACGCAATCTCTCATTTTCTGTAGTAATACTGCATTGTGCATTTCCATTTGACAGCATTTTACCAATTACTTTAGAGCTTGATCTTTTGGTGATGCTGGGCTCTTAAAGCGCCTTGCAATACAGCTTTTAAGTATAGTAGTAGCCTGTTGTTACAATTCAGTTGCGTTATGGGGTATTTCTGACCACCATGGCTGAGATACTGTAGGTAATTGCTCAGGAGCCGGCTGATGCCTTCAGATCTTTGATAGTATCTCATCTGGATTGAATGGCACTAGCCCAGTCGCTCAGAAGCCACTAGAGATATTATCATATGATAAATTATCTGTTCTAACTTGGCTATAACCTTTTAGGAAGTCGTTTTCATAAATGTGATTGATACCAAGTCTGATGAGTTCTATCCCAAGATACTCATATGCTTTCGTAAGTGGTCCAAAACAGCCGACATTGAGTGGCTGTAGGAAATGTGATGATCGAGGAGGCATGTAGAGTGTTATGATTGATCAATATTTGCAGTACTGATTAGATTCAGGTGTAGCATGGCTGCTATGACGATCAAGGATGAGCAGCCGGAAGGCATCGACGGTCTTTGGTGCTGTATATAGCTCAAAAACGTCATATAACCACTTCAATCCTAGCTCATTTTTGGTCCATCCGCTCTCGCTTATAGCTATGAGGTTATAATGGGATAGTTCAATGCCATTATACCATACATTCACATGTATTTTCCCTTTAAGACTAATCATATGTGGTAAGCACCAACCTGTTGCACTGACAGCCTCGATTACTGTCACCCATTCTCTATTGCCGCGCTGGACTTGTGTAGCTTGCCCTCATCTCTCTTAAGCGGTAATAACGCGTCATTTAATTATGATACCCATTGCAAAGCTGGTTTTATTAAAGTTGTAGATCTCGTTATTGAGGATACTACATTTGTTGATGGCATTGCGTACAAGCTGAAAACATAACCGATACACTGAGGATCTTCACATTTTGCTCGTTGGTAATCATAATCACGTACATAATGTGTTTTACGTACATATTGTGTTTTAGGCTTTAGATGACGAGCAATATACTGTAGCGACTTGCCCAATTGACTCTAATGCATGCATCTGGTCCAGCACGCTGTTAGAGCAGCAATAGTAATGCAGCATGCATTGTAGCAACTATCAATAGATAGCCACGACGATACATATATATTAGCTAGTTTTCTAGAGTCTCCTATTCTAAGATGTTGAGTTTGGCAATTGGCGCGTAGATCGACGCGCGAAGCGTGTCCTTGAATAGGGGCGCTGAGGATGGTTCGAGGTACATTATTGAGGCGCGCAGCATCGGCTATTTTTTTTTTTTTTTTTTTTTTTTTTTTTTTAATTTGCTTGGATTTGATCGGATGGAGTGCAAAAATGAGTCGACCTTATTTTTCGAGCTAAACCTACGATCTTGGTAGAGCCATCGTGGATCGAAGATGGTGTGTTTGATGAGGCTTTGAAAATGTTGACCACTCGGTGTACTGATCGCTCGGTGGTGGAAAACGTTATTGAATGTCTCCATCTTCCATTGCTAATTTAAACTTTTATTGAAAAGTTAGCGAGGGCTATATAGTAATAGAGGAAAAGGAGCGTAATGTAGCATATTGCAGATACAGGTTCTTATTTGATTTGTTGACGTCTCGGGTATTTGATGCATCAGGACGCCTGGAATAGCTTCGAGTCAAGGACCAGGCTTTTGCTGTGATTATACTTTGAATGGTCTGTTGGAGATTGCGCCAGAATCAATCTCAATATCTATATAGCACGTGGGAGTCCACTGATGATGATGATGTTCATTTTCACACTTTTTTGACACATCCAGCTACCAGTCGTGTTACGACCAGAACGAAATGATCATTCCCAATTGGGAAACTCTTCTACCATCTTCAAGCCTGTTCGCACATTCATCGCTGATAGCTCATTTACAAGCAACTTGGCTGCGTAAGGCATCGTCATCTTCCGGACTCCTATGGAGCTTTTGCATGTTTGGCACCACCCATGGTATCCAATGCCTCCACATGTCGCGCACACGTCACACTCGTGTTTGTCCGAACTCAGCATAAGACGCTCGCGCAAGAGTTGAGCAGCACCGTAAGCAATTAAGCAATCGCGCTCCATCTCTCCGAGGCGAAGGCCCCCATCGCGAGCGCGACCCTCAGTGGGCTGTCTTGTGAGCATGGCTATTGGTCCGGTAGCACGAGCATGCATCTTATCTTGAACCATATGTTTAAGCTTTTGATAGTATATCGGACCGAAAAATATGTATCTAGCGGTAGAGTTAGACATGACATAACAATAAAGAGCTCTACTTACGCTGGAATAACCTCTCCACTAACACCACAAGTGAGATGATCCTTCCCTTCGTAGCTATAGCCGTTCTCAACCAAGATCTCTCCCATCTCCCTACAGTCGCTCCCACCAAATGCTGTACCATATTGATGTTCACCTTTCAGAACACCAGCTTTACCAGAAACAAGTTCCATCATCTTACCAACAGTCATACGAGAGGGAAATCCATGTGGGTTCATAATGACGTCTGGGCAAACGCCATGCTGATCGAATGGCATGTCTGCTTGTTCTGCAATCAGGCCAACGACGCCCTTCTGTCCATGACGAGAACTGAATTTGTCCCCTAGTTCAGGACGTCGTGTCTGACGCGTAAGGATTTTCACGATAGTGACATCAGTATCTGTTGCCGTTAATGCAACTTTGTCAATAATGGACGGCTCGGATGTACGGTATGAAGTGAAGCTGTCTCTGTATTCGACAGGTCCATTTGTCGCCCGTAAATTGCTGAAAGCTCGAGGCGCGGTATCTTTTGGCGTCTGTTTGAGCACCATTACTTCGTTCTTGTGTACTCTCATTCCTGGGTCCACAACACCATCGCGGCCTATGATCTCGTGTTTCGGGTTTCCTGGCTGTTTCGCAGCAGCATTTACCTTCTCTTGGTTACCATTTAGGAATCTCTTCAAGGGGAGTGAGACTTTCTTGTAGACTTGACAGCGTCCAAAACCACGATCACATGAAGCCTTGTTGAGAACCAGGGCGTCCTCTATATCATAACCAGAATACGACATAACTGCGACAGTCGCATTTTGGCCAGCAGGTAATTTCTCGTAATGTACTAGTTCAATCGTGCGTGATTTAACCATTGGTTTTTGAGGATAGACCATGAGATAAAGCAAAGAGTCAATGCGTTCGAATTGGTTATACGCAATTGCTCCTATAGCTTGCTTACCCATGGCACATTGATATGTGTTTCGCGGTGATTGATTGTGATGAGGGTAAGGGATCAAACCAGCGACAGCTCCAAGCAGCGTGAACGGCTCAATCTCAAGATGTGTGGTGGAACTAGTGATGTCTTTTTCATACATGGCAATATCTGAATCGTTTTCTTCGTTAACATCCAAGTACTCAACCAAACCTTTGGCCAAGAAGTCGTCGAAAGTCATTTTCTTGTCTCGAAGAAGAGCCAGATGCCGAGCTGTAACCTTGGACTTCTTGTTTTCCACGATGATTAGCGGACGGCATATGCGTCCTTCATCTGTGGCGATGTGAACTGCGCGATGATCATGATTGATAAAAATGCTCACGAATTCTGAGATGCGACCCATTCGGCGAAATCTGCGAAAGCCAGTTAAGAGCCGTTTGGGCGTCTTCGTAAGAGCCATCGGTGTGCCATTAATGAAGACAATGTATGTACCAACTTGGTACATTTCCTCACCGCTGGCCGACGCAAGGTCTTCAGCACCAAGCATAAAGACCGTCCTCCGTATAGGGCCTTCAGGATCCTCAGTTGTAATGTGTGTCATGAGTGCCAAATTTTTCACGAGGCCACACTGTTCACCTTCAGGCGTGTCGGCAGGACAGAGCATACCGAATTGTGATGTCTGCAGAGCGCGCGGTCCACTGACTTTGCGAGTCTTCTCGAATTGACTGCTGATACGAGTGAGCATGCCGAGGGCGCTGATATAGCTTAAGCGACTAAGAACGTGCGAGACGCCAGCACGCTCCATCTTAAAACGCTTCAAGGTCCAATTACCGGTCGCAATAGCGCGTTCCATACCCGACGTGATGGACTCCCCTCCCATTCTGAGATATTCCCAAGGTTCTATGGCTTGTGTCCTGTTTGGCTTTTGTAGCACTTTGTCCATTCGTGCTTTTACGTCACTGTTAACCCGTTTGAAAATATCTTCAAAAAGCAGCGCAAGCATCTGTCCAGCAAGTTCGAGACGTTTGTTGCCTACATAGTCACGATCGTCCACAAGTCTGGGGTCGTGGACGGCCATCAGAACCCGACGGGCCATGAATGCAAAGTAGAGTGCTTTAGGACGAAAGTCCATCCCCTCTACTGGAACGTGCGTGATCATGATTGAAGTGATTGCCTCAATTGCTTCTTGGACATAATTACGTTTGGACCCACCGCCTTGTGGCTTACGCATGATCTTGACACGCTGTCCGATGAACTCGAGGGCTTGGAATTGTGTGTTGATATTCTCTTTAGCAATGTCCTCGAAGTTAGGGATGAAGATATCCTGATAAACTGCATCCTCTCCAGTAACCATAGAGAGAATTTCTTGATCAGATTGAATGCCCATGGCCTTGAAGAGAATGACAATCGGAATATCTTCAGATAAAATATTGTGCTTAGCGACGAGCCGTCCGTTCTTGTGGATGACGTACGTTTTAGACTTCCGCTCGCTTGTAGAGCTTGTGACCGAAGCCTGAACTATGCCTTTGGCAGATTCAACGAGTACTCGGTTTCTGCTTAGCTGTTCTTGAACCAATATGACCTTTTCCTGACCACGGACCACAAAATAACCTCCTGGATCAAGAGCACATTCATGCATCATAGCAAGTTGGTGTTCGTTCTTCCCGACAAGGACACAATTAGCACTTCGTAACATGATAGGGATACGACCTAACTCGAGATCGCGTTTTGTCGCCCATGGCGAGCCAATGCCTTTCCGGAATTGAACAGTGACGTATATTGGCGCCGAATAGGTCATATCCCGCAGACGACATTCGTGTGGAGTGATGCCGATGCCATCTTTGGACTCCCTGTTCTCAGAAGCTCTGTAAGATGGACTCCCTACGCGGATAGAAGCATATCTGATCCAGTATGTTTTATCAACACCAGCCATGATGATGTGGTTCGCCTTCACAATCTTGTGAAGCTCGACTTGGATGAAATAGTTGAATGAGTCGATGTGCTGCTTGATTAACCCTTTGACTTTGAGGAATGCAGGAAGTAGATTCCACTTGTCCTCCGCTGTGTTCACGGGATCAGTCAGGTGTTTGCCTTGGTAGAACGGATCCATTAATGCATCGAAACCATCATCCTTCTGCTGAGGACGTTGCTGAATAGGCAAATGGAACGGTATGGCAGCTGTTTCATAGTCTTCGTGATCATCAGTCGAGGACTGCTCAGCCTGGGCTTTTGATTTTGACTTCTTCGGAGCGACAAGACGAGGCCTCATCTGCTGCGTCCCGACAGACTGATCACACGTTAAAACAAGTCCGAAAACAGTAGCCGTATACAACCTACCTTTTCGGCAACAGCTCGTGCAGAGTTGCTGGAGAGTTCAGCTGGGCCAGTCTTTGAGTGTGCGGGCATAGCTGAAACTTTCACAGATTCGTGCTCTATTGCTTTTCTCCTTGCCGAGTTTGTGACATGAGTCTAAAATCAGCACAAAATATCATGCCTCTATTATTTCTCTTTGAACGTGTGCCAGTTGTTAGAGATTATCACGGCTCATTGTAGACGCGCAAACTTTCTTTTGCTTCGCATGATTGAAAAGGACTAGCGCAGCGTTCGATATCGATAGGACCAAACCGATGAGGCCTGGCCTTGTGAATGCCTAAGGCACCATCACCATTTCCACGCTTGAACGTATCTGTTCGGATGTTCTCCGTGTTATTCTGCACTGATAAATTAGATAATTAGGTCCCACAAGCTAACTGATCACTAGTTTGTCCTTTGGAAAGTCGTATCCACAGTTCAATTGACCGCGGCATTCTGAAGCAAAGTTTTTGGCTGATGGAAGACAAGCGCATGATTTCTTTGCGAGGTGAGGTGTACGAACGCTTCGCTCACTTCTTCACGCATTAACATGCAAACGAAGAACGATCGCCGTTTGCACTGACCTTCGCATCAAATCGAAGCGGGGAATGCGTTTCAAAATTGCCGAGTGTGGTGTTCCTGAAAAGAGATACCAACCACAGCAGCGGATCCCTGGCCGTGCATGACGCATCTGCCGATACGTGGAGCAAGACCGGCCTACAAGAAGCGGTGAAGCAGGTCTTCAACGAATTGCGGTACAGCAAAATACAGAGTACGTGGCGACTTGCTGCATCTGCAGAATCTGGAGTACTGCTGTTCGTCGGGCATTTGAAGACCAGAAATGCAAACTGAAGTTTCCACACACGTCTTTGTTGAGAGCGTTTCCAGACTACCCAAAATATGCCATCGAGGCAAATGATGTTGTTAAGTAACCTCCTATCCTCTAGAAGTGGCGAGCCTCCGTTCCTTCGCCGGGGGCAGCATCGCTATCGAATTGGTTGGTGTACTTGCATGGGTGGTGGAGTTGCAACGCATGGCCACGGTGCGAGCAGTGACAGTGCTACTTCAGAGGGCGGCAACAATGGATCCGCTGTTTCTTGGGATGCTGCAAGTTAGTGGGTTAATGCTGAGTTTGCACCATTTCTCAATTTTTTGCCCCATGTGGGTGGAGGTGGCAGCTGGAGAACCACTCATCAGTCGGCAACCTGCCCGAGACTCTGCGAAGGTAGTATATGCAGGCAATGCAGCAAAGGAGCCCACCAGCGACTGTGTACTGCGGGCAAAAGTCTTCAAGCCCCTCGCTGCAGGCTGGGACGGCGCCTAGATGCCGTCCAAGGGGCCCTTTAAAACTCCTTTAGATCGGTTGTGCCTGTCAAGCCAAGGACCCTCGTCCCGCAAACTTTCGCTGTTTCGTTCCCAGAAGCGTTGCTTTGTACAATAACATCCTTTTTGTGTTTCTTTCTCAGTGCTTGTCGCCCGCGTGTGATTTATCATATACGTTTTCCCCGGTGTGGGTAGGTTGTTTCGTGCAGCACGGAGCAGTCTCTGAGCCGACGTAAACCTGGCAAAAGTTGCGGTCGTGCTACAACCTCCTGCGAAACCTGACTCCTTTCCCACTTGAGGATTTGTCCGCGAGCATATCCGCCTCGGGCCCACGCCCTGTATTTGTACATCAGCAGTAAGTACAACAAGCTTGCTCTTCTGAAGCACGCAATACACTCCTACGCCATCCTGCGCACTTCCGCCCTGCTGGCCGACGACCGCACGCTGCTACTTGCACATTGCAGACCCCACACACCATTTGGAGTTTGCTGCCAATACCGATCTTACGCTGACCATGACACGATTCATAGTAGTTCAATATGGCGTTTTCGAATGGCATGAGATCTCCTCCCAATGAGTCGTCTTTTCCTACCACCTATACGACGCCCATCCGTCCCATCGGCTCGCAGCTGTCATCGACGCCTTCAACTGCCGAGCGAGCACAATTGCATAGGAGGTTCACGACCAATGCTCTCCCCACAATACCTACTCTGTCTTCTCTGGGCCCACTGTCCCCGATAGGTCAGCAGAGGCGACAGGCTGCTGAGCCTCCTTCGGCATCCGATCTGGCTGCTGCTGTAAGTGTTGACGTGTCCTATTTCGTAGTGAGTTTGCAACACATACTGGTGATGGGGCAAGAACAGTCGCCGAACCATTGTGATGCATGGCGTGGTCATGAGTTCAAACATGCCCAATTATCGCCATTGCCGAGAGGAAATAAGTCGTAGTGTTGTGGCTGAAACGTCTGTTCTTCTGATCAGCCGCTTCCAATAAATGTTCGGCCAGGCGTACTCAGCTTGGAAGACTGTGAATCGCCCCCTTCGCACTACTAAACGTCCGTTTTTACCCTTTGTGCGGATTCGAGACTGACTGTTTTGCTTTTAGACATTGCAGAAAATACAATTGGTAAGCGCACTATTTTGCGAAACACAAGCATTCTCGAGCTCTTTACGGCCAGATCTGGCAGCTTCACATTAATTTTCTCTCGTTCTTGCGTTCTTGGTGTTTTGCGTGACCTGTAACTCTGTAACTCAAACTACAGTTACCCGCCTATTGATTAATCCTCACTTCATGGTGTCTGACGCCTCATGTGCCTTTATCAAGTTGTACGATGCTTATTATTTGTCCATTGGTGTTACTAACTTAACGAGCTAATTTTTGCACGTAACACCTACACCCTCATCAACAGTGTCCGCATACTTTGCGCTCACGAGTTCTTGAGCCTTTGTTGTGTACTCTCTTGGCTGTTCAGATCTCTTGCTGCGAAGCTCGCTGCTTCACGATCTGCTTTTCGAACTGAATCTAACAAGCAATCGACAGTTGCAAAAACGCAAGGAGGAGTACGAAGCTCTGCGAGAACAGCGCCATCGATTTCAGAGTGCGCTTGATAATTTCGACGCTCTCAATAAGGAGGAACTGCAACGCCTTGAATTCGACATTCGCAAGCTTAGCATGGGCGGCCATCAGTCAGAGCCAGCTACCCCACCCGAGTACCGTGAGGGTATGATCACTAACGGTAGCCGTGTAAATCGTCTTTCCATTGCAAGCTTGACCTCAGCTCCAGGAATCAGTTCAATTGCTTCACCACGAACTACCCGCTCAGGCTCTCAGGGCGTTCATACTCCCTTTGCTCACTCTACTGGCAACCTCCTTCCGTCGTTCTCTGTACCACAGTCACGCCGCGGATCAGACGAAGAGGAAGATAGCTTCTCTGGCCTCGACTTTAGTAGTGCCTCCCGGCGTCCAAATGGGTAAGATCTCTTAGTTCCAGATACTAAGATTACATCACGTATCAAATCGACTTGCTCTTTGTGCTTTCGTATCTGCAACGAACAAAAATCTTTCATTTTCTCTCAACTCGTCCCCAGCATCTACATTTATTCACTACTACTTTCCACAAACTGCTAGCCTTATCTGTTGAGCCGATGCTAATTGCGACTTTAGGGTTAATAGGAACTCAATGCCTGCTATGTCTTCAAATTTCGAGTTTTCGGGGATGGAAAGCGGAGTGAATTCAGTCCTAGGGATCAACAATCTTAAGTCGTTGCTTGCCGACGATGAGGACGATAATGTTCCAGGACAGACCCTTAGCGCTTTGACGGATGGTATTAAGCACCTACATATGGAGACCAATGGCGACGGATTTCCGCTCTTACGCCGCCGTGACACGGATGTTGATCAAGCTCCAGATGATCGTCAAACAAACGGCTTGTCTGCCGTTCATCGTCACCGTGCTGGTCAGCAGTCACTTCCGTGGAACACTCTACGCCATTCTCAGCATGAAGATGTGGATGAAAATATCTTTGCTAGCCCTGGTCGCAAGCCAAACATTAACAATCGGCGCTCTATGGAGGTGTACTCCAGTGGATTTGGGACCCAGTCTAAACGATCCAGCATGCAATCCATGATCAATGGCTACCCGGGTGGCGTCCCCAAATTGCAGCAGTCCTTCTCAACGAATGATATCCCTACTGTAAAGAATGCCAACATGCATGAGCAGAACACCAGTTCGGCTGCAAATATGACGCATGCCGAGCAGCACCTCCACAATCACAATGCTAGCATGGGTCGCATTCCGATTGCTGCATCTAACCGTCAGAGTCGCGACTTCACGTCATTTGATACACGAGCCGACGAAAGTCCACACGTACCTGTGTCGTCTGCTCTCCAAGGCAATGCCCCAGCGTTCCAAAATCCGTCTGGCGCTCTGAATAGCCCTACTAACCTTGGCTCTTTAGCGAATACGATGCCTTCCACCTTCGGTCACGGCCATAACTACTACAACAATTACAATCCGCCAGCCATGACAGTTGGTATGAACGCTGTCAGTTTTGGAGGCCTCCAGGCTGGCTGGACCAACGGCGGTTATGGACAGCACTATCAGAATTATAACCATTACAGTGGTGTATATCCTAGACCTGCTTTCCAAGCACCCGACAGTCAGCGTACTGTAATGAAGAATCGCAAAGGAGAAGAGGGTATGGAATTTTGAGCTCTTTATATAGAATTATTCGCTTATTCTTTTACAGAGAATACACGTTTCACTCAACACAATCTGGAGACCCTGACAGGTCAAATTTACGACCTCTGCAAGGATCAACATGGCTGCCGGTATTTACAGCGAAAGATTGAGGAAGGAAACGATGCCCATATCGAAATGATTTTCAATGAAACAAAGGATCATATCGTCGAGCTCATGACTGGTGTGTCCGAATCAGCTGTTGCCTTACTGAGTTTGCTGACAGCTCTTAGATCCATTTGGAAATTACCTATGTCAGAAACTGCTTGAATATTGCAACGATGATCAACGCACGACTCTCATTAATAATGCAGCTCCACATATGGTCAAGATTGCTTTAAATCAACATGGTACACGTGCACTGCAAAAGATGATTGAGTTCATCTCCACGCCTGAGCAGGTTCGTCGGCCTGGTTCTGCTCCTAGCAACCCAGCCATTAATCGCTATCAGATTGAGACTATCAAGCATGCGTTGTCCGCCGACATCGTCGGTCTCATACAAGATCTGAACGGCAATCACGTCATCCAGAAGTGTCTCAATCACCTTAAGCCCGAAGACGCGGATTTCATCTTTCAAGAGGTTGCGCGCAATTGCTTGAGTGTCGGTACTCATCGACACGGCTGCTGTGTCCTTCAGAGATGCATCGACCACGCAGTAAACGGCCAGAAGGCCATGCTGATCCAATCGGTCATTGCCAACGCCTTTGCGCTTGTACAAGATCCTTTCGGCAATTACGTTGTTCAGTACATTCTCGACTTGGCAGTACCGGAGTTCACGCGGCCGCTCTGCCTAAGTTTTGAGGGCCGTATGGTCGAGCTATCCCGACAGAAATTTAGCTCGAATGTCATGGAGAAAATGATTCGCTGCTCGCCAATGGATATTCGCCACAACTTGTGCATGGAATATATGACTAGCTCGCATGACGTAGAACGTCACATTCGAGACATGTACACAAACTACGTAGTGCAGACTATTCTTGACTATGGTTCACCAGAAACGGCAGAACAGATGTGGTCTTTGATTCGACCAATCATTGACCGCGTTCGCGCTACTCCTGCTGGCCGTCGCATTCACAATAAATTACAAGCTCATGACGCAGAGAGTGAGGGAAAACAACCAATTAACATGAACAACGGATCTGGAGGATTTTACACCGCTCAGACACTTCCCTGGATGCCACACGGAGCTCAGCACCCGCATGGGAATGGTACACAACCATCATTCTTCTAACGGACAACGGCGACGCAGTTCGACTATGATAAAACTTGAACTTCTAGACGCATCTTGGCTGAATTGACGCGTTCACATTCAAATTTCTTAGGTGTCTCTCGATCTGTCATAGCTTCGCACGAATTCAGATTACGAACTTGACGGTCTGTACCGATAAAGAAAATACCCCTTGTATCCTGGCACACCCAGCATATGTATACTACTGGCATCATTCGGCGCGTGTGTTGGTCCTCACGCAGGAGTGACTTCGCATTTTCTCGACGCACAACACGAAACTACCGGCGATGGCAGACAAACCACATTAACCTGAAATGAGTATATCCTCTTTGCCTCACCTATTGTATCATCCGTTGATCGTTCCTCATGGTGACGAGTGACGACAAACAACATCGAAACCCGAATCAGTCTTCATATTTTGCTCCTAGTATAGTTATAAGAAAAAGCCTCTAGTTCTGGACGATCAGATTTGACTTCACGACATCGCAAGACATATTTCTTTGCTTACAGGCTATGTTCTGCCAACAGCGAGCCCACGGCTGGACTCGATGCCCCGACAGGAACGGCTTGCAATCTTCTTTTTTCTTTTGTCAGAATTTGGGATTTGCATGGAGACGTTCTCTTCTATGGTTTAATGCCTTTGATATTTAACTTCCACGGCTCACGACTTGGCTCAATGGCAGTCAATGGCCTCGTAGCGACAATGACTAGTGGCACGATGGAATGAGACGGCTGCTCACACAATCACGTATGTATTTAGGCAATTGCAGAATATTACTTCGCAATTTTGTGTCAGTATCGTTTCAACTATTTAACACGACCTTTCTTCCGACACCTTAAGATGGCTTTGCAGAGCTGTCGAGCTTTGTGCCTGAAAAGCGCCTACTTCAATGACAGTGCAAGAATTCAAGTTTAGTCCAACCTTCCCATTTGCTAAGTTGTTCATAACTCGCTTTGCGATATCTTTTCTCGCTCACGATCGTACTGACTATTTTCCCGTTATGTATATGATTTGCTTGGGTTGTTGCACCCTGTGAAGCAAACATACAACCCCGAGAGAAATGTGTTCGAACGGATCAGGAGCTATTATACCCATCATCGGTCTAACTTTGTGGAATGGACACCTTTCAAGTTGTCAATCGAATCTTTTTATTCATGATCTTGCAAAGCCTGGAGTAAAACTTCACCGACAGAAATGTTAGGCGAAACGACTTTCGCTTGATGTTCCTAATTTTGTGGCCTCTAATTGATCGTATTTTCCACTCAATTATTCTCTTGTCACGCGAGATGAGGCCAGAGTCTTCTCTTGCCTGGCGGACCTTGCCAAGTGGATATACTCTCGCCAGTTATATCTGGTCAATGGGGATCAATGACTGTCATCTAGCTCCTTGAAAATTTGTTGAATTTCGGCATAGAAGGTAGCGAGAACAAGTTTTGCGATCGTTGGATATGGGAATCGAAGCGGGTTTCCCCAAAGTTCCGGTCAAGCGGGCAATACCTTGAGCTGGGCACTACGACGCACAGTCAAAGCCGTGTGTGTCACCTGCCTTGGCCGCAAGTCGGCGTGGTTTTGCTGCGCCGCCTAAAATGCAGCTCGCAAGGATCGAGTGATGGCGATGCACGCGCGTAACTGTTCTAGACGGATGTTTTTTTTTTTTTTTTTTTTTTTGGTGAAAGGTGGATAACAGAACGGACTGAGAGTGTCAGAATAGCATCGCTTCATGACCCAGAAAGGAGAGGAATGTGAATGCACAAAGTTTGTTAGGATGGAACTTAAATCACGTCGAAGTTGGATGATGACCAGCAGGCTCTCATTCCACGCGACCTCAATCGTAGATTGCTCTTCTTAAATCCACAATGAGCAGTGCAGTTGAAGCATTGGGGAGAAAGGTCCGTCCCAATACACCATTAGCTGATCGACGAGACCATGCATTCCACGCAATTTCCAGGCCATGGGAAGGCTTTTAAAGTCATCATCCATTTCAGTTCCTTCTCGCTGGTGATTTGTGCGAGACCTCCATTTGCGGTTAACTCGCCAAACTCCTCCGCTGTTGCCGAGCCCTGGTTTCAGGACCCAGCACATGTACTGTGCACGCCAAGGCAGGGCACGTTATGAGCCGCAGCCGAAAGATCTCCAGCAAGGTTCGGAAAGAACATCTAATTATAAAGCGTGGTTAAGACACAACAGAAGTTGTGGCCTTGTTCGCCGTCTACACAGAGTCGATCTCGAAAACAGCGAACTTGCGTCATGTGGCTCCTTACCTAGCTCCTTGCATTGGATAACTTAACCATCTCCTCTCTGGTCCTTGTCACAGCCGACCGCTTTCAGGGTTTTGTTCTTGCTTGGCGTTGCTAAACGAACAACGAAAGGACTATCGCCAAGAGAACCTGTGTGTGTGTGTGTGTGTGTGTGTGTGTGTGTGTGTGTGTGTGTGTGTGTGTGTGTGTGTTGGGCGCGGCCGCGGGGGGCGTGGGGCGGTTTGGAGATTCTGGAGCATGTCAAAAAGGACGCGATCTCCTAGAATGATCGTACATTAGAGTGCAGGTACTAGCGAGCGAGGGCTTGCACCGCGCAGCTGAAGCTGAGATTGCGTGTGCGATTACTCGGTGCCCTCGTCGATATATAACACAGCCCTGGAATCATTTGAAGGGGTTGGCAATTGGCTAAGTTGAGATGGATTGAAGCGATGGCGCAATGGTGTAATGGCGTCTAGGCAAAGAAAGAACCGCCAGATGCGAAGCTTTTCTTCTTCCTCTTTCGACAACGAGCATGGTCGCAGGAGGTGATGGTACGAGTGGTGTCAGACAAAGCGTGTCATTGGCCCGATGAGTGCGTCATCAAGGCTTCCTGTAGGCTCAACGGAATGCTCAACGAAAATGTCGCGGAGCGCTTGATCATCTGGTTGCATGATGAGACCAAAGCGCAGAATGTGACGATGACTTTCTGGTTAATTTGCTAACTGGTCAGGCTATTCATCTGATAAATCAAGATGCGGACCGGGGAGGGGGGTCTGATGAGTCGTCATCCCACAGCATCCACGGAGTTGCAAGTGTGGTGGAAGCGCACAGATTTCCACTCTGCGGCAGGACATCGCATGAGCTGAGCTCTCACGAGCTGGTGTCGGGCGGAGATGGAGGCTCCTGGGCGTGGACTAATTGGCTAGCTTGACAAGCGAATACTGAGTCAAAGGGAAAGGAGCAACATGTGCTCTTCATGTCGGGTTCCCAAAGCGGTCAAGAGATTGCATAGACCTCACATGATCTCGTCCAAACCCATGCATCCAGAAACACGAACTTGCTTGGTAGCATGATTCTTGGAAAGGCCGGGCGACAGTGGTGCGGCGGGCGACGTGGTTGAAACCGCGCCGCCCAGTTCTGCAAGCAGCGCTGGAAGATGGAGGGCAGAAAGAGCGGACGCGAGCGCAAAGGTTCAGCTGTCGTTCGTTCTTCAGAGAGGACGGATGAGAAAAAAAATTGAATATCCCCCTCCCAAAAAAAAAAAAAAAGAAAAAGAAAAAGGACAGAGTGTCTGCGGGAACCTACATCGGCATGCCTGGCGCTGGCCGTGTTGTATGGCTGCCCGCGCAGCAAAACGCACAGCTCCGCCTCTGTTCTGACGGAAATCGACCCTTGCAGAAATCAGTGGGCTTTCCGAGGAGTCGAAATGCGGCCAAGGCAGCGCTCGCGAATCACTCGCTATCAAGTTATCAGATTCAGGTACGGCGAATCACCAGCTGATCGCCGCCAGATTCAGCAGGGCACCTTCGATTGGGCTCGCCATCGGGTGCGCGAGCGAACGAAAAGGCCGTGTGCGTGTTGCAGCACCAGCTTCAGGAGCTTCATCGACGCGCACGATCCCGCAGCATTTCGCGAGAGGGAGTGGGAGAGCAGCGGTTCTGCTCTGGTCCTTCTCCCCAGCAGCTGGCGAAAGACAGGGAGAGCGAGGACAAGGAGCGAGCGCGAAAGCAACGTGACTGGAACAGAAGCAAATCGCAAGGAGACCTGCGAAGCTGGAGCAGCGGCTGGCTCCAGACGGCCGCGCTGTGCGTCGCTCCAGCTCGCACACGCTACACGGCGCGTCCACTCGGCCACCAGCGCTCGCTCGCTCGCTCTCTCCTACTGCCCTGTCCGCGCACGTCGTGCCGCACACCGCCAACAACAACAACAACAACGACATCGCGACCATGACCATCACGATGACCACCACCACAATCGACAGAAGGAAAAGCCGCAGAGCCTCTGGCAACGACGGAGACCCACGCCCATCTGCCGACCCTTGCAAAAAGGTACCGTCCCCTCGGCTGAGACCCTGAGCCCACGGAAGCCAGAGCCTAGCCTGGAGCTTGGACGGGCTCAGGTCGAAAAATTGTTTGCCAAAGGCCGGAAGGCGGACAGCAAGCGCATAATACAGCGGCCTGCTCCATATAAGCGCATTCCACGCCGAGTACCTGTGCAGTGTCCCAACAAAAATTTCACCGCCAGCCTTTCCCCACCCCCCCCTAATTCTTTTAATCGAGTCGTCGACGAAATTCAAAGCCCGCAAGACCTGACTTCTGCCCAGGACTTGACACCAATCTACAATGTCGACCACCACCGCTCTGCCACATGGCATCAGGCCTTCCGTGAGGCGTACGGTGACCGCAGCCTCGTCGTCTGCGAGCTCAATGGTACCCTCGCCTTCTGATTCACCCGCTCAATCTGCCTCCTCCACCTCGCTCTCCTCTCTGGCTTCTCTCGATGAGCCTGCACCCTCAAAGCGTGCCGTCCTTCTCGATACGTATGGCAATGAATTCCAGATTCCCGACTACACCATCAAGGATATCCGAGATGCCATTCCAGCACATTGCTTCGAGCGATCAGGTGTTCGAGGCCTCGGCTACGTTGCAAGGGACGTTGCCTGCATCGCCGTTACGTTCTACCTCTTCTACAATTATGTAACGCCAGACACGGTACCTTCAAAGCCTGTACGGGCCATCCTTTGGGCATTTTACACCTTTCTCCAGGGCCTTTTTGGCACCGGTCTGTGGGTGTTGGCCCATGAGTGCGGTCACCAGTCTTTCTCTACTTCCAAGATGCTCAACGACACTGTTGGTTGGATTCTTCACTCCTGTTTGCTTGTTCCGTATTTCTCGTGGAAGATCTCGCACGGCAAGCACCACAAGGCAACGGGCCATATGGAGCGCGACATGGTCTTCGTACCGAAAACTCGAGATGCCTACGCCAGCAGTATAGGTAAGACCATCCACGATCTCGATGACCTGATGGAGGAGACGCCAATTCGAACTATTCTCTTCTTCATTGGTCAGCAGCTTGTTGGTTGGCCACAGTATCTGCTCACAAACGTAACCGGCCACAATGCGCACGAAAGGCAGCCCGAGGGTAAAGGTGTTGGAAAGCGGAACGGTTGGTTCGGCGGTGTCAATCACTTCCTTCCGTCGAGCCCACTGTACGAGCGCAAAGACGAACACTTGATCCTTTTGAGTGACCTCGGTCTGGCCATAGTAGGTTTGGTGCTTTTTTGCCTTGGCAATCGCTTCGGCTGGTACAATATGATTGTGTGGTACTTCGCACCATATCTCTGGGTGAATCATTGGCTCGGTGAGTTTTGAAGCCTCTCCATGACGACAATCTTTTCTAAACGAGAATGCCAGTGGCGATTACATACCTTCAACATACGGACCCTACCCTCCCACACTACACCGCCGAGACCTGGACTTACACTCGCGGTGCAGCTGCAACAATTGATCGCGAATTTGGCTTCATCGGTCGCCAGCTCTTTCACGGCATTATTGAAACCCACGTCCTCCATCACTACGTTTCAACGATTCCCTTCTACCATGCCGACGAGGCTTCCGAAGCCATCAAGCCTGTGATGGGCAGACACTACCGCAGCAACACGGAAGGAGGCGCGTGGGGCTTTCTCAAGGCGTTTTGGACTAGCGCACGCTGGTGCCACTGGGTCGAGCCATCTGCAAATGCAACCGGGGAGGGCAAGGGGGTTTTGTTCTTCAGGAACAGAAACGGCCTCGGCGTGCCACCTCAGAAGCTGGGAGCTTCGCGTCCAAAGAAGTCCGCCGTCGTCCTATCAGTAGATAGTGATGAAGAGACCTGCTAGTTGGCGTTGACGAGTCCTTTGCTGGTTTTTGTATCGTGAAGAAAAGATTCTAGACCTGGATACCCAGTGCTATCGTTATAACTAAAAATCTCAATGCAATTTTCGCGTTATATGCAAAAGAAACATGGCGTCTCATGCCATTGCTCTGCATCCCATTGTGGAGTACATCGCCGTTTGGCTTGAACGGTCGGTGCCATGGGCTCAGAGGTTGGCGGGTGCCAGGGTTGGATCTTAATTAGACCACCAAATGCAACGAGTTTGCATAATGCATAGAAGAAATAATGCTATTTATTCATTCGAAATGTTGAAAATTTATACGTATTCCCTCTAACTATGAGGAGGTACGAGTGCAGAGGAGGTGAAGAAGTCGATTGTTAAATGAGGAGTTGAGGAGCGGTTTGCATGATTCACATAATCGGCTAAGACCAAAAGGGAGTCTAGGCTTTGCGGGGTAACTTGCACTGTTTTGACCTTTTTCGCATCATCAGCACGATCGGTCAAATTCTTTGTCTCAAGCAGCCTTCGCAACTGGTAATGGTGCATGTGATTTTTAATTTTTCTGCAAGTCCATTGAACTGAAGTGCTACTCCACGCAACTGTAGAAGTCGATCCTCGGATACGTGTCCAGTCCAGTCGAGAGCCAAATCCCTGACTTTATATCGCGCTTCTTTCCTCTCTATGTTTCAGATTTATTTCCACTTTTGTTGCTGCCGAGCTCATCCTGTCCGACAGCGGTTGATCCGTGGTCGTCACCAGGTTTTTCAAGTCTTTTTGCATACTTGACGATGACCCCCTTGTGATCGAAGAGGTGAAGCGGGTCAATGACTTTTCTCCACTTTGCTCGGGGCAGCTGATCCAGCTCGATCTTCTTTTGCTCAATCTCCTCGTTGACCCGCGATAGCTCTTCAGGTGACCAATCCCAGAACTTGGTCCTTTTGTCTCTGCCCATGACTAAACCAACAATGTCGAAAGGGTCCGCAATCGTAGTGATGAACGGTCGCTTGTCCTGGTAGCCTGGACCACGTATTTCTGTTTTGCCGTCTTTTGATAAGAATGTCCGGTTCGAGCGTGGTAAGTTGCATCCAGGATGCCAAATATTCATCATCGCGGTGTTGATGAACATGATGGTCGCTTCGAAGACCCAGAAGTATGATTCGGTGTGAGTGAGAGGACCGGAGCCATATTCAAAGAATTCCGCAATACGATAGATACATCGAGCTGTAATGATGGTGCTGGAAACATAAAGAACGAAAAGTACTGTGCGGATGTTCTTCGAGCAGACTCCTTTCGTGATGGTACGTCTATGGAAGACAGCGGCAAGTAGAACAAAAAGGGCAAAGCAAGTTACTTGGAGAATCAGGCCCGCCTTCGTCAGTGCATTCCCAACTTTCCGCGTGTGCTCGTTGACCCTCGAGTCGACTATTTTTTGCACGCCGTTGATGATAAGGACCTCGCACACAGCATCAGCAGCAAGGAATGTCGTAAGAACGCGGCCAGGGTGGATCGGGGAAAGATAGGGCACATAGAACAAAACTCGAGAGAGTATCAGATAGTTGATTCCAGCATACACAGGTGGACCCGACATGATTAAGACTGATTGCGCAATCAAGAGAGGAACATTGCCATAGTTGAAAGCTCCGACCTCGCGAAGAATAAAGCCTGCAGTTAAAAGCAAGGCAGCCCAAGGCATTGGCCCAGTGGTCCGCCATGATCGAAAACGTAAAGTCTGATAAAAATGCACAACACCTGACAGCGTAAATAAAAGAGCGAAGACCTGAATATATCAGCACCTAGAAAATTGTTGGTGATCGAGCAAGACTCCTGTGCTGGAGCCAAAGAAGATACTCTGTCTTATTCGTTAGTGGTTTTTGGGAGAACTGACACTGGATTGAAGCATGAAGCACAAACCACTACTGGAGCGATTTTGTTTGGTGCGTAGTAATAAACGCTCCCTGGTTGATACGCCATCTTGACTGAAATTGGGACAAAGAAGAGCACGCGGAAGAAAAATTTGCTATTATATATGCGCATGTGCCGACCACAGGCAGCCGTGGGATAGATTTCAACTCGTATTTAAGTACCAAATGGATTCGCTAGGGCTACGAAAGAAAATACGAATGATATCGCAATAGGGCTAAACCAAGAACGCCTAGCATCTTGAATAATAAGAGGCAGTCTAGTCTGCCGATCTAGGTGACAACGAGATCTGATCACGGCCCGTGAGACTGAGCAATTTCTGCAAGGCAGATTCGAGTGCAATCGCACAGGTTTTCACAACGATTCCCCCGGTGGAACTGAGGCAGAGCGGAGAATCTAGCTTCTTCAAGCTATTCGTGTGTAACGTTGACTCGTAGCAGTTGCTGGTCATTCCCACATTTGTGCATAATCTTGGGATGAGAGGAGAGAAGCGAATACGCACTGCACATATTAGGAAAGCCGCGGGGTGTTTTATTACCCACTAATTAAACTCCCCTTTCCTGAAAGACAAATCTTCTCCCGTCTGCCAATCACGAGGACGGAATCTCTCATCACGTGCTCGAAGAGCGTCGCATCATCTTCATCTCAGCACAAAGCCCCGTCACTAGCCTCGAACGATGCCTTGGGCGGAATTGGTTTTCGCAATATGGAAAATGGATCGTTGGTGTCAAAAGTTGCAGGTCAGTGGCCATGGCATATACGACATGTACCTGCCATCGCGTACTTACGACCAGGACAGTCGAATATTTCGACCCTTCGGGTGTATTCCCTTTGATCTCACGGCAGCTCCAATCTCTCCTGCCGCTTCGTGATTTACACTGGAAGTCGCCTACTAGACCACTTCGATCAATTCATTCTCTGCACGTTGATCTTCAAGCAGCCAAAGAACCAGACCGACCAGGTTCCAAACACGGGGCACAAGGACTAGATCGTGGCTCGGCAGCAGGCGTTCCTGGGGAGCGGCGGCACCAAATTCCTGGACTGAGGCAGACACCGTATCTGAAGATTTTCTTCCTCCGTTGCGATGATAATGAGTCCTACAGGGCTACCGCTCGAAAGGATCTGAGAGACTGGCTGAAGTCTCACACTCCCGCATCTCAAAGTAGCTCATCAAGAAACTCACAGGAAAATCATGACGCCTTCGAATGGCTTATTGTCCACGTGGTACTTCCCAATACCAACGCCGCCGGTCAACCGCGGAGCAGTGGATCCTATTCCAAGTTTGAGAATGTGGCGGCTGAGAAATCTGCTAGTTCTTCTAAGCTCCTTGGTCGCGGCTCAAGCACAATTCTCGAAAAAATCAAAGCCGATTTCAATATTTCAAGTAAATCTGCACCGGACAGGGTTGTTCAGATACGATTACGTCCCGATGATCTACCAGCAGAACTAGTCCCGCCCAGAACACCATCAACTGGACCAGACTATCAAGAATCGGCCCAAGAACGTAGCAATGCGTGGCAAGAATTAGTGAGCAAGCTCAAGATACTCATTTTGTCATCGTTCACTCTGCGAGTCAGTCAATACGAGGACGACATTCGGGAACGTGAATCTCAGAAAGCTTTGCCGGGTTGGAACTTCTGTACCTTCTTTATGCTCAAGGAGGGGTTGGCTCGCGGCTTCGAAAGTGTTGGGCTCGTTGAGGATGCGCTTGTTGTCTACGATGAGCTCTCTGTAGGGCTTGAGAACACTGTGGAAGGCGACGACGAGGATCGAATGAGCACTCGCAGTGATTCATTTCTGAAATATACTAAGGAAATGAAGGACATTCTCCTGCAGAGTCTAACTAGCGATTCCACATCAGATGTAGTTTGGGATAGTGACACACCAATTGTGTCCACATCTCGAAAAGACTACAGAAATCTGATTGTGAACAGCAACGTCTCATTACTTGACTTTCAGTGCTATATTTTTGCACGCCAAATGTCAATACTGTTGAGAATGGGTACATCTCATGTTGATGAAGAGGTGAACCCAGGACAAGGTGGTGTAATGAAATCAAGCAACCTGGCACCTTTCTCGGAACTCTGCCAACGCTGCGCATTATTTATCTCGAAAGCGTCGCGCACACTGAAGACAGAATTGATACAAGCGTAAGTTTTACGTCTTTCGATATGATCAATGCTGATCAGCATGTTCAGTTCTAGGGCTCAGGGAATTGATTCACCAATGTCCCTTGTCGACAATATTATAGCCTCATTCGCATTTGCTGTTGCACAGCAAGTGTTAGAGGTCACCGATGTTTCATCTCTCACCAAAACGCATAAAGAGTTAGTCGCCGGAGGCCATCACCAGACTATGGAGCGGTTGCAACATCCTGTAAGACGAAGCTCACTGCAACCGTCTGTGCGCAGCACGACATCAAGTTATATAAACCCGATTGCTCTTCTGAAAGATGTTGAAGAAAAACTTTCGCAACAACCAGTTGGTGATGAGACCAGAATGACTGTGAATCACGACGTACGTATTCTAGCGGGAAACAGAGCGGACTTGCTATTCCTCCAAAGACAAATTACTGAAAAGATCGCAAGCAAAAATGGTTGGACTGTTGGCATTTCGAGCCTCACGAAGGACGAAAAATCCTACTCGGAGGTCGATCTCGAACATAATCCTGACCAAGAGGCGTCTCGTCTTGGTGATGCATCCAACTTTCGCGAAGCGCGTGGCATTCTTGTGAAGTCATTGCTTGAAGCATTAGCTTCTGCCAGCGCACTTTCTACATGGTATGAAGACATCACGCAATTGATCCTAGAGCAGTGTGCTCTCGCTCTCAGGTTAAAAACAAGTCAGCGCCTTGTCGTTGATTTGGCTATTCTCAGATACAATTCGAACGACTTTAGCACAGCCGCTACTTACTTGAGTCGAGTTCTCCCATCCTTTTCCAACCATTCGTGGAGTCGAATTGGTACGGAACTCGCGAAATTGCACTCTCGATGCTTGAGGAAGCTAAACAAGAAGGATGACTTTGTTCGCACGACTCTGGGGATTCTATCCAAAGATATTCACATGACATCATCGCCGAATTATTCAGTGTATAGCTTCGACCCTGTTCATACTCAAGTATCTCATGACTTACTTGAAGATGTGATAAGTGTGTCGCAAGATCTTCCATGCGAGGCCATTTTCCCACTCACCGATTTCTTTGACCACATTAACATAGGTCCCTTTATTCATCATCTATCAGACCAAGATGGCTTCGAACTTGAACTCAAAATTCGATATCTCCTACATGTCAGGCTGCCGGCCGACGTTGTCCGAATCAAGTTAAGATGTGTTGATCCACCATTTCAAGTTCTCTGGCTGGAGCCAACTTCCGTGACCACATTCGTACCAGGCATAAATCAGTTAAAATTGAGAGCTAAGGTATGCCACAATTCATCTTAGTTCTTCGTACATTTTGTTGACACTCCATTTAGGCAATTTGCACAGGCTTTTTCACGGTAGAAAAGCTTCTCATCCAGTCGAAGAAGCTCAGTTTTGAAACAGACTTGACCAGAACAGAAGTATTGGATATTCCGATGCCATATCCTACTTGCGCCAGCGAAGAAGGGCAAGACGTAGCCCGCCGTCCTCAAATCCTATGTTATTCAACAGATGAAAGTCTAAGCATCGAGATCGAAGCTTCTCGTGACATCCATATCGATAAAGCGCGTTTTTTGGATATTGTTATCTACACAGGACGAAATGAAATACAAAAAGGACATCTGCATATCAAAGCAGGCTCGGCAGGTCTCCGACTGATGGTCGCTGATGCAATGCTCGTAAGGGGTGAGGCCACAATTGTCCAAGGGAAAGGACCTGGCACTCTCGAACTTGCAAATCTCGCTGCACAGTCGACAATCACGATTCGATTGCCTTATGATCTCGAGAGCCATCTACCGAAGATCAATATCGGCTTGGAATGTACATATACAACACCTGCAGGGACATTCAAGTTCCTATCAAGTCCATCAATTGCTGTCGATTTAATGCTGGATGTTAGTGTTCATGATCTCTTTCGAGAGACTCGGCTATATTCTCGATTTCAAATCAGAGCATCGAAGAGCATACCTTTACTTGTGACGTCAGTCAAGTTACAAGACTCTGATCGTTATCATGCGGAGGCTCCTCCCTGCAACTTGATGCCTTTGCTTGTTTTCCCTAAACAGGAAGGCTCAATCTTATACATAATCGAACCTAAAACGCACGACGGCTCAGCGAGACAGTCTTATAAAAACGAAGAACCACTACAGCTGCATGTGTCATTTTTGCCGTTGAACGAATTAATCTTCGAGATTGCGGAGAAATCAATGTTGCAAGCACTTAGAAAGACCCGCCTGGGCTTCTTAACACAGTTCGTCCGAAATGCCATAATTCAGCCACTGCGGCATTTGGATGGAGAGTTGCTCGAAGAAGCTGCTTTGTTAGGAGAAATTTGCCTTCCAGAGCCTTCGCACATGGGCTGGAACGAGGTTGTTGAATGTCTAGAGCCTGGTCTTCGGCATGAACTTGGGCAATTCCTACGACAGTGGCATGAGGATAATAGATTGATCGCACTAGATACTTCCGCATCTGCCAATGCCCAACATCGCGTTCAGAACATAAGCATTAACGTGCCGCTGCCGGATCTGCATGTTCTACATACGGCGAAATTGTCCTTGCCCGGAAAATCGGTTGTTACGCACGGGTCAGTCATCCCCGTCATAGTAACCGTGACATATACTCGGAGATGGTGGAATCCGTCTTCAGTTTCGCCATCAACAGATGCGGCAGATCATTCATCTGAATTCCTTCTGGAGATCGACGCGCCTCCTGATGTATGGCTTCTTGGCGGACAGAGACGGGCGCGCTATTCAGCTAGTGAAGGACAAGAGACTCGGTTCGAACTCATGCTGGTCCCCCTAAAGACGGGCAAGTTGCTACTTCCTGAGGTGACCATCCGTCCCAGTGCTGGGGCAATGGAAGACAATAGATGCGAAACTGATTACAGGAGTCTGGGCGAGACGGTTCACGTGGTGGCCAATGCCAGTGACGTAACAATCGGACTAAATGAGACGAGCAACGGCACAGAAGTCGTGTTGATGGGAAGCAGGCGAAGACAGTTGGAGTGAGTTGCGATGCAGTGGGTAGAACAGGTGGAATTTTATTTCTTCGAGACGACAAAACCGTGAAAAATATCATCGGACTAGCCGAGCAGCAGGAGGTTGGAGTGACGTTAGTTCTAGAACTTAGTTTTTTTTTTTTCTTTTTTTTTGGCTCGCGACAGCAGAGCGTGACATCTGTGTATTCGTACAACTTGGTGCCGTACGAGTATTTCAGTCAACCAGACAGAGACGCGATTGGAAGGTGGGGCTCTGAATTTCCCGAAACGAACTAGCTTCATCTTTTGTTGATTTGGCTTGACCGCCTGTTACTTCCCCCCGAAACTCCTGATAGACCTACCTTAATCTGCACTTCATACCACGCTTTCCCCCCGATTACACGTCTCGTTTCCTCTCGAATCGAGCCTCGCGACTCACCACCCTTCGTTATACAGGCACCAAAATGCGTGAAGTCATCTCCCTCAACGGTACGTGCAGACGCGTGGCTTGGTGTCTTTTCGAGCGCGTGCGCGTTGCTAACAATTTGCTACAGTGGGACAGGCAGGTTGCCAGATCGCAAACTCATGCTGGGAGTTGTATTGTCTTGAGCATGGCATCCAGCCGGACGGGTATCTTACTGAAGAGCGGAAGAATCAGCCTGACAGCGATGAGGGCTTCTCAACCTTCTTCTCCGAGACTGGCCAAGGAAAATATGTTCCCCGCACCATCTACTGCGATCTTGAACCAAATGTCGTCGATGAGGTTCGTACTGGCACCTATCGCAGCCTGTTCCATCCCGAACAAATGATCACTGGCAAGGAGGATGCATCTAACAACTACGCCCGCGGCCATTACACTGTCGGCAAGGAGCTCATCGATCAGGTTTTGGACAAGGTCCGCCGTGTCGCGGACAGCTGCTCTGGCCTGCAGGGCTTTCTGGTGTTTCACTCCTTTGGCGGTGGTACAGGATCTGGCTTTGGCGCTCTGCTGATGGAGCGTTTGTCTGTCGACTACGGCAAGAAGTGTAAGCTCGAGTTCTGCGTCTATCCAGCTCCGCAGGTTGCCACCTCGGTCGTTGAACCATACAACTCGATTCTTACCACGCATACTACTCTTGAACACTCCGACTGCAGCTTCATGGTCGATAATGAAGCCATCTACGATATTTGCCGTCGTAATCTGGGCATTGAGCGTCCTAACTATGAAAACTTGAACCGCCTGATCGCTCAAGGCACGTCTAACCCCTAATCAGCGATGCTACCTATAACTAATACAAAATTCAGTGGTCTCGTCCATTACCGCTTCTCTGCGCTTCGACGGCTCCCTTAACGTCGATTTGAACGAATTCCAGACCAACCTCGTCCCGTATCCACGCATCCACTTCCCTCTCGTTGCTTACGCGCCCGTTGTTTCAGCCGCCAAAGCTGCCCATGAGTCAAATTCCGTTCAGGAGATCTCCATGTCCTGTTTCGAACCAAACAATCAGATGGTCAAATGCGATCCACGCAACGGGAAGTACATGGCTACGTGTTTGCTGTACCGTGGCGATGTTGTGCCAAAGGATGTCCATGCCGCTGTAGCCACACTCAAGACCAAGCGTACGATCCAATTTGTTGATTGGTGCCCTACTGGTTTCAAGATCGGCATCTGCTTTCAGCCGCCTCAGATGGTGCCTAACGGTGACCTTGCAAAGGTCAACCGTGCCGTGTAAGTTAATAGTTTGCATTCGATCGAGACGCGTCAGAAGCTAATTTTAGATGCAGCTGCATGTTGTCAAACACCACGGCTATCGCAGAAGCTTGGTCTGCCCTTTCGCACAAATTCGACCTCATGTACTCTAAGCGCGCTTTCGTCCACTGGTATGTTGGTGAGGGTATGGAGGAAGGAGAGTTCAGCGAAGCCCGAGAGGACTTGGCCGCGCTCGAGCGCGATTACGAGGAGGTCGCCGCGGACTCTTTGGAGGGCGAAGAAGATGCCGCTGCCGAGTATTGAGATTGTTGGTCACGAATGGTGGCCATCGCCGTCTTGATCCGTGCAGTGTAGGAGACGAGTTCCCTGTTCCCGGCTGAATCTAAAGAGACAGTCCGCTTTCGGTGGTGTAACTTCAGGTGATTAGTAAGAAGACTGAACAGAATATGTCCTAATTCGGGTGTGATGTCTCATGCATGGTTTCTTCACTCTCGTATCTCGCATTGTGTACTTCATAAACGTGCCTTTTCGATTCTAGCCAAAGGAGTTCAACTCTCAACAGTTGCGCTGATGCTGCTGTAATGCACACGTCTTCTCTTCCACGCCTTCATAATCGCGAAAGAGGTGAATTGCGTTGAAGACGTGGCTTGAGTTGCTTTAATGCATTCTAGCCATCCTCACTGTTTTTTCAAGGCCAATTCCGAAACCCTGGACGCTGTCTATGCCGTGCAGCTGAGCATGGGCAACTGTAATTTTATGATTGGATGGGAACTTTGGAATCTACCAGGTATGAGAACGGAGAGGACCATGCTGATAGCACGCCACAGTGGCGGTGCGCAGCCAGGAGCCCTCTGGTGGCATGTCTGGTCAAAGGTCAGCTGTCGCCTTCTCAAGGTCTTGGTGTCGCTAAGGTCAAGCCCCACCGAACGAGTATTAACTCGCCATGCACCGCCTGTCTGCTTGATCAGCTTTGCTCTTCCCTTGCCCGCATCATTCGCTCCTTCACGACTTGCTTCCTGGATCGATCGTGCTCTGCTTCAGACCCAGTCTTGGTCTCTATCTCTGGCAGACCCTAGCCGAGTTGGAACGGCTCTGATTTCAACGAGAAGAATTGATGGCCGGACCTGCAAGCCCTGACGCTGGACCGGACGATACACAAGTCCCGCTTTTGCCTACAGGCTGGATTGCCCAGTGGGATTCTAGGTAAGAGAGACACTTCCACACCGTTCGTGTCATGCCCAACCCTTCTACCCGCAGCTACCTGCCTTTTCCCTTTATTTACCCGTGACTACAGAGCTATTCGATCTGCTTCTAACGGCTCTACAGCTTGCGCAAGTATTATTACGTCCAAATATCCACAGGACAGTCGACGTGGGAGAAGCCCACCGAACCTGCCCCGGGCGCACCTACCGGTTCAGCGACATCAACTCCAGCACAAGGCAATCCCACGCATCCCCCTCCAATAGATCACGTAATGGACAGCGACGGCGAACACAAACGGGATGGTCACAGAGGCATGGAGAGCGACCAGCACGGAGAGAGCACTGACAGGGCTGGAGGTCTGAGTGTACGGCATTTCACAAACTCCTCACGTGCTAATCGCTGACCTTGTGCTTGGACGTAGGGCTTCGCAATGAACGCACTTCTAGGTGGTGGTAAGCAAAATTCGGGCCACAGTGGTGGTTCCAATAATCTGGTAGGTCAACTAGCTGGTAGCTTTTTAGGAGGAGGAAAGCAGTCTCATGGTGGATCCAACGCTCACGGAGGTGGAGCAAGTGGACTTGTCGGTCAGCTGGCGTCTGGGCTATTTAACTCAGGAAGTTCGCATGGTGTATCGCAAGGCCCCTCTGGACAGCAACACGGCTCATCCAGCAGCGGTCATACTTCTGGGAGTCTTGGAGGAAGCCTCGGTGGCATCATCGGTAGCTTGGTTAGTGGCTCCCATGGACAGACACATAATAACCAGAACTTCGGCTATGGTTCGACGGGCCAGACAGGCACCTACCATGGCACTGCTCCAAGTGTGCAATACCAACCACCAAGCCAGCTTTCGCACACTGGCGCCTATTCATCTCCTCCACCCTCGCAGCCGTACGGCGCGACACCCCATGCGCAGAGCTCGTACAATCCACCGCCGCCGCAGAGTCAATACAGTGGTCAAACTCATACTCCCTCGCCATATCCTGGACCGCAGAATCATAACGAACAGGCACATGGCCAAGGTTCGCCCGATGAGCCCTCGCACGGCTATAGCGGTCAGCAGTACGGTCATGGACCTAACTCAAGTCAGCCGCAGTATGGTGTGACCCAGCACTACGGTGGTTCCCCACAAAATCAGCATCCGTCGTACCCGCTCAATCAACAGTATCCTCGCCCACAACAAGGGGGCTATAGTCAGCAAGGCGGCTCAGGCCATTATCCACCACCACCAGGGCAAAACTACGCCCAGGCACCGCATGAACAGCATAGTGGTAGCTTGTATGGCCACCCATCCTATGGCCATGGTGGCCCGCAGAATCAGCTCTACGGTGGTCAAGGTCAATACAGTAGTAACCATGGTACCCCTCCTCAACCGGGTTGGTAACCCCCTCGAAATTTGCGCATAGCAGATGTATAGGTGGGGAGGAGTTCAGGCATATCTTTGAGATATATGAGGATTTTTAACGAGAACTAGCTGCACACTACTGAAGGTGTACAGTGACACCTAGCTCTACAGTAAATAGCCGGAAAACACTTCAGGCTCACATCGAACATTTTTAGTCTGAAGTTTGGACTTTTGCACGACTAATTGTGACGACGCCCAGAATTGAAAGCAGGACTCAAGAGAATAGGGTAACGAGACATCTCGTTGGGGATCATGCTTATAGTTCGGCGATGAGTATAAGCAAGTGGTATCGAATGCTTCATCAACGTAACACTTATTTCTTGTTTTCTATATTTCTTTCCTATGGCTTCTGTATCTTTTTTTACCACCGCGAAACCAGGCACAAACTTCTTCAATATGCGTAGCTCAATAGAACGAGACAGTCCAGTTCATATCCTCACAATTTATCGCTGCAAAGGTAGGGAAAGGAGCAAAACGCATCTGAGGATATGATCGACACAGGACAGTTATGTACCACAGGATAGCTTACGCATACACTGTGTACAAAATACTTAAAAAAATGTAAAGTACCGGACCAAACCGGCCCATGAGGAATGAGTCTCAGACTATGCTTTTTGGACATTTCCACCTTAGATGCCGGAGGAAGATGACGGGAGTCACATAAATAATGTATGAGGGGATAACAAACAAGGAAAGAAAAGCATTCGATTGTGCAATGGAGCCGATGTTGAAGTCATGATACCAATTGTGGCAAACACAAACATTAGAAGCATGATGCTAATGAGCTCTGCCGTGGCGGCTTTGTCTTCGAGAGCATTGAAGACAATCTCAATGATTGAATAGCCGGTGCTTGTGGCCATTCAGCGTCCGTATTGCCCATCGAAATGAGGATGGCGATCAACATGCCAAAGCCTATTGCGCCATTGAGGAGAACAGTTGCTCCCATGGATACGGGAATCGTAATCGCAACATCTTCGACGTCCTTAGCATACTTGCGGATCTGACTCACTCATCAATCTAGGATTTCATGAGTGAGTTATGAGTTTTATATAACCAAGGGCACCCTAGCCTTAATATTAACTAAATGGACTTTATAAATGTCATTTAATGTTACGGAAGCGGTTGGTGGACGAGGCACAGCTTATACATAAACCAATATGGTTGCCACGGGTCATCCCCCTATGACGCGTGATGTGCACCGTCCTGATGCCCTGCCAAATCCGAACAGTAGCAATCTATCGCAGTCCACATTCCCCGACATTGGCTAACATTAGCCGGTCCTACCCCTAACGTTTCATAGGCAATAGAGCCATTAACATCCCCCAGAGATATGGCAGAGAGCTCATCTAACTCCAGACGTTGTCCGCACTTAGCATATGGTACAATCAACACTTCTCTCAGTCTTAAGACATATAAAGTGAGCTTCGCAACATTGGTGGGAGCATATGTGCTTTAAATTTGAAGCCGACCTTTCATACCACAAGAAGGACAGGCGAACGAAATAATGCTTACTGACCAAGACTGCCCTTCGCTACTCCATCCAACTCGATTATCCCTGCTTGTAAAAGCTGCGCTAACGCTGGATTGAGGTCCAAACATGACGAGGAATACGAGGATAGCGAACCCGCATAAGCGAAGTTGCAACACGACTCCTCTATGAATGAACGACTGCATGCCTGTGATGTGTTGAACAGCGCAGGGGGTATGGTGACAAGTATGAATACCATGGTACCGTGCCATCTTTTGAGGATCAGCAAACTGCACAATGGTTAGAATTCATACGAGTTTTATACTCTGGGAATTCGTATTTCTCATATCTCATTGTAGAAGGCTTTGAAGTCTGTGATTTCCTGCTTTCATTTTGTGCAAGCTGAAAGGGCAACTCGCCACGGTTGAAGCAAGAAATATACAGGATGCGGTAGCCGCCAGCCAAGTCAATATGCTTATATAGCCGGCAAGAAACTTCATCACATTCTTGATTTTTCGTGAAACCAACAATGGTATGAAGCGGTACTGTCCTCCAGCAGTTGGGTACATCGAAGCAAACTGGGCAAAGCTGTGTGCGGTGGCGAGTGTTCCCGGGAAGACGAGAATCTCGCCATATATCAGGGTAATATTCTCGCAGTTGAGAAGACAAGCAGAACGACTGAGCGCCTCGGCTTCCCAGTTGGCCCATCATAGTTGCTTTAAAACCTAAAGCTGGTCAGTTGCACTGCAAGTATAGGAGTTGCCATATTGACGGAGCGATCATCAACGGGTACTCAAAAATCCGATCAAATATTTGCCGTCGCCCCGCAGCTGGCATTTTCACTTCATCATGTTTAGAACTAGATAACCCATAGACTTCATCTCGAAGAATGTCAGAAAAATAGAAATCTGTCCGTTCGAGGCTGCTGATCACCAGGGTTATTGATCCTGTTAAAATTGGCAAGGGCTTTTAAAAGAATCCGTACTCTCCATCCACCAAAGCATCAGCATGATCCGTAGGCGACATATTGTTCTAGCACAATCAGTTCCTAGTTATGTACCAAGAAGTTTTCAGTAATGAGGAATGATTCCGTTGCAGTGATAATAGAGTACAGATGGCCAGCTCCGGATTATGCTGCAAATTCTGGCCCGATATCGTAAGAGCTTGAAATAGGACCTTGAACATGCACGGCTTAAATGTTTACATCCCAAGTGATTCGAAGTAGGAGTTGTCAAAAAAAATAGAAATAGAAACATTTCACGGGAAGACGTCTCAGGATGAGACAAAAGGTCGAGAGGCGAGCTTCATCCCACATTATTTCGGACCACCAAGCGAAGGCAATCGGCTACTTCCGACTAAGAAATGCGAGCGGCTATTCTAATAGTCAACTGGTTGAGAATTTCCCTTTGAGTCTTATGAGTCCCAAAAACGCAAGATACGACTGCAGTTGGAAGATTTCGACGGTCCAACGATACGCTCATCCGACTTCGAACTTGCAGATCTTTATTTTTACCGTACGCTCGTGCGCGCTTCGGAGTACTGCAAATGCCACAGGCTGGACGCCACTTGGAAAGCAACAAAGAACTCGCTCGATATTCTTGAACTGGAAACCAAAATATGGGCATGCGTGTGGCTCTCAGCCAATGCTTATTTTTGCCCCCAGAATACCTAAATATCTCGACCTCTAGCACAGCTCATCAAGTTGTTAAGCCTAGAAGAGTGAAAAGGCGTATCAAGTGCCTTGAATTAATGGATTCAAGCCGGGTCCAAAAAGGACGTTGCACGAAATATCATGGGACCCCAAACAAAGTTGTATTTCCCCCGTTGCATTCGAAAGAAAAAGAATAACGTCCTTCCCCTTTTTGTTCTATTTAGCCAAGTACTGCAAAATACCTCAGTGCTCCTGATTTGGCCAAGTGCTGAGTCCGGACAAAGAGCAACAGTGTTCTCTCGATTGACACTTCGCGGCGATTCAAGCATGCAGATATGGTCTATCAACTGGCGCAATATCTCAAATCATACTCATGGTGAAGAATTGCAAATCAACCGATGTTTTCCAGTTTCTCAGTGCACCGGAGGACCCGACTGTGAACCTCCGACTACACCCACAATGAACAGGCAATTGCTTTTCAGTAGCGTCGTTGAGGTTCGAACCTTGATTACGGAATTATTAAAACATTTAGGACACATAAGCTCGGTTTTATCTCACATCGGCAGCGACTCGCTTTGTTTGTTACAAGTCGATCGTTGACAGCCCATCACGACACTTGACGTCCTTGTTGTCTAGGTCGTCAATTTAAGCGCATACTATGAAAAGCTCAAGATACATGATCGCAACTTGGCCTAGAGTTGCGTCTATACTGTTTACGCGACGATGTCAGGATACGAGAATGGTCCTCGCCACCATCGAGATGTATCTGAAAATCACAGAGCAAAGGTCCGCTCTGCCGCATGAATCATGCTGTGTGTCCTCAACCATTTCTATATACCCTTTTCTTAGCGGCGCCGCTCTTTTCCAACCGATAGGATAGATTCCAAACTGTCTTGAGTGTCCTTGCAAGGACTAGAATCAGACTCTCAACGGCAAAACAATGGAGTCGGGGTGTCACTCTGATCGTGTTCGCAAAAGTCTTCGCATTAGGTTACCCAGCTTCAATGGCTGCGTCGTACGACTATGGCATGGGACAAAGAATGTCCCGTGGCAGATCAGCACATTGGCAAAGTCCTGAACAGATAGGCTTGCTCAGTTCTATTCTCACGAACTGAATAATAATCGATTTTTAAAAAATCATTCTATGCGAGTAACGTACTTTACATCATAATCGTATTGCTAGCGAAACTCAGCATCATCATCCTCATTTCGCCACTTCATCCCTCGTATAACTACTGCCGAAACCTACTATCGATTCTCAAAGTCATAGCCCTATGGAGCACACGTTCATTGCTGGCTACATTATCTGCATACGGGTTACCCTCGTCATAGAAATATAGGTCGAAGCAATGCATATACTTGAGCGCTTTCATCCGGACGGTGGTTATCATAGACTTCTTTACCGATGTGCATCTGGTAGCGCTGCCAGTATAACTGTTCGCTCAATCACAACACTAGACTTCGAGCCGCTGGACAAACACGATAGCGTTTTTTTTTTTTTTGAGGTTTTATAGTCCGTCTCATCACCTAGCCGAAGGCTTTCGAACTTGGTGCTCGAATTAACTCGTCTTGGCACGACGTGTCATATTTGGTGTAGAAGACCGAGTCAGCGTGCTAGTCGGGTATCAACGCTTCCATTCCTTGTGTTCGACCTTTCCTCAGGAGCTTGGAGTCAGTTCTCTACAACGCGAGCTTAAAAGTCCATCCTCGGATTGCCTATATCTCAAGCAAGGTGGGCAGAAATCTCATGGAGATGACCTTAAGTGTCTGGTGCCTATGATAGGGCTCGGAATGCCAGCATGGCGGTAAAGAATCAACGCATGTCACCTCGAGGCAACCTCTCAGGTCCCCCGAGCCCGTGTACGGCCGTATTGACTATCTAGACCTTGAATGACAGCAGTTCATCAACTCTGAAGCCAAGTTTCTACAAATTTTACATCCACAGCAATCGCGGCACTGATCCAAGATACAGGGCTTACGCAATTTATCCACATTCCGCAAACTGAGCCTTCCCCGGGCAGAATCATTGAGAAGAAAGTACTGTGCAGCTTCATATTGTAGATTTCCGAGACAAAAGAGATAAATATCAAATTTGAGGAAGGTTTGATCCTGCAAAAGCTGAGTACGAAGATGAGCGATCAGTAAAGAGTACTCTAGTAGGATATCTAGGTACGACACGTATGTGTAAATAGAACGCGCCGTCATCAGGTGGATTGCCCAAGTCCGCGCAAAACACCACATTACAACAGGGATTGCCATCCATGCTCTATCTAGGCGGAGTTTTTCTTCTTTGACCAGGGCGCTGTCGACGCTTTTATCGTGCTGGAATTTTTCAACTAAGATGAATGGTTCAACCTTTACAAGCGAGTGTAAGCGAGTAGACGTGCACGTGGAGAGCTAGCGCTTCCTCCAACTTCACCGATTACTAACATCGACAACCGCTCGCGTCGTCCCGCAATGTCGTCTTGCGCATTAAACGCAATGAAGCGCCCCGGCATATTTGCTAGTGTGGCTTATGGTTGCGCTGGATTAACATATTGTAATGATCTTCGTGAAGTCTTTGCACCTCGATACCTGCCCCTGCTTTTCTAGACTCTACAGGAAGCCGTGCTAGAGATCTTGGTTGAGCGACAACAGCATTGAGTTGAAATTCAATCACGCAGTCGTGAGAGTCCGACAATTCCTGTAAGTATCAACCGGTGGGGCAGCGGATGCATGCGCTTTGCAAAAGCCTTTCGCACGTGCATTTTCGAGTTAGGTGCTTAAGAGATGGTGCAAATGCTTTGGAAAAAAAAACCTATGCCACACACAAATCTGAATACTGATTTAGGCCCGTCCTAGACGTTGGGGTCTGTGGAGATTTCGGGGCTAATGCGCGGTATTGCAGGCGCATTGTACGAGTGCCTTGACCCTTTCGAGCCGGTCCTAGCATGCAGAACTCCAGCAAGCGTGCCTTGGTTCGTAGGTGGACGTGATGAGATGGCATCGATTGAGGTAGTCTTTTTCCTGTAATCTGTTACGTTTGGTCCAATCTCGAAATCGTTGACATCTTCTTGTTTTCGCTTGTGCGTAGAGAAGAACCACAGCAGGCCGGCTAGGATGATCAGAGCTGCAACGGCAAGGCCAACGCCGATTCCGATGGACGCGCCCTTAGACAGACGGGAGGAGCCCGGTGGTGAGGTTGACGTGGGCGAGGCACCCGGACTGGCAGTGGACATGCTTGTGCTTGTGCCGTCTGTGGAGCTCACGTGTACTGTTTGGCTGTCGTTTCCTGACAGAGTGTGAGCGAGTGAGGCCGATTCTGAAGTCAAGGTTCTTGTAAAAGTTGTTATCAAGCTGCCGAAGGAAACGGGTTCAACGGTTGAGCTAGAAGATGGCGTGAGACTGGAGACGGAAGACATGGCAGAGCAAACATGAGCCAGGCGCTGAAAGCACGACGAAGGAACTGGACGACAAGAAAAGGAAGGGGCACAAGGACGCTCGCACGAAGCTGAACGTGTGACGAAGAGTTCAAGACCAGAATGGATGGGTGTGGAGGCACGCCCTACAAAGGTCGGAAGCTCACGAAAAATGCACACAAGGTTGCAAGTTATCCCGCCACTCTAATTTATCAGGCGTGACGTAGGGAACGTGCATTCAGGCAAGACGCATCTCGTTCGGGGCTGGCCAGCGGCTAACGCAGCGGGAAAAAAAAGGCCTGTGATAATGCGGCACAGGAATCATGCAACACCTCGCACGGTTCGGATGGAAAACGTGTTACGTGACGATGCACAGTGAGAATAGTAACTTGCTGACTGTCCACCGACGAGGAGATAAGGAAAGGGAATGAAGAGGCTGCATCGAGCTGGGCCGAGAGCTCGGAGTGCAGCAGGGGACAATGCGGAATAGCGGTAATAAAGAATACTTGTAGCAACTAACCGTCATGCCGCGGAAGCGATGGCGACGACGGCGAGTGTTCTGGATTGAGGATCGTGGCGATGGCGGTGCTGGCGTAAGACACTCTGTTCCGTCACTCTCCAGCGACGGAGGCTGTCGACCACGTTCTTTCGCCACCGCCATCGGCCGCTGGAAAACCTGGTTTCTTTTGCATCGCGGCCATGATGGTCGCCTGCGTGCCCATGACTCGTGTCCTTCACCTCGAGACCACCCCGGCCCGACACGTGCGAAAATCAAAAGGAAGAAGATACTCCGAACAAGTACTCCGTATGTAGGTTGTGTTTGACGAACTGAACTCGCTGTAACCTGTCGTGCTGTACACCATTTTCTGGCATCGTCCACAGAGTACTTCTTCTTGTTCACCCCAACCCTTTATTCCGGCACGCCACGCATGTCCCCGCCAGTCTTGTCCCGGCATTACACACGCCTGGCGGACACGATAGGGGCCTCGTTTGGGTTGACCTCTTGTGACGGCGCATGGTACGAGCGGGCCGTTCCAGATCACGACGGCTAGAAGTTCAGGGCATCAGGAGGAGAGCACTGGGCGGCCATGGTCACGGCGAAAAGATGCGCCATCACACTGGCTGCACACAGTGCTGGGCACAAGAAACAGTCAGATCGGTCTTTGAAAGGGCCAACTGCCACCAGTATGGGCCACGCGTGAAGAGGCCTATGTTTGGAGTCTTGATTCAGTTCCATGGCCACTTAATTGCATAGCTCAATAACTTCGCCTGTGACTTTTCAACGAACAGAACGCCACAGCTGACTTTTAGCTTTCGCAATCAAAGACCTTAATCGAGCCGTCCTCTTGTCTCACCATCTATTGTCCGCCTTCAACACCAATAGGTCTTGTGCCCTTGCCGCTCACACTCCGCGCACTAGGTTGCGTCAACGTCCCTCACAGGCGTCTAAGTGTGCTTGCTGTGTCTAACTCGGACTTGGTTAGCAGCGGAGATTTCGCTATCCTTTGCAGTCCTTTTTCAAGTGTCTTTGATTCGCAAACAACAGGGCTTCCTGAGCATGTCGTCCTTCCTGGTTTCGCGCCCACTTGGCATTGGCATACCCAAGAGTCTGCTTTGTTGCCCCTACGTGACCAGATCGCTTGAGTAAGCCTCTTTCTTTCTGGGGCAGCGACACACGATTGCGCACAGTAAAAAATATCAAAGCAGTTTTTGTAAGGGGACGAGCATGACTTGCCATGAAAAGGCGATTGTCAGGCTAGAGAGGATCGGCTGCCACGCTGCTCCACGGCCAGGACAGTGCATGTGCTGGATTAACTGCGCCCTCGTTCGGAATTTGCGGTCTGATCCTGCGCTCTTGCTGGTGCTACTTTAACTCGATCAGCACGACTTCTACACCCTTTACGCACAACTCGTGGCGACGGGATAACTCTCTTGGTGTATCGATACGGGCTGGCCTTCCTGTGAAAGACGCAGATTCTCGTCGCTCTGCAGCAGTCTGAGGACGTTGACACCGTTCCAAGCCTTGCGCGTCCAGGTTGGGTTTGCGTCCAGCCTGTCCCGCTGATGGACGCCCTAAGGAAATGCTGCTCGGGCGTCTGATAGATCAGGCGGCAGTACAGTGTCGGTCCATGCTCTCAGCCGACAATCCATGGAGGTGCTTCTTCAGAGACCAGAGTCTGCACAATGACGTTGCATTGTCAGGTGGATCGCAGACAGCCTCCAGACTGGCAAGCGAAAACAAAGGGGCCCCCACGGGTGCAGCATCACTGTCCAGAAGCAAAGCTACGTGGACCGCCTTGGTGAGATGTACAGGATGATCAAGTGTCAGCAGCAAACGCCGTTCTGCTGGAGGGCAGCCGTCGTCGCGTGCCTGGAGCACACAACGTCGCCATGACTGCCAGATTTGTTGTCGACCTAAAACGGTTCGCGGCGGCTTGGGCTTTCTGGGGGGGGGTTGAGGGGATCGTAATTTTGCACGACACAGTGTCCTTCGCAACCAGAAGGCATGCTGACACCGCGAACAAAACAGTTCATCCACTTTAGCCTTTCTTTCTCGAGCGTGAGGGAATTCAAACACAGTCTTATGCAGCCATTTGCGTCCAAGCGACGCGCTGAGAACGAACCGTCCGCTCGTGTTCCCGGTTCAGTTTAGCTTCCAATGTGATCACTTCCATGCCAACTGATGATAACTCCACCTGCCCCATCCCATCACGAGCAGCATCTTCATGTCCGGCCCGTCTTCCAGGCCAGCTTCGATCCCGCTGCACCACATTTCCACCAACCGCCGCTACGATTCCGGCTCGGACGAGGCGTCGCTGCTGGGCTCGGAGACAGAGAAGCGTCGAGCGTCATCCGACTCCGACTTCTCTCTCTTTAGCGACACGGGCGATCTTGCGGACCAGCTAGACGAGGAGGATCCGTTGCATATACAACTCCGGTCATCTTTACAACAGGAGCTGCCTTCGGGGCAGCGGCGGAAAGGCGGCGGAGGCACCAAATATCGCAAGAGCGTTCGCTACCATTCGGACGACGATCGCTACAACGAGAAGGAGAGAAAGCAGGGCCTACGAAAAGCAGACATTGTCGTCCCAAACCCGCCGCCACGACCTCTTAGTTTTGGCCATAGACTTCTTGCTGCCATTATGGCTCCAGGTGATGGGCCTTCCCGCATCCATGGCTTACATGGCAAGAAACTCATGTACGCACAACTGTGCCGACAGGCACCTGTCTATGAAGGCTGATCAATTTACAGATACTTCACCACAATATTCGTGTCGCTCGGCGTTTTTCTGTTTGGATATGACCAAGGCGTTATGTCGGGCATCATTACAGGCGGGCATTTTAAGGATTATTTCAACCAGCCGTCGAGAGCTGAGATAGGAACGATGGTTGCTATTTTAGAAATCGGCGCTTTTATCTCGTCACTATCCGTCGGCCGCCTGGGCGATATGCTTGGTAGACGAAAGACGATCCTTTACGGCTCCCTTGTCTTCATACTTGGCGGCGCCTTCCAGACCTTTGCCAATGGCATGCCGATGATGATGCTGGGTCGTATCATCGCCGGCTTTGGAGTAGGCGCCCTGTCGACCATTGTACCTGTATATCAATCCGAGATTTCGCCTCCGCACAATCGTGGCAAGCTGGCATGTATCGAGTTCACGGGCAACATCTGCGGCTACACGGCTTCAGTATGGGTAGACTACGTGTGCAGTTACATCAAAGGCGACTGGGCATGGCGCCTGCCTTTGCTTATGCAAGTAATCATGGGCAGCTTGCTGGCTCTAGGTAGTCTTTTGATTCTCGAGTCGCCTAGATGGCTGCTAGATCATGATCATGACGAGGAAGGCATCGTGGTGATCGCCAACCTCTATGGCAAAGGCGACATTCACAACGCAAAGGCCCGGGACGAATATCGCGAAATCAAGATGAACGTGCTCCTCCAAAGGCAGGAGGGCGAACGATCGTATTCAGACATGTTCAAGCGATACTACAAAAGAGTTTTCATCGCAATGTCCGCGCAGGCGCTCGCTCAGCTAAACGGTATTAATGTAATCTCTTACTACGCTCCTCTAGTGTTCGAACAAGCGGGCTGGGTTGGACGCGATGCCATCTTGATGACCGGCATCAACGGCATTACCTACCTGATGTCAACCATACCACCTTGGTACATAGTGGACACATGGGGTCGTCGTATGATTCTCCTGACCGGCGCCTTCGCCATGATCATATCCCTGTCGGCGATTTCGTACTTCATCTTCATCGACATTTCGCTCACTCCAACCTTGGTCGTCATCTTTGTGATGATATACAATGCTGCTTTTGGTTACTCGTGGGGCCCTATTCCTTGGTTATACCCTCCAGAAATTTTGCCTCTGAGCATTCGTGCTAAAGGAGCCAGTTTGAGCACCGCCACAAATTGGGCATTCAACTGGCTTGTCGGCGAAATGACGCCAATTCTTCAAGAGTGGATTCAATGGCGCCTGTATCTCCTGCATGCGTTTTTCTGCGCCGTGTCGTTTGTTGTTGGTATGCTTTTCTTCGTCCTTTCTGCTTGTGCAAGACTGACGCAAAACAGTATGGTTCATCTACCCAGAAACTGCAAACATCCGTCTCGAAGACATGAATTCTATATTTGGCGACGCAACCACCGTCGCCCCAACTCCAGAGACGCTTGCAGAGGCAGAATCGTTGTTCGGCAGTCAGCGTTCGCCCGTGCCTTCTCTCGACCTGCGAAGGTCTGGAGCGGGTAATCTGTCTGCCGACAATGCGATCCCAGGTCTCGATATCGACCTGCCAAGCGATGACAATGCCAAGAGTACCTTGGAAAGGGAGCAGGGTGAAGGCCTAGGCGGTTGGATTTCGAACATCGTAAGCAGGGCCAGGGGAGGTGTTGATGGAAGTGAAGGAGGGAGCGGACGGTACAAGAGAGTGGACCAGGAAGACGATGGTGCATGATGCGTGTTTGTTCGAGTACTAATTCTGAGATCCCAACGTTGCACAGCGATACCGCCATTTGGTTGGCATCTAGAGGTTTTCTTGTGCGCCCAGCAAGCGCTGAGTAAGAATGCGGCGTTTATTTTTCCTTCCATTTATGCAACGTCTGGTAGATGGCTGCCTAGCAATCCTGAAATTATCATTTCATATGAGGATATTGAAGGATACTTTTACCATTAAAAAGATTCTATATCTGGGCCTACTGTTTCGTTTCTAAAGTTCCTGAATGGCATTCGTTTCGACCTGTGTCGTTCTTTTCACCATCAGACCATCACCCGCGTAGTCTCCGGTCTTGGGATCGGGATAGTTGCCAAACCGCAGCTCTTCAAGCTTCAGCCTCAGCCATCTTGCCTTTGGATTTCCCTTGGCAATCTCTCGGGCCACCCATGCATCCAGTTCAACGTCAACCCACCTGCGAAGGCCCCATTGCCTGGCTGCTGTCATCAGCTCGAAGACGATGCTTCTGTCGCACCCACCCTCAATCACCGCAAACTTCACTAGCTCGAGGTTCGGCGCTTTGGCAAGCCTCCTGTTCCTCGAGAGAAGATGTACTGCTTCGAAGTTGCGTTCAAGGATGGCCTCTACCTTGGCCGCGGTCGACAGGCGCACAGATTCTTTGCTTGCCCAGTCAACGCTTGCATTTGATATAGATAGTAGGCACCGAATAAATGCTAACTTTTCGGGCGTGAATGGGCCTCGAAGAAGCTTGTTTGGAAGCGGACACACGATCTCTGGTAGCCAAGGACAGGACAGGTTGGAACGCCGGGCCTGGAGTTGACGCTTTTCATCAGAAAGTTCCAATTCGAATTGGCCAGGGTCAAGATGGCCCATGTCTGCGGCGGCCGACCGTTCTTTCCACCATATCAAGAAAGACGAGAAGAAACTCCACGTCATCCAGTTCATACTGAAGGCTTTGATTTGGCGTTGACGACGCTCAAGTCGCTCCCGATAATTGACCGCTTGGTTGCTGTTCGACGGGCGTGCGAAGGCTCTTTCGCAGTATTTCAGCAGGATGTACTGATCGAGCAGACTGCGAGAAAGCAATGGCGACGCCCTCGGCAGGTTCGTATCCATGTCGGTGAGTAGAAAGATGTGCTGTATGAGTTCACAGGGTAGACGCTCAACAGGTGCGACGGCATACGACTTGAGCATTTTGGAATGTCGCATCTGCCGTCAGAAGGTCTCGTACCCTCTTTACAGCACGCGTGCGTGCTTTGAAAGGTGCTCAATATCATGTTGGTGGCTGCCTGGACCAATTTGTTCTGGAGCCTGTGGCCTACGTAAAACGGTTGCGCGTTCGACAGCTAACCAACGATAGCGTGCGTGAGCTCTTTCTTCACGTCTTAGGAGAGAGGAGGCTTCCTCTTGTGGGCAAGGTTGTTAGCTGGCTGAACAAACTCTTGGGGCTTGCAATGCGATTCCTACGCGGTCATCAGTTTCGTGCTTTGCATACATACATGCGCGACGACAGCTTCGACTATGACAGCTAACGCTGAGCTCAGAAGTATACCTCCGCTTTATGGCAGTAATTATTTGACAAAATGCGCACTGGAACGCATATGGACGTGGAGCTACCATCACAACATTCGCACGTTGTGTACGACTTTAGTTCCTGAACACCCCAATACCCAGTGCCCAGAAGACAGTATAACCTCCGTCCTCTAGCGTTTCCAAAATTGCCACATAACTACATTCGCCTCGCCGTGTTTTATATCACAGGGTGCATTCATCGATGAAAAAGTATTTATATCCATCCTTAGTGATCCGTCCAAAAAGAGAGGTAAAAAAAATTAAACGATGCATCAGATATTGAATGGAAGGAAAGCACGACATTCAAGCTCCTGATGATCGAAGACATTTAATAAACAAAATGCGCGTGAAGCGTGGGACCTGTGCCTTAGGCGCTACTTTCGTGTCCTTATTCATGATGGCGTGGGGTGGAAGTGGGCCTTCAGCTTTCTGGGGCAGTCGTGGTTGATTCCTCTCGAGGCTTGATCTCGACAGTCAGATTATGTTCTTCACATGCCTGTCTGTAGGCTTCCTTTTCCTCCCAAGCCTTCTGGTAATCAGCTTTGAGGCGGTCACAGGTCTGGCTAAGCTCGTTGATAGCCTGATCAAGCAGTAGCTTTTCCAGAGTCCACTTCTCGAGATTGGTTGTTTCGGCTTCCTTGAGTTGACCAATATATTGGACCGCACGTTGCAAGATTGAACCTTTGTTCTTCTCGCAGCCGGGCACAATCTTGGCAAGCTCATTGATACCTTCATTGATCGTTTCTCGACGCCGCCGCTCGACTATGTCACATGTTAGCAATTGCAAAGCGGCTAAGTTTGAACGTGACCTTCACCAACCTTCTTTGTGATTATCCTTTCTAATCTTATGCCATTCGTCAGATCCAACCACAGGCTTGGATGGGGTTGTGCCAATGTTTGACGACTGCTGCGTCGTCTGTGCTTGCGTCGGAGACTCTTTAAGCTGGTCAAGACCGTAGCCGGCATCTGTGTAGTCCCCAGTCGAAGCCTGTGTCTGAAAAGATGTATCATTGGCGATTGGATAGTGGGCAAGGGCAGCAGCGGCAGTATCAGATGCAGCGTTTGCGTTGCCATTTGGCTGCGCATCCGAGTTGAAAGCTGAGAGCTGATCCATCGCCGAGGCTTCGACGCTGTAAGCTGGCGCGGATCGCGTGTTAGGGTCGTCGGCAACTGCTCGCTTACGCTTGAGCTGCGTGGTTGTCGCTTCGGGCATTTCCTCGTCGTGAGGAGGATGTTCGAGGTGGGGTTAGAAGCGTAAATGATCTTTTGTTACGTTCAAGCGGTTACGGCGGTGAGACAGGAATCGGCTTCTGCTATTGTGACAGTGAGCAACGTCTCGCACAGGTTGTCGTCAGGCTCTTCATACCACTATCCGAGCCCGAGATAGCGAGAAGCAACACTGGCCGTCTTTGCGCGTCTTCGCCCGACGATATTCTAAGCGCAATGCAGATTCAAGGCCAAAAGTCTTGGTATGAGAGCACCGAGAAGTCCGTTGACAATCCCTCAAACAATATCCGTTTCTGTATGTATCAATTAGCGCTTGTAGGGATCTATTGATCTTTTTAGGGCGCTATGCTGAGTGCTGGCATGGCAAGGGACGTCTGGATGCGAGTAGAGCGTGAAGTTGCACGCAAAATCCCGACCTCGCCAGCGGCCAGGTGCGATACAAGAATCTTCGCACAGTCACAGCGTATCCGGTGTGATTCGTCTGGAAAGCAACAGCAGTAGCAGTCGAGGTCCTTGACTATGCCGCTCCACCAGGCTGCTTGCGACGCGCGCATTTGACGCGACGAGATCACGAGGCAGCAACAACAGGATGGCGAAGATGCGATCTAGGCGGCCGAGCGTCGGGCCATGGCCTACATCGAACTGGATCGCTGGCGCTCTCTGCCGCCGCCGACGAAAGCTGCACCGGAGGTGGAGGTGTTTCTACCGATCAAGGAGCCGATGACAACCGTCACGTTGGGGCAGTCTCCCCGTGACTTGGCCTTGTTCCCTGGATGACGAAGGAGAAGCACACTCACCGCACTCAAGGAAGCTGAAAATTAGAGCCTGGACGACAGTCTGATGTTGTCGACGCGCTGAAGAGGCCGCGAAGGCTTTCTGTTGAGGCTCCAGAGAGCCGGCGCAAAAATGTCACGGTATCGCAGCGATTGAGCAGACGACGGGCGGAGGTCAGGTGAGCAAGTTCAGACCGCGCAATGTCAGAGGGGGGGGGGGGGTGGAGGTTGGGTGAGAATAAAGAGGGAAAGAGCAGTGTGGTGGCTGACAGGGTCCACTCCCAGGCCGAGCATGCGTCGCTCCGCTAGCGTAGCAGGCAAGAAAACTTCCAGTAGTCCCCCACCCTCGTCGCCCGTCACCCTCTCAGCCTGCTGGTCCGCCATGATACAGAAAATGGTCATGCACCTCCAGCTCCGTTCGAATGGCGACTGTTGTCCATGTAAGCCGGCTCCAGGAGAAGCTCTGGTAGATCTGAAGCCGCCGGCCGTCCCTCTCAAGGCGCTTCCCGCCCGCCCGGCACCGCCCTCCGTATTCAGAGCGACAACGTCCAGACAACCACAGCGACCCTTGCCTCATAATCGGGATGGGCATGTGACTGGTCTGGTTAGGAGACTCGCCTCCTTATCGAAGGCAGAACTCGGCACGTGGAGCCTCTCGAGTATGGCAGAACTGCTCTATTTCCCTAGGCCCTTATGCGACACCGTCAAGCGGGGTTGCAGGCTCAGCCAATCACATGGTTGCGTCTACGGTGACACCACCCCTGCGCTTTTCCTTGTGCGCTGGCCGATGGTCATCCGCAGGGCTGGGCTTTCCAGCCTTTGGCACGTGAGAGCCGAGCTTCCAAGGCTCGGGATTTTGAACTTTTGCAAATCGACCTTTTTACTAGTACTGCATTGTACTGCATTGTAGCGCATTGTACTGAACGGTGCTGCGCTGTGCTGTCCCGAGCCGAGCTGTGCTGTGCCGTCGCTCAAAAGTTCAGAGAACAGGGCATAGAGTACAGATGTAGAAGAACAAGTGGCTATCCTCCTCCGATCATCTGAGGCCGCTCCATCTCCTTTCCTTGGACCCAAAGCAGAAAACTATCGGGAGTACAGAACATTCAACTACAATTTGCTCTGCCGACCTCCAAAGCCAAAGAGATGTGCCGCTACCTTCCGCATCTGGATCTCCTCGCTACCCTCCGTGATCCTGTATCTGCGATGGTGCCGCCAGATATGCTCGAAGGCGTTGCCTCGCCAGTATCCATTCCCACCGTGCACCTGGATCGCTCGGTCGGCAGCCTCACAGCACAGTCGATTGGCGTAATAGTTACACATGCTGATCTCCTTGGCCAGCTTCTTCTCGACTTCAACATGTGGCATCGTGTCCATTTCCGCTGCCGTCTTCCTTATGAGCTGACGCAGCATAGACGCCTGAGTCGCCAGCTCAACGAGCGGAAACTGAATGCCCTGGTTGTGGCTCAGAGGAACGCCAAATGGCTTACGCTTGTTGGCGTAATCGATGGACTGGTTGATGCAGTATATCGCAGCGCCCAGTGACGATGCCGCCTGCCGGATGCGATTCTCGTGTACGAATGCCTGCGCAATGCCTAAACCGTTGTGCACAGGGCCAATGACGGCCTCATGTGACACCCAGACGTCGTTGAGAGATATAGTAGCGTGGTCTGTGGGCATGTTCAGAGTCCTGTGCATCTATCAGCATGCTCAAATAGTGGCCACGAGTGCGTATCTTGCGCCCACCATTCGTAGCTCTCGATCTTAAATCCTGGGCTGTTGGGCGGAACAATGAAGCACGTTATGCCGCGAGCATCACCATCCTTGCCTTGCGTGCGAGCAAAGATGAAGCAATGTGTGGCATGGTGCATTCCTGTCTGCCACTTCTTAGCGCCATTGATCTTCCATCCGTCCACACCATTCCGTTTCTCTGGCACTGCTCGAGTTGCCATGTGTGTGGCATCACTTCCATGCAGTGGCTCCGTTAGTCCAAAAGTAATTCGGACTTCGCCCCGCAAACGGCCTCCGATCAGCTCCTTCTTCTGCTTTTCGTTGCCGAAATTCTTCACCATAACCACGTCGGGAAAATTTCCAACCACAGAATGCTCAGTCTGGAGGTCATTGAACAGACCCAGACCTTTAGCAGCCAGATGCTCGCGGATTACCGCCATCCACAAATTGCTTCCTCTCCCATTTGAACCCTCCTCTTGCTGTCCACCGTACTCCTTGGGTAGATGGAAGCGGTAAAAGCCAGCCTTGTCCGCGCGGCGAATGGCCTCGCGTAAAAGAGCCTCCCATTCTTTGCGTGGCAACCCTTGGTTGTCCCAGTCGGTACGTGAGTGCTCGCGTCGATGATCGAAGAAACGTTGGTTGTCATCCTGTTCTTGTAGAGGCTTGATCTCCTTCTCTATGAACGCATCAATGTCGTCCAAGTACCTGAAGTCCTGTCAGCTGCCTCAAGTACCTGCGATCGCAGATGCCGTACTTTTGCAAGTCTGCAGGAATTTCAAAATTCATGGTGGTTCGTAGTAAGTGGACGACTGACGAGCAATGTGTAGTTCTGAAAATTTAGAATTGGTTTTCATATTGGAATATGAACAGTGCCAACATCGCCGAGGATTGCCGGTTTTTCGACTTTGGGGAGGGTCAACGCAGGGGAGCGGAGGAGAAAACTGCGGGGAAATTGTGTTGTGCCCGCCTTGGACGAATCAGTCGAGTCAGCCCATCGGAAATGTGTCACGCACAGAAAAGGCGATAGTTACAGCATTGGGAGTATTTTGAACTTGTTCAAAGGACGGATGCGCATTCCAGAGATATTAAGCAAATATGATCTGTCTACGATTTTACCCTGTCTCCTGGAAGGGAGGGGTGAACTAGCGAGCTACAATGTTTATTTCCAGTCGCTTTAGCCCGCATCGCTAGTTAAAAATGGTGATTCTGATCGCCTTTCTTCAGACTTGGGCTCTTATCCACTCCATAACACTAGCTTCGACAAACTGGCCGACTCTGAACAGACTTTGCCTTGGCCGAAAAGGCGCCCGCCTATTATACAAGCATCGATTTGATAGATGATTCACACCAAATCACCACATACTATCGATTGAATATAACAAACTAGTGTTGATAGACGTTCTTGCACTTTACATGTACACTCTGACAATTCAGAACACGTAGGCCATGTGGGGGTCTAACAAACAGCGCCCTGTGCTCGATAATTACGAGCTTCTGAGCAAAAGAGAACAAGAAGAGTCTTTTAAGATTGCAGAGGGCCGGAAGACAGGTGGGTGGCATGCCAACAGTTGCTGTCTCTCGCTTAGGTCTATGGTGTGATGAATTTCCAGCGGTAACACACCTGCAGTGAAGCTTCGCACGAAGACGATGGCGATGATTCAGGGTTAAAGCCGTCGTCTCGGTGTCCAAAAAAAGCGATTTAAATGCAAACTTGGAAACGAGCCGGATAGAGGAAGCTAGAATCAAGTGGTGGGCATGGATAACAGCAATTTTCCCCAAGGTTGGGCGATTACGGCCAATGAATTTTGGCGAAAAGGATCCCGCTTCGGGTGGGTGCCGGTGTGCGGTTGTTCGGGCGCTGGAGAGGATCAACATGGACCAACAGCGGCAAAAAGTAGGATGGTTTTGTTATGGTGACAATCAAATCTTGCGCAACAAGGGTAGGTGTGGCAGCTGGCGCTCACCTCATCAGCAACGCCCAGACGGAGAACGAGTGGGGATTGGTTGCTGATGGTGATTCAAATGGACGAGAGCGACTCTCAGAGCGACTTTGAGCTGGCACTGCGGCATGTATCAAGTGCTCCCGGGATTGCGAAGACGGGTGGTTTGAAGGAGGCTGGCGGGAGTGGTGAAGGCAGGCTGGGGCGTCTAGAAGTACAAGTACAGGAGCAGCAGTAGGCCACCATCGTGGACGGCAAAGCAAGTAGAAAGATCGTGGACGAGCCCGTAGCGGGTTGCCCAATGAGAAGGACGCAGGTTGCAGTTGATCAGATCCTGACGGACCCAGCACGGCGGATCGTTTTGCGATTGGGAATGTATTTTGTCGTTTCAGACGTGGCGGCTCGATCTCGAAAGGGTGTGGCTGCCTTGAACGTCAGCGCTCCAGCAGCAGCGCGCAGCAATGGAGGCAGCAGCAGCAGCAGCAGCAGACTGCACGTGGGCACACGCAACAGAGCAAGCAGCAGGCGACCCGGCTGAGGCGAGGAAGAAGGACGACGACGACGATGACGACGACAACGACAACAACAACGACAACAACAACGACAACAACAACGACAACAACAACAACAGCAGCAGCAGCAGCAGCAACAACAGCAACAGCAACAACAGCACCAAGAACAAGAACAACAGCAGCAGCAGCAGTAGCAACAACAGCAACTACGATAATAATAATTGTAATAATAAAAATGGCAACACATCGACGTTGGTCAACGCTCGCCTTGGCACGACAGGGGACGGCGACGCATTGCGCCATATTGACAAGCCGCAGAGCCCACGGGCTTTCCCGCTTGATGCACCTCAGCAAGCACCAAACTCTCGCGGTTCTGCTCTGCAAGTCGCCTCTGTATTCTCTCCTCCCTCGCCCCAACGGTCGCGTACGTTCGCGCCGCCTCGTCCTGACAACCCGTTCGGCCATCTGGTGTAACCTTGTCTCGTCGAGGGTTAGCTCGACCCATGATTTCTTTGCCGAAAGGTGCCATAGATGGACCTTGCTGAGCCCGTGGAACGGTCCTTTTCCTTACCTTTCTCTCCACGACGCGCGCTCCAAATGGTCGACGCACTAGCTTGGACGCACTCCCTTGAAGCTGCATCTGGCCCATGTAATTTCCAGCAGCTGCATCTCTCGAATGTCTTCTTTGTTCTTGCTCTCGCAACTGTGCAAGCAGCCTCTCATGGCGGTCTTGCTTTCATCCTCGCTCGTACCCTATCAATTCACCATTGCCGCACCGTCATGAGCCTTTCTGCTCGTCGGCAGTCTGCCCTCAATTCCCTCTCGCGTGCCTACAGCTTTGCATCGCCCTCGTTTTGACCGTCCACTTCGTTTCGTCTGCCTCTTGTCTTTCGCGCCCGCCGTACCGCGCCCCTCTGGAGTTATCGGAACAGCGTTCTTCTGTCGTCACTCGTTTGAGTCTCTCCCATGACGCACCTTTTGCGAACATTATTCCCTCCATTACTACCCCTCGTCCCTCGTTGTTATCATGCAGTCCTTCGATGGCCGCCCGACCGAATGGAGCGAGGAAGAGAAAGTGCGTGACTCCAGCCCGAGCCCATCCTCCAACCCAACTGACGTTCTTCATCAGCTGAATCTTGCGCTCTACATATTCCAGCAAAGAGAGCGGAGATCCGGCTCTAGATCCTCCGCGGCGCAGGTACTTTTCGAACATCTGGGTTCATACCAGCCTGACTGGGACGACTTGCCCCTCCCCGGAGGTCTGCACATCGCCTTGTTGTTGCTGTTGTGACGCTTCAGCTCACAGAACGTCTCTAGGTCGTACGGTCGGACAGGCCAGAGCGGTCTTCACGTCATACTCTCGGCAAAGTTCAGGTCCAAGTACGGTCCACTCAGCAGGGCCTTCTCCTGGCAGCTATGGTTACTCACTGATGGGAGCAAGCACTGGTGGCGTAACCTCAAGGAAACGTTCAGCTCCTTCAGACGCTCTTACACCACAGCTAGGACGACCTCTGGCACCGAAACAACCATCTGCATTCGGCTCGGAGTCGACCGTCAAGTCCTCAATTACGGGATATCCTTCAATCTCACCCATGGTCGAACCTCCGCCCAGATTGGACGAACCGCGTAAGAAACGCGGCCGACCGACAAAACAAGAGGCGGAAGAAAGGAGACGAAAGATGGAGGCACGGCAACAGTTACGCCTTCAAGCTCAGGTTCAGGTTCAACCCAGTCAAGCAGCAGAGACGGCACAGCATTCCAGAGCCTACGGCGCACAGTTCGGTTCTCCAGCACAACCACTACCAGCTGCAGCGGCCTCTCAAATCCCTCGCGAAGGCACACCAACGGTATCAATTGCACCTCAGCCTTCAGCACTCTCTCAGACTCCTCGTGGCCAATCTATGGAGGAACATAATTCCAGCGGGTCTAGCGGAAAGAAAAGAAGGGCGAGAGCCCCGCGTCCGTCAGTCTCTGAAACGGAGCCGCCTCCTCCACCGTTCTATCCAATGCCACCGAACCCACCAGACTCTACCCGCGATTCACCGCCTCGCGCCGGCTCTCATCTTGGAGGCCGTCCACCGCATCCGTCCAGAAGCTCTGCATTCACTACCAGTATTTCGTCCATAGAGCCGGATTTACCGGCCTATGATCCTGGTGAGGAGTATCGGCCTGCAAACCCACGTTCACGACCATGGGAAGTCCGAGACCGACCAGGCATGTCGTGAAAAAAGGATGCTGCTCTTAAGATCAGTCTCGGAGAGCCCTAGGCCCATCATGAATCATACGTCTAATGAACGTTTTCTGCAAATCTCTTTCATTTGCTGTTCTTCGGGTATTAGATGGTCGCTTGGTTCGTTCAGCAATCATTTGCATCCCGGCGGCCTGATGTGTTTATTTCCAGACAGAAACGGCTGAAATGTGTCCCCTATGTCCAACCAACATCTTCAATATAATGTTTACTACACGTCTACGAGGACATTATGAACGTGCTCGAGCAAAGTAGACTTATGTGGTTTATGACGGTGCGTCTTAATATGTATCATTATTCACGGCCGAAAATATTTTACACGATGAACTTTATGTACAGCAAGATCATATATTTGAAGAGCTCAACCCATCAATTATCCTGAAGAATTTTTTTTTTTTTCAATTCACAAAACCCATTTGCTTCTGGCGAAGTTTCCTACAACAGAGTACAACGTTTAGCAACTGCAACAAACTTGTCCGCCGAGCCAGTAACTCATAAAAAGGTCAACTCCGAAAGGATGTCGGCTCTTAGGGCCGCTGAACCCCAGACAACGGGTCTGGACGGTCTTTGACGAACCTGTCTCCGGTGACCGGCATTACTGCAGCTTTGGTAAGGGTGGAAGTGGGAGGGTTGAGCAGATTACAGCCACCCTGGCTAAAGCCTTTCGTCCACGCGACGACGATGGCCAATTATATTGAGAGAGATCAGCGTTGCATCTGACAAGTTCTGCGCAAGCTTTGGCATGTAATGCGCAAAGTAATATCGGCATATGCATGACGCATATTGCAGGACCGGAAGCGCAGTTCTAGCTGGCTCGAGCACGGGGTCTAGCCTCGCGAGGGAGGTTAGCGCCCGTTTCTTTTTTGGAGCCGCATGAGGCGCTTACGGCGTTTATATTGTGGCTGCCTCGGAAGGCTCCGCACAGAAATCGGTCATAATGGACAACCTCATCTCATCCCCTACAGAACCATCTCGCTGTCTCTCCTCTGCTCGCTAATATGGCTTCAAGCATCCACCGGCCCCCTTCCCACTCTTCTCCAGGCCGCTGTGCTTTTGTCTTTCCGTTCTGATGCTCCCAGCCGCTGCCCCGAGTCTCAAGGACCAGTCATTCTCAGCTAGTCAGTGCTTCAAACTGCAGGTATCTGCAATGCACATGCAATGCACGTCCTTGACCCGCCGTAGGCCAGGGCCTCGCGAAAGAACCCAAAACTCAGCAAATTTTGCGCGATCTGTCACAACACACGTATCGTGTGCACATTACCCAGCAAAAACACCGTACGAGTGTCTTCAGGTACCCGCGCGCCCACCTGCGACATTCCCCCCCCCCCCCCCTCCCTCCCCCCTAGGCCCACGCGACGGAAATATTTTTCTCTAGCCCTAGGCTACAGGCTGGTGATCGTGGTGCAACAATTGTCCAGTCAGGAGGCTTGATTTCAAATAGAGTATCACAAGTCTATCCACGAGGTATGCGTGAGAAAGAGCAGCGTTTCGTTGTTGTTCTTCTAAATAGTGTAAAGGTACAAGGAGAGGCTGGTCACCACGTTTACATCATTGTGGCTGACGTGGACAACCTATTATACCACAGAACTCATCACCAGGCCCTAGCCCGCTCCTAAACCACCAACGACAAAGCAGCCCTCCCGATTACCTCTGGAGGCTGTTAATTTTGGACCAAAGTGGACACCTTGCACGCAAATCAAAAATTTCGCTTCTGCACATTTTGTCCGATACGTCCTTCTAGTTACATATCGACAAGTCGGAAGAAAAGGAGGGAGCATAACAAATTTTTCCTTCATTTTCTCCGTCCTTTTTCCTGCCGACTCTGACTGACGTTGGCACTAATTTGGAGTGCAGCGTGCGTCGGCTCCCTCTCACATTGCTATCTTACATCTGGATCGCCAGACTACTGCTATTTTCAACTTCAACACGCCCGCAGCGATGTATATGTTTTCTTTGCAAGCCATAGCGCTGTCCTAGTCGCGGTGAAGGTTGCTGCAAGACGTCCATGGTACACCTGTAGGCTGTGAACGTCCTCCTGGATTTTTTTTTTTTTTTTTTTCATCGAATGAAATGGTTGCTGGCTGCGCGCAAGCAAGTACCAGCATCGACTTGGAAACTTTGAATTAACAAGTAATTTTATCGGGACATGTTCCGCCCCGCTCCCTCAGCCGTCGTAGGACATGAATCAGTTCGCCGCATGCCTTCCACAGATGGCAAACTGGTCCGTGGCGAACAAAACCTACTTATATGAGCCCACTAGAGCAAAACCTATAAGGCGGCATTCTTTTGCCACCTCGCGTTGCACAGAATGAATAGCGTCTTTATTACATACCCCGGATCTGTTATCGTTGTCAGGTTCATCCACAAAACCGGGTCTTTTCTTAGTCGAATAGAATCCCACTTACCCTCTTTCCAAACCTTCCGCTCCCCCTACCCCCAGAGATTTATGCAGAAAAAAAGGCCACGCAGAAATTTTGCCAAAAAAGGACAGCTCCCCACTTGGCATGCAGCGACGTTGCAGCTACGTTGCAGCTCGTACCTGCATATAAGGCGGACAAACCAGCGAATCTTCGACATGACTAGAGATAGTCGTCCATCCACAGATCGAAAGTCGATGAAACTGCGCCCATGTGGACATAGATGCTAAGATCATGATCTCAATATGTGCGCATTTGGGTTCACGGAGGCTTTGCCTCGCTCCTATTTGTTTTGACCATCATGCTGGGTCCTTGCCCCCACAAAGTGACAGATCCTTCTGCGAAGGATGCAATAGCCGAGTACGAACTTTGCATCAGGTTGATCGATTGCCCAAGGCTCGCATTGATTTTCTGGAATCAATTAGAGGTCTCCTCTCCTTTTGTATCGTGCTCCGCATCTGAATTTGTGAACAGCCAAAGCCTTCCACATCGAGCATGGCCTAAACTTTTCTAGACCAATGTGAAAATTTTCTCTCGATGATACAGACGTTTTTGACGTAAATCATAAATTGCGCTCGTGATACAAGCCACTACGTCCAACCACTGTCATAGGCGAACAGCTGCTCGTCCATTTTGTGGGAGCAAGAAATAAAATACAAAAGCAGGAAAATTGGGTGGAACCGTGATCCCTAGGAGTCCCCTCAAACGCTCAATGAGGATTGAGCCGTAATATATTCCATTCAGTTCACAACTGTTCCCAACTTTTCTCTTTTTTTTTGGTACAAAAGCAAGAACGAGAAACAGAACGGATGTATCATACATGTACCGTATATCATCTATATGTCCCAATCGGTTGTGATTACGTGAACATTACGGAGATCCAATATGTCCTGGTTTGCACAAATGAAAACAAAATGTCAGTCTGTGGGCGGTGAGCTCCAAGTCGACAAGAGCTTTTTCGACAAATGAAGAGAAGGCCAAGGCGTTAGATAGACATAGGTCGAATACTCGTTATTCTTCCGTCGTGAAATCGTGAAATCGAGCAAAGCGCAGAATTCGTGAAAGCAAAATGGTACGCTTGAAGTTGCAATTTCTTGAGGGCCAAAGGTACGTTAAGGATGAGCGTGGTGATCAAGAGGAGCCAGATGTCGGAACGGTTATTGGAGAACTGCCGATTCCAGACGAGAAACCGTCCTTCTTGGTGCCAATGAGGGCGAGAACAATTATCGCTGCGACGAGAAGGATGCCGAATAGACCGAGTACGCGGTTGACACGGCGCCACCAATGCGCTTTCTGCCATCGCTTCTCTTCGAGCGAGACTTCAGACATATTCGCCGTAGATGGCGGGATTCGTTCAGAGAGTTCAGTCATATTCGGAATGTTTTCTGGGTCGGGTCGGTTGGGTAAGGGTAGGAGCGCAGCGACCCACCATGCTGCAGACACGGTCAGACCGGAAAGAGTCATCATCAGCAATGTGAACAACTCACCGGGGGGGAAGATGAACCCAAGTGCGAAGCAGAAGACCTGCCTGTTGATCGGACCGAACATTGTTTTCCCGAATGGTTCATCGAATGAAGGAGCAGCCCAAGCACTGTATCTTTGCGTCTGTCTACGGTCCCTTCGAAGATGAGGAGAATACATCATTTCATGCACGGTAAGGTCAGGAGCACTGAGGCTTCGCCGCCTTCGACGGACCTGCTCATCAGACAAATCTGTCTCTTCCGTAATCGCAACAGAATGTTGTGTGTGCTGTGGTCGATGGATGCGCCGAGTCTCCTGCCGCAAACGTCTCTCCTGTTGGTCGGGGCTGTTGCGTGGTCTATTTCGGGGTCGCCAAATGCTTGTGGGAACCGTATCACTAATCGGACTCGACGTGACGCCGCTAGTCGCAGTATTCAGACGTGGCGTGCTGCTAGTCTCGGAGATGAATGAGTTGTTTCGGGCGATCATATTCGGTGGCTCACCGCTGCTATAGTACCTCCGAGCCCACAGCAGCTCGCCAATGAAGCTGATTTGTGAGCTCCGCGATTTCGTGCTGTCGGATGAGCTTGGTCGGAGACTTGACTTGGACGAGAAGCGCGTGAGAACGCCGGACCTCTGTGGTCTCAAATAGGGTGATTGAAGCTCTCCCACGGTGTCCTCTCTCTCGTCCGAATCTCGAGCCGTGACCCTCTCGTCGGGAACGGAAGGAAGCGGCCGCGGCGAGAACAGCGGCTGGGGTATAGGGATAGAAATATTGCTCTCCGTTCCGGTGAGGACGCCGCTGCCATATTCCCATTCGCTAGAACGCGCATCGCTAAGTGAGCTTACATGCTCACCAGATGTAAGGCTGCCGATAGTCCTGCGTCTTCGGGTACGTCGAGCACTGTCTGTTGAAATCGAATGTGAGTGCGACCGCTCCGATTCGGAGGCAATTGTAGAGAGACGGGAACCCCATTGCAAAGGACGGTAGGGGTCGTCACGCATTCGCGGCGCTGGGGTTGTAGCCGTGGTAGTGCTTGGTGAAGGACTGGACACCTCCGCCCACGAACCACTTGTGGAAGGAGGTTTCACGACTGGATACTGTATTGCGACTGCGGTCTGCACGAGAGAAGAGGCTGAAGCACGGGAGCCTGGCCCGGAAGGAGACGAGGCAGACGCGGGGCGATCTGCATTCGAACTGGCGTGGCTGTCGTTGAGGACAAGAGACTCGAGAGACGCGTTGTCATGTATGGGCTTTGAGTGTATCGAAGGAGCAGGTGAGGGTTCCAAGGGCTTGCTCCTGCCAGCGGGAAGCGAGATGTCGGAGGAAGAATGGGCAAAGACCTCGAAGTTCGCAGAGGACGGCGAGCTCGAATGCTGAAGGTGATGTGGCAAAGCAGGGAGTGTGTCGACCGACGAAGCAGAGGCGAGCGATGTTTCCGAGCGTTTTGCACGCAGTGGCAGACGTTCGTCAGAGCCTGAAGGAGCGACGGCACGAATTGTAGGTCGATTGACAGGCTTGGTCCTTGGGCTTTCCAGAACGGTTTCTTCATGCACGGGTTCCAAACGACTTTCTCTCTCCTCGCAGAAGCTCGGCTCTCCCGGCGAAGACGGGGGAGTCGTCCTCGAAGATTGCCGGCTAGATGAAGGGGTGGTGAGGAGGGTGTCGTTGGTGGTCAGTGTGGTAGCGGTTAGGGTACTGGTGTCTGGGTCAGAAAGGTTGGTGGAAATGGAGGTGCGATTCGGCCACCGCGGCTGCTGAGGCTTTGTTTCCGGCGCATCGTGTTTGACGAGTTTGGTGGTTGAACGATTGGCCGGGCCATTGTCATCTGAAACGAGAACATCCTTGTCGACAAATGGTGCATAGCGCAGAGGATGTAGTTTGGAAACCCTAGGCGGTAGGACGTGCGAAGGGTGGGTGGGGAAGGGCGACTTGGAATAGACATTGGAACGCTCGTCGAAGACAAGGCGGATGGTCGACGCGCTGGCCGAGTTGGACTCGGAGTCGGAGCGCTGGGCGAGCGGTCGCCGCTTCGGCGAGGAGGGCGTCAGAGTCGGTATTCTCGACAGTCGGTCGGGCGAACAATCCGACATTGTGCGAGCAGAAGGATCGAGGTGGGGACGAACATGCCACAAGATGTTTTAGTGAGCATGAAAAGACATTAAATTATGTTCATGGGGTGGGGAACAGAACAAATGGAGGGAGCAGCAAAGTAAAATGAAGACAGGACAAAAAGCATGAAAAGCGGACGGAGAGGGCGCTGCAGGCTGCGACTCTAGACGACGCTCGACATTGCCAACACCGTCACCCTCAGCATGGGAAACGAGCGACTGAGAAGGAGCAAAGAACGAGGGCATGGAAGAACGAGGGACGGAGGGTTGGATCGAAGGGAAGGACGGCGAGCAAGTCAAAAAGAAAGAGGGAGAGCCAATTGAGGCTGCTCGGCCAGGTGAGGATTGGACGTCAGGAGATTACGGGCGGGTTGTGCGGACGCGAGCGCGCGAGAGATGATTGATGCGCGGGCGGTTCGGCAGAACTTGGCTGCATGAGCACGCCGGCAAATGGCGATTGGCGGGCGTCTGCGCCGGCTCACACGGCCGTGACAGGGCGCGTCGCGGCGGGCGGCCGGCGGTGGCCAGAGACATGAGCCGGGGAGGAAGACTGGTCCTTTCAGGGAGATGCAGCGGGAGCGCCGCATGGCCGGCTCCGTCGCCATCATGCGCCGAACGGGGCTCGTCCGCTCTCCTCCTCTCTCCTCCTCTCTCCTCCTCCCTTTCGGCCTTGTTTCCAACGCCTTCTTCGCTGCTCCGTCTGCGGAACGAGCGGCCACACAGGCAAGCGCTGGCAGCAGCGCCAGCGCCAGCACCAGCGCTGTCAAGCAAGAGCCGGCCGCCGGCACGCAATGTTGCTGCGCTCGTTGTTGGTTCAGGCTCCAAACAACTGCAGTCCACACAAGCAGCGCGGTCGGCGCCAGCGCACGGGCCGGGCGCGACGTGGACGCGACGCACAGCGCGCCGCGGCCCGGGCTCCAGTGGTTGCACGGTGTGGCCCTTGGTGGCGCGTCTCTGGCACCCGCAGAGAAGAGCGAAGGCCGCTTCACGGAGGCAGTCTTCTCGAGCACAAAGCCGGAGCTGACCAAGTGGTCGTGGGCTCTAGGCATGGTGGCGGCACGAGCAGCAAGAGCAGCAACAGGCGTCGGGTGTAGAATCTTGCTTGACAGGAAGAAAAAGCAGAGCTGCGCGCTAGGGGTGAGGTGAGGTCGACAAACTCAATGCTGATATCAAGACTTTGGCGTGCGGGTGATCATCCAAACATGTAGCAGACCCGCCATCCTACACGTCACCAGAAATACCGGATGCTGCACTTGAGACAACGTTGAAGCGGACATGAATTGAGCGTCCCAGGCCCAAAACTAAGCTCGTCCCTGGCGACAGCCCTGGCCTCGGGGTTTGCACGTGAGATCCGATCGACTCGCCGCCGCGAATACGCAGAACTCGCAAAGCCGACCACCACCACCACCACCACCACCACCACCACCACCACTACTACCACCACCACCGTCACCGCCTGGTACCTCGCGGGCGCACTGAACCGAGCCGCGTGCGTCAATTCTGCCTCTGCTCTGTGCCCCACACGCGAGTGCTTGTGCGTGCATGCATTCGTCCCTCCTGTGTGTGGAGCTTCGGTCTGGAAGCAATGAAACTCTGCAGCTTCTATGGAGGTCCCCGTGCGACTTTGCTTAGGCTCTTTGGCCTGACCCAGGCCAGGTGCTGCCGTCGTCGTGATGTGATTCGGGTTTGGCGAGGATATGCAATCCGCGCCCGCCGACCGCTCTGGCAGCATTGCAATGTCGTCCCTTGTTCGCGGCACGAGCAATCGTGTGCGAATGGACAGAGCCGGCCATACCCAGAAGGACTCTCGCTCAGAGTGGACGTGTTTGAGGAGGAATGAACCAACCAAGCCTGGTGTGTCGTCAAGTTAGCGCTGTCCATGCTCGAGTTGACTCTTCTTCTTCGTCTCCTTATTGTCATTATTGAACTAGTTACGGAATACCTCCGCCCCCCCGTGCCGCTGTTGTTGTTGACTTATAGGGGGTGCGCGAAACGCGCCAACTTCAGGGGCAGCGGGCCACGCAAGAGCCCACCGCGTAATGCCGGGCTGGCCGTTAGGACGTCTGTTCTTTTTCCCTTCTTTGTTCCTTGTCTTGTCGCTGCTCGCTTTTATGACTTAGTAAGATGGTCCAATAATGACGTGCGCCCAAGTGTCCCGACCATCCATATCGCAGTTGCTGATCTCAACCATGACATCCCCATCCGTGCTGCTCTCCTTGTAGCTCACCCACACCCACCGGACGGAACCGCTGGTCATGGCTCCCATCGACCTCTTCTCCCGTATCAGATCCTACTACCACAAGGAGCCTGGTAAGTCGTCCCTCTCTCTGCCCTCCCGTCCCTTCGTCTCCTCTTCTCCTCTCCTCGTCTTGTCTCCTCGTCTCAAGTGCTCCCGCTGCCCTATCCAGCACTTGCTTGAGCCCGGTGCTCGCACCTCCTGATTTGTGTTGCTCGTTGTCGAGTCGTTGCGCTGACCCGGGCATGAATGTAGTCAATAAGGCTCCTGCAATTTCGACCTTCACCGCTGCCCTTCTCTCGGTCAGAACTGTCAACTGCCCACACTGCATTCATACTCTCCACCTCCCCGTCCTTCTCTGTCCATCCCTGTTTGCAGTTTGCGCCGCCCAACCGTGCAGACCATAATCGCTGCGCCGCCTTCGTCTCCGTCGCCTTCTCCGTGCTGAACACAGCGCATGCTGACCTTATGAGTCTAGGCAGCCTTCGTCGTGCTCTATGTCCTACCCTTTTATCTCAGCAAAGCTACACGGCCTTCGCCCACTCTCTCCCGAGATGCCCCCTCCGTCATCCGCGCGCGTATACGAGCAGTCACGTCGGCTTGCACCATAGGCTCGCTGCTCGTCATTCTCATCGTCGCAAAGTTTGGCCAGACCACGCTCCAAGAAACGCTGCATATGCTGGGCTGGTGGCCCGTCAACCCCGTTGACGTTTTACGAACAACTCTGCTGTGCGCAATCTTGTTCGCGGGCCCGCTGTTCGAGGCCGCCATTGTCGAAGGCAGGTGGCGAGATTGGCTTTGGGGCACCCATGTCGTCGAAACGTTCAGTTCGTGGACCGGCTGGCGCAATCTCGTCGCCGGTCCCGTCACTGAAGAGATTGTCTTCCGCTCGCTCCTCGTGCCGCTGCACATACTAGCCAAGGTGGCCCCCAAAAATATCGTCTTTATTACACCACTCTATTTCGGCATCGCGCACATCCATCACCTGTACGAATTCCGTCTCACCCACCCAGAAGTGCCCGTCCTACCCGCCGTTCTACGGACTGTAGTGCAGTTCACCTACACGAGCTTGTTTGGCTTCTTCGCAACCTTCGTCTACTTGCGGACAGGTTCCGTGTACACCGCCATTGCCGCTCACATGTTCTGCAATTGGATGGGACTGCCTAGGATTTGGGGAAGGGTAGGCGTGAGAGCTAGCATGCAAATCAACGTTCCCAGTGGAGGCAAGAAGGGCGGGACAAGAGATTTAGGAACTTCTGCGACGGTAAAACGTGATCTCAGCACCCTGTGGACTGTTGTCTACTATTTGCTTCTTATCCTCGGCGCTTATGGCTTCTACATCAACCTTTTTCCTCTCACCGCATCGTCGAATGCCCTAATAGACTTTTCTAGCAACTAAAAGATTGTGAACTGGGACGACAGAAAGATGTCCCAGGCCATGGCCTTGGCAGCGTGACGGGACCAGGAGAACACCGCAACGCAAAGCGAAACGCTTGTTCTAGGAAACACAAGGGAAGATTCAGTCCCTAAATAATGCAATTTGCGGCTCTTCGCGCATGCACATTTTTGTTAGCCAGCAGAGATGAATTTATATTATCTTTAATGCCTGTACAAACACTGCCCAGCCAATATCTCCACCGTGACTCCGTAGCGTATCCCAGGCAAATGCAGGCGCAAGGGATGATTTAACTTAGCTGTCTTAAAGTGAGGCTCGCATATGAGCACGTGATTATCAATCTTCCTGGCTTGGTCCGGGCGCTTACCCTGGGCTGTTCTAAGCGGTCACCACAGAGCACGACTCCGCCGCATTATCTGCCACATATCGCTCAATACAGTACCAAAGCCCGTAACCTCCACAACTCTTGCGTAACGATCTCAGCCAAACCGTCGAAGACAACTTTCCGCTAACAGTCTTAGCATCGACTGAGCAGCTCTCAACTTCTCCCACTGTCTACCCAGTTATCAACCTCTTGTCTATTCAGCATGGCGAATGACGAATATGATGTGAGCTAAAGCTCCCGTTCTTCCCTATGCCGCTTTACTTTTGTGATTCAAGGGACGATAACGCTAACACGTTGCCCTTCGCAGTTTCTTTTCAAGGGTATGCAGGATAGATATAGCGCAACAAAAACACCAGTGACACCAACCTAACCATGAACGCACAGTTGTCCTGATTGGAGACTCGGGAGTTGGAAAGTCCAACCTGCTCTCGCGTTTCACCCGCAACGAGTTCAATCTGGACTCAAAGTCGACGATCGGCGTCGAGTTCGCAACTCGAAGCATTCAGGTCGACGCGAAGACGATTAAGGCGCAGATCTGGGACACTGCCGGTCAGGAGCGTTACCGGGCCATCACGTCAGCGTATTACCGCGGCGCCGTCGGCGCACTCCTTGTGTACGACATCAGCAAGCATCAGACATTTGAAAACGTGACAAGGTGGCTGAAGGAGCTGAGGGACCACGCTGACAGCAACATTGTCATCATGCTTGTGGGTAACAAGAGCGATCTGCGGCACTTGCGAGCAGTGCCAACAGAGGACGCCAAGCAGTTTGCAAGTACGTGGCGTCAAGAGACTATATCCGCTCGTGTTGGGTTGAGAAGGCTAACATGCGTCTGCTACAAGGCGAAAACAACCTGTCCTTCATTGAGACATCGGCCCTCGACGCAAGCAACGTCGAGTTAGCCTTCCAGAATATCTTGACTGGTATGTAGTTTCATTAGGGCTACCGTGCAATTGCCGCCATCTGACTGTTCTGTGCAGAAATCTACCGCATCGTTTCTAGCAAGGCACTCGACCAAGGCGAGGGTGGAGGGGCCATGCCAACGGGCGAACGCAAAGTTCTAGAGATCTCGAAGTCGACAGATGACAGTGCGAAAAAGAGCGGCTGCTGCTAAAGAAACCTCTCTCCCCTTTTTCCGTTCCCGTCTTACCTTTTTTCTCTCTTTCAACGATACATGGCATAGTGCTTTCGAGGTTTCCTTGACACAGAACGGGATGCAATTAGACTGGTCCGACTCGGCCAGATACATTTTGCCTGTTGCGACTTGGTGCAGATCTAGGCAGACGAGGACTTGTGCAGACAGAACTCCTATGTACTGAATGACCATTCCGGGTTTGTCCGCGGAAATTGGCATTCTTTCTTCCTTGCTTTTAGGTTGGATGCCAGAAGATCCTGAAAGGGCCCCAAGTCATTTTGTTCCTTTGTCCAACCTTTTTTTGTTCCCCAAAACGCGGCGTACTTAGGATGTGGGGTGTGACGAGGCAGCATGTAAACGTTTTGCACGAAGAGATTAATGAAGTTGGCATATCACACGCTCAATACCGTCATGATGTCCATGTATATTCGTTTTTTTTTGGCCACGGGAACGACCTTAGCAATTCACATCTCCCACTCGCAACGCTTGATTTGGCGTCAATCGACTCAAGAGTCAATCAGAAACCGTGACTGAATAAGCAACCTTGGTCAAGCACTGGGGTGGTCACGTGATATTATCCACCTCACGGGCTTGGTCCGTGCTCTGCAGTGCATATAATCCAAATTTTCCTGCGCACCACTTTCGCTCCTCATCATCAGTACAGGTTATACAAACCTTCGAGGCTCCGTCTTCGTACGGGTAGTTGAGAGCTGTTCCGTATGAGCATCGCCATATGCTCAACGCTTACGCCGTGAAGAGTTTTCCGTTCCCTGCCTCGTAGACCAAAGAGTCTTGCACCGTCTTATAGCTGCGATTCGCCGATTCAAGTTGGTGCGGAGCTGTGTGATGAGTGCCACATCCCTTGTCCATTTTTTTTTTTTTGGCTGCCACCCTTTCCTGAGCTTGAACAAGCTTCGGACGGCTTCGGATCTTGGGGCGCTGTCAGAGAATATTAGTTTCTTGGACGGATCTGGCAGTCTGTGACTCGCTGACGACGTCGAATGCCCCTATTTGACCTCTTATGATCGATTGTGTAGCACATCTACGATGAGAGAAATAATATATAGCTATCTGTGTTCATTGTATCCAATCCTGTCAAAAGAGTGACGTGAATCACCCCTCTGTCGCTCACTACTTCTTTCAACAATATGCCCATCCTTGTGCGGTGCGTTTCGTTCACAAAGACGCCTTCGATGAATCCTAGGATGAACCGCTAAGCGTTATTTTAGCCGCGGCAAACTCAATGCATTAGCTGGCCAAGTTTTAAGAAGAACCGAGATTGAATTGGCTCTGTCCTGAGCATCTATTTCGATCGGTATTTACAACATCTGTGTCGGAGTACTACGTTTATCAACTGCCCAATGGTTTTGCTTTTTTTTTTTTCAAATAGGTTACCTGCCCAGTTACTTCCGAGATTAAGAAATTTGTCCCATCTGAATTTCGCGTTCATGACTCGAAGATCTTCTTCAAGCCGTTGAAAAGTATGTCCGCGTGGTGTTTCTGGAAGATAAGCATCGGACGGAGCCTCACTGCGCGTTCTCCTGAGCCACCGATGTTGATCCCAACGGTCTTCGCCTTCTTCAACACCTCGTCACGGCGGGGAGAGTCGAAGGCAATGAACGTACCCTGGCCTTTGCCTCTTAAATTTTGGATCTCGCTCGGGTAGCTCTTGGCCAGCTCCTCGAAACCAGAGTACAAATATGCGCCCACTTCTGCCGTGTGATTGACCAGATCCAGGCGTTCAATCTCCTTGATGATGGCCCGGAAAAGAAGCGCACGGGCTGGATCGCCCATCCACGTGTTGAATTGGCGATATGCCTTGTTTGGTCGAAGATCAGGGTTTCCAAAGTAATAACCGGCAGTCTGTGCCTTCTTGCTGAAGGTCACCATGTCGGGTGGATCCTCCAGGTTCCAGTGGTCATGTGCCCAAAATTTGCCCGTTGCACCAACACCAGTCTGCACTTCATCAACGATCATAAGCACGTTATGCTTGCGCGTGAGAGCTCGGAGGCCCCGGAAGAAGTTTGGCGTGGCATGGTTGTCACCGCCTTCGGATTGCACAGGCTCAATGATGATAGCTGCAACCTTGTTATGGAATGTGGTGATTATTCTCTCGGCTTCCTCGAGGCAACGTTTCTCCTCCTGGGCATTGTACTCTACGTTGGCAGGATCGTCAAGTGGATATCTCAGCACTGGGAAGGGCGCACTTGGCCAATCAAAGGCAGGAATATCCAGCTTATGAATGGGCTTGCTGCGTGTGGTACTTAAACTTCCAAACAATCGTCCGTGGAAGCCGGTCTTGAAGGACATGATGCTCATTTGTGGTGCACCTGGCGCAGAGTTGTTCATGGCCGAGCTCATTTCCTCTTCGGTGAAGTCCGCTCCCATGCCACGCTCTTGTTGCCGCTTCCACATGAAGGCTGCTTTGTATGCAAGCTCGTTGGCGTCTGAGCCAGCTTGTGCCGTGAACACCTGGTTCAACCCTTTCGGAGCAACGGACAGTATTCCAGTCTCTAGAATGTCTACCCAATCATCCTGAGGAAAATTGCCTAGAGCTGGACGGTTGATCAAAGCACTAGCCATCTCTGGCGACGTAGCTGCACGCAACAATGATGGATTGTTGTACCCAACCGGAATCGACGCAATTTGAGCGTACCTAGGGGTTCATTAGAAGATCGAGCGTAATCAAGGCATTGACACGTACACGTCAAGGAGTACGTTGCCGTCAGGATCAACGATGCTTTGCTGAAGTTAATTGAACGTTCATCTTGTTCGACACAGCCTTGGACGCACTAGTTTCCAATGCTCTTCTTGTAGTCTGCAATCATGTTCAAACTACTCGTATCAGTGACCTTTGTCAGCCTTCGAATGACTTCGGAGCTTTTCGGTCCCGGAATTGTACTCTTCACAGTCGGAGAGTTTGGTTCTCCAGGGAAGAGAGGCTCTTCAGACTTTGGGGCGGCACTTTGCTTTGATGCGGCAGTTGCATAGCTCTTGTAAGCAAAAGTCGCTCGTGCAGTCACCTTCAGCGATCGAAAGGCTCTCCCGCAAGAGCCAGAACGTAGCATCGCCATTGCACTACGCGTACGTACTCAATCTGGCCGATCGTTCAAGGCCTACGGACGAGCTTTGAACTTGACGGTAGCAAAGGAAAAAATGTAGCAGGATTTGACGAGAAAAGAGTAGGGCAGGATGTTCGGTACAAGCGTCACGACGTGTGGCAAGGCGATGCAGGATCAACTAGTAACGAGATGCCCAGAGCAGTATTTACATCGACATATCCCTGCTATGACTCGTCTTTGACGTTGCCAAAGTCGCGCGGATTTGACCGCTGAGTGTGTTCTTTAGCCCCGCTGAATGTTGACCGACCTGGAGATAACAATGCAGGGACGAGCACGTCGCTAACCTTGATCTGGGAGTTTTTCCCGACGTCAACCGCTTGCAGCCATTGCGGGGCTGTTGTTGTTACCAATTCAAACCAGTAGACTGTTGAAACCGTCACGATTCTTTTCCGCAGAATGTCACGCTGAAACCTCTCATTTGTCTCTGTCCGAGGCAACACTGACTCCTGCTTATTGCGTTCCTTTCTGGATGGAAGAATTGATGGAGTATACAAAATTATAAATTGCAACGCCCCTAAGGGGTCCCTTCGTGTAGAATGCCATGTAGGCTGGATATAACCTGGATGCAAAATTAAATAATTACATACAATGAAGCCGCCATTTATGCATCGCGCGTGTCTGTATGTGTGTGCGCCCATGGTGTGCGCGCCCAAGAAAATAACAATTGCGGCCCTGGTATAAAAGCGGATCAGTCCATTGAAGCGACCATAAAACCAACGGCCACCAGGAGGCACAACCGAACAATGCTACGATGCTGTTTCCAATGGCGCCGGGCTTCGGTGGCCATTGACCATACTGCTCTTCGTCGAGAAATTCTGGTCACTGCCGTTTGTCTCCACCGGACTTGGCTCCTGCTGTGGAATTTCACTTCGAGGTGTTGCACTGCCTTCATCAACAGCCATCTGAGTCGGTGGAGGTGGAGGGGGTGGAGGGGGTGCCTCGACCTTGATCTTCTTCGACACACTGCTTTCCGACTCTGCTGGCGTCGCGGGTGTCTCGCTATCACGTTTCCTTTTGGCTAGGCTTTGCTCTTCCTCCACATCGAGCATCTCATCATCGGAAACTTGCACTTCTTCCTCTTCTTCCACCTTTAAATCTGCAATAGGCGGAGTCGTCGACCTTTCATTGGTACTGGAACCATTCCTCTTGGCTTCTGCTGCTTTCTGCTCTGCCCGTTCCCTCTTCTTCTTTTCAACATTCCGCTTCACAGCCTTGTTCATAAACTCTGCTACATGTTTCTTTGCTGCATGTGCGTACTTTCTATCCATTTTATTCGGGTCCGTGACTCGCTTGTTCTTGTAATCCGATTCGACAAGCTTCTTGAGGATCTCGTCTGCCAGCCTCTTGATCTCATCTCGAGGCAATTTTGGCTTGAACTTGTCTATCGTCGACCTGATGTGGTTGAGAACCTTGGGAATGTTAGTTTATGTGAACTGATGACTCCTCAAAGGAACTCACAGTAGTCTTGTAAATCTTCTTTTGTTTCTCTAACGGAAGCGATCGCCACTTCTCTTCCTTCCTTTTCGGTGTTTCAACAGCCACAGGGGTAACAGTAGCTGATGTATCCTCCTTAGGCGTGTTTGTACCTTTTATGCAGTCATTGATGATTTGCTGCAACCGCTCTTCATTGGTCAAAGGTTTGGGAGGTGGGGCAGGTATTGCTGCGTTCAGAGGACGTTCCCATTGAACATGGCTTCCAGTGTAGTAGTACGTTCTACCTGTCTCATCTCTGGCCTCATGCCAGCCCTGCGGCAATGCTTGTGGCGGAGGTCGACGAAAGGCTGGCCGTGATGCTCCAAAATAGCCAGGGGCACGCTGTGGCATGCTGTTTCTTGGACCTGCTGGCGCGACAAGTGGCGATTTCGATCGTGATCGACTTCGTGATCGCACCCGTCTCTCATTACGCTCCTCTCGAACGATCTCAACCGGAGCGTTGGGATCACGCTCTTTACGGGGTATGCGATATTCCATTTTTAATTGCCCCCAAAGTTCCAGCATCTCTGTCGCCTGCTCGACAACGCGCATATCCTCATTGCTCTTCAGCCTACTAACAGTCTCTTCTATGCCAGAACTTTCTATTTTGTTCCTGCTCAGTCGAGGAAATTTGTGCAGCACCCCCAAGACCTGTAGGCAGACATTTGAATCTTCCATGAACTCATTGAGTACGATTTTGAGTGTTCGATATCCATGCATGCGCACTACGCGCAGGATAACCTTCTCTTCTTCAACCTTGAGCAACCGATTTAGAAGTTTGACAGCGATCCACTTCTCTTTGCATTGCATCAGTGTTGCCATGAGATTGGTGACGCCATCTTCTTCTAGCATCTTTGGTTGGAGCTTGTTAACATATTCTTCGTCGTCCTCACCAGTCTTCCTTGGTCTCCGTGGCTTCTTGGCGACAGCAGTATCCCAGGATTCGCCGTCCTCGATTCCAAGAGCTTCGATGGTAGCATCTGACAGCTTCGTAGCTCGCTCAGTTTGGGTCTTGCCTCCTATGAATCCAGTGCAATTAGGTTCACCACAATAGCAAGGCTGTGGGTCCGCACCGTACCGATCAACATTATAGTTGAACACGAGCTCTTCCCCAACCTTGATTGTGCGCCCGGCAAATATGCCCATACAGAGTTTATCACCGACCACCCATTTATCAACGTAACAGTTGGGATTGCAAGAATGGTTACAGAAGCGTCCGAGGTTGCCTTTCTTTGTGGCATCAACGAACTCGCCCTTATTAAGCGACATAAAATAAAAATGCTTTATGCCTTCCTCGTCGTATTGCCGCATCCGGCGGCGAAATCGAGCCTCGTCAATGACTTCGCCAACATACTCGAAGATAAAGTCGCCATTGTGCAGTTCGGTATTCGTCCGTAGCCCGTAACCTTTTTTCTCTGTTTTGAACACAGTCACGTCTGCGTACTTTTTGTCATGGAATCTGCGATTCTGGCAATTTTGGCCACAACTACCTTGACCAGTACACTCTATTTTGGTCAGACGGTTGATGCAATCAGAATCCTCATCGCACGCATGATTAACGCCATCCACTGGAGGCACAGTTAGTAAAGCCCATGAAGGACGCTGCGTGACACTGCCTACCGTAGTTCTCCCTGCAATCACAGTCCATGGCGTGCTCGGTTGTTCCGAGCCACTTTGCCGCGTATATGCAATCTTCTATGACTTCGAACGAGGATGTCGCTTCGTCGTACATGTCAGGCTCATCGTTAAACAGCGGCGGTGGCCGCGATATAATTTTCTGCGAGGAACTTCGTGTCAATTTAGGCGCCTTGCCAGGTTCCATCTTCACCGTAATGTCTCCACCCACGATTGACTCCGTCCTTCCGGTTGTTATCTGAGTTTCATTTTCAGCTTTGAAGGGCGATTGCGTGCGAGATTGAGAGCGCTTCAAAGGCGAGAGGCTAGGTTTCGATGTAAGGGGAGTGGACGTTCGTTCTATCTTGACCACGCTCGCAGTACGCTCGTCACCGGATGATGTACCGCCCTCGAGCTTAAGATCCCTCACGTCAGACTCGATCTGCTCCTCCTTTTTTTCTATGTCACCACCGGCCATCTTGGTGAGCTGCCGGTCAAGACCAACGTCGCGAATGAAGAGTTGTGATGTTGGTGGTCGTAGCGAGAGTTTGGGTGAGGGTGAACTTTTCGTCTAATATTGCCGATGAACGAAACCTGGCTACGACGGCGTCCCCCCACAGCAACGGTGACAGACACGGATTCCGAACTCCCGGTAATGACAACGCAAGGATACACTGTGTATAAGCCGTAGACCACATGGACGGTCGAGGAGCCGCTGGCGGCCACTGGAGGCTAAGTAATGGAGCTGAAAAGCAACTGTGGCAAGATATGCCAGGCAGTTGCGCTTTGGTGACTCTAATTTTATTCAAAGGAGTCTGAATTGTTAGAGAACGACCGTTATTCGATGTAAAATGCTCGCATGGGCCGCCGTGGTATTCGATCCCGTCGGTACGAAGGAAGAAAGCGAAGGTTGGCAGCAAGGTGCCCAATGGCGCATCCGGCACGTCGCGTATGCGACCTCAAAGCACCCAGTTTCGAGCGACTTGTCCTGCGACAATTTGATGGTCTGGCAACAAAGGAGTGTTCGCGATATACTCTTGGTTCGGAACTTCGTCTTGCCATTGTTCGCGAGAGCAAAATGCTTGGCAATAGAACAACGTACCTATATCGTTCCGCGCTTAACCCTTCACACAACAGCACAACAACTGTCTATGCAAATTAATGCAAAGGAGCCTATTATTTAGTCCAAAAAAAACTAATACCGTACTTCATGTCTGATTGGATTTTTATCTTTTGGGGAATCAACTTCTTACACGATTCACAAGTGTTGGGCCTGTGTGTTAGAAGTTCATTGATTTATCGCTTTTATACACTAGATCATTCTGGTGAATTGTACTTCCTGTAACATCCACAGGTGGGTTTCCCTTTCAATAGGCCAAGGAAAAATACTGCTTCCGTCAATATGGAGATCGAAGCTTGCTAGAATTGGACGAAGAATGGTCGGAACGATAGAGACATGAATATTGACGAAAATGTGAGCGGACTCAGTATATGGAATAAACCATTCAATGCTCGCAATCTTGAGAATACATAGTCTCGTATTCAACTCAAGTTCCTCCCAGACCTGCACAGTCTGATCACCAACGTAATCTGCAAATCCTAAGGGCGGACTGTTTTTCCTCTAACTAGATGTAGTACTCGAAACCTTGAGGGGAAGTGGAGAATGGTATGCCGACAGCGTTGGTGAGAAATTATCGAGCATATACTCACCCTATTGTGAATCCGCCGAGCGCAAGGACGGCTGTACGACTGGGGGCAACACGTCTCTACTATTCTCTATCATTCTCATACCATCGAGAAATCTGTAAATATTTTCGTATGACTCTAAGGTCACCCAATCTGACTCTTCAGTAATCGCCTGTATCTCCCGCAAACTGGCGTTGTTCATACGCCTGCCGACACGGCATGCGCTGATCAAAATACATGCGAACTGCAGCGGTTTTATCGTAAGTCCGGCACATAGGTACTATGCATGTTTCGCTTATTCATTGTGATGAGCTGGGACAAGGCCTGTTGTTGATTTTATTGAGCGAATTAAGATGGGTTTCAAGCTTAAAGCTTGGCCAAGGTAAGTTGGCTTAAGTAGAATCGAGAAAATCTACTAATCAGTGGCTAGGAATGAGATATATAAACTTGATTAGTTGGTAAGTATAGACAAGTGGAGAAAGCTTGTATTGAGGGTAACATGTGACGAATTGTTCGGCTTCACGCCTTTGCTTCGAATGCTTAAACATTGTGATTTTAGTTTGAGACATTGACAATCCACCTATTGTCGTTCACTCTCTTACAAAAAATCATCTTCCGTTTCGCAAACATATCGCTGTTTCGACCAGTTTCCAACCATTTCATGGCTTCAGCGCTTGAGAAAATATTTTTCTCGAGCCATCCTTGCACCTGCGTATCATCTTCCGCTGCTGGCAGATGCTCAAAATGTCTCCTGACTGTGAATCTAACCTTTCCATTACACGAAACTACAAATGTTTGTATGGGTTTCAAGAATTTCGATTCAGAACCAAAGGGTATAGCCGGCCACGTGACGCTCCCATCGAAAAGGGAGGTGTAGGTAGAGGAGCGTTTACCACTGCCGAGTGCTTCTGTAGAATGAAGTAGCTGCCAGCACTCTTCCGAAAATGCTGGAGTTAACGGCGCCATTAGTTTCACAAGGCTCTCCACAGCATAACGAGAGATTTTTTGAACCTCCTTATCTTGAGGAACAGCATTTTCGATGGAACCGGTGTAGGAGTCAAGCGTGTTCGTGAATTTGATCAAGTCCGATACCACCGTATTCAGCCCACTAGCTCTGCGAATTTTCTCTTCAACACTATCACTGGTTGTTCTGAGTTCCGCAAGAATTTTCTTATGTGAATCTGCAAGAGATGGAATGTCTGTTTCAAAATTGAGAGTGGCATTTTGGCCAGCATTTAGATTGACCAAACGCCAGACTTTGGTCAGCCATCTCGTCATTCCAATAATGCGTTCTTCTTCCCAGTTCAGCACCTCTCCTTCGGGTGCAGCGAACAAGATATGTGCACGAGTAACATCGGCACCGTACCTTGCAAGACATGCCGCCGGATCGACGCCGTTGTGTTTGCTTTTAGACATCTTTTCAAAACTGATGTTGGGCATAGCGCCTGTAGCTTTGATGACAGGCGCGCTTGGCACTGAGGTATCGACTTCTTCTGCCTTGAGGAAGCGGCCATTGACGGGGTCAGAATATGTCTTTCCATGCACCATTCCTTGCGTAACCAGCTTTGAGAATGGCTCTGTGAAAGACGTTGGCCATGATCGTCCTCCTTCTTCAGAAGCCAAAAACTTTGCCATGAACCGAGCATAGAGCAAGTGCAATATTGCATGCTCTACGCCGCCAATATAGTAGTCGACCGGCATGAGTGAGCTTGCTTTCTCCGGGAGGAAGGGAATGTCGTGATTTTGTGGATCTGTGAAACGAAGGAAATACCAAGCAGAGTCCATAAACGTATCCATAGTATCGGTGTCGCGCCTTGCTGGTTGCTTGCATTTCGGGCAGCTCGTACTAACCCACTCTTTGGCGCTTTCAAGAGGGTTTCCTTCTCGTCTTTGGAAGTGATCAGCACTCAACTTTGGGAGCTGAACTGGAAGTTCTTCAAGTGGAACCGGGACAGAACCACATAAATTGCAATGAACAATGGGAATTGGCGCCCCCCAGTATCGTTGACGACTGATCAGCCAGTCTCGAAGACGCCATGTGGTGTGTTCGTAGGCATTATATCCATTCATTTTTAACTGCTGAAGAATTTCAAGCTTTGCTTCCGGGCTGCTTTTGCCGTCCCAGGACGTACCATGGCACAATGAAATCCCTTCACCTGTGAATAAACCTTGGAATTTCGTCTCATTCCCTGGCCTAGGTTCAATGGCACAGATGATATCTTCGTTCGGACGATGTTTATGCCAGAACGCGTTGTCACGAGCGTCGTGCGCGGGAACGCCCATAACAGCTCCAGTCCCATAGCCATCTAACACGTACGGAGCAGCGTATATGGATATTCTTCTGACTCCAAGAAGTTTGTTCTTGGCTACAAAAGGTAGCAAATAGCCATCCTTTGAATTCTCTGGTAAATGCTTTGCAGTTTTGATGAACTCTTGCAGCTTTTTGTCATGCTCCGCAAAGGCCTGCACCAAGGGGTGACTCAGGGACAAAGCGACAAATTGAACACCGTACAGAGTATCAAGCCTAGTGGTGAAGACCTCTAATTCTCTAAATGTCGAGAGGACGCTTCGAGCACCGTCAATGCGACTGTACGGCACTTCGAGTTCGAATGGGAATCGCACGCCTATCGATCTTCCAAGCCAATTCTTTTGCATATCCACAACTCTTGCTGGCCACATATTATCATTTTCCAGCTTAAGTAAGTCTGAATATAACTCTTCAGCGTAATGAGTGGTGGCAAGGAACCATTGCTTGAGCATTCGCTGCTCAACCTTTGCACCTGATCTCCATGAGCGGCCATTCGCATCGACCTGCTCGTTAGCAAGAACTGTATGATCTATCGGATCCCAGTTAACAAGTGCTTCCTTTTGATACGCTAGGCCAGCTTTATGAAGCTTAAGAAACAAAAGTTGGGTGTGTTTATAGTAGGCGGGATCGCAAGTTGCGAGTTCCTAGGCAAAGGTTAGATCTCATCCTGTGTGGAGAATGCTATTTAAGTCGGCGTACTCTATCCCAATCCCATTCGCCATTCATCGACTTCAACTGTGCCTTCATTTGCTTAATATTCTGAATGGTCCAGTCTCCAGGATCTACCCCTCGTTCAATTGCCGCATTCTCCGCAGGTAGACCAAAAGCATCCCAACCTATTGGATGCACCACACGAGTGCCTTTCATTCTATGGTAGCGAGCGATGACATCTGAGATGGTGTAAACCCTAATGTGACCCATGTGCAATGTTCCTGACGGATACGGAAACATGGGCAGCACATATTTCGCAGTCTTAACGCCATCTTTGCTCTCGTCGCGATGTACCGAATCTTTTAACCGAGAGCGTTGTTGCTCCCATATGTCTTGCCATTTCGCGTCAATGGCAGCGAAGTCAGGACGTGAGGAGGTGGATGCGGGCCGTAGCTGCCCCCGTCGCGGCGCAAACAGGAGCGCTACGCCAGATGGCCATCTTGCGCTGGTCAAACAATAGTGAAGGTAACGCATGAGAAATCATGCCATAATCAAAGACTGCCTAGATGCCGGAATTGTTTTGCATCGATCTGAGTCAAACGCGGATCCCTGCCTACCGTAGTGCCTTGCAGCCTTCGAGCTATCAGACCACCGCGACCACCCACCGACCACCGAGACCAGCGAGACTAAGCTAGCAGATGCCATGCTATACACCCAATTATTGGCGCTACTCTCCAAGCAAAGGAAGTCTTTGACGAGTCGGTTATGCAGGTGCATAATCACATTGGGTCGTTACTCATAACTCATATAGTGTATTCAAACATATTTCATCAAGCATTTGACTCAGTTTCCTCGATCGACCTTGACTAAATAAAGCAAAAACATCCGGAAACTCCTCGACTGAATCAATGGGCCAAGTATAATGATTGAAGATAGCATACGAATTGAGTTTAGGAGCTCGTAGTCTACGACACATACCGGCTGGAGAACGTGATCGATATATTTCCTACGGGGATTGAAAAAGATCGTGACTCAGCCGTTAGGTGATGGAAAACTATTGGAGAAGCATTTGTGGCGATATGAAATCAGCGAGACAAGTCTTTGTATCTACAATGGCGAAAAGGAATCTATTCGACCTGATACACTTTGATGATACAAACCCGCATATCGCGCAGCACAAGAATTGCTGTTTACTATTTACACTTTCAGACCAAGCTCTTCTGCAAATGGCAGAACATGTAGATCGCCAACCGCAGAGACTGAAGCCTTGCTTTCAAGAAGCGCCTTGGCAGCCTGTTGTATGTCAATTAGTATTGTATCTAGATAAATCGATAATGCTGAAAGAAGGTCAATACGTACAGCCTTGACTTTAGCCTCATCCACAGCGTCGATCAACTTCGCGGTCTCATCAACTTGATACGCCTTGTTGCCAGTGATCAGACCATTGCCAGTAAGCTCTATGCCATTGTTGATGTTCTGGCCGAAGTCAAGCTCCTTGTATTTGGCCTGAGCTTTGGCCTTTGTGATATCCTCTTTAGAGATCTGGCCATTGGCAACAGCCGTAATGGTTTCGACCACCTTCTTGGCCGCCGCTGCAACGCCAACTGCTGATCCATGGATTTGCGTGTACAAAAGGCCGGCGTCAGAGTAGATAGCGCTCTTGGTTTTGACACCTACGCTCGAAATGTTTGCAGTCGCCTTGGAGAGCAACGAGAAGCCTGGTGACCACTTGATACTGGATTCACCGCCGAGAAGAGTAGCGAGTACGGAGATCTCCGGTTTGTAAGAGCCTCCTGTAAAGGAACTTGAACCGGGGAAACCGATAATCATGGTGTTATCAGCGGCATGAGCGATGCGTTCTTCACCTCCGTAATACTTGCTTGGTTCAGTCGTTATGGATGGCACGCCAGAAGCGGGAGCTGATGGGATATCCTTAAAGAACTCTCCGACCCACTTCGACATCTGCCCATGGTCCGCACCGTTCGCAACAATGGCGAAGTTAGGCTTTGTGTATGCTGCCGAAGCGAATTCGGCAATTGTCGAAGCATCAAGGTATTTGTTGATCGGGGTGGATGATGATGGGAAGAGCGGCTCACCCAGGCCACGGTGGAAGGCGATGCCGTGGACGGAGCTCAGGGCCATCTGCTGCGTGTTGGCTAAAAAGTTCTTTTGAGATAGCTTAAGGATTGGTAGGATCTGCTCGGCATAAACGTGGTCTCGAGTTCACGTCAGCAACAAAGCTTTTATAGCAGATAAGCACACGCACTTTGGTATTTAGTCTTTCCAGCAACCTCAGCAAGCAACTCGAGGAAGTAGGGTAGATCATCACGAATGAATTTTGCGCACAGAACGAGGTTCTCCCGCGAGTGGTACGCGCTCAATTCGCTACCGAGCAGCTCTGATTCCCGAACAATGCGCAGAGCAGAGCGGTTCTCGGTATTCTGTAACATCGTGGTTAGTGAGTCGTAGCTCTATCTTTCTGTGCCTGTACTCCCGTCTCATCGAAGCTTTATTTGAACCGATTTGAGCCGTTCATATCATCTCACAGTCTCATCTGAAATAAGAGATGGCTATAAAGCCACTGTATCGTGCAGCTGAAGGAGGAAGAGGATGGATGCATACCCTGAAAGCGAAGCCTCGTAGACCCTCTGTAAGGCCTGGAAGGAATTGATAGCGAGTTCCAGCCCTCGAGACTAAGGCCAACGTCGTGGTTGGGCCAGTGAGATCTCGGCTTGCGAATTTTGTCCCGGCAGCCTCACCGATCTGGTAGGCGAAGGAACCCGAAGCTGGAGCTGTCGCTGGTGCGTTAGATGGCAAGAGGTTACAAAGGCAACAAGAAAGCGGGATTACCAGCAAGGCCGCGCTTTTGACTGCACTGTAGGCAGCGCAGAGCCCTTTGGCCACTTCTCAGCGATGGGCGAGAATACATGATGGTCGTACGGGGCGCCAATGGGTGGTGGAAGCTGAAAGGTTGAAGACGACGGACGTCTTTTGCTCGAGCAACAAATACGGAATTGGCTGACGCGCGATTCGCCGATGTGAGGACCCGGCCTTGGCAGAAGAAAGACCTTGGAGCATGACCACATGAGGCTAGCGTCTACGGCGTTCATTGACACCTTCAACTTTTTTACTGCCAGTGCGGGACCCAAAAGATTCGCGATAGATTGTGTTCGAATTCTGGCGGCCAAAATTTCCGTCGCATTTACCATCCACGTCTGGCGTGTGCTGGGGAACCCGTCGAGCTCCCCAGGGTTGCACATCCAGCTCAATCATTGCCATTGTCCCGTGTAAATAGCCCTCTGGACCTGTTTCGTACTATTGTCGTCCAGTCCACTCATGCATGACGACGAACTGAAAAGTTCTGCCTAACACTCGATCAGCTCCAATACTCATGAAGCAATCAAAGCCTTTCGCATCCCATCATCATGCGGCAAAATCTGGCTGAGTTGTTGGCTTCGGCTGTCTCGACCACATATGGTTCATACTACGGCGCAGTCCTCTCTGCGCTCACCACTCGAGCACGGGCGACATCTGCCCAACTCATACGTGCAACACCGAACCTAAGCAGCGGCGATGTTCGCCTTGCCCTAGTCGCAATGGTACAGCAGCGCATCGTCAACCACTATACCGATGCGTCGGGCACGACCTTCTACGAGCCCAACTGGGAGCACGCCTACAACTTCATGTATCGCATACCGACGCTGTGCAAATTAGTTGAAGAACGATATGACACATGTGTCGCAAATGTGTTCAATGCCGTCGCCCGGGCCGGTGTCGTCTGCGTAAACGAATTGCTTACTGAGATGTGTCCAGCTCCACCCGAAGACGCGAAAAGCAAGCACGAAAATTCAAACACAAATATGGTTGAAAATGGCGGTTCAGATACAAGAGCTGGCCAAAGTGCTATTCTATCCGAGAATGAGCTCTATGGCGCCCTAAATGTGCTGCTAGCCGCAGGTTATTTGATGAGAGTGAATCTTCGACAGTTCTGGCCGCCCCACGACCGCGAGATCGAGGCTACCAACGAAGTGCTTCGCTCAGACTTTCCCACTGGCGTGAGCGCGAAGAAGGAGAAAGATGAACTAAAAAGGCAGACAATGCGGCTTCTACGTCGCTGGCGCGAGGAGGACGAAAACTTCGAATCTCATGGCGTCAATGGTTTCAACAGCCCTTCTCGCAAGCGCACCGCGCACCATGGAGATTCATATCTCGATGCAGACGCAGAGCTAAGAAACCCCAAGCGGCAACAATTAAATGGTCAATCAAAAACCCTTGTTGAACACCACAGAAGCTGGCTCTCAAAGCACCAAGATCCACTAGACGTAAGGGTTTTGTTTCTATGAAGGAGCTCTCTTACTCACAGAGGTGTACAGCCTGACCTGATCATTGCCGTGAACTTCGACAGATGTGCTGTCGGCCTGCGTACAAACCAATTCATCCAATATTGCGAGCGGCACATCCATCCAATGACTGCAAAGGTGTACGGAGCACTGCTGCGCGTTCTTGAGGGTTCTACAAGTCGCTGCTTTGATCCTTTAGAGGAAAGGCCCGAAAATGAGCGTGAATTCTTCGGTCCTGTTTACGAGAAGCCTAAAAAGATTGATTCAGGACTATCAGAAGCTGTGACGACGCAACAGATTGCGAATATGCTTGAAGCGGACCTGGATCTTACCGCAGGCCTTGCACCTGAACCGAACGATGATGTTGAGCCTTCCGTCGAGAATGCAAATGTTGTCAATGGTCATGCTTCGCGTCACGAAGACGATGATGATCCAGAGAGCGCGCGATTACGCAGGATAGAACAGCATCTTCATGTTCTCGTATGTGACTCGCGTGGGCTGGTACGAAGAAAGCATCGAGAATGGTTTGTCCCTTTCCACTCCACAACGCAACGCATAATAGAGTCTGAGATCGAGTCTTGCATCACACATACCCTTGGTACACTACCAGCGCGAATGGTTCGCATCCTCAAGTTCTATGGTCATCAAGAGCTTCGCCATCTCGCCTCTAGAGCCATGGTTACTGAAGACCAAGCTCGCACAGCGTGTCAGCTCCTGCAGCAAGCTGGTTGGATCGATGTTGTAGAGCTTCCGCGGACAGCGCGTCGAGAAGTGACGAAAAGTCTATGGCTCTGGTGTTATGATGTGCTGCAAGCGCGTCAAAAATGTCTGGCTGATTGCTATTTTACCATGACACGACTGTCCATTCGCCTCCAGAGCGAGCGTCAGAAGATCGAATCTGTCATTACTAAATCGGAACGCTCGGACGTAGTAGGCCATGAAGACAAGTTCCTCAATAACGAGGAGAAGGTGGCACTTGCTAAGTTTGCAAAATCGACAGATTTGATCACAAGACAAATGGTGCGTATTGATGAACTTGTGGCCGTGATGAGGGATTTCAGCGCGATGGAGCATCCGCATAAGCTTTGGGACCTAGGTTGGGTTGATTGGCAAAGCCCAGAGAGGGATGGGCTCGATGATGGAACAAGAGCGCTCGAAGAGTATGTTGAGGGCGCCGAAGACGAATCGAATAATGAAGATGAGGATGAAGGTCTTAATTAGGCCCAAAGTTGGGCTCTAATCGAGTCTCAAAGTTATCGAACAGTGCACTGGGACAGAGGGGGGGGGTTTTTTTTTTTGCATAGCATATGGCATCTGATCACTAAGCTTGCAAGGACTGTCAGCATCGCTCATCGATGGACCTATTTTAGCCATCCACCAGAGAGGAGAAACTCCGTTCTTCGGCATTTGCCTCAGAACCATCAGCAAAATTGTTTCAGTCGTGTTTCGAGCACTCTTCACTAGACAGTTCTGAGTAAATGAAAGAGAGAGAGCTGTGTAGAGGAAGCCTGCCACTGACCTTAACGTATCGTATGTTCCCATGGCTAAGTTGCGAGAGAGCAATCGCTGATTATGACCATTCTCCCCTCGCGATTGATTGTCGAGGAAGATGGCGGAGAAAACGCCGTGTGAGTATTACGGGCTATTTGACTACGTAGAGTCCCGCAGGAGATGACCCGCCGAAGGAAGAGCGACTGCGACCTCCAATTCAACACTGTTCAGTTGTCTCAAACCAACGACTATTCCACAGTCGGCCGCCACTCGTCAGTCTGCACATGCGCTCACAGGCCCATACTTCATCTGATCATTCTGTTCAAGGAACAATGGTCGAGCTTGCAAATCGTCAACATATTTGAATGTTCAAGTTTGATCACATTTATAGAAATCTTCTCACAGCAACATCGAGTCAACTAGCTGCCGTTTGAGGCCTTGCTTAGACGCTGTTCCGTTGAAATTATGAATAGCAAAGCTGTTGTGATACGTTTCAGGCTTGCACTGCCCCAAACGCCAATTTCAACAATGATGCCAAGCACTAGGAGAATAGAGAGACAAAATTGGCGAAATACAAAAGGACGACCAGCGGAAAAACACGAGGAAAGAAGCCAACATGGCGAGTTCAGTAGCAACTCGCGAATGGAGCCTCTGCTCGACACGTCAAATCCGCGGCGGGGCCCGTCAAGATGACGGAACCATGCAAACCAAAGGATGAGAGAATCTGTCAATGCATGTCTAAGTTTGAGTCTCGTGGCCCATTTCTAACTTGACGTCTCAGGCAACTTTCACTTACTGTTGTAGATACGGTAAGTTAACCATATTTCGTTTAGTGCTGCGAGTGTCAGACCCTGGTCAATTCTGCATCACCATATCAACTTCTTTCGGCCTTGATTAAAGGCCAAACCCAATACATCTTGCAGTGGCGCATACTGTAAACTCCAAACACCTGATACAAAGCGCAACCACAATTTCTGCGGCTGCAAGATGCAGTCTAGATTTCAATCGTATCAGTCTTCTATCCAATCAGGCCTTCAATCCGACTATGCCAAATCCACATCCTCGTTCTTCAGTAACATTCTTACGACAACCACCTCAAAATACAACTCCCTCAAACGACAACTCATTTCGAGCGAAGCCGACGGTGACACTGAAGACGACTCTCACATAGCAAGAGGATTAAGAGCATATTACACCGAGAAAGGAAGGGCGTTTCCACCATGGCTGCCGCCAGACCCCAAAGCCCCGCCTCCTCCTGCACCAACACAATTTGTGTCTAGTTCCGGCGTGAATGTGCAGCAGAAAGGCTACGGGACGCAAAATCAGCAGAATCCTACGGGATCTGGTCGATGGAACAGATCAGGTGGGGGACTCAGCGATTTATGGGGCGATGGTAACAGGAACTCATCACCTCCGGGCAGTGACAGCCTTCGGCAGCGCCCCAGCATGGTCTCGAACAACTCCGCCGGCTCTGTACCGACGAGCTCGCAGTCAGGTCGCTTTGGTAGTTCAAGATTTGGAAGTGGAGAGAGTCTACAGCCCGAGCCGCAATCTCGACCCTTGCCCAGCCAAAGAGCAGGCAGCTACCAAAGTCAAGGCTCCGTCGGGGGTGGTCGATTTGACACTGCATCTCCACCACCTGCAAGTGGCGTTTCCGCGCAGGACAGATTGAAAGCGCGGCTCTGGGGTGCTGCACGTACAGCGTCGCCACCTCCAAACGCCGCTTCAGCTGGGAGCCCTGGAAATAGCGGAAGCAGAAACCCGTACGAGAACACGGGAGGAGGAAATAATTCGTATGCAAAGCAAGCCTCAGGGAGCAATTCAAGATATGGAGGTGGCCCCTCGCAAGATAGGCCTCTAGTCTCGTCGAACTCACCATGGAGTGGTGGGGGAGATTATGGAGGCAGCGGAGGGTATGAACAGAGTGGGGTACCTTCTGGTGGAGGACTTCCATCGGGTCCACGATCTGGCAGACAAGGAGTTGGATTACCAAATGGGCCGCGGCCTCAAAGATTTTGAGTGGCTGGTATTTTCACCGATCTGAGATGTGCCAAGTCATTTTCAGCGACGGATGTGCAAGCATTTAGCTATGTCATTAAACGATATCCATTAAGTGCGACCTATCTTTTGAAGTATTATGATAATGAAGATGATCAAATCCAAGCATTGCTTGATTTTCTTGTCAGAGATACATCAAGTTGAGGGACACGAAATAGTGGAATTGTTGCCGACTGGACGAGGTGGTTTGGAGATCACTAGTCGCCAGTTCGGTTATACTGAGCTCGAAGTGGCGTTGTCTTGCTAAAATTGATTGAGATGGAAGAGATTGGTTAAGGGCTTGATCATGTCTTTCAACACATATTTCAATCTACGCGACGATAGACTTCCCAAGAAAAAAAAGTTCGAAAAACTTCGCCTTCCTCAGAACAGGCGTACTAGAACTTGGCTATTTTGACTTCAGTCACTATCGAGCAACGTCGTCTTTCATGTCTTAAAGTGATGAAGGAATTTGCAGCAACGCAATTCGAAAGTATTTGTGTCTCAAAGCGTTCACTGACCAGATTGAGCAAGCAAATGGCAGGAAGACCATTTACGTGGAGGAATTTGAGGATGGAAAGCTTTGGCTGTGAGGATTGAAAACCTGAACTCCCCAAAACAAATGCCACAAAATGGAGATTGGGTGGGAAGAGATTCAATCCTCATTAGAATGACGTTCGCGTTACAGTCGTGCAGATGCAGAAAGACGCGCGGACTGTACCGCATTCAAAGAAGTCGACGGGAGCAAGCTCGACCAAGCACGCGGTACAGTTGGGCAAGTAATGCGTGTTTAGTTCGTGGCGGCGGACGAGTTGTTGTCGACGAAATGCGGAAGCCTGAATTTGCCCCGCAGTTTGCGCCGACCGTCCACGCCGCCTCAAAGACGTCACTATGGTCAGCTCAGCCTTACACACCAGCTGACCTATTATGTTCCACTTTGCCCTCACATGCTGCATATCTAGTAGACCGTCTGCACGTATTGATCCTACGCTTCTTCCCCTGTGCTCGCAGACTTCAAGTGCATCTACACCCGATGTCCTCCTCCCACACCCCGCCATCGCCGACGGCGTCATTCTACGACATGAGTGACGATGAAGAAGGCGAATACAGCACTGTCGTACATAAGAAGACAGGACGAGGCGTAAAATTACTTTATGCGAAGAGTAAAGTGAGTCGATTTAAATACCAGACAAGGCATTATTGTATTGATTGTTGTAGGTTTACATTCACCCGTCGCCATCGGCTAAGGACAACATCCCAGGCTTCATCGCCCTTATTCAACAGAAACCTGCCGATCTTGCTCTAGCCTCCGACAGACCAACGTCTTCTCATTCTCATAACAGCCCTGCTGCATCCGATCTTCTCCTTGCTTGGGTGCCGGAGTCTTCGCTCGGTGATGCTTACGATACGTATGTGAAGGTCGATCTCTCCGAATCGTCGTCTCCACCTAAGCAATCCTTCCTCGTACCTGCGCCGCCACTCACAACGAGCCATCCAAGCAGCCTCAGCCATGGCGCGTACGCATTTTCAATCCCGCTTAGCGAGGTATACAGCTTGCTCGTGCGTCCACCAAACCTTGGGTGGTGGTTCGGGAGCGTGATTATTAACACAAGGGCCGGTGATAGCTTTCCAGCACTTTTCTTCCACGATAACGAATGCCAATCAACAATACTACAGCGCAAACGTCTTGCCAAGGAAAGCTTCGATCCATTCAAGGATGGGGGAGGAATGTTTTGGGGTGGCGATGAGGTTCTTCGCTGGTTGAAACGGTATGTAAGAGTCGAAAGAACTGGGGCCGATCCAAACGTGTATCTCATAAACCCTTCACCAGAGGATAAGGTTGGATTTAGCAAAATCAATGGCATTGATGATAGCAAGCGGGAGTCGTCTAGAACTAGCATGGCCGGGGCAATTGGAACCAGTGGATCGATCTCTCGGGATGGAGGAATGGATCCTGTCACAAAATTTTTAAAAGAAACGCGGTGGAACGTGCTAGAGAAGTTGAGCCAAGTTACCACATTCACGAGACGAACAGCCCAAGCCATCACGGAAAATAAAAATTTGCCTCCACAAGTGAGACGACTGCTACACAACCCCGAGGTTCAGACTCTACAGGATGAATTCGACAGCGCAAGGCTTTACCTGGCAAGGTGGGCGATGGGAATTGCAGAGCAAAGTGAGAGAGAGAAGAACCAAAGAATATGGACTGCCAAGGATGTTTTAGAGATGGAGGATACTGATGTCGGGGAATTCGAGCTGCTTGATGCCGGAAAGCTCTCTCTGACCGATCGTAGAAAACCAGTCGATATGAAGGAGTGGAATGGTTTTTTCAATGATTTTGATGGCCGATTACAGCTGACGTCTGACGAAGTCAAGGAACGAATCTTTCATGGTGGCCTAGACCCAGACGATGGAGTGAGAAAAGAGGCTTGGCTATTTCTGCTCGGAGTATATGACTGGAATAGCACAAAGGATGAACGGGCAGCCCTAATGAACTCGAAACGGGACGAGTATATTAGGCTCAAGGGAGCTTGGTGGGAACGTATGGCAGATGGCTTATCTTCCTCGGATGAGGCTGAATGGTGGCGTGAACAGAAAAATCGCATAGGTATGTCCATGTATTGGCGAAGTAACCTTATTGCTCAGAAGCGCTGACATTTCCCCGGATCTCGGGGTCCGCCATGTAGAGAAGGATGTCCACAGAACAGATCGCCATATTCCACTTTTCTCAGGGGAAGACATACCACACCCAGATCCATCCTCACCCTTTGCCGAAGCAGGCACAAATGTGCATCTTGAACAGATGAAGGATATGCTCTTGACTTACAATGAGTACAACAAAGAGCTCGGTTACGTTCAGGGCATGTCGGACCTTCTTGCCCCGATTTACGCAGTCATGCAAGACGATGCCGTTGCATTCTGGGGCTTCGTCGAATTCATGAACAGAATGGAGCGTAACTTTCTTCGCGATCAGTCTGGTATGCGCACACAGCTTTTGACCCTGGATCATCTGGTTCAGCTCTTAGATCCAGTGTTGTATGCGCATTTGCAAAAATGTGATTCTACGAACTTCTTTTTCTTTTTTCGTATGCTGCTCGTCTGGTATAAACGCGAATTTGAGTGGATGGATGTGCTTCGACTCTGGGAATGTATGTGGACAGACTTCCTCAGCTCAAATTTCCATTTGTTTGTTGCACTTGCGATATTAGAGAAGCACCGCAACGTTATAATGGAGCATTTAAGAGGATTTGATGAGGTTCTCAAGTACAGTAAGTGCAACCATATTCCACTCTTCACACTACTACTAAATAGACTCTAGTCAACGAACTTTCGAACAGCATTGATCTGACTTCGACGCTCGTAAGGGCTGAACAACTCTTCCGCCGCTTCCAGCGTACAGTGGAAGCAGTGGACCGGAAATACAGTTTTCCTGTCCCGAGCAATGTTCGACAACGAAGGCCAGGACAAGAACCCAGCCAAGGACAACACGCTGAGACGAGTGCGAGAGAGGGATCACTCTTAGGGGAGCTTGCCAAATCTCAGGAGCCAGATAAAGGCAAGCAGATTGGTTCAAGGGATGCTATTGCCGCAGGAGTGAATTCAGAGAATGTGAAGGTTATCAGCCCTGAACTTAGGGACCTATTGAGGAGAGACATTTATTACAAGCTTAATAAAGATGAAGTCAGGGAGCATGGCGGCGGTGTTGGGTCATGAGATTGGCATTTTTGCAGCTATATTTCTTCGCAAAAATGTTGACTATCTAACATTGCCCTGCCAACATTCAGTCTAATCGTAGAGCCTGATGCTACTGCACTGCAAGACGTTTCAAGGCTCATTGCAATAATATTGTTGCACAGCAATTATTTTTTCGTGGACCAGTGTAACAGAGTTGTTTGAAATTTGTAGAGAGAACAGCTTTCCAAAACGCGTAGTCGATGCACATTCTCAGCAAACACTGCGGCGGGAATTGGCATACATTCTGACAGCCGTGTAGCCTAACAAGCCAATCATACGTCAATCTGCTCATGTAAAGACTTAAAGTTCAAAGAGGTCCGTTATCGTTTTCACGAATCACAAACCATTGTGCAGTCTCCTTTTTGTCTTGACACAAATACGGTGCCGCACCCCGAGAGAGCTACCTTTGAATGAGATGTCTTTGACCATGGCTATGACAACAACCGCTGCGAATCTACCTTTCCCATCCTCTTCATTCGGCGTCAAAATGATTACTTCTAGCATAACTACGGTAGGATCAGCCAGCAGTCTGGCCGTTGAGGTGCCGGCAAATTCGACAACAATCACAGTCACCGTCCTCGGTCGTCCGAATCAAGATCCATACAATACATTGGCTGCATCTGTTGTTTCTGTAAGCGATCAGACGACAATCTTTGCTCTTGGCTGTCGGCCACCATCTTTGCTCAAAGGCAATTTCAACACCTATTCTCCATGCATAGAGCAGGAAGCTACTATCACGGCTGCACCATCCATGTTCGCTTATGTTGATGCTGATACGAGCCTGGGCTGTTCACATGCCAGCAACGCGCAAATGTATACGTGTCGTGTAGACACTTCGGGTGGGCAGATTTTATCTAGTGCGTTCTTCATTAACGAGTATGGCCTGGGGGGACAGGCGGAATTGCTTGTTACTGCGGGATTAGAGAAATTGAACGGCACTTCAATTGTCAAGAGTGGTGGAGATAGGACTATAGTGGATGAGAGAATGCTATGGCTTCGCTGGTTGAATATTGCAGTTCTATTGTTATTTATGTGGCATTGAAATTCTCGTGGACGTTTTTGGAAGTTTAGGTTACAGCTACAGACCTTCAGCCTACTCCACTAGCGTTAATTTCGGCACAATCCACCAGTCATGATAGCGATTATTCCCAGGCGGTGGAATTTCAAGCTTTAACTGTCTCTCCTTTGTGTGCATCTTCAGTGTCGAGAGAGAAATACCTGTCGCGATACAGGTCTGCAACAGCGCCGAGGTGTTCTGCTGTATATTTAGTCATCTGGGACAAGAACAGGATAAGTAGGAACCTGACCTTTGCCCATATTTCATTGAGACCTTCATAGCCAGCAGCAACAATCCCAAGCTTCTTCACTGTAGAGAATTGGGCCTTTGCCTGCTTAATTTCTTCTTCGATCTTTTCCAAAGATGGAGTCCAGGATTTCTCAAACATGGACTGGGACCCTATGTATGGACCAAAGGGATGTATTGCTGAATTCCAATCCTGGAAACTCGGTAACTCCGGAGATTTGATCGTCAAAAATGGCTTCATCCGAAGCTCATACTTCAATTCTGGTTGGTAGAATTTCGAGTTGACCGCAGATTGTGGGACAAGCCCTAGGTAGGATAATAGAACATACATCAAACTGAGAGAGGAAGCGAGAACGGTCGTGCCGCACGCTTCGGCTTTCATCGAACGCAGAAAGTTGATGTTTTGCTCCAATTTCAATTCTTTCGAGGCTTCATCTCGCGACGAAGCCCTCACTTTCGCAGCTCGTGCTTCCGCTTCGGCTAAGAGAGGCTCTATCAGCGACTGACGGGACGAAGACAGCGCGGCTAGATACCAGTACATGCCGGCTAACTCGTCCGGTAAATACATGTCTAATTCGAACCCAAGTTGAACTATCCACTCCATAACACGGAGCTTCTGAAGATATGTCCACGATGATAACGGAAACTCAATTTCGTCCGTACTGAACTTGCGCAAGGATTCGTCAAGATGCTCAGTTTCCATCGTCTGCAAATCTTCCAGCGCTGCAGCAACGTGCGTTAGGTTACGACGCACTCGGCATCGATTTGAAGTCAATGTACGGAAGTAATCGATGTAACCTCCAGGCATGTGGACAGCAACTTCGCAAAAATGACTGACTGCCTTTGCCATTTCAAACCTCCGGTTAGAAACCGGTGTTTTCGATTGTGGTGCTTCAATCGTCCAGTTAATGGGATCAAGAACGTCCGACCCGGCAAGCACAATATCCTCCAGGTCTCGGCGAAGCAATTGTTGGAAGCCGGAATCGTCGCACATGAATAAGGCAGCCGCAAGACACGCTCTAGGGTAAGTGTATGGCTCAGGCTTTCGTGAGCTAAAAGCCCAAAGGAAAGACTTCAAAGGTTGAACGTTGTGTGGCCCAAAATGAACGATCTTTACGGCTTCCGCGCAGTCCTTGCACATGTTTTCAAGCTTGGTCAACGCATCGTCAAAGCTTATTTCTACCATAGGCTTTGGAGGTACAGTGCTTGCGAGTCTTCTCTGTATCTTTGGGCTGAAGGATTCTTTGACAGGAAGCCCCAAAGAGTGTGTCGTCTTGATATCTGCTAAGAACCCAGGCATGTCTTTCCAAAGTTTAAACTTGTCTTCAATATCTTCTTCCAAAGACATTGCTCGTAGGAGAGTTATTCGAAAGTTGATGCGTGCTGCGATAGCTCCGTACAGATCTGGTGAGCCTAAATGCTGGCCGTTGACGCTGTAGAAATTTTAGCTACGTATGAATAGATAAAGCCGTAGTCGTACCTATGTTCTTTTTCTGTCGATGTGAACTCCGCTGCCAAGGAAAGGAGGTCGAGAATTGGTTTTAGTGGTATCTTTGTGAACAGCTCTCTGCCATACGTGTGCCCCGAAAAATCCTCTTCCTCGTAGAAATTGCATCGAGTACCACCACCGTCAAGGCTGCGATTGATTTCTTCTAACGCGTAGTCACAACACTTGATCATTGCAATGCAGTATGCTCTTAACACTAAATGGACCAGAGGGGAACTCCAGACGTTATCCCTTCCAGACTTGGAGAAGTGAATTTGATCAACGTTCTTTGCTTCTAAGGACAGCAGCTTGTCGATGTAGTGTGAGCTGAACAGCGTCTGTGCCAACGGATAACCCTCGTACCACGCCATCTCGCAGCAGAGAAACTGGTCAATAATTCCGATAACTTCTTCTGGAAGCAATGGCCGCTCAAGGTCATATTCGTCAACCAAAGATTCCCCAGGCGCAAGACATCCGCTGTCCATCTTTGGATCCATTATCTGACATCTTGAGCCGGTTGTGTTACGAATCACGTAAAAAGACATACCTCGAGTGCGCCGACCGATTCAAATAAGGTGAATGCTGTATCCTTTACCAAAGTCCCCACAGGTAGAGCTCATCTTATTGTCAGCGTAGATCGAGAACGACAAGTTGTTCAACGAACTTGATGCGACGTGGCGAAACTTCGCCGTGATATCCCAAACTCTCTTGTCACCGAGGACAGAGGATGTCGGCTTAGGAAAGTCCATAGCATCTGCTTTTGAATCTGTAGTCGCTGCTGAAATCTCTATTCCCAAAGACAATGAGCGCTGGAGCATTTTAAATCATTTGAGCAGTGTGTACCAGTAGATTTTCGCCCGTCATCGTTGATGACCATGTGCGATGTCGCTTACGATCGGAATCAGCCGCAGAGCACACGTAACGAGACCTTTGTACGAACCTCGCACTAAACTATCGTCTGATTCGCTCTTCATGATTGAGATAGACTTGTGGGGAGAGGGTTTATTTCATGCCTCGATCGTGACTAGCTAGCAAAGGTTTGAGTGCGAACTGGCGTGCCAAGACATGGGGCTGCGAAGTGGAAGTCGAACCATGTAGTCCATCTTGAGCTACGGAGCTACAAAGTGGGCAAGTAACAAATGGATACTGTTAGCGAAAGCGTGCCCTCTTTCCTCACGTTGAATGCATAGATAAAAGGAAAAGAGAGAACATCCGCATTTCGATTTTTTAAAGGCAAGTATCACGTCATTTATATCTAACCAAAGAATACGATCAGAGCTAGAAATCACACGTTCTTGAATGTCTCTTGAAGATTGTGTTGATGATACAGAATCTATGCAGAGTGATTGCTAAGTTTCCGCTATCCCCATTCTGAATTCCCATGAGCATTTCTGATCCAATCGCCAACGTCAAAACTTCACCTTTGATAATCTACTGCGATGCTGAGGTTGCATGCTCAGCCATCGCTGAAGCATTCGCACTTGCGAGGCTCTTGTTTTCTCCCTGCTTGCCATTCTATAGCTTTGTTAGCTTATCAGTGTCCTGCTGTTGCGCAGTCGGGCGTCAGCTCAACGACAGAGCAGCCAGTGTCTAGAATATGACGAACAATGGGAATGGAATGAAAGTCCCAAACTGTGCCCATTATGTCAGACGTACCTCCCACTTCGCAAATCTTAGGTCCATCTCTCCTCTTCTCTCAGCGGCCAATCTCTTGTCCTCTTTCAGAGATCGACGGACAACGCGCGCAGCTACGGCGAGGTAGCGATTGTAGCTGTACAATTGAATCAGTACTAGATACAAATGCTAAAGCCAGAAAGCAAAAGAGAAAAGAGTAAAGACTTCCTCCATCAAGAGTCGGAGTCGTCTAGGGCTGCAGCGCTCGCAGTGAAAGGGAGCCATTGCGTGTTGAGAAGGGGAATAGAACGGTCCAAGTGAGGACAAGACGTACGTGATGCCAGCGGCCTTCCATGCGAATGCCATCTTGAATGAGCGGAGGGAATTTGAAACTGACGTTGATGATTTTTGTTCGCTGGTCGGCAGCTTGTTTGAAGCTTGCCAGCACGAAGAGGTTGGCGCGGTCAATCTTCGGAGTGAATGAGCACGGGCCTCTTGATTGAACTGTGCAAAGTTCGTCAAGTCTCTGCCTTTTCAACAATCAGTATTCATCGTCCTCGGCCTTTGGATGTTCTTGAGAAAGTTGGAAAATCGCATAAGTCGTTTAGAAGAATGGCCATTTGATTGTGACTACCCCTTCTGGAACTTTCGGCGCTAGAATCAGGAACCACGCACTTGGAGCAATTTCGCTTTGTCTACATTGCGAATCTCCTTCTCTCACACTTGTGAGGTTGTTTAGCATAGGCGTTCTCTTTAAGTGGCTGGAATTTCCTTCAGAAGTATTAACCTTAGGCTTGACTTTTCTCGAAACCCCGAAACCGAAGCCCACCTTGGCAGGGAGGATCTGTTACCACGCTCATTCACAGATGTTGTCTCGGTTAGCGAGGGCAAAACATCGAATTTGAGTCCCCGTTCATGATTTGGAACAATGCATGCCAAAATTCTGACTATTACACATCCAGTCTAGAACGTACACTTATACGATATGAGTTCTTCTAACGCTGTGGCGGGACCTAGCAACGGCACATCCGAGACGATAAGTGTGAAGTCGTCGGCACCAAGTGGACCCCCACCATCATATTCAAAGCACCAAAACGATGAGCTCCTGCTGTCGAATGTGAACTTGGCCTCCAGGAGGCGAGCGGCGGTAGCTCCTCGGTCGCCGAGGTTGCGTGCTGATCCCTCACCTGTATTACAAGTACTAGCCGCGCCTCGCGAACTTACTTTGACCCTAGACAACGGATTAATATACCCTCCTCCCCCATCAAATGCCCTTTACTATCTCCCACGCGTTCTTTCGTGGTCTGGAAACGAGATCTTCCTATTCCGCAGCCTCCCAGGATCGACGACGAGCCAAAATTTACTGCCCCCACGAGAATTAGCCCTGTACACAATGCGTCGAACACTGTTCACGCATGAAGTTGCGCTAATGCCGCGGAGAGAGGGACTGAAGGCGGCCGTCATGCGTGGTAGATGGAGTTTCTTCGATGGCATGGTATGGAACATTGAAGTGAAATCACAGGTAATTCTCAGGTACGCCAAAGGGAAGTGGAAGAATACCAGAGGCCAAATTGTGGCCGAGGAGTCTCAAGAAACGGGGCATGGCGCTGTGCTGACAATCGTTGGGACGGATCTTGAGGTTAACATGAAGGATCTAATAGTTGCCTCGTGGACAACGAGACTGTGGCAAAGTCCCGGCCGGGCTAGTCTGACGAGAACGCTGCTCCAGAACTTAAGTGGTTCAAAGGCATCACGAACTGCAACACTAATGCGGTGGCGGACATTCAGGGACGGATGATCCAAGTTGCAGGTTGGCACTGCCTTTTGCACGGCTCCGCAGCCAACTTTTTCAACCGGCGCGTGGCCAGATATGCTGGAGCAATGCAGATAATGCTCTTTGAAAAAAGAACAGACTTTCTGGGCAGGAATGCCTTAGCCAAACCTGATATTACCTGCGATCTTCCTTTAGCGTAAGCGGATAACGCACGCATGTCGTCGACCTGAACACTTAATGCCTCGCAAAAGTGTGGCTCCCACAAGTTCCCATACATGATCGTCAATTTTTGCTGACCTCGACAGCGTCCTCGTCAGCGGCGCATTCCAGGGGCATCGTTAAGTTGATAGTTGACTTTCTGTATCGTACCATGTTGATTGCACTAGGTTGCTTCGTCATCTACCTTTGAATTCTACAATACGCTGCTAGCTTGCTGCTAGCTTACTGCCATGCTCTAGCTCTTGTCTTTCTCTATCATGTGGGCAACCATGACAACACCGGTGCTTCAATAATTGAGACTATCGATTAGCTAAATTCTTTGACCGCCTGCGTATACAGCGACACTATAATAGCCCGTCACTCGTTCAACCACTACTGTTGATCGAAGAATCTGGACAGACTTTTCGTTTATGAGAGTACGTCGGAAACATAATTTATGTTGAGCAAGAGCTGGAATACGCCCAGAAAAGTGTTCGCGACGTTAATATATGGCTGCGTTCATTCACTAGTGCAAAACGAAATACAGCAGACCCCCGATTATCCAATCGATAGTGGACAGCTCATTGCTATCCTTGCAATGAAAGAATCATTATGGTGGATGGATGACTAATAGCTATGATAATGTTAGCCAACCTTCAAGCGTTGACTGGCTATAGCTATTGGCTAGTGTTGTACAGATATGACGCTCTAATTTTCGAAGATGCTGCATATCTTGGTGCTGACTTGTTGCCTCATGCTCCAAAAAAAAAAAAAAAAAAAAAAAAAAAAAAAAACCCCCCCCCCTTCCAACCCAAAAAAAAAAAAAAAAAATCATGCTCCAAAAAAAAAAAAAAAAAAAAAAAAAAAAAAAAACCCTGAACAAGCCGTATTGCCTCAATTGCCTGCGATGGTGTCGGCAGTACTTGAGGTGGTGGATCAACATCCTCAAGGATAGCCTCCTCATCTACAATCTCAGTGCCTAGATGTTGCTCAATAATAGCGTCAAGCGACACCTTCTCATCCTCCTCTTGAGCCTCATCCTCATCTTCAGGATTGAGAATATGCGTGAGATCCATGATATTAGATATGCGGTCTTTCAAGGCCTGATACTCGACTGTAAGGCTTGGATTTGGTGGCATAGGAAGATTAATTGATGGCTTAATTATAGAGCTTTTTTCGAAAGCATCTATGTATAGTCTCAGATTGTACCTTTTCGCCTCATGCCATAAGGTACCAATGTAAGGTGTCGTTCAAGGTGACTTTATGAAATGGATTGGTACCTTGGTCAATTGATCGGATTATATACTGAATCTATTGTTTTCGATAGTGCACCTTGAGGTTCTGAATGATGCCTTGATTAAGTGGCTGAAAGGCACTTGTTGAGTTCTCAGGTAGCCAGATAATATGGATGTTTGATGGTGGTGCTGCAAGTTCAATGCCGGTAATATGTGCCTTGAGGTTGTCCATGTAAAGGATCACTGATCGGCGACCTATATGGCTATAGAAGGTAGTTAGCCATTCCACCATGATTGTGGTGGTCATCCAAGCCTTCTTATTGCTGCGCCAGTAGCATCCTAAGGCCTCGAGATTGAGTCCTTTCAGAGCACGAGGCTTCTGAGCATGACCAATAAACCATAGAGGTAGTCGATCAGAACCGGTTGCATTAGTACAGACCGCCAGCGAGATCCTACTCTTATCTTGCTTCCTACCAGGCATAGGTGCAATGCGCAGACCTCGATTTACTGCACTACGCCAAAATAGCCCTGTTTCATCCATATTATAAATTGCATCCTCCTCTTATTCACCACCTATTGTGCGTCCTGTCTTCATTTTCATCACCTGCAGTAATAGGTACTGAGGCAGCGTCACCAAGCTTTGCGTGACTATGAATGCCGTGACGCTGCTTGAAGCTAGAGAGCCAACCTTGGCTGAAACGAGGCTTAGGAAGGTCTCTACATTGAGGTATCTGGGCCAAAATATATCCTTCTCTTTCTATGAGGATATCACCTGAGGTTGAAATGCCTTGTGACTGGACTGCTTTTTGGTGTTTGAAGAGGATAGCCTCGAGGATAGGCCACTTGGCAACACGCTGTCGCTTCGAATCGTCGTTGTTTGAAGTATCTAGGTACTTCAATCGATAGATGAGGCACTCAGAGACTGTTGATTGACTTATTCTATGACCATATGAGGCTTCGAACCAGTCTCTGCATTGCTTATGAGTAGGCTTTGAAGATTGAGACTTGAACCACTGCCGTAAGGCCTTTTTTATGCATTAGTGATTGCTTGACGAGGCATTTCCAGCAGCTCAGTTAAACGGTAATTTGAGAGAGACTCGATCGCTACCTGAATATCGGGTGGTTGGCTAATTTTGGCGACGATTTAACTGAGATTCATGGGTAGCAAGAGAATCGCATAATTGCGAGAGGGACCTGGCGATAGGCTACTCTAGTCGACTTTCCTAACGTTCTAGTAGACTTTTTCAGTCAACACAGATCAACGATGATGTACTACAAGGTGCCGACAACGCATTCCTTGCAACTCGCGGTGTCAGTAACGAAGTGAGTTCGTGCATGATAGAGGAGTCTGCTGTTGAGAACATGGAGCCGTGGGTGTCACTCATCCTTATCAAATTCTTTCAGATCACGACAGAGTCAGCGATTCTGCCCACGATCCATTTTTCACCAGGTGCGTAGCGAGAATATCCTCTTGCTGGCCGAGGTCGCTTTACTTCGCCCGAGTTCGTCTTCAGTGAAATTGTAAATCAAATGCGACTGGAGCTAGCGTGAAGACGGGAGACGTGACGACGTCGTCGCGGATGATGTTAGGCGTAGAGATCACTAGGTAGCCAGAGCCCACGCCTGTCCATAGCGAATCTACTTCTCTCCGCCTTAACATGCGTGGCTCGAAATCCTCGGCAAAGGCATTTGACAATAGCGCCTTTCTTGTTCGACACCCAGCCTGTGCACCACGATGGCGAGTAAAACCAAAGGATACGCCAGAAGAGCAATGTTGAAAGAACATTATTCTATTCGAAGTACTGCACAAACCCACATCTCCCGTTCCTCAACGACCAGACCGCCTGCATCCCCCGGACAAAGACGCACCATTAATCGTACAAGATGGAGATCCTGCGGGCCTATGGACGCATGCACCATGCCCAGTTCACAAACCAAAAATCGAGACCGACAAAATAAACAAACAAATGATGTGAACAGAAAGGGAAAGCCACTGAAGTCCATCCCTGTTCCAGAGCTTTCATTGATCCTGACTTTTACGAGGCTTTCCCTTTACTTGCTTTTTTTTGCGACGTAACGGTTGGTGAAGACCGTTAGCTAGAACGAACCGTTGACGGCATCTATATCCCCTTCGTCCCTAAGAAGATGCTCGTGAAGCCCGTGATACATCCCACATGTCTACTCCTCTGCTTTCTCTAATTTAACCTCTAGTTGCGGAGGCCCATTTTACCAAGAACGCCGCTCTGATTTCCAGCGTCCTCCTTGAACACTTTCAATATGCTTGTCCATACCTGTCCCGGCTCTTGACTCGCGTCAATTGGGCTCCAAATGCCGGTCTTCTGGTAGTAGCTGACGACAGGAGCTGTCTGCGCGTGATACGTGCCTAACCGCTTCTTGAGCGTGGCCTCGTTGTCGTCGGAGCGCTGGATCAGCGGCTCACCAGTGACATCGTCCTTCATGTTTTCCTTGGGAGGGTTAAAAATCTTGTGGTATGAGCGACCGGACGCGGGGTGGATTAGCCGTCCTGTTATGCGGGCAACGAGGAGCTCATCGGGGATCTGCAGCTCTATAGCGTGCATTAATTTCTGCTTTCGGGCGTTGAGCATTTCGTCTAGCTTTTCGGCTTGGGTGACTGTGCGAGGGAAGCCATCTAGGATGAAGCTGTGCGTGCACCATGTTAGCTTCGATATGTGAGGCGACTCTAGAAACAGAAGATAGAACGCGTACCCGTTGCTGCATTCTGGGTTGCTCTCGAGCTGATTCTTGATCATGTTGACCATAATCTCATCGCTGACCAAGCCGCCGGCATCCATAATCTTTTTCGCTTCCCTTCCGAGCGGCGTCTTCTTTGCGACCTGTTCACGAAGCATGTCGCCGGTGGCCTGTTCTCTCGGTTTTGTTAGCATACTCTATCAGGTTCCTCCACGATTTGGCGGTTCGGGGGGAACTGGCTGGTGGTAGACGGACCAGATGGCATATGCAGTACTTGTCCTTGATTCTGGGTGCTTGCGTTCCTTTCCCTAGAGAAACATGATCCATTAGCCCAACCGCGCTCAGCAGCAACGCAGAACAAAGGCTGAGGCCGTACCAGCACCGGGAGGGCCCATCAGAATCATCCGCATGGGTTTCGGCGAGCCGCTTTTTCCTGACAGCTTGTTCTCTAGCTCCTCCACCCTCGACTCCAACTTGGTTATGATGCTCTTGAGCTCATCGACGACGGAGCTATCTGTAGGCGCCATTGCCGAAGGGTGGACTGCCAAGGAGCGTCAATGGACGAGCAATGCAATTGGCAAGGAGTCAAGGAAAGGACGATGGGAGTGGAGATGAATGCGCGAGAGCGGTGGTGCCGGCAACGATGACGGAGAGTAGAAGGTTGGTGCGGATTGTGAAGGTGCGCAACAATAATCCGCCAGCAACAGGCAGGCCGGAGCTCGGTTGCACGCTTGCACGGAAACGAGCCTCGAGTCTGGTTGCGCTCAGCATGTGGGCCGGCGCTCGCGCCCCGGCTGTGCGGCGCCCTTGCGCAGCCAGTCAAGAGGCCAAAAGGCACGATGGCGAGCCAGTGGACTGTCGTCAGACATGCGCTGTCCTCGTTCCTGGATCATGGTCGGTTTGGCCAGTCTGCCGTGACCAGGTCGACGGGTTCGCTACGTGCTGGGACAACGTCGGCGCTGGCGCAAAAGAGCGCCGCCAGACGGGGCCGAGTGAGAGCGGGCTACGACTTCTGGAATTCGCCATGCTCTCTCCGTTGCCTTGCCCTGAAACGCAGCTACAGGATCAGGAGCGTGGTGGTCGTGGCCGTGGTGATGATGGTGGTCGTGGTGGTCGTGATGGTCGTGGTCCGCTGCTCGCTTTCTCCGCACGAGAAACCATGATGTGTCGCCATTGTTTTTTCTTAAATCTGTTGCTATCTACATCGGCCGCGTCTCTCTACCTGTCCGACTCCAGCGGGCCTGCTCCTGGCTGACGCTCTCTGGCTGCAAAGGCGCTGCCCCTCATCGCCCGCGCAAAAGGCTGTCTTCCGGTTCGGACCTTGATCGGCTGTTTCGCTGGACAGCTTCCATTCTGCCGTCCGCGCCGTACCTGCGTCGACTACGGTTGGCCTCGAGTCCAACGCTCGCCACTCTCTCCCCTCCAGATCCGTCATAGAGCTTTTATTTTTCAAAGCCTCACACAGCGCGAAGCGAGAATCTCTCGCCGGTCCTGCTCCTGATCGGCCACTTATACACGTACGGCTTGCCCTCTTTCTCTGCGGTGGCAAAGAACAACCTTGTCTAAGCTACGAATTTCACACGGAAAGGGAAAAGAAAATTGGCGGCTGGCTACGTAGCAGCGGCGTCAAGTCTGAAATCATCAAATCGCCTCTTGCCTAGCACGGGGTCTGGAGTACTTCGCGCGGACGAGCTAGCAGTGCGCTCCATGCCAACACTAGCCAATGCCGCCGCCGTCGCCGCAGCAGCCCCCTTTGTAACTTCAGCATAGCAGCTAGCGTGGTAGTACTTGCTGCCCATTTTCACTGCATCCCTCCATGTCGGCTGCTGCGTCTCCTCATCCCAGCCCTGCTCAAACTTTTCCTGGCATATCGAGCACGGTAGGTTTACATAGCGCGCGTCTGTGGGCACAAAAACGAATGCTTCCTTCACTTCCTTCTTCGCCGCGTTCTTCCGCAGGCCTGACGTGCTCTCCGTCACAATCCCCGAGTAGCCACTCAATTCTTCTCTGTAGCTGATCCAATCCTGTGTGACATTAGTGTGGATGCTTAAGAATGCTGCCCAAGTCCAACATACGCGCTCGTCGATGTACCAGCTGCGGTTAACAGCTCCCTGCTTGCTTTCCTGCACCCGAGTGTTGATTTGAAAGTGCCAGTCGATATGCACGCCCTTCGCCTTCTTCCCCTGTGCCGTGTCCGGAAATCTCATTCCACACTGACGACACTGGTCCGGTTTGTCTTCGTACAGCTGTCTTATCAGATGTGGACGGGGCCTGCTGTAAATTAGCACAACTTTGATCATCTTTCTCACGCTTGCAACGTACAATTTGAGAGAATTCGCCTCTAGTCTCACATCGTTCATCCCTTGAGCTCCTGCTTGAGGTTGCATCAATTGTGAAAGAATGGAAGAAGCTGCTGGGACCTGGACGGGAGTGCTTTGTGCTGACATGCTTCCTAGGATGCCAGATGCCCGTAGCTGATCAAGGATTGACAGGGCCGATGCGGGTACAACCGCTGGCGGGGGAGGGCCAGCTGCTGGAGATGGCACGTTTGGTTTTATTTGCGACATTGCGCTGTTAACTGCTGCCACAGGCAGCCCAGACGTGGGGTGAGACGGCGCAGTCGCTGGATATGCTGCAGAATAAGGCATTGTTGATGTGACAGGTGGGGGCACATATGCCTGTGGCTGTACCGCTTGATGCGGAGTCTGCTGTGGAGTACCTAGGGCTAAGATCGATGCAATCACTGAGGGATTCAGATTCAAGGTAGGCTGGGGTTGTGGTGTGGGAGCGGGAGCGGGAGCGGGAGCAGGAGCGGGTGTAGGAGTAGGGACTGTAGCTGTAGGAGGGCGGAACGGTAGATCACGAGCTATATTCGCCACTACTATTTCCGTACTTTGTATATGTGTAAGCGAGAGCGATCCGTTGTCCAACAATGACTTTAAACTTTGCAGATTCTGTTGGAGCTTGAGCTTTTCCTGGTCGTGAGGGTAGTGGGCAAGATGAACGCGTACGGAGTCCAGCAAGCCTTGCACATCATATCTCAGCTTTTCAAGTCGCGCCTGGTGAGACATGGTAGGTGGAGGAGGACCAGAATATACATAATTGACAGAATTGACGTTTTGGGGAAGTGAAGGCGGTTGGAACGACTGGTTGATTCCCATAGATCCCGGTTGCAGTGACGAAGCTACATTTTGCGGAACTGGGGAACGTACAGGAGCTCCGTACGGTGGTGGGTGACTTTGATATGGTATATTCTGTATGCCTGGAAAGCCCTGCGGAGATACCTGAGAAGGTGGCTGATAGCCATACTGGCCAGTCGGCGTGGGTGTACGTCCAGGCTGCGCTATGTTAGTCACATGAGGAGGCACTGCATTCATCTTCTGGCTTTGACTTCCATGAACAGCTTCCCTTGATCGCTGGTCAATCCCTCGCATCTTAGACAATGCTGCTTCAATCGGCTGCGTAACTTCCGGGGGAAATACTGGGCGAGGATCTCGAGACTCTGGCACTGGCTGCAGCCAGCTTCGAAAAAGTTCTTCCATCGCCCTCCGGGTATTGTTATCTACGACTGTATATGCGTCAAAAAAGGTACGATAGAGGTTTCGGCTGAGGTAGACGGTATATGGTGTGCCAATATGCTTGACAAGCGAGTCGAGGAGATATAAGCCTGGTAGTTTGTACTCTGGCCGAGTCTTGCAACTTCATAAGTATCTATCTATGAGACAAGGGCATGATGAGCACAGCGCTTACCTTGCGGATGTGTGTTTCAACTTCCTGGCTGATAGCTTGAGCATGCTCTGTGGCTTCCTTCGCAATCACTCTCAGATTTTCAATCTCATACTGGTCATTTCGCTGCAAGTCTTCTAGCGCTTCCCTAAACGCAAGAACAAGCTCTGGGGGTTCGTCGGCTGGGTACGACATATCTATGCTGTTGTGAAGCGATAATGATTGTCTTTAGATTCTCTTTTGACAATAGAAGGATTTTGCGAATAGCAGAAAATACTGAGTTTTTAGCTCAAAGAAAGTGAAGTGTCAAAGTAGAAGTGAATGCCCCCTCTCTCATTCACCACAGACACAGAATCAAGAATCCGTTTGTTTTATAGCTATATGACGCTCCTCCTCAGGTCTGCCTGCCAGCTTATGCCGGCTTGCGCCAGATCAAGATATATCCTTCAATATCTGCCCTTCTCTTGATCTTACTTATCTCCCGATGATGGCGCTGTGATGCCTTTTCTGTAGATTCAGTTCAGACTGTACAAATTATGACCGATACGTCCAAGGCCAAATGCAGAGAAGACAGCTGAGGAATGTTGCGAAAGCAGAAGACTGCAAGATGGGTGAAGAAGTCTAGGAAAGATCCTGGTGAGTAGGAGTAGATGCTTGCCGCAGCTGAAGTTGTTGATTTGCCTCGTAAGTTTGTTCTTTGGGAGTCATGTTGAATCGATGCCTTAGGCTGCAAACTCTGAGTTCAGGTGGCAGGGAATCTTACACCTCGTTCGAATTGTGTCTTTAACACAGTGCTAAAATCACACGAACGTGCTTATAGCATTGAACGAGACGGAATCTGCACGCGGAAGCGCAGTGCTTGATCAATTCATTTGCTTCCGTTGGAAAGAAACGTTTGTCGACCTAGGCAGTGTCGAAGCTGCCAAGACGTTCCTCTTCCACAGCAGTGTCGACCACATATTCAGACTTTGTTGAATTCCGACATTTGTAGCAAGCAATAAATTGGCAATTCTGAAAAGTAAGCGCAGTTGAAATGCGATTTCATTAGCGACTACGATAATGCACCGACAAGGTAGTTCGCTCTGATCCAAAGCGAAACATAACTTCTTTACCTGGTTTGCTCTCTATTTCCATGCGCAGAGAATCGTGCCTGACAAGTTGCAAAAACTTTAGACAATTCCTGCAGAAATTGGCAAAGTTCAACTCGGCCCGTGAAGTTGAACTGTATAGACACAATCGCAACAAGAATTTGTGCAGTGAACCTCTTAGTATCTGTTTACAGCTTCTGATTCATTAACTTCTGCTGCCGATTATCCATCTGTAATCTCCATTCTCGAGTTTAAATGATGGGAATAATCAGCATCTCTTATGTCACGTTGTTTAGCCGACTGAGTCCTCGTCCGAACATTAGAGGCACCCTCAAAGATGACTCTTTAGGCAAAACTATACGTCACAAATCGCCACGACCCAGTAAGCCAACTTTGATATAGATCCAGGCTACCAGGATAACCTCCGTCGGTCCGCTGTCGTCCATCAGCCTGTTCGGAAAGGCTACCATCGTCATGCGTAGTTCTCATACCGTCTAAAGTGCCAGGCCAGCTGTACTCGTCGCCAGAGGGAGACATATATGTTCTTAGAAGCGTATGTCAAAGTGTTAGGAGTTCAAAAACAAAAGATGTTGCGTCGAAGATAGACCAATCGACCGCGTAACCATTTTGTCAACAAAAGATGAAACAAAGGCGATTGCCAAGGGTTGGTTGTGGAAAATGCCCTTTTGTTTTCTCGTCCAAGCACAGCAGACATCCTGTTGAATTATCTAGCAGCCGTGGAGTCAGGAGGACTGGCAGGGAAAGATATTCTTCCGCCCAAAGACTCGGTAGGCTTTTGGAATTAGTGTGCAAGCACTTGCCCAATGATCTAAGCGGAATTGCATTATACTGGAAAGAAGATGAGGTAACATGTACTCCAGTCTTTACCTGGCCCGAGTTCAGTGCATGGTTGACATATTATTATCAAAACAACAAGAAAGACAGCAATCTATTTTCTTGGCCATTTGGTTCACGACTCCTCAGAATCTGATGTGAAGCCCTTGGGACGAACCTGCGTGAGACAGTCGAAATAGAGTGCTTGTATGACTGACAGAAATCCGGACGCGCCCAACAGCGCATACGAAGACAGAACGAATTTTATTGATAGCCGTAGAAAAATCCCTAGAAAGTATGGATCACGTATTTGGAAAACGTTGGATTCCACTTAATTTGGGAGCTGGCAATTAGGCGAACAAACATAATAATGGATAGTCTACCACATTTGTTAATTTATATTGTGGGATGAGGGATCTCGCACTGCTCTTAGCTAAACATGTGTTAAATGCGTCATCAGCTACAGTCAGAATGTTGTTTGCCCTGTACTGTACGCATAAGCCAAGCAATCAACCTATAGTTGCCATTGGCTCGAGGAGGAATCCCAAGCTAGTTTGGCGAAAGCTATAGTGTTGCCTAGGTTTTTGTCGATTTTAGTGTACGGCTCAAACTCGTCGTCCATACAACATCTTCACCATAATCTTAGCACAGTCCAGCAAAGTTTTATTTCAGGGCATGCATGATCTCTCCCTCCTCAAGCAACCGACAAGTCCTATTTTCGCATACTTGGACTGTGGGTTTACTCTCATCAAGCGTACCAAGCAGCTCATTCCTGCTCTTCAACCATTCGCTCTTCGCGCCAACACCTAATCTGACCAAGGTTCGGAAGCTACTAAAGCCCTCTCTAGCTACGCGCAAAGCATCGTCTACTGGCTTACCCTCGCCAGTAAGAACGACGCTGGTCATGCCTAGTCGTGCGCTTACGACAGAATCTAAGAGGCTTGCAAAGAGAAAAGGATGCTGCAAAATCTCTGCTTCAAAAGCTTGTGCTGTCCCATTTGCTAGTGAGGTGTATTGTTCATCTTCGAAAATCGACCCGAGACGGTTGAGGTTCGACGCTGAGATGCCGTTGGTAGATGGCTCGGCATTGTCCATACCGTCTTTGAGTCGAAGAATGAGATCCGCTTGTCCAGCGGCAGTGGAGAAGAATCCACCACCCACAGCGTCATGGAAAAGCTCGATTTGCCTCTCTGTCCAAGTGTTGAGTCAGCGCGCTATTCATTTGACGATACAGATCACTTACTCTGTAACCCATCTGCCCATTCAAGCCACGAATCGTCGAATGTTGCTTCATACAAATCTATTAAGCCCGAAATGAGGAAGGCATAGTCATCAGCGAAAGCAGGGGCGTCGCCTGGTCCTTCACGATACACTCGCTTCAGCATGCCAGTGGTATTATTATAAAGCTCCTGCTTGATAAACTCTGCCGCTTTGACTGCAGAGTTCAGATATGCTTTAGACCTTTCCGGTTCCGTGTGTGCAATAGCTGCACTAACTCGTGCCAAAGCACCAATGGCTAGTCCGTTCCACGCGACGACAATCTTATCGTCCAAGGCAGGTCGCGGGCGCTCTTTGTTGCGATGATCGAGCAACTTCTGCCGTGAATTACCTAATACCTTGATGACCTCGTCAACTGACATCCCGAACTCTTTCGCTAATTCTTCTGGAGTGCTTGACACAGCAAGCACATTCTGGTTAATAAGCTCATCGTGTGCGTCATGCTCCGGGCTTATGTTGCCATTCTCTCCAACGTTGTAGAATCGCGAGATGATGTCAGCATCGGGCTGATCTAGAATTTCGTGCAGCTCCTTCTGGGTCCATACATAAAACGCGCCTTCGCGCTTCTCCTTATCGCTGTGTCTATAGAATGAGTCTGCATCTTCGGCCGAGTAAAACCCGCCACTAGGTGAGGCTATTGGCGCGGTGGTAAGATACGTCGATATGTCGTGCACAGCATCAAGAAATTCATGGTCTTTTGAGATAAGATATGCGTCTAGGTATGTTGACAGAAGTTGTCCCTGGTCGTATAGCCTGCATAGCTATTAGCGTCCATAGCGTCCATGTGATAGAGATTGTCTCAACATACATTTTCTCAAAATGGGGCAGGCTCCAATCGCGAGTGACGCTATATCTAGCGAAGCCATGGCCTATTTGATCCTTGATACCACCTCTCCACATTGCCCTCAAGGTTTTTAACACCATTTCCTGAGCGTTCCTGCACTCTTCTTCACCTACCACGTGGACCAACTCCTCAGGACCACGCCCCAGTCTCAGCAGAAAGCGTAAATTGACCGGCGTTGGGAACTTAGGCGCGTTTCCAAAGCCCGCAAACTTCGGGTCGAACTTCGCCACGAAATACTGGTACGCCTCCTCCAGCAACTCCAGGTCGAGCGCGTCACCAGTGTCGCCTTCTTTTCTGTCCTGATGACTGATCAAGCCCTCCTGAGTGAACTGACGCAGCTGGCTTGTGATCTCTTTCGCGCTGTCAAGACATCGCCGCCGCTCGTTCTGCCACACGTCCCTCAACTTGATCAGTATATCGACGAAGTTGACGTGTCCGCTCACTTGTGTCGCGCTCTCCGGGCCCGGCCAGTACGTGCCTCCAAACAGTGGCTCTAGATCCGGTGTGAGGAAGACATTCAAAGGCCAGCCCCCTCCACCTGTTGTCGCCTGGACATAATTCATGTAAATTCTATCTATGTCCGGCCTCTCCTCTCGGTCGATCTTGACAGGTATGAAAGACTCGTTTAGTATCTTCGCAACCTCCTTATTCTCGAAGGATTCACGCTCCATGACGTGGCACCCTGCAGTCCCCCACCATTAGCCAATGCCACAGCCTCATCGTTCCGTGAAGAGAGTAGAAAAACCTACAATGGCAGGCACTGTATCCAATGCTCACAAATAGCAACCTGTCCATCTTCTTTGCAAGCGCAAGAGCCTCAGGTGTCCACATCTGCCAAGCAACTGGGTTGTTCATGTGCGCCCTCACATACGGGCTCCTGCTTTCGCTCAACCTGTTCGCAAGGACGACCTCGGACCCAGCGCCTTCTTGCGCAACAAAGTTTTGCGTCGCCATCCTCCTGGCTCCTCTCCTAATCTCAAAGATCAAAGGCTGATATAAGGAAGCCAGTAGAGCGTTTGTTCTGCGCAAAGGAAGAGTTGGGCGTGGAGATAGCTGGCTGCGACGGAGGAGGTGGAAGCTTTGGTAGTGGCGGCGTGCGGATAGAATTTCTCGGAACAGTTCTCGATGCTGACGAGACAGCGCAGCATACGGCGATGGAAACATAAGAAGATGGGCAGTATCATTCACATAATTATACAATGATTACAGCGATAAAGCAGCAGAGATTAACATGAATTTTTAAAAGAGAAGAAGGGCTACCTGTGGGCTTTGGGAACACGGACGATGTTGGGAGGCCATTACCAAGATGCAGAGCCGCCATTCAGCATGCATAATTCGACGTAATCACTGATGTCTTTCCATCCCACCCGCTGCTCCCCCACCATAGTGGAGGATTTTGCTTCGCATCGCCGCCCTACAGCCCCGCCACAAGTCATGCAAAAGACGCACCAAAAGTGTCAGCCTTGATTCCACAGGCCAGAAGCTTCCCGTAAGACGGGCCGCGTCTCTCATTCGCATTTCATGGATCGTCCCTGTCCTTGGGACATGCTTGTTTTTCTCTTGTAACTCGTCGCACTCATTAGGATTGCGGATCTTTGAAGTGCCGGCACAGATACGAGGACAGCCCAACTCGCTGCGACTGCTTGTTGGACTGAACGAAGAACGTCATCTGAAGATCACTTAAGATGCAGAGTATTCCCCTCGCGCCTCGTTATGAAGCTCTCGACGGGGCAGCGGGAACATGCGCGGGCACTTTCACTCAGGTTGAAGATGAATTTACTGTCAATCAATCGCATTCGTCATGAAGTAGCAAGGCCATCGTGCTCCGCACACGCCAAGGTCGTGTTAGTCTGAGGGGATTTGATCAGATAGGGTTTTCTAGGTAAAATGCCTGTTTTACTGCCCCCAGACCATCAAAATATATTTACATATGTCAAACCGCGCATCCATCGCAATAAGGAATTGTCATATACTTGCATCACTTGACAACAACGACTTTCCTTGCTACGGAACGGAGAAAGGAGTTAAGAAGTTATCAAATGAAGCAATAGCAGCAGCAGCCCCATCAGGAACTGATACTGGATGGTCAAATGGCCGACAAATGCTCTGAACCGCTCCAAGAAATGGGAGATCGAATGTTGCCAAAGGGCACGTCGAACGAAAAAGAGTCAAGGAGAAAAAATCGTCAAATGCAGCTATCAGCTTAGGTGCTGGCCCACGAGATGGAGGGCATGTTGAGTGGTTCACCGACGTTATCTGCGAACTCGCCGAGGAAGTTGCCTGCGTTAATCATTAGCGGTGCTGACGGCTTCGATCACTAGTGTCAAGTATCACTCACCAGCTGGCTTGTAGTTGCAGACAGTAAAGTAGGGTGGGACGCTGCTGCCAGTGTTGGCCAGACCAGAAGCGCTGCAGTCATACGTTGCACAGCCGACCGAAGTGCTTCCCTTCCAGACGACCTGAGTAAAGTGTCCCCAGCCATCGAAAGCAGTCGCGTCGTTGATGTTGGATGGAGTTGCCTCTCCGTAAAGACCAGCGAAGTTACCGACCTCGTTGTTGTAGAAGAGATCAGTGATGACCGAGGAGATGTTGCTGGCTGGAGCGCCGGCGGCGATGTTCTGGCCGAATCCACCACCATCAACAGACCTAAGATCGACGTCAGCATTTAATACCCGTCCACAAACTTGAAAGCACTCACACGTCGTGCGCGTAGACGCAGGAGCTGGCAATCTTCAGGGCGGTTGCGGCGAGGGAGTCGTCCCAGACAATATCTGGAGCAGAGTGGTTCGCGCGGTGTGCATTGTGGTGCTGGACCACAGCGGTGCTGTAGTCCGGAGAAGTCGCCTGGCCGGAGTAAGAGTTGGAAGCCGAGGATGCAGCTGGGGACGGAGCCCAGGTTGTTGCGGCCTGGACTGGAGTCGGAGAAGCCGCTGGCGTATCCCAATTGCCCCAGCTTTGAGCGTAATCAGGAGACGGGGCTGGGGTCTCAACGGAGGAGCCGTCGTCCCAGACGGTGGTGTAGACGTCTACGATCTCAGTATAAGTGACGGCTGGAGCCGCAGCAGCGACGGCTGCAAGGGCAGCGATGATGGTGGCACGCATGTTGACGATTTAGATTCTGGTTGCAGTGGACGAATGTGTTGATTGATATTCGCGTTCACGGATCAACCGGAATACAGACTGCTGTTGAGTTAGAGATTTGCAGGAAAGAACGACGACGCTGAGCAAGAAGCGACAGTGAGAAGAGAACGAGCGTGGGTAGCGAGCGTGAAGAGCGTGGAACGGCTTGGCACAAGGCTGACGGTGTAGTCTATGAAGCGAAGCGAGGGCTTTATAGTCCGACTGATTGCCCTCTAACCTCGCGAAGACAACAGATTCGAGGCGATTGGAGCGACAATGCAGCCTTGGGGGAGCCGGTCGATGATTTGCGCATCGAAAGCTTAAGCCGGACAGAAAGAATAGCATGGTGCAAGTGACGGCTCCGCAAACGTAGAGAGGGTTGTGCAAGGAGAAGGACGGCGTCGGCTGGGGGGATTTGCGTTTCACCGGGGGCAAGTATGCTGGCAGCAACAGAAGTGTAAAACGGAACTGACCTCTGCTTGTTTCTTGCCTCGCTGAGGACAGACAATGCAAGCCTCTAGGGCTAGATGAAGGGCTGGATGGGGTAAAGGAGCGAAAGGGTTGTAAGGAACGTGGTAGTCTCGCGATTGAGACCAAAGAGGGACGCCGAAGAGGCAGAGAAAACGGTGAGAGCGAAAGGTATGTAAACGAAGGTTTAGAGGTCGGAAAAACGATGGTGATAGAAAAGGGCGGTTCAAGGAGGGATCTTCACAGCTTAAAAGGAGTTGATGTTAATTACGGCGGCACCAGCTGGCCCTGGCCGTTACCCCAGGGCCTGTGCACAAGCGCTAGCACGGATGTGGCAGGGCTTGGCAGATCGGAGGCGGATTCATTAAACAGCAACCCAGTAGAGGTCCCCGTGCGAACGGAACGATAATGAGAATAATAAGGCGAAGGGTGATGATGGTAATAAAAAGAATAATAGGAACAGCAATAATAATCACAACGACGGCCGAAGAGCCACCGCGACGACGAAGAGGAGACGCGGATGTGACAGGAAGGAGGGCCGAGTCGACTTTGGCGGGTGCTGTGGGTGCTGTGGGTGCTGTGGGTGCTGTGGGTGCTGCGTGTGCGTGTGTCTACATCTTTCGCGGCGAGACGATTGGGACCTCTTTTAATTCTTTTTCATTATGGTTCTTTTTGAGCGTCCTGGCCGTGGGGTTGTTCAGTGTGCTCGTTTCGCTGCAACAACAACAACAGGTACGTGGTTCGCTGCGGAGGTGGCCAGCGCAGGCGCCTGCGGAAGCATGATGCGACCGAGGACGAGCAAACGAAGCCCAACAGATTACTGCCGTCAAGCCGTGTCTGGCGAGTCGCTACCAAACATGCCACAGTAAGTTACATGCTGTGCACAAAGTAATCACGGGTGCGCAATCCTGTCGTGCTCACACGCCCGTCCCTGGCGGGAGCATAGGCCGTGTGCTGAGGAGTCGACATACGAAGGCGAACAGCAGTTCTTATGTTTTGTTCTATTTTGTTTTGTTTCTGCCGACGCTGATAATGTCAAGATCAGCACCTGCAGAATATCGCGCCCACGGCGTGCCTCGTCAGTCGTCGTCGCTGTTGTCGCTTCATTGCGCACATCGGCTTTTCTCTGTGTTGTCGCTCTTCTCCCGGCAGCTGCCGGCGCCGGCAGATCCCTCGTCGCAAGCGACCTTCCCCAGCCGGTGTGCTCATTACCTGTCGTTGCAGCTGGCCTCGGTCTGCTCACGCATCGTACCTGCGCCTCCGCCGTGTGGTTTGTTTCATCATTTTTCCTCCTCCAGCGCCTTGTCGGCTTGGCCCACTCAGCTGGTCCAGGCACCCGCCAATCGTAGCCCTCCATGTTCCTGAATTTCATCCACCCAGCGCATCTACCCGCCTCGTTAATTGGCTCCGCGTCTGCGGGCTTGAAAATGACGGTACGCTTTCGTCCTCTTGTCCCTTGGCTAAGGCACGCCGGGCCTAGTCGAATCGATGATGAGCAGCCACGCTTTCCTCGACAAACAGTAATTACATGATTACGTGTACCGGAGCCTGGCAGCATGGCTAGAGTATTTACCGCTATCTTGGAGGACGGACTTGACGCTGCCAATAATGCCGTCCAGCTCAGGAGAGGGGAGGAGGCTTTCCGGCTCCATCTTGGCTGGCACGCGAGACTCCGCTACTGTCAGCCCAAAATTGGCGCTGGGCCTGACAAACAACCCCCTTCGATCTAATTGTAACTTGACTAGTCAGTTGCTTGCGTGCGGCTGCTGCTCATCATCCTCCTATTCGGCTGTCGCAACCTCTTGGAAGTTGTCGAAGCGCCTCTGGTACCTCTGCTAGCTCTGGGCTCCATTCACCACTACCTACCATTTTCGACCAGTGTTCGAGAAGTAAACTCAAACGTTTCGTTTCGCCATTCTCTGTTTCGCGATCTGCTGTCTTGCCAGTCTTCGATCGTACATTGCTGTCCGGCTTTGTTGCAAGGAACGTGTGCGGTTCCTGTTTCATGTTTGCCTTCCAGGCGTTTGCACTGCAAATTACACCTCATCAACCGTATAGTTGCTCATCACCGAAATCACCTGTTCGTACTTTTTGGTGATTGTGGCAACTGCAAAGAATAATATGGTCCGGGATCGAAAAGGGGCGGTCTTCCGCATCCGCTGAGGTACCTCTGTACTCCTTGTTCAGTGCAGTACTGCGTCATTACCAGCCGTGTGCTTGAAACAAAGTCTCCCCACCTCTCGGAGGGGTGACTAAAAATTTTTTTTTCTTATGACTGGGAGACCTAAAATGAGGAGACCTGCATGGAGAAAGTTCCGATCAGTCTATACAGTATTGATTTTTTCTTGACTTCAGGTTTAACGTCAAAGAACTGAACCAACAAAGCGTAGAGTTTGTCACACGGGCCAGCTGCCTTCTGCCACGGTCCGCCTGATCGTCTCAGGACGTGATCCTCTTCAACTTAAGGCTCATCCTCATCTAATGGTCCTAAAGCTAATCGGAGATGTCTCGTCACACGATGAACAGATCAATGATTTTCCCGACATTGGTGGGACCAGCGACCCACGATCGAATATACTTTTCAGCTGTTCAAGTGATACATATCTCGCAATTTGACTCGAGTACGAGCTCCATCTGCTTGACATGTCTCACTTAACGCTCTCCTTTCCGAGTGTCGCCATCCGGTGATTGGCCACCGTTGAAACTTTCGGATCGATGTGAATGGCTGTTCCACTTCTGCAAGAGCAGTTCTCATGGTGGTTTCTTTTGTTTCGAGCAAACAAGACTTTTGCTGCACTTCGGACACTCAAACACGCGTGCGACATGCACAACATCGAAGAAAGCCCGGAACTTTGAGTACCAGTGAAAGTAACCGTACAGTACGTTCAAGATGGACCCCTTTTGACGATGATCGAGGCTGTGGATAAGGAAGGAATCTTGTCTATGCGTCAGGTCATCCTATCGACACTCTTTCTACCACATCTCGCAGGCTGCCTCGTTCTTGTACAGTTGTACTATCTCGCTCGCGACTTTGCTCAAACCTTCACGCCTATTGCACATTCCTGTTCGTTTGGACTGCCTCATAAACTGCCATCAAGCCGCACGGTGTCTTCATGCCGAGTATACGAACTCTAAGGGCTGAGCAATCTCTAGCGCGCACACCCACACTGGAGCAAGAGTAGCAAATTTCCCTCGTAAGAAACGATAGCCCCCAAGAACACACATGGGGATTGTCGTGTTCTTCTTTACGAACAACATAAACCGCTCGAATACACAGTGGCGCAGAAGAACATTCTCCTCAGCTAGCCTCTGTTAGAGCGATCTTCCTCTCTTACCGTTCGCCGGCTTTCAGGCTGACCACACCTGCATGTGCCTAATCCTACCTTCTTTGTGTCTTCCTCTTCGTCATTCAACCATTATGGCTGCGCCGAGCGAGCTCATTCTTCTTGTGTGATTTACAGTGCCTGTGTAGTCAAGGTTGTCTTGATTTCAATGACAAAGTAGGGCAGCAGGAACCTTCAACGTTGTGTTTGCACACCTTTGAGAGCTAAGTGCAACTTTTTGGCTTCGTCCCCCAGCAAAAAGATGAGGTATGATCAAGTAATTGGTGTGTATGTTGCTTAATGTCAGTCGCAGACGCTGCGAAGGAGCCGTAGATCGCAGTCATATGGTTAAATGGAGGGCTAGGAGATGGCACTTCTCGTTAGGCTCCAACATTATATTTAAGCACGTGCAGAGCATGATTACACAGTTCAATGTGAATGAAGGATGTATCAGAGGACTTGGGTCACAAGGAAAAATAAAAATCTTCGTTCAACCACTCAAGGTGGAGAAGGCCAAAGTTATCGCCTTTCAACTTGGCGCTATCTGCAACGTTGTACGGAGCAGCTCTGAATATAGATACGAAGTAAAAACATGGTTTCAAGAGCATCAATAACAGTAATATTTTACTTATTGTTTCTTCAAGATACCCGTCGTGTGGGTTGAGGCATATCGCTTCAAACTCTTGAGGTGCCGTTCTGGAAATATAAAGAGCAAAAGAATCCCACTGACCACGGTGCAAGTTCCAGGAGTGGGAGCAGCCGACTTGGCGCTATTCGCACGCACCAGAGTTTCCTCTACGACATGTAAAGCGATGACAATGACATGATGGCCGGAACGGAGAATGTCACGCAGTAAGTTTTTTTCATTTAAAAAAATTTTTTGAACCAGCTCCATGTTTCTGTCGACTGAGAAGCCGCAAGCGTTCGACGAAATGATCTCAGGTCCAAATCTCCCAAGCCGGACGTAAAACTCCAGCAGCTATTTCTTGACCGCGTACCGGTCACCTACGAGTATACAGATATAGCGCAACCTCGGGAAGACACAAAGAGTGAAGATGGAGGTCAGAAAGAAGTCGAAGAGCTTGAATTCAGGCTATTTGCATCAACAACAGAGTCTCAAATGCCCGTGATTCGCATCCGACTACATTCGCCTGCGTGCAAGGAAGAGTCGGCCAATCTCGCCCGCGGTCGTCCAAAGAGCTATTACTTTAAAGGCCAACCATCGGTCAAGGAGCAGGCGCAGCTGAATAGCGTCGCGCTTTCTGGGGAACAAGTAATAGAGATGTCCAAGATGCCCTGTCCCGGACTTAACCTGCCGTGCCGAGTGATAAAGCTTCAAACGCTCTCGACATCACATGCTACAGATGCGCTAAGTAAAGACACTGATGGAATCAAGACCTGGCAAGGTGAGATAAGCACAGTGTTCGATAAGAAGAGGCGGAAGCGACCTGGCAAGAAGTCGAGGGTTGCTGTACGGAAAAAATTGCAAAAGGAGGCGGAGCGTGTTCGGCTGGCGCGCATCGCGGAGATTGACAAAGAGCTAGCAGAACGCATGAAAAAGTCGAAGAAAAATCGAGACAAGAAGCTAAGACAGCGAGCGAAAGAGAAGGAAAGGAAAGCCGCAGCACGTGCGCAGCAAACAAGTGGAAAAGACAACGGCGATGTCAATGATTGAACTGTCAGATTCAGGCGATATTACTGATGATCCATTCGATGTGAATCTGATGATCCGATGGTTTGATGCTGATGAGAAGCGCCCGAGGCGGAAGGTGTCTGCTTCGCAACATTCGGTCATTTGTTGATCCGGATCAGAGTTCCAGCTAGTAGCTCGACTCTCGTTATCATTTTGTCGACTATTGACGGTTCTCTGTCTACGATATTGCGTAATATTATCAAACGATACTGAGGATACAGATAGAAAGTAGGTGAAGGCACAAGACGCATGCTTTCAAATGTGTCACAAAAAGTCGTGCAGGCCTAAAAGACATTTCAAACCATCCCAGAATGACAAATTCTCGCTCCGCTGTCGACTCAAGTCCATGGTTTCATACACTGGAAGAGCTCCGCAATTTTAGAAGAGCAGCAACGGAGAAAACAATCTACACCGCAGCGTCAGCTAAAGTGCTCCGGCAGTCCTCTGCACTATTCCACCTGCGCGTTCTACATATCGAACCTGAGGACAACCCAGATCAACTTCTTCGCCTGCACATTGTTTTACATGAAGCGCAAACGCAGAAGATCGGGAACTCAGGGCTGGCGCCTTGGTTTTCGTTGACTCGAAGACGTCAAACAGTGAAAGGTTCAATCAGGCAATTTGGGTTATACAGCGGCATGTACGAGCCCCATTATTGGGTGTGTTAAGAGGCAATGGCTATCTTTGTGGCCCTGTGGCACTCATTCGGGGAGTTACAGATCCAGGCAGTTCCTCCAACGCTGTTCTTCGGCCGCAAATTACTATTGAGAATTTGAGGAGACAACTTCAATTCTCTGGACACGTATGGCATGAATGTCACTCGACCTCATTCCTGATCAACATGAGGAAGGATATTGCATAGTGGCAACTGAGCTTTGGGAGCACTCTGCTGAAAGCTGTTGGAATATCTGCAGGCTTGTCGATGGATCGTGGATCTCTGCGAATTTGCTCAACTTTAGCTAACGTGACGGCTACCCGTGAGTTCCTTCTACAAATGGGATCACTGAAAGTGCCAGTAGCTTTCATAGATACATATATGCTCGGCATCTACAGCCACCTGGCAATTGATCATCCGCAAGCGCCGAGATATCACGCTCGAGCTACCACCTTAGAAAAATTTACGGCGATATTTCTATGTCTACCGCCAGAAGCCGTTTACGAGCCGCTTATGAAGGAAAACATGATGATCTTGCTATTGAGGCCCATCACCTAGCCGCGGCCCATGGGCACACTTTAGACGACACAGTCGGTTGAGCATGTCAGTAAAGACCTTCGACTCTCGAGAGCACGCTAGTGGGCCAAGCGAATCTTCGATCGCAATGAAATTGCTGCAGAAAATTGTGAGCGCGACGTTTCCCGTCATCTGCTCAACATGGCTCTGAAAATAAATGCGCCTGTTAACTTTGGATTCTCCTTATTTCCAAAGGTTTTCCTGGATTTCGGTCGTGATACGAGTCTGCTCCTGGCACTGAGCTGTGAAATCGACCTTGACGTGCCTAGATTTCGTGTCCACACCGCCCCCCATGAACGCCCAACTCGTCTATATTCTTGTCTCCCAAAGCGCGAGCATGTTGGTGCAGCGGCTGAATAATGAGCGGAATCGCCCCATTCAAAGGCCATTACCTGTGGGAGATGACCGGAGAATTGGATGATTGATAGCCGGGCATTGCCTTTATCTCGTGAAGGCACTAAGAAAGCAAGTCGGGGCTGTTTTTACGTCGAAGATTTATTCGAAGCTGAAGAAAGAAGAGCAAGAACTGCTCAAAGTTATTTATTGGAAGCTTCTCAATGGGGATATGAGTTGTATGTCAACTGCTGCCTTTGGTTCTACGCCAGGACAGTGGTGGAAATAAAAAAAATTCCAAAGGGAAGAGTAGGGTCTGTTTCCATCAAGATCTGAGTTGAATATCATGGGCCAAGCCAAGGTTCTAGAAAGATTGTAAACGTTTTCCCGGGCATGTCTCAGGATAACCTAAGATCTCACAATGACGATGTATCCTACTCCCCTTTCAAGCAAGAAAATTTGACGCCACAATCGGATGAACAAAGATCGATGAATGTGTCATGTTCCATCTCATAGTTTCGATATCGGCTCCTGAAGCTTTAACCCACTCAACCACGAGTTCTTTAAGCTCTATTACTATAGCCTAATCCTTTTCTCCAGAAACAAACGTATGGGAATGATCTTGTACGCTAGCCATGTGAGACGGGTATCTAATTTAACTCTCGTGTTACTGCCTTGTGGTACCTGTGCTTACGACGTCAACATTATGCATAGCTTAACTCAAGCATGATTTGCGGAAACATATGATGTTCATACCAATTTCGCCAATTCCTGAGTCTGTGCTTGAAGGGGATCTCGATAGAAGCATTGAATTGCACTGCTGCAATGTTGCCTGCTATCTTCCTGTCCGAGTAATCAGCGCTTTCGCTTGTAACGCTTACCAGGCGGTCATCGGGTGTGACTAACTCTGATGTCGAATCTCAGCTTCCCCAAAAGCCGATCTTTCCCGAGCGGCGCGTCCTCGATCAGTCTTGACGCCCTCCCGCCTTCCACGAATGCGCAGATGCACAAAGGACCAACCACGCCCGTCTTCCCTAGCCCTCTCCCTGTTACCAAGTCCTTCCAGCGATTCCGTACCCGGCATGCCGGTGTAAGAGTGCATGATTGTGAGCACGTCTTGTCCATTTTCTAAGAGCCTCTCAGCTTGCTCCCGAGTGGCAATCGTTTTCTCCTTGTACAATGTCCTCATGCAGCTCAGGAATTCAAATATTGGAGAGAAGAGCGACGGTTGACGTCCTAAAGCCTTGCTTTTGCAGGCCATCTTTGAAGGGCTGCAATACGTCTGGGCCATGGAAACTACCTTGTATCAGCCAGATCGTTGGATTGGAAGACAATACGAGATTTGGAATTAGCCCCTCATGCAAAACTGACAACCAAATTCACAAGAACGGCCGTCAATTTATAACATACTGACATGCGTGCAATAGGGTCTGGATAACACGGGAACATGTTAGCGTTCAACGGTATGAAGCTGCGATCATGGCAACTGATGACTTTCCAATGTCATATCGGCCTGACCAAAACAATTTTATGCAGGGTTCTATCATTGAGATCCAAAGCAAAGGGTTAGCTACAAACGGAAGAACTTCAAAATGACGTGCTACTAAGCAGTAGTACGCAGAATGTCCCACACCTCAAGTAACCATCTTTCCCCTGTCTCAGCAAAATTCTCACATTCGGGGGTAGTTAATTGCCATATTCCCATTCAATCCCTGAACTTGGTCGGAAGCGCTAGGAGTACCTTAGGTTTGGTACTACGTCCTTGGAACGCATTTCCCAGAATTCCGCAAACGTTGTTCCGCTTTGCTTGTGTGGACCAGTATATTCGCTGTTCGAAGTGTGAACTCCTAGTCTTGCATGAATCTATTCCAAATCTAAATGTAATCTTCGAAGGATATCAATCAGTTAGAGGAAGCAGCTTGTGTGCTAGTTTTGCGCTAACCACATGCGGCAGTGCATATAATGTACGGATTACGAAGAAAATTACGGAGTATTCCTCATCTATTCTCTGTCAACAACCCTCTGTGCATACGTAGCGAGACGACCCTTCAAGTCCCATGCATGTCAGAATGGGTTATGATCGAGTATCGGAACAAAACATCGCCGTGAGTTAATTCCGAAGCCACATGGAGCTCGAATGACACACACTTAGCTTATCCTTGCCCAAGCGACGTCTCACGTGCCTTTTGCAATGTACGACAGGTGTCCGGCTTTCAGATCTCTTTTCAAAATGCTGACGGCTTCGTGATCTCAAGTGACGCGCTCGAAGTGAGCCGATGTAGAAGCGATGAGATGAAGAGAAAGATGCTTAAGCTGAGGAAGCATCACTCCCAAGTGAGGTAGACATCTCTTTTTGTGACCTCGTTGTAACGCCACTTAGATTTGAAATTTCGACGCAGCTAACCCTCTCAGAGCTTACATCCTCGCACAAGCGCATTGTAAAGCAAGCACAGGCTCTGTCCACACAGCTTGTGCTCCAGAGGCGCTCAGCGAGCAGTCGACGGAGCAGCTATTGGACAAGCTGCGGTCGCCCTGGAACAGGATGACACCGGCCCACAGGGGCCACGTCCACAGTCAAGTTGACGACATTTTTTACCGGCCACAGCCCGTTGCCCAACGGCGCCAGATGCACCCGGCCCTGCGCCGTGTGGTCGAGGTAACCAAGGCGCTGGAGCGATACAACGAGTACGCCCGCAAGCAGATCATGCAGCTGGAAGAGGGCAGACAGGCTCTGCAAGCGAGCGGGAGAGCGGCCGAGGAAATGCCGGCTGCATCCAAGAAGCTCAAGGCGAGACAGAGGAGACGGTCCAGGAGCGAGCAGTGTGCCCGACCCGGGTCTCCGCTCGCCTCGTCGTCTTCCGAATACAGGGTGGAGCCTCTGGCACCAAGCCCCGTTGACGGCATACATTGTCTCCCTCTTCCTACTCCTACTCAGAGCTATCTGTCGGGCGAATCAGTGGTCGACAGGTCCAGAGACCCGAGGCTGCGAGGACAACGACGCGGAGGACGGGAGGGGTTAGACGTGGTCAACACCAAAGCCCAGTGTGCGTCCTGAAATGTCGAATTTCAGTCTCAGATGCCCTAATATGTGGCATGGGAGGTCAAAGATTCTAGGCGACCCCAAGGGCTGACGGCGGAGGCGAGTTCAGTGGCGGTCGGGTCTGTATCTTGTTCCGTCGAGGTCGAAGGCCCAGTGCCGACGACGAGAACGTCGTAGAGAAATCTTCACCTTGGCCTGACGTGGGAGAACTATGCAGAGAGCCGGTCGTTGAGGAAAACAAGAGCCCCAAGTCCGGTCTTGCGGTAGGAAAAGAGAGAGAGAGAGAGAGAGAGAGAGAGGGAGCAGCACGTATCACTTGCGATTTACTAGAAATGGTTCACGTCCTAATGCACCGGAATTTTACAGAGCTCTTTTCAACCGCTTTTTTGTGCTTGACTATGCTTGCTATACCACGCCCTGCTTTCTCAGGCTTCCAATTTGCTGTCCGTCATAGCCAAGCTCTCGCAGCACGTCCTCAGTATGCTCGCCTAGCAGCGGAGCAATGGTACGAATCCCCGCTCCGTCCTCGCTGAATTTGACTGGCGGGCCGATCATCATTATCTTGCCGACAGCTGTGTATGCCGACTCTTTCTCCTGGACCATGTCCCTAGCCTGAGCTTGCGGGTGCTCAAAGGCCTTTTGTATCGTATTGACTGGGCCATGAGCAAGCCCGCTGTTTTCAAGCGTGGCAAGCCACTCCGCATTCGTCTTCTGCAGCAAGGTCTCTTTGAGGATCTCATCGAGCACCTCTCGATTCTGCACCCGCAGCGGGTTCGACCCAAATCTTCGGTCTTCCCGTAAATCGTTTCGACCCAGCCTGTCGCACAGCACGTGCCATTGCTTTTCATTATTTGCTCCGAGAGCCAGGTACCCGTCCTTCGTCCTGTACGTGTCGTAAGGGCATATGCTTGGGTGCGCAGCTCCGTATCTCCTACCTTCGATGCCCATGTTGAGCCAGTTGACGCCAATGTTGATCAACAGGCTCAGCTGCGTCTCAAACAGGCTGACATCCAGCTTCTGTCCGCGGCCCGTCGTGTCACGGGCTCTTAACGCGGCAAGGATGGCTCCGTGCATGAGCATGCCGGTACTCATGTCGACCATACCCAGTCCGGGACGTAGAGGCTTGCCGTCTGCTTCGCCAGTGATGTGCATGAGCCCGCCCTCCGCTGCGGCGATAGCATCGTAGCCCGCACGGGTCGAGTATGGTCCGCTGGCGCCGTATCCAGAGATGCTCGCGTACACGAGTCTGCTGTTCAGGCTCCTCACCTTGTCGTATCCGAAACCCAGTTCGTCGCTTTTCCCGGGGACGAAGTTCTCGACGAGGACGTCACTCCGCTTCACAAGATCATACAGGATGTTGAGACCTGTCTGCTTTTTCAAGTCCAGCGTCATGCTGCGTTTGTTCCTGTTGACGGCGGTGAAGTAGAACGACATGGGTGACGACACCAGCCAGTGGTCCGCCTCCCCCTTGGCGCGCCAGTGACGCGTGTCGTCGCCGGTGCCCGGTTGTTCGATCTTGATCACGTCGGCGCCATAGTCTGCGAGCAATTGAGTGCAAAAGGGACCCGCGAGTATGCGGGAAAGGTCGAGAACGCGCAAGCCGGCTAGAGGACCGGACCTCTCCCTCGACGCGTCGCGTGCAGCGATGGAAATGCAGCGAGAGTATGACCCCTTGAAAATTACAAACTTTGGATTCGGTACACGACTCTTGCGCAGAGTTTGAGCGAACATTTGATATCAACCGGTATCGGCTAATCGCCGGGTAACAGGACCGTCGCCGGCCAAAGAAACGATCCGGGACGGGTGGCAAAGATTTTTTTTCTTTTTTGGCCTAAGGCTCCTGCTGTTGATTTGAACTTCCCGGTGCGCTCAACGACCGTCTGTACGATATCTAGCAGGGGAAGGCTCTTCATCATGAGACGGATAAGTTTCGCGAAACAGCGCCGGTGCCCGCGTGCGGGGTAGAAAGAAACTCAAAAAGATGCCGGACTTCAAGAGGGACTACGTTTGGGATTTCTTGAATCGGCTCGTGCCAGGGCGTTCTGAACTTAAGTTTTCTTTTCATTTCTCCTTGAGGACGAACCTTAGCAACAGCGCGGCGTGTTGATCTAGGAGCCGGGGCGAGTAGGCTGTCACTAGATGAGATCAAAAACTACGTATGGCGATACGGGACAGCGCGAGCTGCGACTGATAGCTGCGACCATGGGCTGCGTCCTTTAACAATAGGTCGCAAATAATAATACGCATTACGCAGCTTGGGGGAGGGTAGGTTTGGACGGGATGTATAAACGCATTGCTGTTTGCTTCAGCCTTAGCGCAAACGGCATAGAATACCGATCATCAAACTTGTCCACGAACGTCTCCACGAACGAGGTTTCACATGGTGGAGACGCTACCCGCAACCAATAGAATCACAACGTGTTGAGAAGATGGAGAAACAGAAGGACCGAGCTCAAGGAGAAAGAATTAAAAAAAAAAAAAAAGCTAGTGGGGATATAGGTTAAAAAAAAGAAACGTCTTTGGAGTGTGACGAGCCATTTGGAAGCGCGGCGAAGGCATCGCCGCCTCAGTACTGTGGTATCCGGCCAAATTATCGCCGCCATCAAGGCCCCCAAGTGGCGCCACCAAATTTTGGTTACCATTATTATTTCGCACGAGGATTGCATCTAATTGGTCTTTTCTTTTCTTACTCATCTTGATCTTTTTGAAGAGGTACACGTCTCACGTACGTGTTAGATCAGGATGCTAGGATCCTATGCTCAAGAACGCCTCCATCGACACCACCGCGCCGGCAAGGCAATCTACCTTACACGCGATCAACGGCTTCAGATTCGTACTTTGCGAGACGTTGGTCACACGTATGCAGAGATTCAGAGTTACATAGGCTGTACATACCGCCAGGTACAACTGGCTGTAGAGGCTGAACAATCAACACCAAAGAAACGACGTGGGCGACCTTCAGCAATTGTCAAATGAACAGGCTGCCGAGTTAATCAAGTATGTCAGTCAATCAAGAGAGACGCGCCAGATGACCTACCAGTACCTCGCAACAGTCACATTCAATCATTGGGGTGTTGGCGAGTACGCGATCCGCAGCACACTACGAAAGGCAGGCTATAGGCGGTACGTCGCCCGTGCCAAACCTCCACTATCTGAAGCTAACAGAATTAAGAGACTGCAATGGGCATATGACCACGTACATTGGACCCCAGATCAATGGCACTCAATCTTATGGAGTGATGAGACCTGGGTCACCGGCGGTAGACATCGCAAGAGGTTGGTCACTCGGCGTATAGGCAAGGAACTAGATAACACCTGTTTAGTTGATAAGATCCATAAACGGCGTGGTTGGATGTTCTGGGGCAGTTTCAATGGCACTACTAAAGGACCACATCTCTTCTGGGAGAAGGATTGGGGGTCAATCAATAAGGTCGCGTACTGCGATCACATTGTGCCGTTAATCCATGGCTGGATTAGGATGAATCCATACCTCTCTTTCATGCAAGATAATGCTCCTGGTCATCGTGCAAGAGACACCATTCAAGAGTTACAAGATCGCCTGGTTAGGATGATCGAATGGCCACCATTCTCACCTGATCTAAACCCTATTGAGACTATTTGGAATTGGATGAAAGATTATATAGAGAATAAGTGGGTGGGGGGGGGGGGGGGGGATACATAGTTATCCTATGATAACCTGCGTATTGCAGTGAACGAGGCTTGGGCATCCATTACATCTGATCAGCTGCAACGCCTACTAGATACTATGCAAAAGCGCTGTCAAGATGTAATTGATGTAAATGGGGGCCACGCTATATGGTAGCTTATCTAAGCAATATAAATGACACCTAGGATGGTGGCTAAACGCCCCATACTAACGATAATTTGGCCGGATACTACAGTAAGCGAACAACGAGCACCGTCGTCCGGGAACGGAATCCAATCGGTGGCGGATATGCTACCTTGCTGTTGTTTTGTTAGAACAGAGCACATATAGACGTTGGCCCGCCTTCCGCGGAGTATATTCTAGATCGAGAAGCCTGTGCGATAGCAAATAAAAAGGTTCGAACGGGCCGGCATAGCGGCTCCTGCCGCTTCGCCAATCGTCCGTCAAATTTCCTCAGATGTGGTGCTGAACAGACACGCCCACACATACAAGTACACATCTCCACACGCACGTGCACCCGCTGATAAAGACGATGTCGAGACCTTCGATAGCACAGCCGACCAGCATCTGACGTGAGACAAAGTCTGTTCTCTGCCGCCCCCAACCACCAAGAAGGGAGAAGGGAAAAAGAATAGACGGGGAGGGTACTCTTAAGCACAGCTCGGGAGGGTTGAGAAAACAGCGAGACGAATTTCCTGGGGGTCCCAACCAGCACAATAATCGTAGTAAAGAGGATCCAGCCCAACATTGGAGGTCCGGCAGGAAACCCTGGTCGCCGCTGCTCATCACGGAGAGGCAAGGATGATGCGGGTCTTGGGACGAATCAAGCGCGGCGGCCTTACGGCAGACTTCAAAACTTTCATATTCTCTTCCACTGCACTGTCGAGTCATGGACTTCCCAGGAAGCCGTAGCGGCCCCGCCCCAGCGTTCCAACAATTCAATCTTGCTTGCATCGTCTGGGTCGCTGAAACAACCGTTTGCCTGGTAGCAACGAGGGCCCACGGCTTCTCTGTCAAAGACACCCTGCGAACAGAAACAGCACGGAGCAAGGAATAAGGGCACGCGTGTCAACCTAAGTGGAGTAAGGACAAGTCATCAAATGATGGAGAATGATTGAAACATATGTTGGCTGGCATTGCTTGATTTGATCTCTTCTTCTTCAACCCCAGCTTCTCTGCAAGACGTGCACGTCGGACTTTTGTTCCTACAATGCCTGAACCCCCTTGCCGCGGTATCCGAAAAGCTGGTACTCGAATGAAGCCCAACAGAAACACCAGAATTGAAAAAGGATTGAATTTTATGACAACTGGTGACGTATGTAAGTTATAATGTGAAAAAATGTAGATTAAATGAAGACCCCAAGCTCGCCTCTCCAAGTTCTGTCTGCTTCGTCGTAACAGTGGGTTCGTCTCCGTTTTCGTGAATGCCAAACAAGAGTTCGTAGTTGCTGAATCGAATGAGGTCGATGCTTATCCAAACACTTTAGACACAAATGAGAAAGGCGAGTCAATGAAAAGGCGTAATGAGACGGTCGATGTGTGCTCGATGGGCTGGTGTCGTAGCGCAGGCCGAATACGAGGACCTTGATTTTGCACCCTCTTAACCTGGTTGCATTGAAAATTATCGAGAGATATCCCAAAAATTTGGAAACGCCCAGAAGGATCCCAGATAATTGCATAAAAAAAAAGAAATTTCCTGGACTCTCACAAGACGAAGTGGTAGGTGAAGCTGAGCACTTCGTAACCTTCTTTTGCGCCGTCTCGTGTCGCAAAGAAGAGAAACAAACCCGCAGAGAAAACGCCATCAAGATGTGCTGAAGCCATTGGGTATTTTAATATAAAAATATTCCCGTCAAGCAAAGTCAATCTTATGCGTCAAGGACATCAGCCACCAGCAATAGACAAACAATCAAGTTTTGTTTCCGGAGACATGGTGATTGGAGCACGTGCTTAACCAACAACGGGAAGACGACGCCGTCTTTCCGTCCCATCGGCGCGTCTGTAGCTCATGGCGGCTTCGTCCAGAGCAGCCTGAGGATCATCGTCAACGCCGTCAGCGTAGGCATACTTGTTCTCCATTGGAGACGAGGGAGGACGAGCACCTCCGCGAAGAGGCTGATCCATATGACTTCCGTCAAAGGTGGAGTCCCAAGTTCGCTTAGTGGCACCGGACGGTTGTGTCATATTTTGGAATCTGGGTGGGGCGACTGAAGCGGATGGGTAGTACCCTTGTTGATCTGCCGAGGGAACGGACGGGGCCTGCTGCTGATACGGAGAAATGGAGTCGTGCTTCGACGTCGAGGGCGAGTGAGCCGGACCAGACGAGAAGTGAGGCTGCATCGGAATGTTCTGGTGCGGTGACTGCGCTGGCTGGATTTGAGCGTTCATCGGCCGTCCGTACGAATCTACTTGACCGAAAGGCGCTCCAGATTGGCTGCTGCTCGGATACGAGACAGGCTGTGATGTCGGAACTGGAGGTGGCGGCCCGGATGGAGGGGCTGGGTAAGAGTCGATGCTGTTGTGACGCATGTGTCCGTTCTGCTGCTCGTAGGAGGGGTATTGCGGCGTCGCGAAGTTGTTGTATTGACCGTTGACCGCAGGTGATGGGTAATTCTGTTGATGATACGGCTGAGGTGGCTGCATGCCGTAGTTGTTCACTGGCGGGGGCGGTTGCTGCCACTGTGGAGCCATTTGCGGCGGATACATGGCCTGCGGTGTCTGTGGAGCCATGGCGCTGGGATATTGCTGGGAACCTGGCGGCTGGTATGCCTGGTTGATTTGCTCTACAGATGGACGCCTACCGGTCATGTGCGAGACCTGGCTAGCATTGCTGACCGAGCGAGGACGGTCGATGTCATGCATGGGCATCTGCGGTGTTGATCCCGGATGGGGCTTAACATAGACATCCGGCGTCGCAGAGGCTCTGCTGCGTTGGAATTCATGATCATCGTAGTCGTTGTCGTAATCATGGCCGGCCTTGGTCTCCCGTCGTCTCATGCGGACGTCACGTCGGATGCGGACACGGCAGCCCTGCTCGGCAACAAGTTTGCTCAACGAAGTGCTCTCGGACAAGCCCGGGAACTTCTTGGCGCTAAAGACGGTGAAAGGGACGGACTTGACCTCCAGTCTGTGAGAGACGTGGGCGCTCTTCTGAATCTCCGCGTTCTGAGGAGTCTCCGTGTCCAGGTCCTTCGAGTCCTTCAACTCTTCATAGAGCGAGAAGCCGAGGCGGTACTTGCCCTCGTGTCGCACCGACAAGTCGGGAAAGATGAAGTAGCCGGCAGGCGACGGACGGTCGAGGTATGCCATGCCTGAGACAGGAGTGCCAGTCAGAACGGGGAAGGCCGGCTGCGACGGAGGTACGCGGCCCTGGGCGAGGGGACGGGCATTCTCGAGCGTTGCGAAGAGGAAGAAGTTTGCGTTGTACTGGAAAGTGATGTCGTTCTCGGCATTGGCGCCTTCGTACACGCGCAGGTCGACGATTGGGGGTGGATCAACAGGGCGCCTGTCAGCAGATGCTTCACCATCGTCAGCACGGTTGGACGACTTGCTTTTCGAGGATCGGTGGACCATTGCCGGCCAACTTACACTTTGCACCGGACCCGCAGGCCCTAGCACGCTCCGGCTGTTGGATCACCTGCATAACATAACATAGGTAATCTTTCGGCCCTCCTTTGTGATACGCGACGACGTCGCCTTCGTCTCGTTGGCGACAGGAATGACACCGGCGGACGCCATGGTTGACAGGAAAGACGGGGAGGCTGCCTTGCGGAATGAAGGAATTACGACGGGAGCGAAAAGCCTGGAAGACAGCGGGTCAGCGGCTGGTATAAAGAGGGATTCCGACGGGCGGAGTGGGCAGTTTGATGGGAGCGAGTCGTGCGAATTGATCCAGGCGCCACGCAGCTGGCTGAGACAGGCTTCCGAGTCTTGCATCTTGCATGAACCGGAAACTGGCCCATTCTTCGGTCGACGTTTGACAATCATTTGCAACCATTGTCTGGTAGCCTGTTTTGGCGTTTTGGGTACGCCAGCGATAGGGTTCCCAGAGCCGTGGGAGGCGCTGTGATTTGACGAGGAACGGGTGGGCCAGGAACGAGGGCTTTAAACAAAGAAAAACTTACAAGAACACGAACGAAGCAGGTCAGCAGCGACAAATATGTGCAGTCGAAAGGAAAGGTAATGACCTTGCGTGGTGCTATCGGCGGGACGAAGTGGTGCAGAAGATGGTGGCCCGTAGCGCAAGAATTTTGGGGGGGAGGGGGGGGATATGGGAGGGAGGAGGATCAGAGAGCCTCGTGGAGAGACTGCAGAAGCGTGCGCAGGAGGAGCAGATGACGAGCGAACGAGGGGACGACGGCGCGGACAAGACAACTTGAAGCCTCGAGCTCCGACTGCGAGCGGACAGGGAGCGAGCGAAGCAGGTTGTCTCTCCCGCAGAGGACGAAGCGACGAGGAGGAAGACGACTGAGCTGGAGGGAGGAAAGGACGAGTGAGGGAGAGGGATGAAGAGTAAGGGAAAGCGCAGGTGCGGAAACCAAGCAGCACGCGGCGTTCGAAGGGGAGGGGCCTACAGAGGCAGGCCGGGCTGCGAGGGTGGTCTGTGGCAACGGGGGGTGGTGAGTGAGCGGCACAGGCTGGGGCGCCGGCGGTGGGGGTGCGTGTACGCGCGCCCAGCCAACCACGCACGCCGCTCGGACCGGGGCAGAGGGAGGCGCACGCGTGAGCGTGTTTGCTCGGCCCAAACACGGCGCGCTTCAGTGGGCGGTGGTCGTGCAGGACGAGCAGTACGCAGGCACACACACGCCCGCACTAACGGACGGCACGGGGGCCCTTAGTGGACCCAAGCGTGCGGGCCCGGGCAGTCCAGGCTAGCGTCCGGCCTGAGCTGGCCAGTCCGCTCCTGCCCCACAAGCCGCCCGGCGACGGCTGTCTGAGCTGCTAGGACCAATGGGTGCTAGCGCCAGTCCAGCCCGGCCCCGCTGCAGTGGCGGTCCACGCCCAACCAATGGGCTCGCGGCGCCACAGTAGTGCCTGCGCCCGGCGCGCTACACGTTGGACGTGACAGCCAAACGCAATCAGACTCGCTGTCTGCGCCCGTCGACGCCCGGCCGATCCACTGTGAGACAGCTGCGTGCTACCTGTACTCCGGCCTCCGCACCACCACTTGTGCTTGTACGCCTCTTGTCCTCTCCGGTGCTGTTCCACGGCTGGGAATGGCCGCCAGAGCAGACCGTCGTGCCACGAGCATCGCCTGCCATGCGCGTTGCAGACGCTGCCTCTGGCCGCTCCCTTCCCCATCGTCATCCACTGCCTTTCATTCGCTCGTCCCATTGCTCTTGCCCGCCCCCTCTTCGTCCTTCTCCCTTCCCTTTCGCCAGCCCGTTTTCCTCCCGGCACTCACGTCAACTCTCGTACCTGATCCCCCGACCTCTCTCGCCTCTCAACCCCGTTCGCTACCCGTGACTCAGTAGTGCGCTTGCAGGTCCAGTTTATCGCCGCAGCGCTTCTGCCGCAAGAAACCCTCGCAGCTCCCAGTCAAGCACCCGCCGTCGGGAGTCCCTGTAAGACCACCAATTTGGTGCGCTTCCATGGCTGCGTGGCGTATCTCGTCTGCTCCCTGACTGGTCGCCGCTCCACGGCAGGCTTTCTCGCTTGATCCTTTCAATCCCATGATCCCAGAGGGCAAGCACATGGCGTTTTCTTTCCTCTCGGGATCGACAAGGGCTGCCGATGTTCTTTCCTCTAGCTCTGGGGATCCTGCCGAAGTCAGTCGCCAGAAGGATTGGCCATCCCTAAAAGCAGTCCCCACGGCCAAAAAATATCGTGATTTGGACGCGACAGATCTACATGCAGGCAGCCGTCTAATTGCCAGAAGAAAAGCGGACAAAGAGGCGCCTTGCATTTTGGTCATTCGCCAAGGCGCACATGGCTGACTGCTGGACGGGCTTCGTGCCCAGCCAGACGCAACAAGAGCCGGCCCCGGATGTGCGCTGGTCCCCAATCGCAACCTGCCAAAGCGAGATAAGGCAGCGCAGCGCAGGACTCGAATTTTTTTTTTTTTTTTTGCGCCAAAATGTGCATGATTTGACTCCCGCCGTGGATGAGCGCGCACACTGCGCTCCGTCTTGCCGCATGCACGCCTTTCCTCAATACAATTGGCAAAAGTCAGGAAGAGTGTAGCTTCCAGTTTCTCTTCTCTGGCTTTTGATTCGAAAAGAAATCGACATTGCCTATCTTCGTTCGTGCATGGGCGGATCAGCCATTCAACACCCAGAGCGATGCCCAGTTCCTCGAACGTGCTCACGCGAAGGCGGCCATGGTAAAAGTCGTGCTCACGACTCTTTGGCCCGCTGCAAAGGAGGGTGGGAAACAAAGAGAAAGGCGAGGGCGTGCCCTGCATGGAATCACGGCTGTTCCAGAGCACAAGCGAATCGTCGTTTTGATTTCCTCTGCCTCTGCGCCGTTGGACAAGCAACCCCTGTTCGTGGTCTCATGCACGACGACAAAGCGAGAACCGTCGTTCCATCAGACGTTGTGCGATCCTCTGATCTTTTAGCCTTTCTGGACTGTGGGACAGCTGTTCTTGTGATTCGCCACGGGCTGCCATGTTGTGCCTTTTCCATCCTCTCTGCGTCCCCCCATCGGAGGCGGGTGCACACAAAACGGCCCGTGTGCTGTTGGCTGTCCCTTTTTTTGGCGGCACCAGCAGTAGAAAAAACACGTCGCTCCGTCAACGAAACGCAAAAGTCGCAGACAACCGTGCGGCATCGCGCCTGACGTTTCGCTGCTGTCGCATTGCGCGATGCACGGACATAGCCGGTAAAGTGGGAGGAGAGCTGAAATGCCCGCGAAGTCGGGAATATGCCCAGTGTCTCGGTGTCATGTCAGGGAAATGTCCGGCTGCACAGCACCCCAACACCTTGGTAACGACTCGCACGACGGAGGGACCGTCCGGGCTTCGCAGGACGACCGACGAGCGAAGACACAACATCTCCACGACGCTGGGAGGACGGAACAGCCTAGAACCGAGCACCCCTATTCTTTGACTCTCGGTTCCTTTTGTTGGAAGGGCGTTTGTTTGGGTCCCCATCATTCGCGTCCTTGCCTGTGGATTAAAAAGTGCGTTCGACGGTAGCGACGCATTGCAAAACTTTGGTGGAGGGTGAGAGAAGCGAGTGAGACGGGCCCCAACAAGCAAGACGGGAGCAGAATTTGGCGCGTGTGGGTTTCGTAGTGCCTGGAATCTTGGTGCGCTTTGTACAACTACCACGACTACCGTACATTGGTACTACTGTTGGTAGTGGAAGCAGTAGTAGGTCTAGCACCTACCTCCACGCAGCTGAGGACTGTTCGCCTACTGTGCTTTTCCGCACTACGAGTGGTGACCTTGTGAAGAAAAAAACAAGCTACATACTGGCTTACCCGTCATTGGCTCCCGACGAAACATGGGAGGAACCGTGCCCGAGATGAGTCCTTCTGAAGGGCCCGAATCGCTGGCGCGGATACAGATCCCGCTCGTCAAATCTTGCTCTGCTGACACATAGGGCCGCTGCGTCCGCTGCGTCTCAATTGGCTCGCTTGTGCTGTTGTCTCGCAAGCAAACCCAGCCCATCACCTGAGGCAAAAGCCAAACCTCTAGGCCCCATGAGGGGGCGATCGGTTCTCTGCTGATTATTGCCTTTCTACGGAGGCGCCTTTCAAAAGTTTCTTATCGGGTCCGCGCACGTCCAAATTGGGAGGCAAGTATTGGCCCCATCAAAATGCTAGGCAGATGGACGATTTCTCAAAACATCGTGTATAGACACGTAGGTACTTGAAAAATGACTATAAATTATAATCTTGGTGATTTATAACGTTGTGGTGTTATAGAAATCTATACCGATGCCGAACTGTCATCAGATTCACACTCGGTATCAGTATCAAGTGCCGGCGATTGCTTTGCTTTGGTTTTTATGCTTGAACACCCTCGTAGTTGTTATCACCTCTGAGTGCAATTATGATTGGTATATGGATCATGATCCTTTTAATCCATCCTTGTATCTTGGTTTGCTCAAGTTGTTGCCACCATTCGGTCCACAGCTTGTATGCTTCTTCTTTGTACGCGGCGCTATGCCTTTGGATGTGAACCGTTTACCGTCATACCATGCTGGCTCAATTGCGTTCAGATCTGTGACTATTGCCAGGCCAGACAAGGCCCAGGACATCATGCATATTGTATATGATCGATTGTATGCGGTGTGAGTGTGATGGGGCACCATCTTCCTGTATAGTCGTATATCAGGCCGATCTGTCATACATTCCTTGGCAAACGGTATTAGCTTAGGTAGCATAATTGGTGTCTGACACCGATACCAGTCTATACCGCCTCAACCACCGCCTCTTTTCAGTTTACCATTTTTAGTGATAAACCTCCATCTAGGTTGTCGGTCTGGTATATTACGAAGCTGCAGTTGTCTCATTGAGTTATTGAGCTCCCATTCTTCACGTAAGATAGGCTCAATTATAGAGTTAAGTTCATAAAGATATGGCCGTGATTCTCTCACCTCTTTCGGTGTCTCGTTCTTCCATATATGCATAGGCCCTTTCTTATCGTAGGTGAAGCATGCCCAGAACATAAATTCAGAGTAACCAGACCATCGTGGTCTGACGCAGCTCTTGCTATATCGTTCATTCAATAACCGCCATACTCCGTACCCACCCCGTCGGTGGCCTAGCACAACTGACGTCTCATCACTCCATATAACATCCTTCCAGTCTTCATGTGCCTAATGGGCATGGTTGAGGCACCACTGTAATCGAGCATCCTTCATTTCTCGAGTGAACCCTGGCTTTCTTGTTGCCTTGGGCCTTTCAACAGCCATTCTTTCATAGGATACGTCATACGTTAGCCTCGCTGATGGGCATGCCTGAAGTAGTTACTTCATCAGAAATATAAGTATAGCTCTTTTCACGTCCAAAGCGATCGGTAAGGATATTTTGAAGTACCTTCTGATGGATAGCCTCATTTTCCACTATGCTGGGCCGTCCAGAACGATCTGCATCCTGAACGTGTATATCAAGTATCCGGCAAGGCCTCGCTGCTGGGTCGAACCCCCGTGACTTAGCCTTTCGTACAACAGCATTGGCAGTTGCTTTTTCTATACCAGCGAGCTCGTAGATTTTGCGTATTGCTTAGGCCAGCAGTCTTATATGCAAGCACTTGTGCTCGGGTGGCATTATCATAGTTTGATGTCTTTTTTCGAGGCATTGACCAACGATGATAGAGTCCATTCTGCTTTATTAACGAGGTAATATGTGCACAGTCTTACGTCCGAAAGCGGTGAATGATAGCAATAGTTATGTAGAATAGGATTCTATCATGATTTGACGGTGTGCTTCACAAGAAAAGTGTGCAGAAGGCCTTATACAATGCAGCGATGGGTGGTGTTGGCTGCATTTGGAAAGTGGTTCGACTCCGGTTTGGGTTAGACTGTGTGCACGGATCCGATAACAAACTTTTGAAAGGCACCTCCGCCACGTTCGCCTGCTCCAGCGCCGTCTCTGGTGCTGAGTCTCCAGCTCCGTCGTCTCTTGCCCAGGTTGTGCGTAAATCTTGTTCGACAGGTCTGTGCAATCTGACCATATTCGCCAAGCCACCTTCCTTAGGGCATTGTTGTTCCTGTGTAGCATTTACCTCATTGCCTGCCGGCTCACTCCTGCTGCTGCTGCTGCTCTAGCACAGAAGTCGATCCGTCAAACAACGTGACGTTCTAGTTCTATTGATCAACACGTGGCAACGGGCGTGATAGGCTCAACATTATACCCCCCCAAGATGCGTATGCCCTTTTGATGGCAAAAAGTTGGTGATCCAAGTAGCTTGGTTTACACTCTGTACATTCGAATTTCTTTTCGTTCCAAACAAAGTCCGTGTAGCTTGCAAACAGCATACTTCTATTTCAACGTGAGCTGCCGTTGAACCTGAAATACGCGCGAGACACAGATTGCTGAACTGGGATTTATTTTCCGCCCCTTGAAATGTAAAGTTTCCGCATCTAGAACTACGTGCATCGCTCACATTCACGATACAGACAAACCAAAGTCGTGTCCACCGGTAGACTCTCCCTAGAAGCAGACATGGACCAGGAGCGGCCCGTCTACTATGCCAACGAGCTTAAGCCAGTGGACATTACGGAACCGAGCCTCAGGCAAATCGTTCAAGAGCTGGAAGGTGATATACAAAAAGGAATTGAGGCCATCAAGAGAGAGGACGGCGCAAGTCATATCGAGAACTTCGGGTCGATCTTTAGTGGGTATCTTGGTAAACGCCACCCTTCTCTACAACACTCCGCGTCGAGCGTATTTCCACGCTCGGGAAAAAGAAACACAAGGGCCGTTGAACAGACGAGTCTACTTATGCAAGCACAACATTGGACAGGTAAATGCTGATCCTCGCAATCGCAGGGGAAGCATACGCATTCTTGTGGCTTGACTATCAGTCGAGAGATTCACACAAGACCGGAGATGCCACTGGCGCCACTGCACCGAATCTGCTGCAAGACGCCCGGCTCAGGATCGACATGAGCATCGGGCTCTCCACTCGAGATGTCAACCCGGGCCGGCCGTCGCCCATCACGTCGTCCACCATCGGTGCGCTCGTGCTCCGCGTGCTGTCCGGGCAGTGGCAGGAACAAGATCCAAAAAACCTTCTTGCGGTGTTGGAGATTGCCGTCGCCCAGGGGCCAACCTTTCGGTTCCTGGATCGTCCCATGGGCGTGGACGAGCTCGTGTACGGCCGTGCCGGCCTGCTGTGGGCCATCCTGGAGATCTGGAAGAGATGTCCGGATCAAGAGACGCAGAGTGCCTTCGCGCCCGTCTTCCAAAGCGTGCACAGGCTCGTGAGGGCCATCGTCGACGCGGGACACGCCGGTGCGAAGGCCTACCGCGACCGAGCGGCCAAGGAGAGCTCGGTGGACATGCCACTCATGTGGCCGTGGTTCGACGACTTTTACGCCTTGGGCACAATGCACGGCATATCGGGCGTGCTTGGGACTCTGCTGGATCCTGCCTTGCCCCGACACGCAATGTTCGTCGTCGACGCGTACGAGAAAATGGCCCAGACCATCTCCGCTCTTTGCAAGCTCTGCATTCAGGACGACGGACATCTCGCGATGACCGTGCCCCCGCGGCCGACATCTCGGCCCATGCCTCTCGTGCAGATCTGCCATGGTGCGCCTGGCGTGCTCACCCTACTCGCAGCGGCGAGGCGCAATGCCAGATTTGCAGCGCAGTACTGGACTGCGGAGTGGGATGAGGCCATCGCTCGCGCGAGCGACGTGATCTGGAAGCAAGGCCTTCTTTCCAAAGGCTGCAGCCTGTGCCACGGTCTAGCAGGCAACGCACTGTCCCTGCTGCTCGTCGTCGATCCACTTGGTGACACCAGTACGGACGGCTACCTGGCGGCAGCTCTGGCCATGCTCCTGGAGGCAAAGTCGACGCCGCCATTCTGCTCGGGAGAGACGAGGTACCGCATGCCGGACCGTCCATGGAGCCTGTTCGAAGGCTTGGCCGGTGTTTTGTGCGCGTGGAGCGAGGCGAGCTTGCTCATCAAGCTGAAGCTGAAGGTCATGGACCGCACAAAGCAAGGGATGGTTGACCCGACCCTTCTCGCCAAAGATGAGGAAATCAAGGAGCTCCAACGCCGCCTCTTGGGCTTTCCGTGTCTCGTCGGCGGCGTCAGCGGAGACGCCCAGTCATCGTTCCTTACATGAAGGGCCTCCCTGGGCGTTGCAAAGGAAACCAACGGTAGACTTGGAGCTGCAAGCTACGCGGAAACCGCTGTGGCAGGCATGAACGTGTTCGAAATCACGGTTTCGCCGTTCGGGACTGAAGTGGCATGGTATCAAGCGTTTTTAGGTCGAGAAGCGATGTGAAGCGTACACTTGCATCTGCAGGGATCGGCGCCATCTGTTCTGCATACCGTGGGCATTCTCTTGATCGCAGAGCAAGAATGCATGACACATGTTGGGCTTGCCGCAAAGACCCAAGTACTTCTGAGCGATTTGCCTTCCTGACGAGCAAAGAGGGGGGATACAGCTAACGACCTCTTCAACTGCTTTGTATACATGCTAAGTGTCCTGAGTCTCAAATCCAAAGCTTCGCTTGATTTAGCCCTGCTAAAGACATTGTGAGCAGTCAAGCTCAGCCTAGCGAACCTACGTTGCGGCTGTTTCATTCTGACGAATTTGATTCTCAATTGATCGCAGCTTAAGGACGCAGTATCTGGTTGGCTGACAAAGCCCGTTCAAACAATTATCCTTTGACGTTTGAACCCAAGCTGTCTATTGTTAAGCGACGAGCAGTCCATCGCTTGAGATGATCAGGCACTTCTTCCGGGATCCATGCTATGAAATGAACATCTGTTCCTTTTTTTTTTGTGTACGAATGTTCGGTGCAAGAATTGATTTCTGTTACATAGCTCCTGGCTCCCTCAACATGTAGACGACATGAGCCTGAAACAAAGACAGCATCGTGATCTCCTGGTTGGCTTGAAAACGCAGAACGGATGGGAAGGTGAAGAATTGCACAGTAATGTGGCTACATCAGGGGCGTTCATTAGCGAAGACGTTCAAATATAAGTTTTCAATGCGCCGAATATGCTTTCTCAATAATAACTCGGTACAGCTACGGCAGCGAGCCCAACAGGCAAGCCACACTCATCGGTTGATAAAGCCGCTGGCACACATCGAAATCGTGGGCACGTTGTGCTATATAAGCAGCGGTATAGAAACAACATTGGCACGCAGGCCATGTCATGACAGGAAGAGAAACCCGCAAGATGTCACAGTCGCGTCTAGAAAGAAGAGGGTAGAAGGGCTAGCAACGCAGTACAAGATTCTAAGAAAGGGAAGCTCAGAGCCTCAGGCGAATGATTAACCAAGAGAGCAAGGGGTCCAGTCCGCAAAGGGCTATACTTGATACCCGGTTGTACGTCTTTCCATTGACCTGGAGGGTCTGTGGACGCAGGCTCTTTAATTCAAAGATTAGAGCATAAGTTTAGGGGCTCAAAGTGTGGTAGATGGATGGAAATCCAGCCTACCAAAAGAGGCTCGCCGATTTGGTAGCAACAGAGCAGCGAGTTGGCTAAAAAAGGATTTTCCAACTGTATTTGCTGCAGTCCGCCTTTCCACACGCTTGTCGCGATGCCCACCTACTTTCACGTTCGGCCATAGGCACTAGACTTTACTGCCCGAGATCATGAGTATCCCTCGCAGACCATGCGAGCGCCCAGGAAAGCTGGGATCTTCGCTGGATATTCTGCGATGCTTTGCACATCCAGAGAGAGCCGATAACGATGTTAACTCGTTCCCGAGCCTGTATCGCGTAAGGTCTACCCAATGTGCTTGGTCCTTGGGTGAAAATTTGGACACTAAAGTGCAGAGTCCACGGCACATAGCTGAACTCACCTTTTACGCCGAAAAGCTCGCACTTCGTTTGGCTTTTTGTTGCATTCTCACGAGTGCTGAAGTGTTGAAAGGAAAGGATTATTCAATCCACTCCATCGTGCTTGCTCTCGTTCTCACATCCACCTGTCTTCTTCTCTTTTTCAAGGCTTGTCCCAATTCAGTTGATTCAAGCACTTTCACGAGGATGAGTTCTCCAACACAGCAAGCCGGTCGCACAGCTCTTCCTGCAAGTTATTAATATGATGTTCGAACGAGGCCTTTTTCGTCATTTATGGATGTCGTTTCAACCGACTTATGATCCTCAGACCGAGGTATAGGGACATTCGTGCAATGGATTGTAAAGCGGTATGAACTTGACGCCACTATTCACATATTACACGTTTTACCCAGGTCGTCTTGCGAGTCCAGTCGACATGCCATCTTTGTCTAGGATACTGTACCACAGTAGATGAGTTGAAGGGATCAATGAAGCGACCAATGAAACGACCTATGAAACGACCTGGAGGACACGGCTGCTTTCAGCGCGTGAGACAGGAAGACATTCTGCAAGGTCCTGACGGAGTAGGAGCAAGGAGTTCCTCTCAATTAGGAGCCGGAATCCAGTTTGCATCAAAGGGGCCGACGGGACAGCAGTAACGCACGATGGGGCAGTGAACAAAGTATGCAACTACTCTCGAAGAGGCGCTGCTTGATAATTGCTACAAATGTCTGACAAGACCTTGATCACGCACGTATAATTTGGGCCGGGGGCCGTAGGAGTGGCATGCATGACGCAATATATAGATTAAACTTTCATGCCACGAAGGAACGGGCGGAGGCTGTGGACGCAAAGTGTGAGAAAATGCCTGAAAAATTGGGTCCAACAGAGAATAAAACGGCCCTCTCTATGAGCCGTGTCTCAGGAGCGTCTGTCACAAGATGTCCCGACGATCCGGAGGGGAAAGCTTCTTAAGTTATGCTGCGGGCCTGGCTGGGCGAGGTGAGATCGATGCCGGTGATTCGCTGGTTGTTTGAAGAAACAGATTCTGCTGCAAGGAGAGAGATGATGGCGGAAGGGATAGAGGTGGTATCTACTGTGTATATGCTCGAGCAGGCAGACGAGGGTGACAAATGGCGTTGGGCATAAACAACACGGTCACGGCTTGGACGGTCGTTCTTACTGCAACAATGCAAGAAGAATGGACTCTTTCCGCAAGTCGCATTGGGGAGCAGTTGCCTTGGCCCAAGGCTCGGAGTCTCCAGCCACATCACGTGTCGAAGACGAAGTGGAACATCGGAGGCAGCTCACAGTGGGCTGAAAGGGCTGATGGAAGGCGTGGCGGATGGACTCTCTGCTCAGGCAGACGAACCATGGCACGCGTGCTGGGGCCTTTGGCGGGCAACAGCAATTGGCGGAGGGCTAAATTAAGGTCGTTCATGCGACATGACACAATTGAGACCAAGAGGCGAGTGACGAGGGGTGTTCACGATCGGGAACGTCAGTAGTGAGCTGGCACGGGGAAGTACGGAGGTGCAGAGTACTATGGACATCATCGCAAGAGCAATTAATTCCTTCGCGCCAAACAACCGGCAACACGAGGTGGCCAAGTGGAGATTTGTTTCTCGAAAGATGGACTGGGGTGTGGCAGGTGAGGGAAATGAGCCGTGGGTGAACATCGTCTTTATTGTGGCTCCAAGCAGGTAGCGTTTCGAAATTGGCCCTCCTAGCTCGGCACATGACAGACGGCTGACATTTACGATGTACGGAGTACAGTTGTCCATATTTTTTGTGACCTCGCCTGTCAACGCAGAAGCAAGAGAAGGTGGTCGAGTCCATGCTGGGGCGAGGGGATGGGGCAGCAGGACTGGAGCCGGAAAGCGCGCCAGCGACGGCGAGGGTAGCATGGCAATGACGTCCTATGTGCGTGTCCATACGAAGGGGACAGAGACTTGAGCGTGATGCCAGAGCCAGGACATGGGTTGTGAGATGGAGACGAATGGACGTTGGACGATACGTGATGGGGATGGATACAGCGAGCAGGTTAGCAAAGGTGATGATGACGATGATGACGATGATGCGGCTAGTGCCCGTCCATCTTGGGCTTCTCGCGCGCCATTATCATTGGACGCGCCAGGTTTCGACTTGTCCGTTTTGCTGGCGCAGCGCAGGAAGAAAAAAGAAGGCGAAGGAAGGTAAAATGGCAGCCGGCCAACAGAGCACAGCGCCGATCTTCCTTGCTTCGAGCTTGACACGCTGCACGCGCGCAATGCCGCACGCGCTTGCACCGTGTTCCTCTTGCGCGGGCATGCATCGCGGACTGGCCGTCTGTCTGCACCAACAGACGAAGATGAACAGACAGCAGGGATGGGCGTCGTGCTCCCCCAGCCGGGGAGGATGGACGTCGTCTTCGCCGGCGAAGTCTGGTGTCTCTGGCGCGAGACTTGCCCGGCGGTGTCTTTCTGGGGGTGCTGGTGGTAGCGATGACGTCGAGCTCAGCGACGGCAAGGAATAAAGGCGCGGTTGGTCGTGCTGGCGCGAGCGGACTGGCGGCATGGTGCCAGAGGATGGCCTGGCCTGTGACCGAGCTCCTGGCAGAATTCCTGGCAGAATTCCTGGCAGAATTCCTGGCAGGGACACGTTCTGCGGCACGCAAGTCGAGCTGCTGTGCAACAACCAGAGCAAGACGGCGTGTCGCTGGTCGTGGTGGATCTGGCGGCGATGGCAGCGGCGGGCAGGCGCAAGCTGGCGAAGGACCGCCCGGGGGGTCGCGCCAGTGGCCGTGCCGGGCTGTAGCGGGCCTAGCGCCGGGGCCCGCACCAGCCTTCATCTCCCCTCGTCCGCATGCGGCATCACGCCGACACCGCGGCAATGAGCGGGCCCGCGCCTGGCTGTATTGCACGGTCGTGTTGTTGGGTGTTCCTGGCCTTGTGTTTCCCTTCCCTCGGGGCCCCTGTGCTTTGGCCCGGCTGTGGTGCGTCTGGCGCTGGACTGTCCCCCCAAACCAGCTTTGCTCGCTGCGCCCGCCCACGCTCGCCCCCCCCCGACGCTCCCAAGACGCCGCCGTCTCCTCGCTCGTCCCATCTCGTCTCGCCCATCCCTCCGTCCAAACCCACCACCCATCTGTACAGCGTGCATTTCCATTCACATTCCCATATCCATCAGGCGCGTCCAATTCTTACGAGCTCCCGCACATCGCACCGAGACTCGCTTTGTCCGATCCTGCACACCGCTGTTAGCCACGCACGGCAAATCCAGGAACGCATCGCGCGCTAGGCCCCGACTAGCTCGACCACTCTTCGCGCACCAGCGCAGTCCGTCGCCAGCGGCAACGGCTGCGAGCTCTCCTCCTTGATTCAACACTCTCACGCTCGCACACACACACATACACTCCCACCCATCCACACCACACTCGTACTCACGCACGCACGCACACCTCCTGCCCACGCCCACACGCTCTCATACACACGCGGACATCCACGTCCCCTCTCCCCTTCCTCGCCTTTGCGCCAGAGAGCGCGCTCGCGGAGGCAGCTGCTGTACAACGACACCTGCACACCAACCATGTCGCAATACGGCAAATTTTTCGACTTCTGCAGAGACTCCGGCAGCAAGTTTTCCACCATTCCAGGTTCGTGCTTTCCCCTTCGCTTTGATTTCCGCCATCGACCGCACTGTGCCCAGAGAGCTGACCAGATTCTGTTTTCGCAGTGTGCAATGTACGTGCTTTGACGCCAACCACGACGTGCCATCGTCCCTTCCGCCGTGCGTCGATGCTAATGTGATTGTCCAGCTCTTCAATGAGTCGCCTGCGCGATCAGGAAGCTCGGCCGCTGGCTTTGGTGGCTGCGACCTCACAGGCATCGGTCTCAGTAATGGCCGCGAGCTCGCAAACCTAGGTCCGTAGCAGCCCAATTGCGCCGCCGCTCACCTGCGTATCCTGCAAACGCGAGCTAACCCGACAAAAGGTTCCATCCTGCTCGATGGCATCGCCATCTTGGTCACCATTGCCTTGCTTTTCTTCTCCAATCGGAAACGTGCAGCGGTCGGCAGAAGGTACGACTCCTCCAACACGGGCATCCGTTATGCCAGCCGTAGTGCTGCGTTCTTTGATGTTGACAAATGCGCTACAGAGAGATGCAATACTTCCTCTTCGGCTACCTGGTCATCTCCATCTGCGAAATCTTCACCATTGGCGGCTTCCCGCTCAACGGCGCCGTTCGACGCGCCTTCACCGCTGTGCACATTGCCGCCGTCGTCGCCACTGCCTGGGTATTGCTGCTCAATGCCATTGTCGGCTTCCAGATCATGGAGGATGGCACCTTCGTGTCAATGGCGCTGGTTATCGGCTCTTCTCTGGCCTTCGTCATCGGCGTCGGTTACATTGCCCTTGACACTGCCTTCAAATGGACCGGCTACTGGGACTCGACGCTCAGCCCGCCCAACAGAGCTTACGCCTTGTACACGTTGTACTTGCTGGCCCCCCTCGTTTTCATTGCCTTCTACTTCATTCTCGAAGCGTACCTTGTGGTTGTTATTCTGGGTGAACGAAGACCGTTACGTGAGTAATCTGTCAACATCCACAGTTTGCGCACCTTGGCTAATTCGCTTCCTTCAGTCTACTTGATAACTGCAGGTCTTCTCTTCGCCATCGGCCAGATCTTCCAATTCGTAATATCGGTCCACATCTGCAACGGCACGCATGGCAAGATCAACGGGGGCATGTTCGAGTCGCTCTTTACGCTACTTGCTGTCGTCATGGTTTGGGTGTTTTGGTCGAGCATAACGGAGGACGATTGGCCCACCGCCGGTACTCCAGGCTACTCATAACCCCTTCTCTGTGATTTCCCTGCGGGAATCCCGAAGAGGGAACGCACATCCAACTCGCTCCGGAAAAAAAAAATTCATCTCTTCACGCAAGCACACGCAAACGCAGTTGCCATATCTTACTTCTTAATTCTAATTTCTGATGAACCGACTTTTTTTTTTGTGCTAGTGGGCTGATTGTTTTTGCGCTTTGGATGCAGATTCGGAAGACATCGCGAGTCCGTACGGCGAGTTAAACCACCGATACAACCGCAAGCACCAGAAGAACGTGGTGGGAAGGAGCGCAACTGGAATGCCAGAGCATCGGAGGAGGACGAAGCTGGTAATGTGTTGGGCGTGGACGAGCAGGTGTGCTAGGGGCAAGAAGCGGATCAGATCGAGCGTGGACGAAGTTGCAACTCTGCGACGACTCACGGCATCGCGCACGACAATTCACCCAGATGGGGCGGAGGTCAACAGGGTCGGCATGTCGAGCATGTCCAATATGTCCAACGTGTCTGAGCGTTTTGTGATGGCCGATCTGCAACGTCATTCTGTGGCACGGTTTCCACAAATCACACAGCTCGATGGGTACGTTTCGGAAGTATCCCATACTCGCTTTAGCACCGGCAGCGTATCCCATCCACAAGCCTCGGAAGCTAATCTCTTCGACGAAAAATTAAAGCGAAGAACGCGTGTTTCGGATGAAACACTCGATTGTGACGTAGAGGAATGGAAGGCGCCTCCGTTCCCTCCGGAACCAAACCCGATGATTGTTCAAACCGTGTTCCAGCAAACGCTCTTTAGTGAGCGAGGACCAGCAGATGTTCCGTTACCTCCACCGACACCTGATGAGTCCTGTGCCATTCCAGATCCATGCTCCCGGAGCCCGAAAACCCCTCCAGGAGAGCCACCTTCACAGCTCTCACAATGGATGAAGGATCGCGTGTGCTTGCATGATGCGCACCTCGCCAATAGAGCTTTGGAGCTGCACAGGAAACTTCCAGAGACCCAAACGCCAACATCCTGCAATCTACCTTCGACGACATTTACGCCACGAGAACGCGTGACGCAGGTCAACTCGTTGATGCTTTCCCCTGACCTCCGTCGACCGTCCAACACGATCTACGGGGTGGCACAGGTTCCTCCCCTTCAAGACCACCGCGAATGCGAAGCTTCGATCTTAGAATCACTTTTTCAATACGGCCTGCATCAGAGGGCCAGACGCATAAGATCCACTATACGGACCTCATTCACTCCTGATAGTCTACCCTCTGTTGGCGAGCGTCCCATACGGTGGTGGCATGAGCATGCAGGCGGCCAGAGCGAGAGCAGCGACGGCGAGGCATCCGTGGGAGAGCGGCCATGGCCGAGGTGGTGGAGGCGTATGAGTCTTGTAAGCAGGACTCGAGCAGCGGCACGGGTTCAGCTTTTTCCGTACTCCATAGTTCCGTCTGTCCCTCTGACGAGAGAGACACAAGTCCGTGCACCATCACCACCACAAAACCAAGGACATGTTCCGTCCAGCGTGTTTCCGCGTAAGCATATTGCGAGTGAAGATTCTGTGGGTGAATATGAGTGGTTTGATCCGGACGCGATTGGTATTGCTCTTTGATTAGTCTCTAGCTGTTTCATGCCGTCTTTGTATTCTTTCGGACCTTGGGTCTTCTTTGCGTTCTTTCTTACGAGCACCGAAGCAACGATTGGATGCATGGCATGAGGTAGCATGCGTTTTTGATTTGCATTTTTTTTTCGGGCAGTACGGGATATGCTCTGGCCTTTTGAGGCTTGCAGTTCTGACGTCTTCAATATACCCAGCTTAGCAATAGCATACACGCATACTCCGTACATCAGCCTTGGAAACCTATACTTTACTTGCGCCCAGGTTGGATGAATGAAGAGCGGCAACATTTGCTGCCTGTGTTGATTGAATAGGAGAGTCCTCAAATTAATATGGTCTTTAAAAAGAAGGCTTGGATGATCATTCAAACAAGTAGACAGCCATGTTCATCTCACTTCACGATTCCGTTTCGCAAAGTGTCTTAAGGCGGGACATGAGGCTGAATCATGTGATTCCGTGTTCAATCGATCTTTTTAGTTTTAGTCCCGCTGCTATGGACGTCACTGGCTATTTGAAGTTTGGAGAACTATCTGGGCACAGCTCGCCCACCTTAAAAACCTGTGTTGCGATTCTTCTCCCATACTCTGACTTCATATACCTGAAAAGCAAATAATTTGGTGTGTCTCATTCACAGTCATTGTATGATAGGTTTACAAAGGCTTGCTCAACTGTATCTCACCACATTCCGCACACAACGACGCCTCGGCCGCGAGTGTAACAATGGCAGACTCCGACGGTGAATATATGCAATCAGATGACGACGACATCTCAGTTCGCGATGGACGCACAGGCACGAGGAGGAACAGACCAGCTGAGCGCGCAGCGTGGGAGGCGAGCGTGCAGGAAAGAGAGAAGCCAATGTTGGGCGCTGGGATGACTGGTGGAATTGGCGGCAACCTGAGGCTGCAAAGAGAGGAACGTATGCGAGGGAGGTGAGTTCGCTACGGTTATACATTTCTCAGCGGAGGAAGTGGTTACAAATTGTTAAGATCCTCACAACGGGCGTGTCTGTCGAGGAAGAACGGCACATAGTAACGAGCTCACAGACTGCGGCAGGATACGCAGCCCTTTCAACGGGGCATCATCCGCCATGTTGTCCTTATCCTCGACTTATCCGAAGCCATGCTGGAGAAAGACTACCGACCGGGCAATCGCTTCGTCGTCACCTTGCGGTACGCGCAGGAGTACGTTCGCGAATTCTTTGAGCAGAATCCCATATCGCAGATGTGTGTGCTGGCCATGCACGACGGCATATGCGTGCGTGTGAGCGAGATGAGTGGCAATCCGAACGATCATGTCGCCGCCATCCAGGGCTTGCGAATCGGCCGCAACATGCGCGAGCCGCTGGGCAGCCCAAGCCTGCAGAACGCGTTGGAGATGGCGCGAGCGAGCCTGTACCACACACCTAAACACGGCACCAGAGAGGTGGTCATCACGATGGGCGCGCTGCTCACAGTTGACCCGGGCGACATTCATGAGACGATTCGCAACTGCGTAAAGGACAGGCTAAGGGTGCAGATCATAGGCATGTCAGGACGACTGAAGATATGCACGGAGATATGCCAGAGAACGAACGCGGGCGACGAGAACACGTACACGGTCGCGCTGGATCAGATGCACTTTCGCGAGCTGCTGCTGGCGACCACCACGCCGCCTGCGATACGCAAGGAGGAAGATTTGGAGGCGAACAAGGCGTCGCTGCTCATGATGGGCTTTCCATCTCGCATCGAGGAGGAGGTAGCAAGCCTATGCGCGTGCCATTCGCAGCTCTCAAGAGGCGGATATCGCTGTTCGAGGTGCATGGCTAAGGTCTGCAGTCTGCCGCAGACGTGTCCGTCGTGCAGCCTGACGCTCATCTTATCCACGCATCTGGCACGATCGTATCATCATCTTTTCCCTTTGCGAAATTGGATTGCCGTGTCGTGGAAGCGCGCACGCGAGGTTGGCAGCTTGCAATGTCGCGGGTGCCTCATCAAGCTCCCAGAGCCGCCTGATCCTTCGGAGCAAACGGAGGCAGAGGAGAGTGCGCAGGACGAGGCCATAGTGAGACGCAAGGCAAGGGAAGAGCGGGCGGCCAGCGAGAGCTCCAGGTACGAGTGTCAGGCCTGTGGCAGCCACTTCTGTGTCGACTGCGACTTGTTCTGTCACGAAGTCGTGCACAACTGCCCCGGGTGCCTTGGCGGAGCCTCAAAGTTCCAGACGCACAACCTCAAAGGAAAGGACAAGTCGAGGGAGAATGGGGATGTGGCAATGACAAATGGACATTGAGCAGATGCGAAAACTTTGACCGTGAGCAGACGAGAGAGAGAGAGAAAGGGAAAAACAAGGGGGGGGGGTAAAATAGGAATGAAAACAGATGAGAAGCCGGTCAGCGTGACGACAACTTTTTGTGTATCTGTATAGATATATACCCGGATCAAGGACTTAGAAAAAGGCTTTGAAAACTTATCATCGACGAGCCTAAACAGTTTGGAGGTCGATTATCACAAAATCGCCATAAGGAGAGAGAATCTTAGGGCCGAGTGCCACCAATGTTCATCAGACTTTTTGTGTCAGTGCCAACAAAGGAGCACATTCCAGATGAAAAAAATCGTTTCACATTGGCTATCCGACTGTGTGCGGTTGCACACCCTGTCTTACTTGTAACTTGTGCGGATTAAATCATACCGTCCTAAAGAGAGATTTGACTACCAATTCCAGCATACTGAAGTAAAGTATGATGCTCGAGACAGGAATTCGAGCTTTATAACCTAAGCATCTTCAAGGCTTCTTACAGCTTGGAGCCAGCCAGGCCCGGGGTCTCCTCGATCCTGAACACGTACTTGACGGCGCTCGCCTTGCCTGCCTTCAGGTTGGACAGGCCGGTCTGCAGACCGTGAAGGCCGCCGGGCACAACCTCGAAGGGGTGGCCGTTGAACCAGCCGTCGAGGAGGCCGCTCTCGAAGAACTTGTACATGATCGCGCCGAAGGTCTGGTCGCCCAGCCGGCCGCGGAGCTTCTTCTCACCCTTGAGGCCCGGGTAACGGTCGGAGTGAACCTTGCCGACCTGGGTGAAGAACTTGTGGAAGGAGTCGGGCACGCCCTCGTAGCGCTTGCGGGCCAGCACGACGGCGAGCTTGCCCCTGTCGCGATCGAAGACGTGCATCAGGTTCTGGAAGCTGCCCTTGTCGCTGACGGCGTCGAAGGCGTACAGCAGCTTTTCGCCGGCCAGCGCGGCGCGGAGGCCCGCGACGACGGCGGCGTCGCCCGCGCGGTAGTCGACGATGGTGTCGCCGCGCGAGCGGTCGATCAGCGTCTCGACGTAGCCGGCGCCCCTGCCCGCCACGCAGATGATCGGGTGAATGTTGGACAGGGCGGCCAGCTTGACGGCGAACGCGCCCACGGCGCTCGCCGCGCCGTACACGACCAGCGGCAGCCGCTCCTGCGCCGGCAGCCACGGCACCGGCAGGCCCAGCCGCTGGTACAGCCCCAGCGCCGCCGTCATGCCCGCCAGCGGGATCGTCGCGCCCTCCTCGAACGACACGCCCGCCGGCAGGTGGAACGTCGTCGCCTCCGGCGCAACGCCGTACTCGCCAAACGCCCCGTACGGCGTCAGCATCTCGTGGAACGCCGCGACGCGGTCGCCCGGCTTGAAGTTGGTCACGTCCGCGCCGACGGAGTGCACGATGCCCGCAATGTCGTCGCCCTGCGTCGTGCCCGGGGCTATACTTGAGCAAAACAAGAACATCAGCGCCTCTTCTTTCTTTCTTTCTTTCTTTCTTTCTCTCTCTCTCCCCCCTTCTCACAGGCCAAGTCGCTCCACGTCCTTCTTTTTCTTCTCCCTCCTCCCTCTCCTCCCCGCCCTTCTCTCCTCTTCCTTTCCTTTTGCCATTTCGAGGCTAGCCCTCACGCGTCCCATGTACAAGCGGGGAGAGAATGAGATAAGAGAGGGAAGCGCAAAGGGGAGGGAGAAGGAAGGTGGATTATACGAACGCACATCTTTCTGCAATGGCCCAGTCCTTGGGGTTGGACCCGCACACGACCACTTTGATAATCAAGTAATTTGGACCTGGCAGCTCGGGGAAAGGCACGTCCTCGATGGTGACCTTGGGTCCCGGATGCACTCTCGCTTCCTTCATTCTCGTACTTGCTGTTCCGTTTCAAAGGAGGAAAAAAAAAAAAATAAAGGAAACTCTGAAGATTGAGCAACGAGAGGAGGACGCGAGGCGAAGCGCCAGAGAGGCAAAGTAAAATGGGACTATGCGACTCTGATTTGCGTCACGAGTCTTGGGTGTCTCGCCCGTCGTGCGGAAGCGTCGTTTTTTGCCATTTAACCTCGCCCTCCCTACTCTTCTTCCCCCTCACGCCAGCAGGCCGCGTAGTGCTCCCAGCCATGCAGACAACATCAATCACCATCAGACGACTCGTCAAGATGAGGTGCATGTGTTCGGATCTGATAAGTTCCCTCGGGTGGGTTATCCTGAACCTCGGCCCCGTCAGATTAAACAACGACCAATTTGGGACCGGGAGGGAACAGAACGGGGGGCCGTGTGGTGGGTGGATAAAAAAGGCGGTTTGGTGCGGCCTTGACGGCCAGTAAGCTGTCGGACTGGATTGTCGTAGCGACACACTTGTGATGTCGTCCGTCCCCCTCCCGGGTAACTCTTCTTTAGACATACGTCAACTGTATACGGGCTTTCTCCCTTTCTACAAAAAAAAAAGCCGATCGTAAATGGGGCGTCGTTGGCATGAGTCCTGCGCGAAATTCTGTGTGACCAGCTTTCGGGCGTGAGGATGAGATGGATACCTCGGATGCTCTTTATCCGCCTAAAACACGCAGAACTTACGTCCGCCCACACACTGGTCTGCACGAAACTTACCTCATAAGCACGAACACGGTAAAGACGACGTGGGCACGAGCTGTGTAAAGTATGTCCTCCGTGTTGCAAAATATCCGCTTGCTAACTTATATCAAGCATGACAATCAGTAATCGACTGACATAAAGAAAACGCCGTCACCCAGCCTGGCCCATTTCCCCCACCCCACGGATCTTACCACGTATCAAAGCGCGTAAAAACTCGCGACCGTCAAGAGAGCTGATGAGAGCAGCAGAGATCCTACACCCCTTCATAACCTCCTCAAATCAAGCAAACGCCAACCCAATGCATCGCTTTCAGCGTTAAAATATCAGCGTAGGAACATCACACGAAAAGGATGTGAAAATATATACAAGCTTAGAGCGTCTTCCATGGATCGTAAGAATAAAAAAGAAAAAGAAAATGAAGTATGTACTGAGGAGGGCGAAAGGCAAGAGAACGCTTGCATCCTGCCCGAAGAGGGGAAGAGTTTGCAGCACCCTACGACTGGTCTTGGAACGAACGCGCACGCTCTCGCTAGGCGACGGCCTGTCGCCCGCGAACAAACTTGTTAGACGTGTGGATGGGTCGCCTTTTTGAGCTTGAAATCAGGAAGGTAGTCGAACCAGTCCTTTTCAGGGTTGTACCTGTATGCCTTGAACTCGACTCCGTATGGCTTCGGCTCGAGACTGTACAACATGCCCAATGGACAGTCCAGGTCAGCGACATTGTCCCTGCTCAGGCCCATGAAGTAGGCGAGCAGTACGCGCGCAACAGAGCGGTGAGTGATGAGCAGACAGTGATCCGTCATACGCTCGAGCTCAACGATTACGGGTCGCAGGCGATTGATGACGTCGAGATAACCCTCGCCACCGGGTCCAGGGTAGCGGTACTGCAGCTTGTCGTGCTCGCGCAGCTTATACTCGTCGGCGTAGTGGGTGCGGATCTCCTCGTACGTCATGCCCTCCATGAGACCGGCGTTGAGCTCGTCCAACATACGCATCTGCTTGATTTCATAATCCTCCTCGTCGAAAAACTCGGCCGACTGAATGCTGCGCTTCAGCATGGACGTCCATACGCAGAAATTGCGAGTCTGTTCCTCCTGTTCGTCACCTAGGGGGCTGAAGTGCGGGTTAGGCGGCGTGTGATCACCCGGATGCGGCGGGAAATGCGTGTTGGCGGCCTTGTCCTGCTGTCTTACTTCCCACGCCTTGCGCTCGTGGTCGACGAAGCGAGCAAGCGCGGCGGCGTACTTGCGCCCGTTCTCGGTAAGGCCTGAGTCGCCGCCAATCTTGCCTGCCCGATTATCCTCGGACTCGCCATGCCGCGTGATCCAGATCTGACGGGGTGCGAGGTTGAAGTTGAGAAGATAATAGGCAGCCTGAGAGGAGAGGAAGCCGCGGATCTGGTGAGTGATGACCTTGCGGCCCACGTCGATCATCTTGATGTACGGCATGTTGTTACGCTCTTCGTAGTCGCCAAGCGGAACGTACTTCTTCTCGTACTGCTCGACACGTTTCTTGAAGTCGGCAAGCGACGCAACAGGATCCTTGTCCTTGTAGTCCGGACCGGACAGTTTCAGGCGCATGTTAGCCTCGAGCAGAGTCTGATCCTCGCACACGCTTTCCAGGAACAGAACGTTCAGCTCCTTGCCGGCCTTCTGGCGTATGCGCTCCATAACCATCTTTCTTCTCGAGATGGTACTGTTTGTAGCGTCGAGGATGCCGACGGAGCCATTGCCGTATAGAATGTAGTCGAGGAGCTCGTCCAACGTCTCGGACGCGCACTGCTCACGTATCAAGGCGGCCTCTCGATTAGCGGGGTCAAAGAAGTCGGCGGTGTGCTCGCTCATCGGATCGTGGTGTACGGCCGTTCCGGGGTTATCCAGAGTGCCGGAACTGCCTGGAGCTGGCTTGTCAACTTTGGGCTGCACCTCCGCTACACCCGGAGAACCCGTTCCGTTGGCCTGGACGGCCTCAACAGCGCCAGTCAAGCTCAAGGTAGGTATGGGCGGAGTTGGCACCTGGCCATTAATAAGGATGTGGGCGGCTACATGCGGAGGGCTCATCTCGCGCGTGGCATGATCCGGACCACCCGCAGCCGCGCTGGGCTCGGCGTGGCTTGCGAACTTCCGCCTCTTCTCGCCGACGTTGAAGATCATGGTGTCGTGCTGCAGCCAGTTCAAGTAACGAGCCATCTTCTTGGTGATGTAGCTCTTGCCACGGGCGGGCAGACCCACCATGACGATGACGAGCTTGGAGCCTACATCGCGCTGGGCTATCCTGCCATCTGGCGAGACCTTGGACTTTGTGAGGCCCGGTATGTCAAGAGTTGTGGGTCGAATTCTGGGTGTGGAGGCGGCCGAGCTCGATCTCATCGCAGGTCTGCGAAGCGCATCGCAAGTCAGCATGATTTTCGCCGCCATTGACGGCGGCAGCTGTGTGCACAAGCGGGCAACGACTCGGACACTCACATTCTAGGCGTGGTAGGAAGAGACGGCTCGGGCGTGTCGCTCAAGGCCGGACCCACGCCATCCTTTGACGCTCTCAGCGACTCAGGCGCAAACCTGGGGCGGGGCTTCAAGTGCTGGTGGTGCAGCTGCTGGGCATCCTGGCGGCCATCCGGATCGTCGAGTCCGTTGATGGGAGCTGCGGGCGGCCGGACTTCCGGTGCCGGGCTTGCAGTATCGGAGCCGATGGCAGTCGACGGGTCAGGGTCGCGGTGGGCAATGTTGCTCATAAGTACCGACTTGGCGTAGACGGAGAGCTGGCTCTGCTTGCGCGGATGCGGCGCAGGTGTCGCGGTGGCAGCCGTGATGGAAGTCAGACTGGTGGGAGAAGGAAGGGGACGATGGGGGGCGCGGGTGTGGTCGAGGATGTTGTCAGAGACATTGTGAGGCATGGTCGTCGACTCAGAGTAATTTTCTGGTCCGAAAAGCGGTAGTTCGGCGCGCAGAGCAAGGGTCGCAGCTGGGGCGCGTGGGCTGGTGCTGGGCGATGGCCCTTTGCCGTTTCTGTGCGCAGAAAAGGCCCACCCGCGTCCGTCGACCGCACCGACTGCGGCGGATTGCTTGATCGCTGTGCCAACCAGCCTGGACCGCCGGTCTGCAGGCGAGAGAGTAGACGAAGCGCAGCGTTGCGTGAGCCTGCGACGCGCTTACGGGCTAAGCCTCGTGTCCTCTCTCCTGCTGCTGCGGCGCTGAGCGAAGCCAGTCAGCCTGGGTGCGGTGGCCTAGTCTGCGAGGGGCAGAAAGCGCGAGCAAAGATAGTAACGGTGAGCAGCAGCCAAGCAACGCTGGGGAGAGAGGGATTGGCAGTCAGCAATCGTGGCGGACGGAGCGACGGCAGTGAGACGTGTCGCCGAGCACTTGTTGAGGAAATTGTGGAGGAGTGACGACGGAATAGTGGTACCTTTTTCTTCCCGGTGGCCAACGCGATGATCGGCCCAAGACGAGATGAGTATGGATCAAGGCGAGGCGCGCGCCGTGTGATCAAGAGAGAAGACACAGATCCAGAGACACACACTCTCGCACGCACACGAGAGAGGGAGGGAGGCAGGGAGAGAGGGAAAGGAGGAGGAGGAGGAGGGAGAGAGAGGGAGAGGGAGAAGAGCAAAGTCGAAACCAGAATCGTCCTGAACGGGTCTCGAGTCAACAAATTCCAGGAATCGAGGGGCCGCAGCGGTCGCAATTGCGCGCTCGCGCTCCAGGAAAAAAGTGGATGACCGATTGCAACGCTCAGGTGGGCAGCAGTGGGACGAAGCAACTTTGCGCCTATCGGCCGGCCAGGAGGCAGTTAGATAGTCTGCGACAGCTCGTGAGAGGCACGGCGGTCGGAATATGTAGAAGCAACAGAATTCCACAAGATGAACAGAGTCAGTCGAAGGTACATGCGCAGCCACGCCCAGCACGGCGACTTCCAGACACACGAGATGATCGCACGCGCAGCGCATGCACAGAGCGCGCAACGGGACACACAAGCAGAGCGGAGGCAGAGGCCAACTCGTCGCCGATCGCCTGACGGGACTCGCTTGGGCGTGATGTTGCATTTCTCCCTGGGCCCGTTGCTTCAGCGTTCTGCCACAGGCCAGCTCACTCGCCCTGGCACCGCTGCTGGTGCTGCCGACGCTCTTTGCTCGTCCGCGACCGTCTTGAGAGCTCCAGCGGCCGGGGCGGCCACTGAAGCGTCAAGCCCGACCAGACAGGCCAACCGGCGCTGACCGTGTCGTCCATCCCACGCCGGCGAGCTTCCAGGCCAGTCAATCCACCACGCCTAGCCTGGGCCGCGCTCAGCGGTTTGCGTCGCGCCCACGGAGCCGCGCACACAGCAGAGGAGAGCCGGGAACACGCCGCCCAGCCATGGCATCGCAGCGCGTACAATGCGTGGGGCCGCTCAAGCACCAGTCGGCGGCGCTCCTGTACCTCCGTTCCGTCCTCACGTCTCTGTGCTGCTGCGTGCAAACTTCGGATGCAGCCCCGTTGCCGAGAGATAAACAGAGGAAAAACCCATATCATCCCCCCTCTCCACCCGCCCGCCCCGATTCGGCTCAGCCTTGCGCGCCTTGGTGTGGGCGTGCATGCATACCTGCTTAGTGACGACTCGTACGTGCGACGCCGGCGCCCGTGGGCCCGATTGGCGACGTTGAGATCCCATGGCCCACAAGCTCCGGCTGTGTCCCAACGCGATCGTAGCAAGCTTCAAAACACTGTGCCGCTTCTTCACGAGCACAAGCACGGAATGTGCTGCTTTCTCTGCGGTGCACCGCGCATGTCTTCGCCACGGACCACGCCGGGATCCAACGGCCGCGTGCAGTCCAGCCACGTGATGACATCACTGCCTTCTGGCTCTGGTCACGTTCGAGCCTTGGCAACAGTTGTTTCTTCACACTCGCTGCCTCCCGTCTTGCATGCCTGTGATTTGTGCTACGTGACGCGTGTGTACGGACTGCCAAGCTAAACACTTAGATGTTGTTGCGCATGAGTTTTGTTACGGAAGTGTATCATGCCGCCAGCGCGTGCTGCCGCCCTGGCTTCTGCGGAAACTGCTACACACATACGATATGTACATATAAAGCCAAGCTTAGTGGTTAAGAGAAAAAAAAGGAAGAAAGTCTTTCCCTTCTTCCCGCTTCATGCCCATCGCTTCCTACACGCCTCCAGCTATCTTCACCCTCCACCGGTTTCAGGTCTGTAACTTGAGCGTGAGCACCAGAAGCGAGATGTACGCCCCCATGCTGAGTGCCGTCAAAACCGATACCACGTTGCCCGACGTGCGGAATTTCTTTCTGTTGAGGCCGTCTTCGCCCACCTCACTGAAAAATTGCCGATTGCCTTGCTGCCGCCGAAAAAGCGACGTGCAAAGTACGCCCGCACCGTACACGGCGAACAAGGCTCCGATGCTGTAAAACTCGCTCGTGAAGATCTTGAGCACCACCAGCGCGAAGCTGAACTGCCCCAGCGCCGTGCGAATGTACGCCCCTGTGACGCGGTTATGTCAGCGTCTCCGATAGCATCGGCACATCCCCCTCTCGGCCGTCGCCTTCCATGTAGCGCACGTGCGCGAGCGTACATATGGTAACGGACCGGTGCGGGGATGTGTGATGGAGATTTCGTGCCAAAGACGCACCTTCAAATGTCCTCTGTGCCGCACGTAACTCTATCAGCTCGTCTGAAGTGAGCTCGACCGAGCGAGCTCTGTGGAGGCGCAGGCGGTATCTATCCGCCGCATGTCGTCCCTACGCCACGCTCGTCTTAGCCAACTACCACTCGGCAGAGTCTGCGTCGTACGTCAAGCGCTCACCTCGAACATGGTCCGCCTGTCTGGTGTCCGTACGCTCCGTGCTCATGGGAGGACAAGTGCAGTCGGCATTCCGATGCCATGTCCAGAAATCTTGGCAGGGCCGTTTCCGATCATGTGCGGCTCCAAAGTGTCTTGAATGAGCGCGGAACCAGCGCGTCTGTGGCGTCTGTGGCGCTTGTGCGAGCCTAAATTTCTTTCTAGCATTCCTGCCTCGCAGGTGTCGGCGTCGATCTCAAAGCCAGCGTGCCTTGACTTGGCTGTGATAATTCGACTCGTGTGCAGTTGAAGAGTGACGGGATTTCGCAATCTGTAGTTCTACGTCTCAAACTCCCCGGCGTGTCTTTCAAGAAGAAGCTGATGTAGGCAGGCTGCATTAGCAAGTTCTAACCAACGGCCCTCCCCCATCCACAACACCCCCCCTTCTTACACCCACGCCCCCCCTGGTCCCCCCGCTGAACACCTTCTTCCAACGACGTTGTGATCCTCCCACGACCCCTCCCGATCGATTCAATTCAATCTTTCATCTCGCCTCACCGCGCCCATGTGCCATTGATCATCGCCTTCGCCTCTGAGAACATTCGATCAAATACAAGGCCAAGCACTGTTGGAGTCAATATTATCGCGACTGTGTAACCCAAGCTTCCAAAGGGTACTTTAGTGCGCTTGATCTATACCGCCTCAGATCCAAAGGCCGCGGGCGACAGTGTATCGTCTTCTTGTTGCTTTGCTGCCCTTCCCCAAGTCCATCTATCGGACCGTCTTTGACGAGCAGGGTGGCTATCTTTGCACGAGCCACGACCGCCTTCGAGCGGACAGTACAGATATCACTACTGCCTCACTTCCTGGCTCGCACCTCTTCAACTCCTTTTCTAGCCTCTGGACCACCGAACTCAGCTTTGCGTTTGATACAACACTGGTCGCTCCCCTTCCACGGCCAATCGCATATTCCTTTGCTCGCGGTGCAACCTTCGCGCCCAAGATACACAGCAGAAACGATGTCGGCGCCGTCCACGACGTCCTCTGCGAAGAGGAAACGGAACTCGGAGATGAAGTTCTACGCGGTGAAAGCGGGGCACAAGCCAGGAATCTATCACACATGGGCAGACTGCAAAGAGCAGATCACAGGATATAAAGGCGCCATCTGTGAGTAGTAGTTACACGACACGACAGAGCACACACTCGCTCTCACCCGCATGCATCTTCAAATCCTCTCGCGCTCACCTTCTTATGCAGCAAAGGACCAGCAAGGCTGACGCATAGCTTTTTCCTCAATCAGACAAATCATTCGTCTCGTTAACCGACGCCGAAGCCTACATCAAAGGTGACGACACTGTAGGCTCGCCGAACTCTACTCCCAAGAAGTACTATGCTATCCAGTGCGGTCGAGTGCCGGGGGTCTACACGGACTGGCCTTCTGCACAGAAACAGATCGTCGGCTGGATTAGACCCAAGCACAAGTCGTTCGCAACGCGTGCCGAGGCCGAGGCTTTCGTCGCAGAGGGTAACAAGCTTGCCGACCCAGTCAGCGTGTTTCCTCTCGAAACTTCTGCATCACCGACTGCAGGCGAAGAATCGCAAGAAGCAACCACAACCGCGGCGGGATCAGGTGTAGGTGCCACAGATGGCTCGGATTCGGCACCGCCGACCAAGAAGGCGAGGACGACGAAGCCAAAGGCGGCCGTGCAGGCGCCAGCTGGACCTGGGTTTGACTATCTCTCGCCAGATGCGGAGGATGGATTTGACAACAGGATCATTATGGACCCAGAGACGGGGCTGCTCCGGTACAAGACGCCAGCAGAACAGAGCGCCATGAAGCTTATGCCGAAGACGGAACATCATGGTGAAATGCTGCACATATGGACAGACGGGGCATGCATGGGAAACGGTAAAAATGGGTCAATTGGCGGCGTAGGGGTCTATTTTGGGCAGCACGATCCCAGGTATGCTTTCCCGTGTTCTAGTCCGAAATGATTGAGCATATTTGGAGCCTGCGTATGCTGATGGGGAAGCGAGCAGGAATGTGTCCGAGCCGCTCGTCGGTAGACAGACCAACAATCGCGCGGAACTGACCGCATTGAAGCGCGCGCTCAACATCGCGCCTTTGAACAGGCCCGTCACGATTCACACGGACAGCAGCTATGCCATCAACTGCGTGACGAAATGGTATATCAACTGGCGTAAGCGCGACTGGAGAAACGCGCAGGGCAAGCCCGTCGAGAACAGGGACCTCATCGAGGAGATTCTGGATCTTGTCGACGTTCGCCACCAGTGCGGCTTCATCACTCAATTTGACTGGGTCAGGGGCCACGCTGGGCACGTCGAGAACGAAGCCGCCGACCGACTAGCTGTCGAAGGTGCGATGGAGAACAAGAGGAAGGGTGCTTCCGAGGGCAATGGAGGCCCTGAGTCTGCCGTGGCCGAGGATGAGTTTGGGGAGGATGTCTTCGCCGACGCGCAGGAGGAATTGGGGACGGTGTGGAAGTGAGCAGAGACAAAGAGCCTCGCTCGTTTCTTACCTTTTCATACTCAAACTTTTGTCCAATTATGGGTTTGAGCAAGGTATAGCTGCTCTGGCTTAGAGGGCTTACTCTTCGTGCCTAGGAGCTCGGGCTGCAAGGAAAATTACGAACCGGGTACGCGGCATTTGGCTCTCTTGAAGGTTCGGGCAAAAGAAGAGATAATTGGACTTATGGGAAAAAGATTGGGTTCAGGGTTGAAAATTCAAGAAAAGGCGTCCTTTCTTCATTTTCTTCATCATCTGCCACCACACACGATTCGAAGGCAGGAGAGGTCACACCGCACCTTTTGTGCCTTCGCCGCTCTGATATGACGGACAGGGTAGTGGACGAAGACGGACATGTCGATGCGAGAGGCCGCACTGCTACACGCATACACAATCGAGACCTAGTCTCACCATAGCATAGCTGATTTCATGTCACAGTCGTGTACCAGAGGCGGCTGCCTGTGCACACACGTTACAACTGCGGAACCGACAAATCGGAATAGTAATTACGTTCTGTGCAAATTTGCAAACCTTGTCGACTTGTTCCCGAACTGTGCATGCTGTTGAACGACGTCCGACGCAGAATCGCTCATGCCAGCCGATCCTACTGAGCACGGCAAAATCGTGCACAGGGAGTCGACGGAGCTGGGGGAGAAGTCTTTCGGAGTGCGATCTGGACTGGAGGTCTTGGTTTCACATGTAAGCAAGCGGCGGAACAGGGCAGACCAAGTCTGCTCAGATCCGCCTGGCGGTCGAGAGAGGCACAGGGCGACGCTTTGCGACAGAATACGCAGCGGTTGAATTTGCTATAGGACTGGCGCGATGGCGCAATCAGCAGCCGCGTCTGTTTCACCTACTTTCAGCCCCTGCCTTCTAATCCCTCGCCTTCTCCGCCTCTCGACGATCCAGAGATGTCCCCGCCGACGCCTCGAGCCCGAGCATGAATACAGCCTGGCCGCACGCGCGTGCATCAAGGCCGTCTATTTGCCCGGCGTGTAGCGAGAGTACCCGTTTCCGCTGTTGTAGTACGTGGACCCGTTCGGGTTGGAGTAGTAGTAGGAACCGTTGCTTCAAGCAGGGGAGGTCAGCAAGGCACGTGAGAGGAGCCGGTGCAAACGGGTAGAGCGGGCGCACACTCACCTGTTGGAGTAGTGGTAGCTGTTGGAGCCGTTGCCGTAGTCGCGGGAGCAGTAGTGGTTGCCCTGTGTCATGATGAGCCTTGGCTGTGGGAAGGCCGACCTTGCCGTGTCGCTGCGCGAGCTACGTTACCTGGCTGTTGGTGCCGCTGCTGGTGACGTTGTAGCCGCGGGAAGAGCTGCTGGAGGAGCCGTCCTTCGCCATGATTTCGGATTGCGTGAGCGTTGGTGTGGATGCAAGTCTGTTTGGAGGGGCTTGGTGGGCTCAGCACTTTGATACAGACGTAATGTTGACCTGAAGGTTCGGGGATGATGAGCGGCAGGACGAGGAGCTTGTTAAATAGATAGCAAAGATCTTTGCTTTTTTTTTTTTTCTTCCCCTCCTCACAAAGGGGCGAGCAAGCGATAGCGCTTTTCCAGTTTTAACGGGCCACGGCGGTGTGATGAGGTGGGTGCCAAAGCAGCGACTTGGTCGGGGAAGCTTCACAGCACCCGGACATGGCCAAGTGCGCCAGATTGAGGACGACAACTCGCATCTCTGCAATCTATCCTAAGCAACAGGCCTTGAAAAGACATCCAATTGGACTCTGGAAGGCCGCCTGCAGCTATCCCCGGAAGTTGCTGCATGAAACAGTAGACAAGTCTTGATGCCATCCTGGTGGTTCAGTTCCTGGCTGCAAACGTCAAAGGCGGGGGCGCTTGATCGATCCAAATCTGTTTCTGCTCTGCGTATCAGCCAACTCACGAGGCGACCGCGCAGATCAACACCGTGCGCGCGCTTTGGCCTTGTGCGCGTTCATGTCAGCAGTCAACAGACGAGGCGTGGAATGGCGCTGCACGAGTTGCCTGACGACGTCGTCATCCTTGTTCTTCAGAGATGCAGAATCCTCGACATCTTCAACTTGCGACTGACCTGCCGGCACGTTGAGAACACCATCTCGGCGTATGAGAAGACCATCGTGCCCGAGGTGGCCCAGACTACGTTTCCAAGGCCGGAAAACGACCACCTGTACTGGTCTGCGGGAGAGGACTATTCGTTGCGCTGGCTGAAGGGCTTCATCCCGCGGTATCTGGCCGCGACTCTTCTTGAAGGCCCCTCCTTCCGGTCCGTCAAGTTTCTGGGATGGAGCTCTATCATGTCCATCGACCCGCTCGGCGACGAGCTGCGCTCCCGCCTCGCGAACGGCTGGTGCATCGTCAAGAAGCTGTCAAACATCTCCCAGGCTGTGTATTCGCCGCCCGTGACCCGACTGGCCAACTCATTCAACGCGCAGACGTGGTCACATATCCAAAGCTCACTGCACAGCCGTCTCGCGCTGGGCAAGGGCCGCGAGACGCAGGACTTTGCCTTCATCTCGCAGAAGGAGGAGATGATCGCGACACGTCGCCGCGAGTACATCGCGTCGCTGAGCAAAGCCGACGCCGCAAGCTACATGCTGCTCATTCGTCTACTGTCCAAGGCAATCCGATACCACCCGCGTTTTGAATCGGCGGCGAACTCGGCACTGGCCGTCATCAACACGGCGCTGGCACGTAAGCTGTCGAGATACTTTGATTACCCTGGCAAGTTCAGAGATAAGTACATCTGGTACACGGATTGGCTCAACGACACGCCTTGCCCGATCACGCCCTGGGTTCTGTGGGCTGTCTTGCACATCGGACCGGATCCGTTCTTCGTGCAGTGGACATCGCGGTACGAGCAGGAGGAGCCAAAGGCGGATCACGTAGCGGAGCTCATCACGTCACTGACGGAAGGTCAAGATGGGAAAAGTATATCGCGAAGGGGTAAATTGGCAGCGCAGATCGACATTGAGCTTCGACGCAAGTGCCTTCGAGACGGCATCGAAAAGTCGTGGATGAAATCGTACGTCGAAAGCAAGGGCGGCAAGATGAAGCGCGAGGCCATGGACGAGGTCATTCAAAGGGGTACGTCGGACCACAAGCTTTTCGTCAAGGAGGCCATGCTGCCGCAGTACTTCATGCGCTGGCGGGCCGCCGGTGGCGAGAACGCGGAGGTCAATCTGACGGAGGAGGAGCAAGTGAGGGAGGAAGAGCTCATTCACAGTGGCAGACACCCAAGGGAGAAGGTCCCCTTCTTTGTGTTTCTCGGACGCGAGCCCGCGGCAGACGAGATGAAGCTCGAGGAGGGAGGATGAGCGGGACTTGCAACACGTTCGCTTTCAATGTCGCTTTTGTCGTTGTCAAAGGAGTAGCCATTACATGGGCGACTGCCCTAGCGGCGTCTCTGCACGGATCTCGGATTTGCCCAAAGACTTGAAGACTATCGGCCTCGATTTTCCACTTTTGCCTTTTATTGTCTCGCCGGCATGCTCGCCTCGTTTCTTCGGAAAGCATCATCTGTGACAGCGGCTCTGCCTATCAAACGCGGAGAGCACCGCACGACTTGTGATCGAATGCTCAGAGTGCCTTCTGGACAGCAGCGTTTGCCAGCAAATGATCACGAGTGGAAACTGTCGTGGCCACAAGCTCTGCAAAACGTCGCTGGTAAACATGGCGACAGCGCGCTCAGCAAGTTGCCAAACTCTTCCTTTTCGCTCCAAGCCACACGCAGCATTCTCGCCAGCCATTTTACATGCCCAATTGCGAACGTTCGTATTGTCGCTTTCAACTCTTGTTCCCGAAACCATTCCACGCCAAATCCACTCTCCTTCTCAGCGTGTCCACCGTCTGCTGCATCGTATGGCCTTTCTCCTGCTCGTCTCTCCTGATTCGTAGAGCAGCCGCAGTGGAGCCCATCGCGATGGCGAACACGGGATCCAGTCGTCTGCAAAAAAGTCAAGCACGTCAAGTTAGCGGTCCCATAGCAAAGCGCAAGGCAAAGCTATGCCGGAATTCGTCAGAGGAAGGGGGAAGAGGGGGGGAAGGGGGAGGAGAATGTAAAGAGGGTGAGCATACTTGGACAGAATGTACGTGTAGCGGTAGACGACCATCGTCGCACGATCTTGCGCCTCTTTCCACGAGATCTAGATGGACTTTTTGTGCTTCCTTACGGAACTTTGTCGTGAAGGTTTGAGGCTCGGTCGACGAGGTTCTCTTTTGGGGCTGGACTCGCCAAGATGGATGGGGCGATCCGTCCGATGAGCAGAGTTCTGGGCCTCGGAGATTCGACGCCCGCCCTTATGAGCTTCCGTTCCGCCCTGTGCAGAACGAAACATGCAGGAACCGCGCGTTGAAGCTAGCAGGCAGGTCTATCTGCATGGCCAAAGGGAGGCAACAGTGCCGGACACCTCGATGCTGCACGCCTTCGTAGCCTCAATCTTTTGGGTCGCATGTTGCGGGCACGGCATACCAAGCGTTCTTGCTGGGCTGGGAGTGTCACGGATCTCACATTTACAATGCACATGTGTTCTCTGATAAGCTCGGTAGTAGAGATAGAGGGTAAGATAAAAGCCATTCAGATTCAGCTACGAATATGACGACCAGCTATCTGTCTTGTCCGCGCGGATCGCTCTGTAGCCGGGCTGTATACACGGCCGAGCGGGGCGACAATGAAGTCGATTAGCCACGCGGGTACGCTCTGACAGGAGGAAGACCATTACGGGGTTAACAGTAGAAGAGCTTGTGCACGGGTGTTCCGTACGCTGCCGGGGCCGCCTATAACAGGATAGTCAAAGGAAACAAGCACAGTGCTGCGAGATTTGTTTATGGAGAGTCTGTTTCTGTTCTTGATAGATCGGATGCCCAAAAGTCCCAAACCTAACGCCAGCCAGCCCGCCCGGCCCCGAAGCCGCCGTGATCACCTTTCGCTTATCCGTCGTTCACCCGTGGAAGGTATCGTATGTGTTCCCTTGGTCGGTCACCCGGTGCGTTCGCCTACCGGCTACAGCGCGGCTCTATAGCTCGTCACCGAAGGTGTTCTCGCCGGAGTAGGTGATGTACAGGAAGCCGTCCTCATCCTGTCAAAAAGTATCGTTAGCCTGCCTCCTTCCTACGATACGTTGGGGGGGGGGGGGGGGCCGCTCGGGAGCGTCGCTACGTGGGGTGGCTGGTCGGCGAGGAGCGTCAAAAACGTACCTTGTGCTCTTCGTAGATGGAGCTCATCAGCGCCGCGGTGGGCGGCAGCACCTCATCGACGAAAATGAAAATGGCTTTCTCGGGCGACAGCTTGATGCGCTTGCGGATCACGTAGACGAACTGGCCCACGGTGAGATCGGCAGGGACGAGGTACTTCTTCTTATCGATGGTTGCGATGTCCGACTTCTCGACCTTTTCGCAGATGACCGGGATGCGGTCTTGGTACCTATTTCATTCACGCAAGTCAGTCATTCGGTCGCCGTGTGCGTCTTGCTGTTGCTGCAGGCAACGGAGCCGGGGAAACGTACTTCTGGCGGATGCGCTCCGCCTCGGCCTTGCGCTTCTCGAAGGGGTGCTCGTCCTTGAACTTGGATCGCATGGCGCCTGAATCTGACGAAGAATGCTGGAGAGAGTGTTTGGAGCGGTGCAAGGTGCGTTGTGGGTGCGAAACGGTAGGAGTTTGCAGGTTGTGGATGTTGGGTGGATGGGCGGCGGAGGGTTGGAGCTGCTGCCTTGGTGGGGAGGGCGTGCACTCGACGTGTGGACAAGTTGGGCTTCCGGGCAGTGAGGGGCGGTCAAGGATCTCTCACCCAGCAGCGAGAGCAGATCACCAACCACAAAACCACGTAACAACCGGTCAGCCTGATCGTCTAGACACCTTGGTTCACGCTTGGAACTCCGTGGTCGCGTCCTTGTGTTCTCTGTGTCTGAACCCGACGTACAAGAGCACGGGAAACGGGGAGAAGATGTACTCGTCACGGGCTGCTGCCTCTGGGCGCTCTCCGTATCTGACGCGGACGATGACAATGATGACCAAGACAGCAGACAATCTCGGTATTACTCATGTGCCCGCCACCGAACAGTCCAGAGGGTCAGTCGCATCCTCCCTTTGAACAGCCGCTGCCGTCCCGTGACGGCTGAATTTCAACACCGTTGATGTGACTCAGACCGTTTCTTGTCTTTGGGTACAGACCTGACACGGCCGTCCTGCCCGTGTACTGATCCACGACTGCTTGCAAATGGCTCGCATCTCACCGGCCAGCTGTCGTCCAGTCGTCGTCCGATTTGGGCATCGCAGGTGCTGGGTTTTGACTGACGCTTCATTCTTCTTGTAGACATAGCCGACGCCACACTCCCCTGCACAGCCACTGTCATCCGCTAACCTCTTTTCTGGACCGCCTCTTGAGGTTTCTTGCCGATGGCCGAGCTCGCATCCTTGGGGAGTCGCAAGAACACACGGATTGTCTTCGGTGACGTCTTTCTGGCCTGACATGGCTCTCTGAGCTGCATCGCACCACGCTCTGTCTGGCCTTCATTACATCTCTGCCCTTCCTGATTCGCTGCCGCCCGCTCGCGCTGACGCCACTTCTGCGACCCATGCTCCAGATATCGTGTTTGTGTCACACCACATTTCGCTCTCTACCGTGATGTTCACCAGTCGCCCTCTTGCAGGGCAGCCTCTCATTACAAGATGCGTGCAATGCGCCTCCAGACGCTCGAGAAGAAGAGCTCCACTCTCCCGGAGCTTCTTCTCGGACACCGCGTCGTCCAGAGTGCATCAGCCGTCGAAGAATTCGGTATTCTGGAAGCCATCTGCCCAGACAGCCCTTGCATTTGGTATCCCGCTCATCGGTCTTATGCTTTATAACCTCAATCTGGTACTATGAAACACCCTCTCCTCCACCCCGTTGACAGACCTGCTAAGCGCTGGAAGACGAGCGGCGGTCGCCCGCTGATGGATGAGCCTTCGCTCGCCGACCGCGATGCCCTTTCGAAGAGGGAGTCCGGAATCACAGAGTCATCGGCTATGAGACTGCGGATGGAAGCTTTGATCAAGGAGAAACAAAAGGAGATCATCAAGGAGATAGAAAGAATCGATGGCAAGAAGTTTCAGGTTGACACCTGGGACAGGCCCAGCGGTGGCGGAGGCATCAGCTGCGTTCTGCAGGAGGGCAATGTCTTCGAAAAGGCTGGAGTGAACACGTCCGTCGTGTACGGCAAGCTGCCACGCCCGGCCATCCTCCGCATGCGCGCCGATCACAAAGCCATAGATCCGGATGTTGAAAGCCTTGACTTCTTTGCCGCAGGCTTGAGCGTGGTCATGCACCCACGCAACCCCATGGCACCCACAGTGCACTTCAACTACCGTTATTTCGAGACAGCGAATCCGGACGGTACCTCAAATGCCTGGTGGTTCGGCGGCGGATGCGACTTGACGCCCAGCTACGTCTTCGACGAAGATGCCATACACTTCCATAAGACGATCAAGGACGTTTGTGATAAGCACGACAAAGCGTATTACCCGCGCTTTAAGAAGTGGTGTGACGAATACTTCTACAACAAGCACCGGGCTGAGGCCCGGGGCATTGGCGGCATATTCTTTGACGACTTGGACGCTACGGAAAAGGGCCAGGAACAGCTTTTCGCGTTCGTAAAGGACTGCTTGAATGCGTTCCTACCGCAGTACGTACCTATCATTGAGCGCAGGAAAGACATGCCCTTTACCGAGAAGGAAAAGCAGTGGCAGCAGCTGAGACGCGGCCGCTACGTAGAGTTCAACCTGGTATACGACCGTGGCACGTCGTTTGGGCTGAACACACCAAACGCGAGGGTCGAGAGCATCTTGATGAGTCTGCCGCTCGAGGCTCGTTGGGAGTATATGCACAAACCGGAGCCTGGGAGTAGAGAGGAACGATGTTTGAATGTGCTGAAGAAGCCCATTGAGTGGGTATAAGAAAGTAATCTTGTCTTTTAATGTGATATCTAGGGAACATACAAAACAATGCTTCATAGTTTTTTTTTTCAGGTTATCGGGACACCTAGCCCTGAGTTTTCCTCATTTTGAGCTTCCCGATACCCATTTCTGTTCGTCTAACATGCAATTTGTTAGCCTTGTGACACGATCTTCACCGCTTGTCACAGCGGCTAGTTTCACGGAACCCAAGTCCTTGGACGTTTGCTTCCAATGACTTCACTCTGTCCAACTTGTCCGAGTTTTGACCGTGTTTAATGTCAAGTGCATTCATGTTCTGATTCACGGATCTCCTGTAAACACAATAAAGTTGATATCAACAGATTCGAGAGGTGAGCAAAGATCAAAATCAGATTATGTCACAGGTCGGGCCTACAACAATGACATCCGGGTTTAGGCGAAGAAGAGAGCATGATAATATGCGCAACTTCTTACGAGTGATGATAGCACTGTGAATCGACTTGCACTGACATTAATATATAGGAGAAACAGCGCAGGACGGAGAGCATAGACTTTGAAGGAATAGGTTGTAATGGGCTTCAAATACGCAGCAATTGATGAGATCTTAGATGAGTGATATTCGTGAAGAGCCCCACAGAAGAACCGATTCAACTGGCTGCTGGCAGAGCGGAGGTGGAAATGACTGATCCATATCGATGGACACAGCCGATGTTTAGCAAAGGAGCTGCCAGCTACTTACCTTTTCGTTCGACGTCGGACAATGCATAGTCAGTGAACGGCTGTTCAGCTCTGCCAATTTCACTGCAACTCGACATACGCAAGACACGTAGTAGGGGCAGATAAAGCTCAACTTTTGATCTCGCCAAAGCCGCGAAAGTACCTTATCCAAGGTTACTCCTACTTAATTGAATCTGTAAAGGAGAAATGCACGGAGACAAAACAATCGAAACCGCTCGCTCTGGTAGCCCCTTCCAACATCGCGGACAAGCATAATATCGGAGAACTATGCCATCACTGCTAGAACTGAACATAAATACATTGAAGAACTAGATTTTAGGAGGACTCACAGATCCCGCGAAGTTAACCTGGCAAAAATTATGAGATCCTAACCTGCGCAAAGAAGCTGAACTGGCGCCGCCTACAAGACAATAGAAATACGTGCAGCCAAGCTGGGGAAGAGGAGCCAATAGCAATATGAACTTTAGTTTGACGTATTGCGAAGGCAATACCGAAGGATCGAATTCTTTGCCTCCGCATCCCATGCAAAACAATAACCAAGCTATGGTAACTAGCTTGCTGACGTAGACAATAATCAACCAGATGAAATCAGATGTCACTTCACCGGTATGTGCCGACATCTGGACGAAGGATCTGCCTTAACGAACGACCTCGAGCCCTTCCAAATAAGCGATCGAACGTGCGGGAAGGGCAAGCAAGAAAAAGAGGTTCATCCCGTGTTTGATCCTGCCCTTCAGCGTCGACAACGATCAAGCACAAGAGGATGGGCTGTAGGGTTAAACCCTATTTTTAGAGGGTTCAGGTATTGCGCAGAGAGCGCGAAAAAACAAAAGGGGAGCTATGAGCTGACGCGATCACTATAGCGAAATGAATCACGATACTGTCATGCTGTGGGTGCCTCCAGGCAAGCTGTGTGCGTACGTGCTGAGGGCAGGATTCCAGAATTCCAGATCGACAGAAGGGCACGTACGAGATGGCGTTCGCCGAGGGAGGGCTTGGTTGTGCTTTTGGTCAGAGCAACTATTTTCATTGCTATGCCGAGGCTGATTGAAGAGCCATGGCGGGTCGTCTCTATCAGCTTCAGGTCGTGTTCGCAAGCGAGGACACCACGAAGCAGTCGTCTGCAGCTGGTTAACTTTCTCTGATTCATACACACCTCTTGTTGACGTTGGGGCGTTCTCGAGTCCGCCACTTCAAGTCGTCTTACATGATCTTGTGATCAGCCCTTCAGTGTCCCCGAATCAGCCCCCCAAGCCCTGTCACGGCTGGCCCGGGTCACCCCCATGGCCACGTGCCCTCCCACTAGCTAAGCGAGTCCGGCATTCCCGTACACCCCGGAAAAAAACCTGCTCTTCTCAGTCTTACCCGGCTAAGCGATCGACATGCGGAGAGCTCATTGCCCAAAAGCCCCCATCTGATGCGCGAAGACTGCAAGCACGCTTGTCCTGACATGCTGCCGCCTCCTTGCTCCGAGCTTTCCTGTTCCTGAACATCATGTCGTCCATCCAGTCAGATATCCATGCTGTCGATCGAATTCCCCATGGAGGATACGCATCCAGCCCCAATGTTTTCAGGATCCTCTCGTGGATATGCATGGCTAGTTTGTTTGATAATCTGCAAGGTGCCCCATTAGTAGATTTTAATCGTTTGAGAGCCAGATTGGCGTCTCAATATCGGCTCTACACTCCGTCCAGTATCTCAGGAAAAAAACATCTAGTGGCGGGGTACTTTCTTCGTGCATGACTTATCACCAGTCTCGTGATGTGCAGTTAAGCATAGTTTCGTCAAATCAAAGCGTCACACTCTGGAATGAGACGGCTGAACGAACGGTCTCGAATCGTCCACCACCGACAATCGTTTTGGCGTGAGAAACGTTGTGCGTTCTGGAGTCCTGTCTAACAGTTTGCTTCACATGGTGTAGTACTTGTTTTGGTTTGCTCACGAGCTCGATAAGCTTCCACTGCCGAATTCCGTCAGACGATGAGAGCCAAGGATGTGAAATCCACCCATGACCACGACGAGAGCGCACATTCAACAATGTCGCGTTGTGTTTGTTTGAGGCACTATGCTCACAATTATGCGAGGTCCCAACCGATTTTTTTTTTTTGAACTGCTTGGTCGCTGGTAAGCTTGTGCGCCTGCGGCGGGAAATCGTGCAAATATATATATATATATACCGGCTACAAGGCTGAACCGTTGTCATCGTGTTATCGACCGCATCTGAAAGAGCCAGAATGGAGGATCCGATCCTGTCGAATTCTTCGTGGCAGCAATCATGGCTCCGGGGCGCATGTCACAAGCAGTGCATCAACCGAGGAGACCACGTTGTGGCGCAAGCCCTCTCTTCCACTTCGCGTCTTGATATCACAGCTGCAGCACGCACGCCGACTCATGGGAAAGGTTCGGTCTCGCCAAAGAGGGCTGCAGCGTTCATAGTCGACGCGACTTGGCAACAGCTCGATGTCGGCCACTCTCAACTGCTCAGTCGTGACTCGCAAACGGTCAGGGCTAGGAAGAACGGCTTCCAACAGCATTTCCCACCCTTGTCCGCATCGTTTTCGTTTGCGCCTCAAGCCGTGGTGCTTGATCGTGAAGTGAGGAGAGCGTACGTCAAGATTTGTTTCGAGTCTTTCTTCCAATCAGAGGCACATCTTCTAGAAATCGCCGAGAATAACGCACAGGCAGTGTTTGTACCCGGCGGGACTTAGCCTAAGCCTTGGGGGCTTGGAAGTCCCCCACATTCAGACCAGGCTAATGTTCAACCACGTACGGCTGACATTTTGATCTGCAGGATCCTGTCCTGTTCCTGAACAAGCAACGCAAGGCTAGACCAGGCGCTCTTGTCAGAATGCGTGATGCATGTGCGTGGTCACTGGACATCGCTTCCAGACAGAGGGAAGATTTGCATACGTTTTGGCGCCGGCGTCTCCTGTGCAGACCACGACTCAAAACATTGCAGCGGGAGCACCGTATCCGCCCAGCGTTTCTGCACTTTCCTCAGCGAAGTCGACGCTGATCTTTAGAAGAGCATGTTTCATACCCTTTGATATCCGAGTCACTGTCCGCAAGCGTGCTGTGAGAAGCGGATCCCCTTTGATCTTCGGGGGACATGCGTGTGGGCGGATTGGCGAGCACAACGAGCGGTGATCTGCCACGGGGAACGGCGGAATGAAAATTTAAAACACAAATCAGAAACAGCAGGAACAACACTATCGCGCAGAGCCGATCGTTGATGTTCTTGTGTCTTGTAGAAGAAATGCAATAGCGATATATGTTAAACATGACGATTTACTTGAACATTTGGTATTAATCTCCTAACGAGGGCGATTGATGGCTTTTTGGGTTGGTCATGATTTCAACAAAGTAGCATGCAGGTATCGAGCAAGTAGACAAAAATTTGCCACAGGAGAAAGTGAAAGAAGATAGGAGCCCGTACCGGACGGATGCTCGAAAGCCAAAAAATCTGTTTCCAGCCAAGCACCCTCCCATCACGACCTTTCTTTCATCACAAACATGGTCCCTACATCCCACGTCGTGTTCCACTCCCTGCACTCCTCGACGATCTCTGGGTTTTCCCACCACCAGTGTTCGCTGAACCCGTCGCTAATGTACGCTCCCCAAGCGTCTTTCCACAGTGCTCTGCTGGCCAAAACGCCAACTTGACTAGCGATATCACGTTCGCCGGCATGAGGACTTGCTGCAACTGCCGGTAGTCGCAAGCATCTTGCCATTAAGTGGTCGTTCTTCAGCACGTCTGGCTCAACGCCGTCTGCCTCGTCCGACTTGACACGGAGAGGCAAGAATCCAGCGTCACGCGTCCACTTGGGGACCAACGTGACCGGCCGCTGGCACTTGAAGTCTGCCTCTAGTCCTATCAACAGCCTCTCCTCGAGCCAGTTCGCGAGAAGAGGCCCCATGCTGCGTCGGTCAGGAGTTGCATCCATGAGCCGGAGCTCAAGGACGCCGCCTGGTTTCAAAACACGGTGGCACTCAGCCAAGAGCGATGGTAGCTGAGAGGCAGAGACCAAAGTTGCCAGTCGCGTGGATCTGATATGATGCATGGATGCATTTGCGTAGGGCAAGGGAAGGACCCCTGTTGCAGCTGACTTGGACGCACTAGCGAGACTATCGTTCGGACTACCCAAGCTGATTTCATGTTGCACTGCTTGGCCCGGTAATGGAATGCTGCTGCTCCGCGATGATCTCGTAAGGTGGTAGATTCTCGAGTTTGGATAGATGGCAGATAGTTGATAAATCTCCCCTATTTGGACGAATTAGCACAGGTGATAACGTGAAAAAAAAGAAAAAAAAATAATTGATGACAAACTTGCAACATACCGATGTGTCCGTCTAGTTCAAGAATCTTCCTACGTCGCTTTGGAGTCGAGGGTGGAAGTGGGTGCGTTGGAACGGGCGAGTAATTTTGTCTGGCAAATCGATCCATGCTCTGCAACTGCAAGGCCGTCAAGGCCCAAAGATGTTTTTCGAGTTGCAGCTCGTCACTCATTGCCCGGTCCCCGGGCAGATCCCACTCTTCTTTGAGACGTTCAAGGATAATGCGCGGCCCAGCAGATTCCATACGTCTCACGAAACGCTGGAAATGGCTACCAACAAACATACTTTGCCTATGCTCATCGACCATGTCGTCTGTGCTCGAATCAGAGTCGAGAATTTTGCGAACTTCCACCTGCGATTTGACTATATCCCAGCTCTCTGGAGGCGTCCATTGGGAGACTTTTTGCGCGGCATGGTTTTGAATGGCACTCTTATTTGGAGTGATCGACGTGCTTGAACCTTGTCCCGTGCGTTGAGTGGTTGGTGGGTGGAAGATAGAGGGTAGTTCCAGTTTTGGCTCAAGTCCAGCGTGGGGAAGCACATACTTTGTCTTGGGTGTCTCATCGTTTGAGTACAGCAAGTGCTGACTCGCAACTGAGCGTGGACGACCGGCAGCATTATCTGCCAATTCCACAGGCTCTTGAACTGATGCTTCATCGTAGTCCGGAAGGTCTGGCAGGCCCCGTGACGTGGAGTACCCTCGTTGGAACGTCCTCTCAGCGTGCGACAAATTGGCGTTAGGATTTTGCAAAGCAATGATCTCATCCTTGACTTGCTCATATGATTGACATATGTCTTCGGCTTCAAACCTGTTTTTGAACGACCATGCTTTGTGCTGACTAACCGTTTTAGGGGACGGCGAAGCGTATCGACTCGGAAGTTCCTCCTCTATTGGAACGTGTTGAGGCCTGAGTGAACGAATTGGCAGCGAATAGTTGGAAGATGAGTTATGAAGACGGGGTGTCTCGATCGGAGCCCCGGACGGTAGCCTTGTTCCAAGAGAGGCAGAATACGTATAATCAGGTTGATTTGCGGGATCTTTGTAGTCTCTGTGCGGGAGGCTCGCGTCAATGATAGTGACAGAAGCGCTTTTGAAAGGCAGTGCCGAAGTGGCTGTCGATGGTCGCCGTATGGACCCCTTTACACTCGAAAATGATATTGTCTTTGTAATAGAGCCCATCGAGGACTTGGTCGCGTGACCGGACTTGGGAGCATTTTTGGCATCCTTCTTGGAGCCAGAGTTGGAGCTTGAGATCGAGTTTTCCCGTTTGTTAGCGCGTCGCTGCCGACGTTCGCCAACTTTCTCCACAGTATCGTCCGTCCAAGATAGATCGGCGGAAAACATTGCTGCACGAGGGCCACGGTACGAACGCGCCGGCGGATTGCGAGGTCGAGAATAGTGAAAGCGGTCAGAATTCAAGTCTGGTCCATGGGCGAGCAAGTCCGGAAAGAAATGGAACAAGAGTCGGCAAAGCGCTTTTGGGGCAAAAATTCGTGTGGACAATGAGGAGGGCTGACCAAAGAAAGCGAAGTCAATCGCCGCGTGGAGTTACTGAGCGGTGGGTATCCGAACCGACAGGGGCGTGGTCAAACGACGACGGCAGCCCTCAGCAGTTAAGCCCTGAGAGGAGCCTCGGAGCGAGGCGGCGGCATTAGAAATAAACCTCGAAAGTTAGGATACAGTAATGTTGAAGAAAGCTTAAAAATCTGGCCAACGCGGCATGGCCATGGTGGCGGTTCGAGCATGGGACTTTAGATAGTCAATTTGCACGGCTGAGAGAAGCTGGGATGCATCGCGTTGTAGCACAAATGACGAAGCACAGGCGCAACGAGCCAAGACAGCATGCGTTATGAGCTGCTGGGACGGGAGAGATTCAGAAACGGCCATCGCACCATGCGGGCTGCGAGCTGTCCGGTCCGTGGCGTAGGGGCGGCGAGATGGTGGATGCTGCTGCGCAAGGAAGCACCATGACTAGGCGTCACTGCTCGCAAGATTGCCCGCCCGGCCTGGCGCGGGAGTGAGGCAGCAGAGCCGGAGCGACAGAGCTGTCGGCTTGTTCGCTGGCGATGGACGTTTGAGATCTGTTCACGCCTGGCGCAAATGCCAGAGTTCATCGGAGCAGCCTCCCTTGCTTGGACCACCGCTTGACTCGTGCGCTCCGATACTCGACGCCTTTCCCCAGTCTTTCTCAACACCACCGCATGTCTTGCTGCACCACCACGCTAACTTGCTGGAGATCGGCGCCGCGATAACGTCGCCCTGAATCGATCTGGGCACGCTCTTCCCACAGCGGAACCCCGCCGTCGCCTGACTGCTCGCCTACTGGAGTCGAAACGTACGGCGCGTCTTTTGTCGGCTCGTGAGGTAGAGTGCTGCAGGTCGTCTGCCCTTGCATGACCAGGCATTCGAGTCAGATTCCAGCCCCTCTAGGGCCATTTTTTTTAGACTTGCACGAGGATCCCCAGGCATGGCGTCCGGCTGCTTGGTCTGCTGTCCAGGGATGTGTGTTGTGTTTCCAATGGCTGCCGTGGCGTGCATGGTTGACAACATGGACATATCGCATCCTGATTCGGAATTGTCGTGTGAAATTGTTCGTACGTCCTGGCTTTATATGATCGCCCTCTTCCTTGGTATTTCGCAATCATTAAGCTTTCGAATTCATATCTGCACCTGAGTTCGGCTTCATTTGCGAGGCCTATTCGGGGACTGTCTGCTCTTGCCTGTCCGTAATTGCGTCCCGACTCTGTGTAATCTTCGCGGTTACTTGCGTCTTGGCCACGGCCTTCTTAATCTCATATCTTCTCCTTTACCAAGAACAAGTCTTCTTCCGCCCAGCTTTCACTCCTCATCTCTCTCGTCCCATTCTCTACACCCTCTGCATCTACCATGGCGGCCCTGAGAAAGGGAATTGACATGATCGACAATTATGTCGGAAGGTCAACTTTTGGCCGGATCTTCCGCCTCGAAGGTTGCGGCCATGTAAGTTTTACCTCGCACAAAAACTTTAGGTTTCTTTCGATAGGATTTTAACACCTGCCGGACAGGAGAAGGAAGTGCCTAATACCAAATTCTTGCGTGAGATACGTGCAGGCATAACCACGTTCTTCACCATGTAAGGTGTTGACTTTCATAGATTCTCTCTTCCGTCCTGCGCTGACTCGTGTCGTCCAAGGGCATACATTATCTCAGTCAATGCATCGATTCTCGCAGACTCCGGGGGAACCTGTGTGTGCAACGACCCGAAGGACCCAACCTGTGCTACCAATGATGAGTACAATCTCTGTTTGCTGGGTCCGTCGCACAGCATCTCAGATACTCTGGCGACCAATTAAGAAATGCTAATCTTCGCAATAGATATCAAACGTGACCTGATCACTGCCACCGCAGCCATCTCCGGTCTTGCCTCATTCCTCTTCGGCTTCATGACTAACCTTCCGGTAGCACTGGCGTAAGTTGATTCTTCCTCCAAGTCTTACTCAGTCTTTGGTAGAAAAGCGTGCTGAGATGATGCGCTATAGCCCCGGCATGGGTCTTAACGCCTACTTTGCGTACCAAGTTGTTGGATTTCACGGCACGGGACCTATCTCCTACCGTTTGGCGCTTGGCGCTGTGTTTATCGAAGGATTCATCTTTATGTTTCTTGCACTTGCTGGTATGCGCCAATGGCTTGTTCGTCTACTACCGAACAGTATCAAGATCGCCAGTGGTTGCGGCATTGGCCTTTTTCTGTCCATGATTGGCCTTTCCTACTCCTCTGGTATTGGCGCGATCACTGGCGGTGCTACTGCGACCGTTGTCGATATTGGTGGCTGTCCTGAACAATATCTGGACGATGTCACCGGGGCTTGCAACTCACACAAAATGCAGAATCCGACAGTAAGTCAAACTTCATGTTTTTCCACTCTGGGAAGAACGAAAATTAATGTTTCGGTACTTTCCTAGCTTTGGATTGGCCTCTTATGCGGTGGCATATTGACTGCATACCTCATGTCGTACAAGGTGAAGAGTGCGATCGTCATTGGTATCGCCGTGGTCTCGATTATCTCCTGGCCGTACGTATTTACGTCCGCATGAGCAAGAAATAGTCAGACTAACGCCATTCAGCCGACCAACGAGTTTTACGTACTTCCCATACACCAGCGTGGGGAATGAGCGCTTTGAGTTTTTCAAGCAAGTTGTTAGCGTTCGTGGTATTCAAAACACGCTAAACGCGATCGACTGGAACGTGATGAAAGCACCAGGCCAATTCGCCCTCGCTCTCTTCACATTCTTATATGTTGATATTATCGATTGCACGGCCACTTTATACAGTATGGCGCGCTTTTCAGGTGTCGTGGATCCAAAGTCTGGCGATTTTCCGCGTTCCACGGTTGCTTATTGCACTGACTCGCTATGCATCTCCATCGGAGCGCTATTAGGTAGCTCGCCAGTTACAGCTTTCATTGAGTCTGGTGCGGGGATTGCTGAAGGAGGCAAGACGGGTCTAACTGCCATGACAACTGGTGTTTGCTTCCTTATTTGCATTTTCTTTGCTCCAATTTTTGCTTCAATCCCACCGTGGGCCACGGGCTGCACCCTTGTCATCGTAAGTTTTAAACTTACAACTCTTCCTAGTCTTAAAACGCTAACGATTCGCCAAGGTCGGGTGCATGATGATGCGACAGGTTACACTTATCAACTGGCGCTACATTGGTGATGCCGTACCAGCTTTCGTCACGCTTTTGTTTATGCCGTTCTCTTACTCAGTTGCTTATGGATTGATTGCCGGTCTGCTTACCTATGCTGTTTTGAATGGAATGACCTGGATCACTCGTATTGTGTCCATGGGCAACATTATCCCGGCAGATGAAGAGCACAAAGAATATTGGACATATAAGCCTGCTGGCACTTTGCCTTGGTTCATCAGAGCTTGCCAGGATCCAAGGAGCATATTCCACGGTGGCGAAGTCGACCACAATATTCGTGAGATTGCACAATCGGAACACTCTAGCTTCGAAGAGATGAAGGGACGTGAGTATGTCAGCACGCCGCCTATGGAGAAGAACTCTACCACTCTCAACGTTCACGAGAACAAGGTGCCGTATTCGCCGCGGCCTACGTATGACCCAAGCGCTAGACGGTACTAGTGCATTGACGATATTACGATAAAGGAACGGACATATAAAGGCAGGCGGCGAGAACTGAGATGGAGACAATGCAAGATGAATAGGTGAGAGAAAAGTAGGATACCCTACCCACTCGTTATGCATAGTTTATTTCTCGTGAATTGCTGTATTGGTGTTTACTGTGGATGAGCCTTGAGTCTCTTACGTATTTAAGTACAAATTAGGTTTGGGTTTTGCATGTTTGATGTGTTGAAGAGAATTCTTCATCCTCAATAAAATTTGTCCCAATAATTTTGCTAGCGCAATGACTCCTGCATTGCCTCAATGCTTTCTCTCCTCTGACCATTATCGATGGTGATGAGCGAACAATACGTGATTGCAGATTGCGAAAGGTAGATTATCACACCTTCAGGTTATGTGACTCCATATAGAGTTAACTTTTGGGTAAACTAAGTTAGCATTAAGTTAAGCATTCTGATCTTCTCACGTGACTAGACTTGCCGCTTTCGGCATTGTTGATCTGACCGATTCCGGCGTGATGATCATGATGGGAATCTGAAGCTGCAGAGTTTCGACAGTGCGACTACGCCCAGCTATGTCGGCACGCAGCCTACCATCGATGGCTCACTTCAGCTTGAGGGCTGTGTATGCTGTCGAAAAGGGACCAATACGGACCTCTGTGCGAGACAGACCGCGGCGTATTCGTGGGGTGAATTTCACCACGTCAGTTTGTCGTGAAGATGACAGTCGTGTGCAAAGGCGATATGGCACCGCAAACGAACCTCCTGCGCATTTCTTGGATAACCAGCCGAGGGAAGGACGAAGCGGAACGACCGATACTCCTCCACGACCCGCCGAAAGCAAGAAAGATTTAGAACAGAAGCAGACCTCATCACCATATATCAAAGAGGCTGAGGGCAGCAAGAAAAAAACCGAGCATGTGGAAGCAGAAGATATTACCAATTTCAGTACGACTGCGCAGACTTTGGACAAAGATACGACAAGCGGAGACGCTAGTGGACCTGGTCCCCAAAGCCAACTACGAGGAACATCGTCTAAACCACTCGAGACTGTTCTTAACATGCCTCCACCTAAGAACTCAGAAAATGATAAGCCCCCGCATTTAGCACCTCCCCCGTACGTACACCATTTCGACACGTATGGCCTAGTTAAGAAACTCAACAGCGGGGGCTTCACAAATGGGCAGTCAACCACGATCATGAAAGCCATTCGTACAATACTCGCCGAAAACATGGACCTAGCCAGACGAGGTTTGGTTTCCAAGTCAAATGTGGAGAATGGGATGTATCTTTTCCGTGCGGCGTGCAGTGAGCTCAAGACGGAGATCGAGAACAATCGCAAGGGTGAGCTCGACAAGAATAGGACACGCAGGGCGCTTCTGCAGCACGAGGTTGATATTCTTGGTCAGAAGATCACGCAAGAGATCAGTGGGTTGAGAGACGAGCTCAAAGGCATGTTTGACGATCGCAAAATGACGGTGCGAACAGAGCAGCGAAACATGGAGAATAGAGTATGTGCGATTCCTCTGTTAATGGCTACTTGCCGTCTTTCCTATGATGTTCTAACTTGAAGACGCTCATAGATCCAAGAACTCAACTACAAGATCACAGTAACGCTCAATTCCGATGCAAAGACAGAGGTTGAGGGTGTTCGCTGGGTACTTACTCGGCGAGCCGCAACAGCGCTAGCGGTGTCGGTCATGATGATATTGGCTACTCTTAATTACGCAAGATACATGTCTGCTACGCAAGACAAGGAACGTCAGAAACACAGGGAGTTGATGAAGGCTAATTCAACGACATCGCATAATATTGGAACGCAAACAGAGCCGACCAGCCAGTCGGGTGAGACTCTGATCGCGAGTGAGGGTGTGAGCCTAGGTTGATGTATATACGGGGTACAAATCTCGATAAAGAATGATCAGCACAACTGCCAGCTAGCCACTTGTCATATGCTCGGTCAATGGATAAGTGCGTGTGTGGTGCCAATCACGTGTCATAGGGGTGACCCCATGACAGTCGCGTAGGTCCAAGGAATGTATGTGTAAGGGGTCAAGGCAGAACACTATCAAGAAATCCTACGTTGCGACAAGCAGTCCATCCGAGCTGTCTTATAACTCCATGGCCTTGGGATGGCGCAAGGGCGTGCTTTCGGCTGCATCCTGATCGTATAGATCACAAGGACCAAATCAAGTGTGGACCCTGCGTGAACGATTTTTGTGATGAACGGAGAATCGTCCCGAGAACATCCCATGTACACCCTTGCAAGTAGTGCTATACTCCGTTAGTAGAATTTACATGTGGCTAAAGTCTGTCCCTAGCTCCCGCTAGTCAGTCGGACATGAATTGCGCTGCCCATCATATAAAGCCGCGTAAGTTTCGAGGTTAAACTCCATGGAGCCTTGGACACTCGATGTCCCTTAAGGGCCGCTCCCGAGAACTTGGCGATTCCTTCGAGCTTAGGCATACGAACTGGCTGAAAAGGGATTGAGGTATAATGAATTAGGTCGCTAAACAAGATAAGTAGTATATAGAACGTAAGGTGTCCTTAGGCCTACGAACGTTAATAAATAATTATCTGACAAAGCGAAGCAAAGCAAAGAGAAGCAAAGCTGGGCAAAGCAAAATCCGAGTCCAATCCTGTCATGTTTCGATCTCCCCGTTCGTTACTGACTTGAAGTCTCATTTTTCTCGCTCAGCTTCTACTATTCCGAGGTAAGAGAGTACTCTGTACAGCGTCGCTAGGTCCCACTCACTGCTCCTTTCCCCATTTGAATAAGGCAATATAGAACTACTAGCTTAGTTAGGACATGACCTCCGAGGACAAGTGACACCGATAACTTACTGTGTACAAGTAAGTGAATGTTGACTTAACTTACAGGGTAGATTCACGTGAGAAATTCGTTTCTCCGTTAACTTACTTAGGGCGAAGAGGAAGCATCGCCAAGAAACCACGATAGGTTCGAGATAGAACTATACACCCTCCCCCGTCTTGACTCACACCTCAACTATCGAAATGTCTTTGACCTATTTCCATATGAGCTTACTTAAGGATTACATCTTGACCAGTGGTTTACAGCTTAATTGCACACTATAGGCCGAGAAGGCTCATTTAATAGCAACATTTTTCAGCGGATCATGATATCCTTGCTGTGGGGTAAGCACGCCTCTGACGTGGAAGAAGCTCGTGGGGGCTGAGAAGTGATCTTCCTGCGCGAGCTGCAAGCGATATCCGACAAGGCTGTCTCTTTGAATACTATTCTTCCATCTTTTCTGACAGCTCTTCACGTAGATAGCACAAATTCTCTCGCATACCGCCTACAACGCTAGAGCTGTGTAATATATCTACTAGAATAGTTCCACTTTAAAGACGTATATTTAGGATAATTCAGTTGATTGTTTTTTAGTTGTGTGTTATTATTAATGCATATCAATCGTAGCCCAAACTGTGCTCTAAAGCGATGGGTGGCCTAAACCAACAACTCCTTGACCGGATTGGAGCCAAAACACAGGAAGGGAATCCTTGGAGCTTTGACCGCTTTTGAGGCGCAGATCGAAAGAACGGGGCGACAAAGAGTGCGTTACGGTCGACGCAAACAGAACTAGGATACTGTATGGGTTTTCATCTCTATATGTAAAGCGTCTTCCAATAATAAGACGAGCTGACATGGAACGTCTCGAGCCTTTGCCACTTTAATCTTGAACGGCGGGTAGGACGCCCGTGAGCTGCGCCCACCGGGCTAGGGAGAATTGTACACGATGCAGACGATTGTTTTTCTCTCCGGTGAACAAACGTCGTTGGTCGTTGACAGCGTACCTGGAGCGCGAGGGGGCTTCGCAGCCTTCGCTTCGCTACACGCAATAAGCGGAGAGCGTTTTCACAGGTGTCCTGAAATCGCGGTGTTGGGGCTTCCGTCCGCTCTAATAGGGAGGCCACACCCGGCCGCCTTGCGTCTAACTGACATTGTATAAATGTGAGTTGCTTTTTCAAGAATATGCATGTCGAATTAAGTGCTTGAAGATGTCTCACCCTAGCATGGGTCGAACCAGTTCGTGTGCCGCCGTGTGAGCAACATCCCGCTGTGTCCAGCTGCACTTTCGTCATCCTTCGGTCCAATGAGGAAGTATGCAGTTGCCTTTCAAATGTTTGTTCCCGGGCCCGTGCGTATTAATCAGACCTAAAATGGATAAGGATAATACTTAATGAGCCTAATTGCAAAACCACCTCTCCTTTCGCAACTTATACATCTTACTATGGTAACTTATGTGTGCAGAAAACTTGTAGCAACAGTTTCAGACCATCAGAGAACGTTTATACCCTACCCTATCGGGTAAGGCCTTGAACACTAAAATCACTCGAAGCTTATTTACAAGCTTCGCTTGGTATAACTTACTCTATTATATAAGACTTTTTGCACTAAAATCCTTCAAACTCCTTCTGAGCCTGCCGAGATAAGGGCTGGGGTAAAGCGGAAGGATCGTCAAGCAACCAAGGTGTTGGATTCGAGATACGAGCCATCGTGCCCCGCCTTAACCCATGTCCTAAAATTCGGTCTTTGACTTGATTCACTATTAACTTAGGAGTTGTCATGGGGTCACCCCTATGACACGTGATTGGCACCATCCTGTTGCCTGTCTGATTAAAGCAGCACCGACATCAGCTAACATGACCTAACGTGACCCAACGTTACCTAACGTTGGCCAACTGGACTCCTGAACTAAACTGACTTCCTAATTCGATTTCACCGCGCGCGCGCCCAAATCCCAATTAGGAAAGGTGTGATAAGGCCCCCTTTATATTCTCAGCAAGAACTACTTCGGGCCTTCCCTTCTTCATGCAACGTCTTGATTATTGTACGATACTTCAGTACAGCACAACTGAATAGATAGTTGATAGCCTCATCAGTTTACCTCACGTGATAACTTGAGCAGATCACTTCTAGTGGTTCCGTGACAGGAGTTCGCTCTTACTTCTGGTTTGCAACCTAAGTACATACTGTGGACTGTAAATGTTATTTAAAGGCAACATATTATGGTGGGAGGCTGAGAGAAGGGAGGCATGTGATCAAGACCAACCTAATTTTCGTATCTGACCTACAATATAGTTTGTGAGCTGACGAATACGATTTCTGATCAAGAGCGGTGCTGACAAGGACGTGCTTGGTGACGTAGTGGGTGAGTTGACAGACGCAATCGACGAGCCGTAACGAGTGCTGACGAGGTCGTGCCTGGTGCTGTAGGAAGTGAGTTCACGGACGGAATCGTCGAGCAAGAACGAGCGCTGATGAGAACGTGCTTGGTGCTGTAGCGAGTGAGTTGACGGACGTGATCGACGAGCATGAACGAGTGCTGACGAGGGTGTGCTTGGTGCTGTAGTGGGTGAGTTGACGCACGCGATCGACGAGTAAGAATGAGTGCTGATGAGGGCGTGCTTGGTGCAGTAGGAAGTGAGTTCACGGAGGCGATCGTCGGGTAAGAACGAGTGCTAATGAGGACGTGCTTGGTGCTGTAGCGAGTGAGTTGACGGACGTGATCGACGAGCAAGAACGAGTGCTGACGAGGGTATGCTTGGTGCTCTAGGCAGTGAGTCGACGGACGCGATCGACGAGCCTTATCAGGTGCTGACAAGGACGTGCTTGGTGCTGTAGGAAGTGAGTTGACGGACGCGATCGACAAGCAAGAACGAGTGCTGATGGGGGCGTGCTTGGTGCTTTAGCGAGTGAGTTGACTGATGCAATTGACGAGTAAAAACAGAAGCTGACAATGCGTACACACTTAGACTGAATGGAGTGCAGCGGAGGATGAGCTAGCTGTCCAGCTTGTCGGGAGAGTGCCGCCATCATTTGATGCCCCCGGACCGCACTATTTCAATCTGCTCAAGCGATGGCTCAATACTGCGATGTAGATCATCAAGGCCAACCTAAGCATCGTTTTTGGCCGACAAGGCTTCTCGACGTCTGAGTTACTAACTCGCCCACAGTGAAGATTGTAGAGACAGGCTCATTCCAAGTTAAACCTAAGCAGTCTCTTCGAAAGATCGTTGTTCTAGGGGATAAAAGGTATATTGCTCTTTCACATTGTTGGGGAAATCCCACACGCGATCAGATAGAGCGATATTGTACCACTCTGAACAACTGCAAGGACAGACTAAAGGGGTTTGGCTTTAATGATTTACCAAAAACATTTCAACTTGCTGTCGAGGTTGTGCGAGCTATAGGAATATCATTCCTCTGGATTGATGCGATTTGCATAATCCAAGGCTCTGAAGAGGACTGGCAAGCTGAGTCTCAAAAGATGGAGGAAGTATTTAGTTCAGCCTACTGCACTATTGCAGCTGATACAGCAAAGAGCTGGACAGTTGGATTCCTTGAGCGAAATCATCCTCCCCACTTCAATGAAGTTATCAAAGATGGAAAAAGGATATTGTAGAGCTTTTAGGCTGACCGCCACGTCAGGGGGTAGGACACTCGATATCAAGGCCTTCCTGAGGGTGAGAAATCAAGAGAGAGAGAAGCCTCCTACAGATGGGAACTGTAAAGGAGCTTAGGAGTAAGATAAGATAGTTAGGATAAGGGTATAGTAAGATAGAATAAATAGGGAAAGTAAAGTAAAGGTAAGGCAAAGCAAAGCAGGGCAAAGCAAAGCAAAGTTCTGTATGAGGCAAAACAAAGCTGGTCTCTGTTGTTCTGATATTTTTCTGGTGCCTCGCCTTTTTCTTATTTCCGTTATTCTCCTCTTCTTATATATCCCTACCATATCATATAACGCCTAAGGCCCTAGCTCCAAGGTCACGTGATGCCCTTCAGAGTATGAAGCATATTCCCCAGTACAACATCCTTTTATAGACTGTAAAGACTCGTATACCCTATAGCCTCATACTGCTTATGAAATCAACATCCCCTAACTTAACGTGATTGGCTGAAGCGCTCATTCTGCTCATTTTGCTAAGAATGATCAAAATGGTCTTTGTCACATGTAGGTGCCTAGTTAGGCTAGGCCATGCAAAGGAATCGCTGTTATGCAGCGTACAAAGAGGAAAAAGGAAACGATTAAGGGGCAAAAGGTTGCATTGATTGTGTGGTGGATTGGGTTGTTCGTTGTTAGGTTTCAATCCTGAAGCAACTTGTAGATAGCTTATTCTCATAATAGAAACGTAAAAACAAGGGGTATTAGATATTTATTGTCAGAAGAACTATTTTCCCTTCTTCTATGTGCTGCGCGAACATTTGCATTATATATAGCACCTATAGCTAATACACACATGACTGAATTGAGCACTTTTCGCAACTGGATAATCAAAGTTACGACGTTGGTCTTTCCCGTACAAGTACTTCCGCCACAACATCTGTAAGGGATTGGTGATAGAAGTGTGAGATAGACAGTTGATTCAAGAATATCCGCTAGCTCCTGAGAGTCTCTTCTCTGAACTGCCTTAAATACATGTGTGCGGAGTAGTCACGTGTGCCTTAATACCGCACCAGCTATACATCGCCAAGCTCGAGGTATCTGCAAGTATGTGTTGTTCTTATGATCCCTGTGCTGTCATGGCGCCTTTGCCACCCCGTTATCACGCCGTACATGACATTAATATATATTATTTAGAGGATAATGTAGTGTAGTCTATAACCAGTACTACTAAGAAATAAGGAAATATATTAAATTAAATAATATATATTAAATATAAACAATGTTATTTAGGAGTATATAATATATAAATGTTAAAATTTTAATCTACAAATTTTTATCATTTTCTTAGTGAATTCTGACACCAATACTACCAGAAACAACTACCAGAAACGGTATACCGTTTATCCTCCGGTACGGTACGGTATATACTGCTACCGTGGGGCACCCTAAGAAGTAGCTCCTCGGCCTCTTTCCATCGGCCTTGATTGCTGTACGTCAACGCCAGATTGGCCATGCTGATCAGCGTGTGTGGATGCTCCTCGCCAAGCACCCTCAAGCTCGTCTCCATCACTCGCACAAATAGCTCCTCGGCC